AATGTTTTTTATACATTTTTGTTCGGCCCGCGCCGTTTTTTTCTTTTTCTCATTCCATTCCGTATATACAATTTGTGTTGTTTTTGTTTGGCGACAAGCAGCTAAGAAGACGAGAAAACACATTTCTTGCTCTTTTTTCTTGTGCTCAACTGACCCTTTGTTTTTTCTCCTTTTCATGAATGAATGAATGAATTGAACTGACTTTTTTGAGAGGTGAAGCACAAATCTTTTTAAAAAACAATTTGTTTTTGGAATGGGGTTTTTTGGGTGAATTTTTGAGAAAATTTTGGTTGGAGCGGAGTGTTTTTGGAAAATAACTCTATTTTTGTTTTGAAGAGGAGAATTTGTGAGAATACATCTGCCAACAAGCACTTTGAGAACTAATTTTGTTATTGTTAACAATATATTAAATTTTTTAGATGGAATTATGGTTGAGCAAAATAATAAATGAATTCTTTGAAAATTGTAATTTTTCATAACCATATCCAATTTTCAATCACCCCATAATGGGGCTATTCATGTTATTTTTCAACGCTGAGAAAACGGGAGAAAAGCGGAGAAAACCTATTCAGGTAGGCTGAGAAAATACGAAAAAAGCGGAGAAAATGTATTTCCTCCGCATTTCTCCTGTTTTCTCAACATGCTGAGAAAATACATGAATAGCCCCATAAACCTCCCAGTTTTCCTCAAATATGTACTTTTTTCACCCAACCGAAAAAAAAACCACTTTTGCACCCAACAAAATGGGCTATTAAGAAGGAGATCCATCATTTTCTGTTGTTTCTGTGTGTGTTTTTGAGTTGCACCAGTGTCTTATATGCATTATAATGTTTCTTTTCTGTACTTTTGCATTGGCATCAAATAAAAAATTCTGCAAATAAGAAAAAAAACGAGGAAAAAAAAGATAGATGGCATCTAATTTTGAACACGCTTCAATGAGTTTTCTCAAGAATTTTTCTATTTTTTCTTGGCTTTTGGGGCATACTACGAGCCAAGAAATAGAAAAAGAATTTTCTTTCAACTCACTCATAATTATATTTCGAGCTAGGTAAACCAATTTGGAAGCAGCTTTTGCTCCTCTTTTTTTTTCTTTTATATATTTTTTAGTTTTTCTCCCTCCCTCCCTCTCTTTTATTTTTTTTTCTGAGAAAAACAACAAAATAACCTTTTTCCCAAGTAATAATAGCTAATTCCTCTTCTTTTTTCGTCAGCCGAAAAAATATACGTCTTGCTTCTGCTTTTTTCAAAAAAAAAAAGAAAAATATATATAGAATAGAAGTTTTTTCGCATATTGCACCATGTGTTTTCCGGCTCATTTTAATCGGTCTTACATATATAAAATGAAAAACAGCACTTTTTTTTCAAGAGTGTAGTGTTTTCTCTTGAGTACATTGATTTTTTCTTGATTTTTTTATTTACATGGTTTTTGCGGAGAGAAAAATTCCCACGATTCCCACAATTCAGCTCTGAACTTTTTTCATTAATTTATGCAAATGACATGTTCATTTTTCTCGCGCTCCAGTTTTTTGCAGTGTTCTTTTTTCATAACTACTACTGTGGTATTTACACTTTTCTTGGAATTTTAAATTTGAATTTTCAGACTGCCTCTCTTGGTTTTTGCATAATTTTTTTTCAAAGTTCTGAATTTCAACAATTCCTAAAAAGTAGAACTTCAGAAAACTCACAGAACAGAATTATTGATTCAAATGAGTTTCATTTTCAAAATTCCGACTGAAAACTAAAATTATCACGAAAATGAAATTTCTTCAGATTCTATTAGTTCCCATTCCATTTTCCCACCCTACCGTAGCAAAAAGCAAATTGTTGAACAGCAGGAAAATTAATGTATATACATACATACATTTATAAATAATTTTTCGTTTTCTCGATTCTCATCCAACCATAAAAAACTTGTCGTTGTTGTCAAGCGGATATATTATTTTAATTAGTCATCTCTCGTTTTTCCGTTTTCCGAAAAATAATATTTCGGGTTCCCACACAACGATAATTGCTTGCTTGCTTGTTAATTTTCATTCTACCATTTCATTTCATTATTTTTCATTCAAAATACGTTTTTCCGTCTTTTTTTACCCCCAGCTTTTCCTCATTTAGAATTAGCAACATCTGTCTTTTTGAGTTGAAGAGCAGGAAAAAAGAAGAAATAAAGAAAGAAAAATTAATCTGGGGCTGAACAACACAAAAAAAATAATTAGGTTGTTCGAGTGACTCTTTAGAAGAGTGCAGATTTTCTGGACACCCTCCCCAAGATAATACATACATAATTATGTGTCCATTCACCACAAATTTTCTTCGAAACCAAGAAGAAAATGAAAAAGAAAAAATAAATTTACACAACACACTAAAATTTGGCGCACTTTTTGGCGCACCAAATGCTCTCGAGAGAACAGGTGTTTGAAATTTCGACATTTTCATTCATTTTCTTCATTTTTCTTTATTTCGTGACTGCGATTCTTATAAATGACCTTTTTTATCTGATTGGAAAATCAGCGAGCGGCAGCCATCATACCCTATAATCATTTTCACTTATTCTTCCTGGAACAACAAAATTAGATAGCGGGAAGTGTTTTGGAGGATTTGTTGTGATTCACTTTATCTGGATTTTCATGTTGTTATATGAAAAATTCAGAGTTTTTTGGAAGTTGGAAAGGTTTAGTAATTTCAAAAATATTTTTTTTTGAAAACAATATTTTTTGTGAAAATTCAGTTTTGGTTTCGACATAAATGAATAAAATTTGAACTATTTCTGAATTTTCTAGCTTTTTCCTTGCATGTAAGAATTTTTAGCTCGAAAAATCTTAATTGAGTTTCATTCTCCCTCTCAAAAACATCACACAACTACCTAAAAATGTTACTCTTGCTACTCGATGTCAGAAAAAACCAAGTGTCAAATTGAACTCATTTTCTAAATAATGCAGAAATAATATTTTGATTGACACCTCCTTTTCTTTCTCCCGACCCCCATATGTTTTCTTTTTCTTTTTTCTTTTCATTTTGACTTTTGACAATCTCATTTTACTCATCTTTTCTATCAAAAAACTTCATCTTCATAGGGACCACAATGAAAATGATACACATGTAATATTTATATATATGTAAATAAAACCCTCATGTTATTTATTTGAAAAAAAGAAGTCATCATATAGAATAACAAGTAGTGTAAAAACGGGAGAGGGTTGGTGAAAAGGGTGTGGACCACCCAAAACCTCGTGGCGTAACTAGCCGAAAACATACGACAGATGTTCACCTCTATTATCTCTCTAGCTCTCGTTTTCTCTAATCCTCTCACTTTTGTTTGGTGGGACCACGCTAATGATGGTGTTGGTGTAGAGGGGAGGTGAAAGAAATTATTTATTTGGCTTTATTTTTTTATTTACTTCAATTTATTTTATTTTTTCAATATTTTTTCTCAATTTTTTAAGAGTAAATTTTCTTTAAAATTCAAATGCTCTTTTTAGAAAATATTTTGTTTGCTCAAATAATTAATTATATTGATGAATTGTGGCTAATTATTGGTGAAATAATTGTGTCTATTCAAACAAAACATTGCAAATTTTCCTCTCCCTAAATAATTGTTAGTTTAAAGTAAAAGTACAGTACCCCGTGTCATTTCTAAATTAATTTTTTTTTCATTTGCTTTTTTTTGAAAAAAAAGTGTAAAGTGCCACAGCTCTATGTACTACAACAAAAGAATTGTTAATGCGATCTTTTTTGTTGTTGCTCATATTAATGGATTTACAAAAGTATAGATTTCGTAAAGAGCTAGTTAGTTAGTTAGTTATTTTCGTTTCACGCTTGGGTACTTTTTGTGTGTACATATAAGTTACTGCGCGGCGACTAATATGTATATATTTTCGTATTAGGCTAGTTATTTTTCATTAGGAAGGGATATGAGGAGAAATGTGTTTTTGTTTATTGTTTGTGTTTGCAAAACGTTTTGTTACTTTTTATAGAGTTTAGTAGTGAAAATTGATTGTTTTTTATATCTTATTTTTCACGTCATAATTTCAGTTATTCGAGCCTGAACCACGCTAATTCTCATATCGCTTTCTTAAGAATTTGAATTTGATTTTGTTTTTCAAAATTCTTGGGATTGGTTTTGGAAAAAGTTAGAAGAAGTTGTATCACATTATTCAAGAAATGAATGTTCTGTTGATCGAGTTATTATAACTTTTATTAAAATGTATTGAAAATCTGCAAAATTTCGATAAATGTTCTGAATTGCAGAATATTGCATTTTTAAATTCATAGGATCATCTACTTGAAAATTAAAAAACGCCGCAATCACTCATATTTCAAAATTCTATTTTTTGAACAAAAAATTCTCCCTGTTACTATTTTCAAAAATCTGCATTATTTACTGAAATTTTCACCATCTAAGAAATTCACAAATCTGTTGTTTTCAAAAAATGTTTTACTTATAAAGTAAAAACTGAAAAATCGTTTCCTGCTTCCTTGAATTTTTCCTCACTTTCTAATTCCTCGCAACACAAAAAAACACTTTTCGCGTTTCATTCTCAAAACTAGCACATTTTGTTCGTCCATTGTTATATTGGGTGATGGTCACTCTTACTCACTCTCCTCCTCTTCTTCTTCTTCTTTTTTTATTTTCCTCCCTCCTTCCCCCCATTTTTCCTTCTTCGTCCGTCCGTTTGTCCGTTTGTGTCCATCCCAATACTCTTCACCACCTCATCAATTCGCGTGTGTTCTTTCTCTGCTCGTCTCGCCAAGCACTCCACCATTTGATGTGCTCTCTCACCATTTATTCACAACTTGTACTCTCTTCTCTCTCCCACTTTTTTTTACTCTTTATGTTTTTTTCTGTCGTTTCGGTTTATTTTGTGCCTTGCCTTGTTAACTTTTTATCATCATGTGTTTTCTTTTTGCAGGCTAAATCATCTTAGGAAATAAATAGATGACGGCGACAAAGATCAATTAAATAATTAGTGAAGATCAATTAAGGAATACAAATTTTTATGAAAATGTGCAAATATAGGATATTCTTGCTCATAGTTTTCACAGCAATTGTTGCAACTGAAGGTGAGTTTTTTCCCCTTAAAAATAATCCCAAGGGTTCAACAAATTCTCGAAAAAACAAAAACTATTGTTTCTTTTTTGTCAAAAAGGTCCCAATCGCACTTGACAAATTAGTTAACATGTGCTGTTTTACAAATAATTGGCAACTCTAAACAATTTGTCAAAATTGAGAACAAGTGTTGTTTTTGTTGGGCCCCCCTCCTGCAAATTGAAGGGGGGAGTACAACATTTTTGACAATGTTTTGATGAATGTCCTTTTCTCTATTATTTGATTCGTTAATCGGTTTCTTTTTTAGTTAGGAAAGGGGGTCGCGAGAATGGCAATTATTAATATGATGCACTTACATATGTAAGTAGTATGTATTTATGTATTTATGAACATATAGATAGATAGATCTTATCAATTTTTCTCAACAGCGGCAACATTTTTTTGATCTTTTTGTTTTCATTCATACTGAAACAAAAATAAATGCAAAGAAAAGAATTTGCATTTTTTTGAAACCAAGAAAAATATCGGCGCGCAGGCGCTCCCCGAAATAAAGAAAAGAACAAGCTGAAAATTCCTTAGGGAAATGTGATGGTTATTAATGAGCTGTTGGCAAAGACTTGTCAGCAGGAGAAAAAGGCAGGAAAGAGCTTATTTCGAAATTGCGTGTGGCGCATTGTGTGATGATGATGAAATTTTTAATCAAGAAAAAAGGGTGCGAAAAATTTCGGAGAACTACATGCTTTTATGAGGGCTAGGCGGATGACGAATGGAAAGGGGTGGCTTTTTTTAGACAGGGGTTTGGAGCATTTTGATTAGGGGTTTCAAGATAAATTAATCATACACGAAATTTGAAAGACGGTTCAGAAAATATAAATGAATTAACCAGGATGTTCGCAGCGGTATTAGATTCTTTTCAATTCGAAAAACACTTCAATATTTCAGCATAAAGATGAAGCCGCGAGGGTGTCACAAAATGTACATCAAGGTTTTCTGAACTTCCCAAGCCGATCTATTCGTTCATGACGAATTTCATTACTTTCCAAAAAGCTGAATTGAAATATTGATGAAAATGTTTCAAACTTTGTCACTAAACCCATAAATCTTCCATTCATCTCAGTTAATCAAGAATTCCTTTTCTCGTCAACAACCCACAAAAACCCAACCAAGCAGACAAATAATCAAATATTCTTGTTTCGTTTACGAAATCCTTTAAAACAATCGTTTTTTTTTTCTTGGTGGTACACTAATCCGATTTTGCTGTTCCTTTTAGAACGAACGAAATGTCAAAACTAATTTTTGTGAGGGGTCCATTTACTTTTCAAAAATATGTTACCTTTTTGAAATGAAAACATTTCAAAATAAATAAAAAAATATTTTCAGATGAGGGAAATCTTGCGCCAGTCATCACTGAACATCCAATCGACGTAGTTGTATCACGTGGAAGTCCAGCAACATTAAATTGTGCCGCCAAACCGGCAACATCTAAAATAACATGGTAATTCATCACTGTTTATAAATTAATTAATTAATCATCCAATTTGATTAATTCAGGTTCAAAGACGGTCAGCCGGTGACAACAAACAAGGAACTGGTGAACAGTCATCGAATTGTGCTTGATACTGGCGCGCTTTTTCTTCTCAAAGTGAATAGCGGTGAGTAAAAAAGTTTTCCTTTCGGAACAATAGAAACAATATAAATATAAAATAAAATATTCAGGAAAAAATGGTAGAGACAGTGATGCTGGCTCATATTATTGTGTTGCTAGTAATGAACACGGTGAAGTGAAATCCAATGAAGGATCTTTGAAATTGGCAATGTTGCGAGATGTTTTCTTGGTGACACCTCGAACCTCAACAGCTCTTTCCGGAAATCAAGCCAAATTGGAATGTAGTCCACCAAAAGGATTCCCGGAACCAGTTGTTAGTTGGAGAAAAGATGATAAGGAGCTGAAAATTCAAGATAATCCAAGATACACACTTCATCCTGATGGAAATTTGATAATTGAACCTGTGAATCATAGCGATTCGGGAACTTTCCAATGCGTTGCGACAAATATGGTTGGAGAGAGGGTTTCGTTGCCAGCGAGATTGAGTGTTTATGAAAAACCACGATTTTTAGTGAGTTTTTTTTAAATGCAATCTTTGAAAAAATTCTGAAAGTAGCTGAAATATATATTACCTAGGGTTGTCGATCTTTTGATTTAAAAAAAATTACTTAGAGTTCTCCAAATTGAATATTGATTTTTCAAGATCTTTTTTATCACTGTCTTTCAAAATATCTAGTTTTCGGAAATAAAAAAATATTTTTTTCTGTTGGTTTTTTAAAAGATGTCAAATTTTCTCAAATTACCTTTTCTCAAAAATGAATCAATTAGATTAACAAAAACCTGCTCCCAACCTTTCAAGCCCAATCATCTTCAATTCAATTTCTCTCAAAATCTTCCCAATTACGCACAAAACTTCTTCTCTGACTGAATATTTTTTTTTTTGAAATCGCGTGCAAGGTCACACATACACAGCCTCTTTGTGTTGTCGTTTTTTTCCAAAATAAATTTTTTTTTGTCTTCAATTCTTCTTGGTCGTTAACTCGAGGCTTAGGCAAGACATTTTTTGGTTGATGTAAAATGAGAAAAATGAAATAGGGACTGTCACGCCACATGGTCTAGTCTAGTGAGAATAATGTGTTAATTGGATAGTTTCGGTCGTTGACAGCTGAGACCGACGTTTTTTTTTCAACAATTCAATCTAAAAGAGAACTGAGAAATAAGAAATGACAAAAAACAATATGTACAGGGAAACAACAAATAAACAATTCTGAACATTATTTCAGCAAGAACCAAAAGACATGACTGTGGATGTTGGAGCATCAGTGCTTTTTGATTGTCGAGTTACCGGCGAGCCGCAACCGCAAATCACATGGAAACGCAAGAATAATTTGATGCCGGCAGCACGTGCCTATATCGCCAAGGATAATCGAGGTCTTCGAATTGATAAGTAAGCGATTATGACAGATTTTGGTTTTTTGTGGGTAGATTAGAATCAGTTGTGACCTTTAACACTTTTATGGATCATTTTTACACACTTGGTGTGTTTTCTATGATGAGGTCATTTGATGGAGAGGGATTTCAGAAATTGAGGGGACTTTTTTTTGAATTCTCGTTCGGTGGGGTTTGGAAATTCAGCCGATTTAGAAAAAAAAATCCAGAATTTTCGTAGGGTATCTGATATTGTCTTCAAGTTTCTCTAAATTTGTGCATGAACCGAGACTAAAAACAATTTCAGATCAATATCTCGGGAAAAAAGCAGCAAGTCTTGCTACAAAAATCGACTTTTAGCCAGCTTGCGACCATTTTTAGCAAGCTTGCTACAATTTTTATAATGGAAAAAAATGTAGCAAGCTTGCTAAAAATGGTCGCAAGCTGGCTAAAAGTCGATTTTTGTAGCAAGACTTGCTGCTTTTTTCCCGAGATTATTGTTCTGGAACCATCAAATTATTATGAACACAAATAAGGCCATTAGTTTCTTGAAAATTTGTTTTTACTATTTTTAAAACTGAACTCACGTCTACAAAATTTATGGAAAAAATGCTCCAGAATTTCCTAAATGTGGCTAGATAAATATATTTAAATGTGGTTTTCTTAATAAATAATAGAAAGACATTTGTAAGAATGTGTAAAAAATTTAAAAACAGTACTTGAAATTTTAGAATTCATAACCTTACTCACAGATTTTTTTTTCAATATTCGTAAAACATCAGGTTTCAAATTGATGATTTCAAAACTTGATAAAATATTTAAGTAGGATCAAAATTCAAAAAAAAAATAAAAATAAAAAATATGATTAAAGAACTTTAGTTTCGTATTTTCTAAAAAAAATATTAAAAAAAATACATTTCTTAGCATCTCTTTATTTCAAATTTTCCAGAGTTGTCCCTGAAGATGAAGGCGAATACATCTGCTACGCTCGCAATCCAGCTGGTCAACTCGAAGCTTCAGCTCATCTCCGAGTTCAAGCTCCACCATCATTCCAAACAAAACCAGTTGATCAATCTGTCCCAGCTGGAACTACCGCTACTTTTGAATGTGTTCTCATCGGTCAACCAAGTCCAGCATATTTTTGGAGTAAAGAAGGACAACAAGATTTGCTCTTCCCAAGTTATGTGTCAGCGGATGGTCGTACAAAAGTATCTACCAGTGGAACTTTAACAATTGAAGATGTTCGACAAGTTGATGAGGGAGCATATGTTTGTGCTGGCATGAATTCAGCTGGCTCATCTTTAAGTAAAGCAACACTCAAAGTCACCACCAAAGGTAAATTTATTTTTCATTCTTTTTTCAGTGGCTCCCATACTAAAGTTTTATATAAAAGTGCTCTCCACTCCAAAAAAAAGTTCCCAGAAATATTTTTCCTCATGGGCAAAAAACGAGGATCAGAAAGGGAATCATTTGAATTAGCATAACTCGTTTCTTTTGGTTGGTTGCTTGGAAGTTGCATGTTTTAGTTTTGTTTTTTTTTTGTCTTCTATTTGGTGAAGCCGCAAAAGAAGTCGTAGTTTAGTGTGGAGAACAACACCTGGTTTTTGGAGAGAAAAATGCACCTGCGTTTTGGTGAAATTGGTAGTTCTCTAGTAATTTTGAAATTGGAACGAGTTTATTCTTACCTAAAATTAGTATATGAAGTTTGTGATTTTCTAGAATTTTTCAAACAATTTTTAGGCTTTTTCAGAAATTTCTGAGGCTACGTTTTCTACTTTGAATTGGCCTAACTTTTTAAACTTGATAATGAAAATTGTAGTCTCCTAGGTTCAAAGAGCGTGAGAATTAGATTTTGAAAATATTGGGGTAATGCCAAAAACCTTTTTTTTGACACAGGTGCTCTCAAGATCTTGGTAATCTGAAATCCTTTTAACGAATACCAATTTTCAGTATACCTAATTTAACCAATTACAAAATGAAACATGCATTTAATTCATAAATCAATTTCAACTTATCCATCCATCCAAATTCATTTCTCAATTTCCCCATCCAATTTTTTCTTACCAAAATACAACACCGACCTTGGCTTGGCAAAAACGACATTTCAATGTCTGTATTTATATAAAATGTTCGTTTTTTTTCACCCACCCATTTATCCACCCAGAAAAAAAGGTGTCTGCCATGAAACCTTACACTTTTTATACATAAATATGAAAAAGTAAATATATATATAGGATATAAATGGATGATGGATCTTGTTTAGTGCTAATCCATTATTTCACACAACACTGATTTTTTCGCCAGCTTGTTGTTTATATTATTTATTTTTTGTCTTCTTTTTTTTTCGTTTGGTTTTAAAACGAAATTTCGTTTAGTTTAGTTTAGTTTATCCCGTCACTGAGCCCCCTCTTTTTTTTGGGAGAAAATGTATTATTTTGTGAAAATTACTAGCACCAAACAAATTACTTTTTTTTTTCGTTCAAACCCTTTTTGGTAGCTCTCTCAACTGCGAAAAAAACAAATTATTTATTATTTTTGTTTGTTTTTTTCTCGCTCCCAATTTTTCATATTTTCCTATGAACCCAAGATCATCTAGGATAATCTTTTTGTTTTTTCTTCTTCTTGACTGCTAGAACTCCACTTCTCACATTAAAATTTTAATTTTGTGCCCCCACTCAAAATGTCTTTCAAATGGGAGAATTTATTATTAATCGAAAACGATGCAGTTTTAGTTTTAGTTTTTTTTTCTTTCGTGCAATTGCAAAAAAGAAAAGGAGAAAAAATGTTTTGTGTTTTTGAGACAAAACACTGTGAGATGAGTAATGGTTTTTTTTGTTGTATAGTTTTTGTGGTAGGGTATAGAATAAGACAACTGGTAGTTCTGGCATATTTGTACTTTTTTGGCTTGTGAGTAGACGTAGAAAACTCCCAAGTTGAGCTAACATTTTCTAAATTTTCACGAAACAGAATCGTGAAAATTTCTTCAACTCACTCCAAAAACCTCTAATCTCAAAACCAGTACCATATTAATTCATAAATATTCAATTTTTCATAATAACATTAATTCACAGCCAATTAATCAACTTTTCCTTTTCCTCCTTTCAATTCGCTTTTTATTTTTTCTCACCCCACACAAGAATATGATCAATCGTAACCATCTGCGGAGATTTATTCTGTCCCACCGGAACATTTTCATTCACTTTACTCATATTTGATCCCCCATCCCATTATTCCTTTGTTTTACTCCAGCCACTATTTTTTTTTATTTTTAGCGCGCGCTCAAAATTCACTCAACCATATTCTAATAATATTCTATACCTTCTCATTAAGGTCTTATCCCCCCTCCAAATATTTTATTTTATTTTTCGATGGTGGTAGAGGATTAGAGACAACTATTACACTTTTTTTTTGAATGTGTCTGTGTGGTCTCGATTTAGTGGCTGACTGGCTGGCTGGAAAAAGCCATCTGATGTCAATAAAAATCAAATTTGATTTGATTTTCTTTCCCATTTTTTTGTTCTAAAACTACAAAAAAATATTTATACACATAATTTATTTGATGTCGGCTGTCAGTAATGTTTCAAAAACACTACTATCCAATTATTTTTTTTGCGGCTCCTCAAATTTCGTGCGCGATAATTAACGGCGGGAAATGACCTTATTGGTCAAAAATATGTGCCGCTTAGAGTTTCCTGTTTCCTGTTTTTTACTATTTTTTAATATAATTTTTTTATGAAAAAAGATATGAAACATGGCAATTTTATAGCCCTGGTTTGGTTTTTGTACACATGAATCTATTCAATTCAAAAAAAGTTGTATATTTGTTTTGTTTGGGTGTTGTTTGCCATTATGGTTTTTAGGCTTATTCATTTTTTGTTATCAAACAAAAATTATTATATTATTTTGGCTTACATACGTTTAAATTTTTTTCGTTCTGAAAAAAATCTAGAAGGATCATTTTACTGAAAGTGCCACTTGAAAAGCATCCATCTATTTCATTTTTTCTCTTTTTTTCACACGCCTTTTTGTGGCAATTTTTTAGCGGAAAATTTCCTATATTTTCTTCAAATGATCCTAGATTTGTCGTGATTTATGGCTTCCCTGTCCCTTTTTTCATTCCAAAATTTTTTTAACATACGAAAAAAATCCGTGTCCCACAATGTTTTGCGGAATAAGAAATGAGATGGGCGGAGAGTTTTGAAAAAAACGAACGAGCTTTTGTTCTTTCTTTTTTCAAGGACTGACTGATCCAAAGAAGAACATCAATTCTTTTGTTTTGTGTCCTGAAAAAACAAATAGAAAATTTGCGTCTTCCGGAAATTTTTACTTGAATAACAGATTTTTTGTTGGGCTCTTGTTGGTGTTATTTGAGATTTTGTTTATTATTTGGGACTTGTTCAAATTCAGTGCTTTTTAAGTGGAGAGTGGTTTTTTAGAGTTGAAAATAATTCCAGAAATAACCAAGATTTTCGGAATTAACTTTAATTTTTGAGTTTTTTTTTGAAGAACTTTGAAGGTCAAAATTTCATAAGAGTTCCAAACCGAAAACATTTTTTATCAAATAATGTCTCATCAACTATACTATCACAAAAAACCACTTTCAATATTAATATTATTTCTATTTTTCCCACCAAAAATCGTTTTATCACTCCGCTCCTCTCAAAAAAGAAATGAATCATCTAACATAAATTCGCAGCTCTTTTTGATATACATATATAAATGTGTAACTCAACAAAGTAGCAAATAATATGTTTTATTTCATCTTTTCTTGTTCTGCCGCTTTTCAAAATGTAACATGTTCTTTTCTATTTCTTTTATTTTTTTCATTTTTGATGTAATATCTATCCTATCTTCTGTCAAAACATATACTCATCATCAGCCATAATATTTTTGTTGTTTCTAGAGTCTTTCCTCGAAAAATGAGCAGTCAGCGAGAATAAAATCATTGCGCCTGATTGGGTTTATTATGTTTATTTTTTATTTTTTCCAGACAAGTATAGGCTTCTTGTTTACTCACTGCTCCTCACTTATCTAGTTTATTTACTTTTCACAACTATACATATTTTTATGAGAAAAATGACCACAACTTTAATGATGTTAATTCGATCCTACTTGAAAAAATATATATAAAATGTGGTTAGGTTTATATCCAAGTTACACCCTTCATTTATCTGATGACCTTTTTACATGAACTTTTACTTATTTTTTCTCTTGAACTTATTTATCCTTTTTTGTAGAAAAAACTAAAACTAAATGACATGATATTTGGCTCGGTGTTCAGTTTAACATCCGCACTGATGTGTGTGAACGGAACGGATTGTCTTTGTAAGTTTGGAGTAAACCGGGAAGATTAATCGTTTTTTAGTGGAGAGCACTCTAAAAAATAAAGGAGAACAAAAAGAAGAAAAATGAGCACACTGGGACCCCCATTGTTTTCTTGTTTATGTTTATTATCATCTTCAAAAAAATGACAATTTCCAGCTGTTACCGGAAACACGCCAGCCAAGCCACCACCAACAATTGAATATGGCCATCAAAATCAGACATTGATGGTTGGCGCGTCGGCTTTGATGCCTTGTCAAGCGTCGGGAAAACCATCGCCAAGGATTTTGTGGTTTAGAGATGGGTCGCCAATTGATACGTCGGATAGTAGGATTAGTCAACATTCAACTGGAAGTTTACATATTGCGGATTTGAAGTGAGTTTATTACTGATTGTGAGAAACTTTGGGTGCATCTCCTCCCAGATTTGAATTATTTATTTTTGAATTGATCAGAATTCTTTTCCAATACTGATCTTCTTTTTCCAGGAAAACGGATACTGGAGTTTACACCTGCTCCGCCAAAAACGATGATGGTGAATCGACGTGGTCTGCATCACTAACCGTAGAAGATCACACCAAATCCCTACCTTCCATCAGAATGCCAGACCCTTCGAACTTCCCAACTGCTCCATCTCAACCAATTATTGTGAATGTTACTGATACAGAAGTCGAACTACGATGGAATGCCCCGAGCAACACAGGAACTGGTCAAATCGCTGGATATATTATCCAGTTTTATAGTCCAGATCTTGGCCAAACTTGGTTCAATATCCCGGATTATGTTTCAACAACATCGCATAGGATCAAAGGATTGAAACCGTCACATTCTTACATGTTTTTGATCCGCGCCGAAAATGAAAAGGGAATGGGTCCGCCATCAACACCATCGGCACTTGTCACAACATCAAAATCTTCCGATTCCGCAATTTCGGAACAGAACAAAGTTGATATGTCAATCGCAATTCGTCGTCTGACATCTGAACAATTGATCAAGTTGGAAGAGGTCAAAACAATTAACTCAACCGCTGTTCGACTTTTCTGGAAACGAAAGAAGATTGAGGATTTGGTTGATGGATATTATATCAAATGGCGTGGCCCGCCACGTGCTAATGATCATCAATTTGTGAATGTGACTAGTGCTAGTACCGAAAGTTATGTTGTCGCAAATTTGATGCCATTCACCAATTATGAGTTTTTTGTTATACCATATCATTCAGCTGCTTATAGTGTGCAAGGAGCACCAAGTAACTCAATGGATGCGCTAACAGCTGAAGCTCGTAAGTTGATTTGTTGTCAAAAAATAATATTTTTCAAAAATTCTGAAATTTTCAGCACCATCCCTACCTCCACAAGATGTTCACATCCGAATGTTGAACTTGACAACACTTCGCGTCTCTTGGCGTGCGCCAAAAGCTGATGGTATCAACGGAATTTTGAAAGGCTTCCAAGTCATCATCATCGGTCAAGCGCCCGGACAAAATCGCAACATATCAACAACGGATAGAGCGGCTAGTATTACACTGTTCCACTTGGAGGCTGGCATGAAATATAAGATTCGTGTGGCGGCTAGAAGTAACGGTGGTATTGGAGTGCCTTTTTCAACCAACGAATTTATAATGAGTGAGTTTTTGAAGAAGATTTTTCCATAAAAAGAAAAATTATAAACTTTTGGAAGTTTTTAAATTATTGAACATTGAACTGGGAGACATCAACTATTTTTTGCAGATCAAGAAACATTGGAGAAACATCTCGCCGCTCAACGTGAAACCGAATCATTCTTATACGGCTTGGTGAATCGATCCAATGTCCCGCTGATTATTATAATTGCCTTAATTTTGATTCTGGTAATTGTTGTCGTCGCCTACTGTTACTGGAGAAATAGTCGACATGTGGATGGAAAAGACCGTAGCTTCATTAAAATCAACGATGGAAGTGTTCATATGACAGCCAATAATTTATGGGATGCTCCTCCGCCGCACGTTGGAAATCCAATGTATAACACAACTGGACGATTGACGTTGAATAATCGGAACGGCCAAGCATTGTACTCGTTGACTCCAAATGCACACGATTTCTATAATGCTTGCGATGATTATGGTGGAACTATGAATCGACCTGGTTCCGATCATCATTATCATTATGCTCAATTGACTGGCGGACCAGGAAATCCAATGTCAACATTTTATGGAAATCAATATCACGATGATCCATCACCATATGCCACAACCACACTAATCCTATCAAATCAGCAACCTGCGTGGCTCAACGATAAAATGCTACGAGGACCGGCAATCCCAAGTAATCCAGTACCTCCCGGTCCACCGGCGAGGTATGCCGATCATACAACTGGTCGACGATCTCGCTCGAGCAGAACATCAGACGGAAGAGCAACTCTCAACGGACCGATTCATCATACAAGCAGCAGTCAACGATCGGATAGCCCTCCTCACACTGATGTGAGCTATGTTCAGGTACATCTTAGATTTGAAGATCTAGGATGTCTTCGCCTTTTTTGGTTTGGGGCCAGAGTAATAATTTTGTATGATTTCAGCTTCACTCGACTGACGGGACTGGTGGAAGTAATCGACGAACTCCGCCCAAACAAACATTGATGGATTTTATACCGCCGCCACCAGCTAATCCACCCCCACCAGGAGGCATTTATGATGTGAGTTTTTAACTTGGAGAAGTTTAGATATCATTCAAACATATATAAAAAAAATTATGTTTTTTTTCAGTCCGCAACACGTCGCCATTTAAATCGTGGAAGTACACCACGCGAAGAAACCTACGACTCGGTTAGCGATGCCGCATTTGCAGTCAATGCTCGGCCAACAAGTCGAAATCGCAACACTGGTCTACGTCATAAATCTTCGTCGAAACGTGAAGACGATGATAGTCAACGATCCTCTTTAATGATGGATGATGAAGGTGGGTCATCTGAAGCGGATGGTGAAAATTCGGAAGGCGACGCTCCAAAACGCAAAGCTGTTCCTCGCATGGGTGTATCGGCTAGCGGGTTGTCTCATGGTTGTTGTAAGTGTTAATTCAAAATGTCTCGAGACTTTTTCAATTATCTGTTGTTTTTTTCAGATGACACGGGTCGAACACAACAAAGATTCCGATCAATGCAACGCGGTGTTCCTCAAGAGCAAAATTGAATCAATCGGTGCTCCAAATTATTTTAAACAATCAATCTGAATATACCAAATCATCAATACGAGTTTGATCATTTATGTAACTATCGATTTGCTCAAAATGATCTCTTACCTTATTCAACAAATATGTTTTTCATTGTTCTCTGTTTCCTCATTTTTTTTCCTATTTGTGATATACTTAATTGAAACACATCTGCAACAATACTCAAAAAATCATAATTTGACCCATAATTGCCACGTTTTTTTCTTGAAAATTTTATTTGTTTTTTTTCTGTATCTTTCGGTGTTTTAAGCTCATTTTGAATATTTATTGTTGTTTTTTTCTATAATAATTCCACAATATTTGTGAGCGTTTTACGGTTGTATATTTTTGTGGTCATCATGACAAAATAAACTTATTTTTTACCTGATTTCATCTGTTTTTTTTACTTCCATATTAGCAAATTTCTAAAAAAAAAAACGAATATAAGCAAACTTTCTAACTTTTAAGTTAAAACTGTTCAGAAATAGTTTTTTGAATCATGTGTTTGAAATTTTGTCATAGTCGGCCTCTTAACCCAGCTCTGGGTTCTCAAAAAGAGTTATGTTCATACGTTGGTTTAGCAAACTTCTTAGGCTGTTAGGCTAGAAACCTTCAATCAGGCAAACTTATAATTGGACTAAAAATGTGTAAAAAAAAATAAGTAGAATATGTTCTATGAGTCCAAAAATTAATTTTGAACTTACGTTGGAAAACCAATAATTATTTTGTTTGATTTCTTGAAAATGTTGCTCTAATTTTCTTTCTATTTTGCATTCTTGATTTTACGATGGAATTGTTTATGCATATTTGGCTGATTTATGGTGTATTTTCAGTATGTCTTATGTTATTTTTCATTGTAATTTTTGGGAAAAACAAAAGATTTGATAATTCATTCTATCGTATTGCACAATGCGATCAAGTTATGGTGAGTGTCTTTTTCAGATTTTTTCTTAAAATTGAGTTTTGGAGTAATTCAACGAAAGGATTGTTTTAATACAGTATCTTTAGAATAATTATGAAAAATACCAAGATAAAAGTAAAATGATCTCATGCTTGATTGGTGGTCTCCCAAAAAAACCAGATTTTTTCACAGAATCTCTGTTGTTACTTTAATTCATGGCTCCATCGTCTAGCGCAGCGCCCACAAACATCATATCTCGTTTTAAATTTATCACCCGAAATCTTTACCACAGTCTCCTATACTATGCCGTTCTTTTATCAAGCTCAAAGCACCAGTATAGTTCTGCTGTGTGTCTATCGTTACAGTCTGCTGAAATACAAAAATAGTAACACATTATGGTCAAAATGGTCAATTGTTGTCTTTTTGGGTGCGATGTGTTATTCCTTTGCTACAATTCTACCAATCTCTTCCACATTTTATCCGCTGGTTTACAATGAAACATTGGGATATTTTTTGGTTCATTCAGAATTCGCAAAAAATCGTTATAAATATGGAACGTATTTTTGTACTTATTTTTTCATTGATTTTATTGTTGTCACAATTTTGGGACTTCTTACCGTTCATAGTTTAAAGAAACGTTTTATGGAACATCAAAATGGCTCAAGAACTCGGGATATGTTGAAAAGAATTACGCTAATTGTGACAGCTAATTCAATTATTTATGTGATAATTCTACTCGCGACTGTTATTACCTCGGTTTTAATACCTGACATAGATGTGCTTTTGAAGCATGGTCTGATGATGATAGTTTTGGATATGGTAGGTATCAAAAGTGTAATTTCGAGTTTAAAAAAACGTTGAACTGATTAGTATGAATATGGTCGATCTAACAATCTTGTTAACCCCTTGTCTGGACGTTGATTTTCAGCTCAACTTCACATTGACCTACACCCTGCTGTTGTGTGATAAAAACGTCCATGAAATGATATCGATAAAAATGGCGAGAATCTACAAAAATTCGAGTAGCATTGTTGCTCCGACAATATGAAAAATGTTAAATAAAAATGTTATGATTATAGAAATGCTTGATTGAATAATTTGAAGGAACACAGCCTGACCACAGACTGCTTCAAAAACATAAAACTTCTAGGAACAGGGAACAATCGAATCCTCGATGTAATAGAAAAACTGGGAAATGTTTGACATCAAAGAAAGCTCACATCAATTATAACTAGGTTACTGTAGTTACCACTCCTTCAGCTGATCAGGAAAATCTTAAAATCTTATAATTTTTAGATAGTAGTTTTTGGTTATTGTATTTCGGTTTTTTTTTGAAATGAAATTCAAAAATTTAATCCACAAGTTATTTAGGATTACGGTATGAATTTGAGGTCGATTGGGAAACAAAAGCCTAATCTGCAAAACTTTGACATTAGGCTTGCCCAAATCTCAAAAGCTCAGGTCTAAACCTACAATTAGGCTAAACATTTGGAAAAACTGATTGTGAGAGAAACGTGTTCTCTGAATGTGAGAACAAAAATGTATTTTGAACTGAAATTTGATTATATGTATAATTATTCCGTTTGATTTTTTGAAAATGCTGCTCTAATTCTAACATAATTTTTTTCCTATTTCGCACTCTTGATTTTACGATGGAATTGTTCATGCATATTTGGCTATTTTATGGTGTATTTACAGTATGTCTTATGTTATGTTTCATTGGGATTTTTTGCAGAAACAAGAGATTTGATAATTCATTTTATCGTATCGCACAATGCGATCAAATCATGGTAAATTTTTTATCAGATTCTCTTTTTAGTATTTAAAATTTACTTTTGGAGTAGTTCTGGGATCTCTAAAAATGTTGTCCAATCTTGAAACGCTAGGTTGTTTCTTTCATTTGGATTACTGTAGAACCAAAATTTGTCACTAAAATTTACAGTCCTACAGTTATCTTTACATAACATATTCAAAACTTGATACATCAAAAAATCTAGATTTTTTTGAACTACAGTAACTCTAAATTGAAAAGTATTTAGAAAACTATTCTGTGACCTCAGTCTATTCGCATTAAAAAAATCCAGAATTTTCAACAGAATCTCTGCTGTTACATCAATTCATGGCTCCACCGTCTAGCGCAGCATCCAGAAACAGCACATCTCGTTCTAAACGTTTCACCGAAAATCTTCACCATAGTCTCCTATACTATGCCATTCTTTTTTCAAGCTCAGAGCACCAGTATAGTTTTACTGTGTTTCTATCGTTACAGCCTGCTGAAATTCGAAAATATGAAACAATTTTGGTCAAACTGGTCAACTGCTGTGTTTTTGGGCGTGATGTGTTATTCCTTCGCTACAATTTTACCAATTTCTTACACATTTTATCCGCTGGTTTACAATGAAACATTGGGGTTTTTTGTAACTCATTCGGAATTCGTGAAAATTCGTTATACATATGGAACGTATTTTTGTATTCACTGTTTCATTGTATTCATAATTGTTACAGTTCTGGGACTGCTTACCGTTCACGGTCTGAAGAAACGTTTTATGGAACATCAAAATGACTCAAGAACTCAAGATATGTTAAAAAGAATTACTATAATTGTGGCAATTAATTCATTTATTTATGTGATGTTTCTTTTCGCGAATTATATAACTTCGTATTTGATACCTGATATGGATGTAATTCTAAAGCACGGTCTGATGACAATAGTTTGTGATATAGTAGGTTTTTTAAAGGTAATAGGATTCGCAGTTAGTCTGAAACTAACCTTTGAAGTATAATTTGAAAAAAAAAATTAGCGCGGAATTTAGCAAAATTGCTCGATGGACGCTGCTGGTTTCAGCTGTTCTCACTCTACATTTTTCCAGAGTATGTTCTCTATGACCTACACCCTGCTGTTGTGCGATAAAAACGTTCATGAAATGATATCGATAAAAATGACGATAATCTACAGAAATTCGAATAGCAATGTTGCACCAATATCATAAAAATTGTTAAATAAAAACTGTTTCGCAAACTCTCTGATTATGTGATATTTGAATGAATGCTTATTTGGATACATTTAAATGAAATGAACACAATTGAAAAAAAACGTATAGGAACAGGAAATAATCAAAACCCTTGATGTAGTGTAGTAGAAAAAACTAGAAAAAATTTTGATATCAAACATTTTTAAAATACCTATAATTTGTTGAAATACCTATGATTAATTTATTATTTTAAACTCCCGCTCTAATTTTCTTCTTACATATTTTGCGTTCTTGATTTTACGATGGAATTGTTTATGCATATTTGGATGTTTTATGGTGTATTTACAGTATGTCTTATGTTATTTTTCATTATAATTTTTGGCAAAAACAAAAGATTTAATAATTCGTTTTATCGTATTGCACAATGCGATCAAATCATGGTAAGTTTTATTTTCAGATTTTTAATTGAAATCGCATTCAAAAATTCAGAATTTTTCACAGAATCTCTGCTGTTACATCAATTCATGGCTCCACCGTCTAGCACAGCACCCACAAACAGCACATCTCGTTCTAAATCTCTCACCCAAAACCTTCAATATAGTCTCTTATACAATACCATTCTTTTTTCAAGCTCAAAGCACCAGTATAGTTCTACTGTGTTTCTATCGTTACAGTTTGCTAAAATACAAAAATATTGACACATTTTGGGAAAAATGGTCTATCTTTGTGTATTTAGGTGTGTTGTGTTACTCATTCGCTACGATTCTACCAATTTCTTACACATTTTATCCTCTGGTCTACAATGCAACGTTGGGGTATTTTGTATCCCATTCAGAATTCGTAAAAAATCGTTATACATATGGAACGTATTTTTGTATTTATACAATGATTGATTTCATAGTTGTTACAGTTCTTGGACTGTTTACAGTTCACGGTCTGCAGAAGCATTTTGCGGCACATCAAAATGTCCCAAGAACTCGGGATAAATTGAAAAGAATTACGTTAATTGTGGCAATTAATTCAGTTATTTATGTGATATTCACTTGCGGAACTGTTATTATCTCAGTTTTAATACCTGATATAGATCCACTTCTGCAGACTGATTTGCTTCTGATAGTTTGGGATATGGTATGTTTTTAAGGGCGTTAATAATTCTACGTGCATTTAGAAAGACTATCTATCTTTATGATCTGTAACACTCTGTCTTTAAATTTTAAGAACGATTTCAGCTCAACTTCACAATGACCTACACCTTGCTGTTGTGCGATAAAAACGTTCATGAAATGATATCGCTAAAATTGGTGATAATCTTCAAAAAATTTAGTGGCGTTGTTGCACCGACACATGGAATTGTTTAATGAAAAGTTCAAGGGTAGCCGTTTTTTTCAAATTTTATTTATTTTAAGCTTTGTACATGTTTCTTGAGAATGTTCTGTAGATACAGAAATTCATGTTTATCTCTACATAACAATATTATCGTGTTGGTCCCTGAATCATTTTGAAAAAAAAACAAACAAAATTGTCTTTTTTGTCGTTTTGAATATCAAATTAATAAACAGTTTTTATTGGAATTCGATAAATTTTTATTTGAAAAAAAAAAACATTCAGAACAAATCGAAAAATTATTCATCGAATAGTCGACTAAAATATTATCGATTTTTTTCCTATTAATCTACTACTGTTACTTGTCTTTCCAAAACGAGCAGGTATGTATGCAGCAGGAAGGCAACAAACCCAAAAACAACGCTTGCCCACCACACTTATCAACCAAGCATATTTGACCCCTTATAGAAAATAGAGTGTGTAAAAACAAGAGGCACAGACACACAAACCCTGTGGCGGACATATACAAAAGGACGGGTGCCGTTCATTTTGTGTTTTGTCATATTATATTATTATTATTATATATTTTTTTATTGATTTTGAATTAGAATCGCATCTTTTGTATATTTTTCTGAACAATTTTTTTGAAATTGAAGATTGAGAGCCGAAAATGTTTAGAATGATTTTTTATTATTATAATTTTTTTCAGAATGTATTTCTCACAACACGAAGCAACAACTTCAAAAAATATATGGAAGTATGAAACAGAAGAAAAATCTCAAATAGAGATTGCAGAATCGAAACAAAAAGAAAGTCCACGTTCTTGGGAATCATTGCGGGATAATGGTGTTAACGAAGTGCGAATGACGTATTGGTCAAAACGGAACTATGTAATATTTTATAGAAGGGTTTTGAGTGTTTATTGAATAGTTTATGTTTTTCAGAATCTTTCTAGATATTTCCAGATACTTAAAATTTAACATTTTGAATCAAAAATGAGAATTCTTTCAGGGAGCCGTTGGAACTTGTTCAATAATAGAGGTCCATCCGGATGAAAAAGCAGATGACCACGAACCACCTCAAATTGAACTACCCAATGATGAAACAGAAGACGAAATAAAGGTGATACTCATTTTCTATTCAAAACTCTATTTGTTTTTTTTTCCAGATTAACACTCCACGACAAGATGTTATGACGATTCCTAAATTGAGCAGATATGAAGCACAAGAGGTGTATGAAAAACGAATAGCAGAAATATTTGCACCAGTGAGAACTTCTGTGAGGATTCTTCCAGTCAGGACTCCTCCAATCAAGCCTCCCAAAATCGAGAAAAAAGAGGAACATATCGATGTAACTAGTAGAGCATTGGTGAGTGTTTAGAGTGTGATGATTATGAAAAAAAAACAATTTTCAGATGAGAGTGAGAAAAAATCTACGAAATGAATCACTGCAAAGAAGATCTGTTCATCGAATTTGGTGCGCAAAACTTGACTAGTATATATTCCAAGAAATTATGTGAAAAATGCAAAAAAAAATATTTCGTCATGTTAATCAGCAGGGTTCATTCATTTCCAAAAAAGTCAAAAATTATAGAAAAAAACGTGTAATAAAATTCCCCCGTAAAACAAATAAAAATGTGAAAAATTCAAAAATGAAAAAATATTGTCTATTCTCTCTTTATTTATATTGTCACCCTTCATTGAAGTATATTGTCACCCCTCGTGTTATAAACATCGAATGTTTTCTGTCAACTTCAATTTTTAATTTTTTTTTCTCTTGTTTTGCTAATTGTATGTTGAAATATTCAATCTGTGTTTGTTTTAATAAATGATTCACAAGAAATCTGAATGGTTCTGTGCTCAAAATGTTTTTTTTGTTAATTTTACAGGCTCTCTGAGCCATATATCAAAGGTCACAGGTTAATTTTGACAGTTTTCACACATGAGGTCTTTCAGTATTTGTGCTTTTCAGCTAATTTTCAAAATTTTGTTTTCTTTTCATTTCTTTTTATATTTCTTTCTTTCCAATCCAACACATTTCTGATAATCCCTTTAACAAGTCCAATTTCAACAAGTCAGCGACCAAACACATTATTAACAAGATATTTTTCCGATATTTCGCCTCGAGAAAAAGTTGCCATAGCAACATCGAGGTTGTAATTGTGTATGTGCTTGCCGCTTGTCGACGTGGGGCTCGTGATTATTTTTTATTATTTGGTTAAAAGAATCGAAAACAAGTGAATGACGATCCCTATTGAATATGTTTCTGAAGACGATACTTTGGCCGCTGTTACGATTCAAGAGACAAGATCAGCTAGTTTGAGAACTACCAATGCGATTTTGATAGGTATGTACCAAATGTTTCTATTCCAAAAAAATTAAAATTTTCAGCGGGTCTTTTGATTGCTTCATACTTCCTCAACTTTTTATTTATAGTAGCGGTCCTTATCACGTGAGTTATCAATCATCAATTTTTTTAATTAAAATTTTTTTCATCTGTAGAAAATCATTTCGCACAACAATATATCTTATGTACTGTCAACTCACATTAATCAATATTTTTGATCTATCGTTCAACATCTTATTCGCCCTAATTTTCGTGGCCAGTGGTAATTGGAATATGAGTAATCGGATGTGCACATTTAATGTTGCGGCGCAACAGGTGTTTTTCCCACAACTACCCTTCTCATAAGCAGTAATTAATTAGTAATCCTTTTTCAGTTCATTCACCTGAATACCCTTTTTATTTTGATGTTGATTGGTGCCGAACGCGCGACTGGTTTGATTCTTGGACCTGATTACATCATACAGGGACATAAGTATTTGAGTGGGAGACGAGTTGGATTTGCCAGTTTTTTGTTGGCTGTTGTGGCGATTGTTTTTGCATCGGTGGTGTTTTCAAGCGAGATTCCAACAAAGCCATTCAGAAATCGATATATTTGCGGGATTGATGGGTAATTAAAAGGGAACAATGGATTGAGATAATGTTCACACAAAATTAAAAATTCGATAATTTAGTATTATCGTGAGATTTTTAACACAAAATCTAAATTTTCAGCGGAGGCCCAATTGGATATGTAATTGCCAGACTCATAATCTACTTTGCTTGTCTCATTATAATTCTAATTGCAATCGGCGCAATTCTCAAAAAACGCTCGGCTGCTTCAATTCCACACAATGTTCAAGAATATGGAGAATTCATCAAGAAAAATCGAGCAATGGCTGAACACAAATCTCGAGCAAAGCTGATGATTCTGATAACTTGCGTTTTTATTTTCATCGAAGGACCATACATTACTCTTTGCTTTTTCTATGAGATGTATAATAGTCGAGAACTTGTCGATGTTATGATTGATATTCCACAGGATGCAGATACCTTAATTACATGGTTGAAATTTGTTTTTCCTTTACTGTGTCCAATAATTGTGAGTTTATGATTTAGTTGAGAATAACTTTATGATTTTCTCTCAGATGCTAAGCTGGTGCAATGATGTGTGGCTGAAGGTCAAAGAAGTTACCTGCTGTAGATCCTATGATCCTCCAACTATTGGACATTATATGCCGCATTATCGTGGAAGTAAGTTATTATTAAATTACAAGATTTTGAAAGTGTCTTATGATTTCATGTTGTTTTTTTTTGCAGTTGATGTATCTCCAGTTCCAAGTGTGATGACAATTTTTGGATCAGATGAAGGTATTCGATTGAGTCAGCCATCTCAACCAACAAGATTGTTTCCAAATCCAAATTTTGCAGTGAACAATGATGAACCATCAGGTAAATATTGCAAAAATTGACACTCCAGTTGAAATTTTTTAATCATAATTCGTTTTCAGAACACATATCTGATCCACCCTCCCAACAACAAACTCCACAACCACCGGCACCTGAAAATACACAACTGCCAAAGATAATCGCAACCCTGCGAAAACGCCCAACTGAATCAAAAATCCCTAGAAGGATTTCAATTAGACCGAAAAAACCGAAATAGGAATTTTTTTCGGATTTTGATGGAAAAGTTTTGTAAAATAATAAATATGTGTATATTTTTTGAGATGAGTGCACTTGGAAGAAACTTGAAAATTCTCCACGGTTGGGAATGAGAATTAAGGATTTTTTCTCTATGCATATTCTATTTACTAGAGAATATTTAAAATTTTGTAGGTATGTGTGAATAATTTTTATTGATACAATTTTCGATTTATTCAAAACAAAAATCTTCGTTTTTTTCTGGTTTTTTTAGAAAAGTGTAATTAAATTTTTTATTGAAATATGTCAATTTTACAGAACATCTTTCCTAAAAACAACTTTCCCATGTGTTTTTTATTACTAACTTTCCCATATAATTTTAATCAAATCAAGCAATTGTAATAAAATTCGAATTAAACCTTCAAGAATCGCGACAAAAAATGATAATTATTTTGCTTTTTGCTATTTTTTCTCTATCAAACATCAGGTAACAACTGATTGGGGATATTGGATTTTGTAGTAGACCAGAATGTGTGAACAAAATGTTGTCATTTTTACATTTTATGAACAACTAAATACAGAGCGTAAAGTAATGAGTTGGCAGAATTAGATATTTTATTTCTTCGAGATTCCCATTACACTTGATCAAATTTTACCCTCAACAATTTAGGCAAACATGGTCTTATGATTACCATGATCGACGAGTTCGTCGTCTTGTCGATATTTTTGAAGACGAAGCAAAGTTATATTTAGCCAACAAAGATTGGAATTCACTTGAAGAAATGATTCGCGAAAATCTAAAGTTCAAAATGTTTGGCAAACACGGATTCGGCCGCGATAAATTTCTGGATATTTTGAAATCTGGCAGATATGAACTTTTTAATAATTATTCGATTGCTCAAGTACCGGAATTGCGTTTTGATGCTATTGATCGTTTGATTGATGTTCGTCATCTTTCAATGCAATATTTGTTGGAAAGTAAACCGAGAAGAGGAATCTATAAATTAGCAGTTTTCATTCAGCATATATAAATTTTTGGCATGTTGAGTTAATATTTTTATGAGATTGTGCAAAACATAAAATTTCCATTATTCAAACTTCGATGTAGCTTCAAAAAGGGGTGCTTTGAAACCTAAAAATTCAACAACTGGAACACTTTTTTAAAAAATAATTGTAGTCACTAGATTATTTTTTTATAAAAGTGATCATACAAAAAATACTTTAAGGTAATTCTCAATCTCATTTACTCTCTTTTTTTGATGTTGAAAATCATGTGTTTTCTATGTAATCTCAAGCCGTTTGAAAAATATTTTCGAAAACCGCAGTGCAAGAGTCTTTTCCTCATCTGATTGAACTTTTTGGAAAGTTATAGCAGTTTTGAATTCCCTGAAAACTGGGAATTTTCTTTAGTCGGAATATCGCATATCAAAAATCAGGAAGCATAATATTTGTCAAAAATGATTAAAAATATCACTATTTTCACATACATTCCAGAAAAAAGCAGAATTTATTGGTTCAACTTTGTGATCTATGTGTTATCATATGTAATGAGATGTTGCAATAAAAATTCTAGAATATTGATCATGTCATTTTTTTAAAGTAGGATCGTTCTTTGAGTGACATCTCAAAACATTTTGAATAATTTTCATCATGTTTCTCTTAACTATTCGAACCCCGCAAAATTTAATATTATGAAAATTAAAAAAAATGCATGCTCTCCCAAGTTTTCTAATTAGTCGAACTCCTTTGAGAAATATTCTATATATATATTTTTTTCATTTTTTATATAAAAAATACAGCTATCTAAAATGATGTCAGTTCTTTTTTTCTTTCTCAAGTATCATATTTCATTCATTCAAATTATATTGGTTTTTTGGTTTACTTACCGTGTTTTTGTTCAAGGAAAAAATCATTTATTGCGATAATCCTTCATTTTTTAGCATATATGCTAAATAAATCACTTTACGAAATTCAATTTCAGCATTTCCTCGCCTCGAATCGGCGCCGCCGGCGACAGAAGTAAGAATAAAAAAAACTTTTTCAATTTCCTTTTTTCAAGTGAAGTATGTGCGTGTGAAAAGAACTAACATTCAGCAAAGAAACATGTGTGAATCTATAAATACACACATTTTCCAATTATAGTTTGACTAACTAACCCGGGTGTCAAAAGCAGTTTGAGAAGAGAGAAAAGTGCAATCGACTTTTCTTTTGCTCCACTATTTTTTTTGTGCTTGCTTGAGAAATTCAAGCTGAAAAATGAAGCCACTTTGTTTATGTTTTTTTCTTTTTTTCTGTGTGTGTTCATACCAATTATTTATATATTATTTCTTTCAAGATTTTTAGTTTTGTTTGTTTATTCAGCTTGAAAAAAAACGAAATTGAATCTTGAGGTGTTTATGTAGAAAACTCGACTAAATGAGAATTTTTTTCATTTTGAAATCTGTTTATTTATGGTGGAGTTTGTCATGGGATATTTTGTTGATTTTTGATGTACTGCAAGCTACAGTAGTCTGGATTCTATTTTCTGAAATTTTCGAAGACCCGAAAATAATTTTGATTTCTTCAGGGAATTTTCAGAACTTTACTCTTCAGGTGTATAAATATTGTTGGTAAAAATAATTGTTGTTCAAAAATCTACAAAAAAAATATTTTCTTCTATTCATAAAAGTTTTTGAAATATCTTTTTAAAGTTACAGTAATCTTGTCTGAAAAATGTTCATAGCTATTAATTTCAATTGGATATCTTTTCAAAACTGGCTAGAGTGACCCAGATTCAAAGCGCAAGCTTCAAGAGTACTCTAGAGTATAGGCTTAAAATTGTCAAGAATTATTATTCCTAATTCGCAACAAAATTTATTTTGAGTGATAATTTAACCCTGATCTCTATTCTAAAAAATAATTTCCGATTTCTATTTCGAGTATTTTCCCATCGCAACATTTTGTTACGTGTATGTCATTCTCAGCATCACATCTATTTATATCCATCTACTTCCAAAAAAAACGCTACTTTTTTCCTTTTCATCGGATCAAAATTTCCAGAGTGCGTTAATGAATAATTTAGGCATATCGCACATTCATTCACGTCACTACTACCAAACCTTATTTTCATTTTCATTTTACTTTTTTTTGAAAAAAAATATGAGAACATTGAACTCTTCTTTTATTCCTTTTTTTTGTTAGGTGAACAACAAAACCCAACATCTGCAAAGCAACAAAATTTCAACCGGAAGTTCAACGCATTTATGTATAAAATATTTATTAATGATTTTGTCCTTTTCGAGAAATTCGGAATACCAAATTTTCTGATGACTAGGGAAGAAATAAAAAAACCTGGAAAAAAGTATACATATCCAAGTAACCCTGGTGCAATTGAGACCAATCTCCGGATGCCTATTAAATACCACATAGATTTGAAATGCTATTTCTTTTCATTTGGAACCATTTATATTCATTTTTTCATATTTATGTCGGTTACCATATCAACTTTATTATTTTTTTCTTTTTCATTTTTTTGAAAAATACTTTAACGTCACTGGAAAAGTTTAGTTTCCGGTGAACTTTACATTGGTTTTTTTTTCCAATTTTCTTCCGAAAAAAAGTTTTTGCGCGAAAGAAAATATCAGTTACAAGAAGTCTAGACAGATGTTTGTGAAACATGAAAATCGCTTTCTCTCACGCCATTCTGAGTTCAGCTGTTTGATAAATTTTGTTTTTCGTGTGAATTTATTTTTTCTGGATCTTGGAAAAACGGACGTTTTTTTTGTCAAGAGAAAACGAAAAATTCGAATTTGAATTTCAGAGATTGAGTTTTTATGGGTTTTTTCGTGGCATCGGCAGAGAGGCATTGATTTTGTCCGTGCCATTTTTTCAGCGTAGAATAATGGGTTTTATGGGAAAAACGTTTTTTTCTGAAACTTTTCGGAGAAGAAAAGTTTCAGAAAAGTTATTTTTCGATCTTCAAAGCTCAAACATCTCAATCTTGCATGTTAATGCATTTATAAACGTCTATGACAAACTCTGACTATGATAAAATGTTCTTATCAGCATAGACCATCAATTTTCGCATTCCCCCTCCAAAAAGGCACAACAAAAACTTTGTCTTCATCATCACCGAGCCCTCTCTCTTCTTTTTTCTTGAAAAAAAACGAGCAAACTTGTGTGCCCTTTTGCACAAAATGATCATTTATTGGAGTGCTCATTAGGACATCTTCTTAGCTTTCTTACATACAGCAAAAAATGTCTCATATAAGCAAAAAACGACTCTCGATTTTTTTTTGCTTTTCCATTATCCTCAATTTCATTTTCAACTTTTTTTTTGTTGTTGTTGCCTCTTCTCTTTTATTCAGATTTTCCCTGCCTTTCTGCATGTATTTCAAAAAAATGCCTTTCTTGTTCAGCTTTAAATAAATGAAAAAAGAAGAAGAAAAAGGGGAGAAGATTTAATTGAATTTCGAGACGAAATCATTTCAGCACTTAAAAAATTGGTGGCCGTGGCGGCCCGCCTTCTTCGTCATCTCTTCTTCTATTTATTCACTCATTTAGCATTCTTTGTTTTGTTTTGTTTTTTTTTCTTATGTTATGTTATGTAGCTTTGGTTTTTTCCGTCTTCTTATTTTTGGGCTGTCAAGACAAAGATGAATATGACATTTTTACAGATTGGGATAGAAAATTATCTGAAAAAAGAAAAAAGAGAAAATGGCAGAGTACAAACTTGTTTATTTCAATATGATGGGTCGTGCTGAACCTGCTAGATTGATTTTCGCTTATGCTGGTGTCAATTTTACAGATGAACGGATTGAAAAATCGGAATGGCCAGCTTTGAAGTCCAGTGAGTTTTTTTCGAAGAGTATTTTCAAAATTTAGAATTTCTTTTATATTTATAGCAATCATTTTCGAATAAAAAAAATAGGTTTTTAAGAAATTCGAGACTACCGTAGTTAATCTGACGTCATTAACTAAAACCTTGACGTAAATACTTTTTGAAAACGTTAATCAAACTTTTAATTAAAAATCCTCAAGCCTTGATTCTGATGAAAATTTTTATTTCAATCATGAGTAATCCGTTTTTTTCCCAACAAACCCAAAAGTGATATTATCCCAAACACGGAACTCAAAAAATTCTTGGAAATATTTTGAATGCCTAAAAATAAATCGGATTACGCTCTTACGAACCTTTCTTATCAAAAATATACTAAACTAATTACCCACCAAAAATCAGTAAATTTATCATGAAACAATTTTCCAGCCACACCACATGGACAATTACCGGTTCTACACGTGGATGGAAAACAACTAGCGCAAAGTCGAGTCATCGAACGGTTCTTGGCCAAAAAACTAGGTAAGTTTTGATGAATGTTGTTATTTCAAAATTCTTGAAGAGCGTGCCCCTTAAAAAAAAGAGAACACTGATTCTCTTTCTTGTTGGAAAGTGCAAGTGTACAAAACACAAATTCAATTTATGTCACAAAAAAGAACACCCAGAAGACTTTTTTGCACAACATACATAGAAAATGCATTTGATGAGTGAGTCGCACTAATTTGCTCTTTTTTGTACTTTCTCTTAAAATGTTTTTTTTCAAGTTCACATCCAGAACCAAAATCAATTAGAACTAAAAAAACATGGTACTTCACAGTAATTATGGTTAATTAATTAGACATTGAACAGTGAAATGAGAAAAAAAGAGTATTGGTTTTTTGTTCAGGATTGTCTGGAGATAATGAATGGGAGACGGCAAAGATGGATGAGTTGGTGGCGTGTGTTGAGGATTTCTTGATTCAAATTGCACCATGGTTCAAAGAACAAGAACAGGCTAAAAAGGTTTGTTTGAAATTTTCAGAAAGAATTGGGAGGCTTGATTATTAGAAATCTATAACGTTTTAAAAAGTTGTATCATTTTTCTAATTTTCAAAATTGAAAATAGCAAATTTTTATTTTATGATCTAGTTATTTTATTCATTAGTCCAGTGTATTTTTTCAAGGTCTGAAAAGTCCGAAAACGTCATAACGCTTTTTACGGTTGAAAAATAATCGGGGTGTTTTCTTTTTTGGTTAATCCTGTTTTGGCCAAAATATGACTTTTTTCAAAACAAAAATCAAGGAGGAAAAATGGGTTCATACAACTTGAATTTCAATATTTCCCCGTGTCGGAGAATCTGAATTTCAGAAACTGAATATGATTATAGAAATCTTGATTTTGAAAACGTTCTTAAATTTGCAGGTCGAGATTTTCCGAAGTTTGATTGACACAACTATCATTCCATTTATCTCAGCTTTTGAGAATCTTCTCATCTCAAATGGCACCGGATATTTCGTCGGCGACAAAATCTCGTACGCAGATCTTGCAATTTTCCACATTTTCTGGTTCATGAATACCAAAATTCTACCGGGTTCACTTCGCAAATATCCGAAATTGCTCGAATTCGTCGACAAAATTGCGAACATTGACAATATCAAAAAATGGATTGCGCAACGTCCAAAAACCGAGGCTTAAATGACTGAAAGAAATCGATTCTTGATGTTATTCTATGAATAAATAATTTGATTTGAAAAATATTTATTCTTTATTATAACATTCATATAATATATAATCAAATAATAAAATATATCGTAAAAAATTGAAAAAAGAAGACGAAGACATTTTCATCAGTTAGATTTTTGTAATAATAGAAAAATAGAAGAAAATATCACAAAAATGTCACAAGTGAGTTTGATTTGGAAGGGTTAGAACAAGAAAAAAGACAAAATTTTTGCGTATCATTGGCAGTATAACTCAACTCAACTTATTAGAGTAATTAAGAAAAACAAATGAGCAAAAATTACAAAAATTACAAGAAGCATCAATAAGATATTGAAAAATCGTGGAGAGTCATGAAGTACAGAGAACAATAAAATTCACGAAGAACAGGGGTGTAAAGCAAATGACAACATATCGGATGTTTAAATTTTGAATCTGGGAGGGTATACAATCACAACTCTAGAAATAATAATAATAATAATGATCCAATAACTATTTAATGTCTAGCAACCCAAATTGGTGATTGTGATTCTTTGGAAATCAATTGATATACTCGGTTGAGCACTTCGTTTGCTGATTGAGCATTCGAGATTTCATCTGAACAAAAATATCGGTTTAGTGTGATTTGGATATTAAAAGATCTAAGAATATTGAAATTCAAAAAAACATACGTGTGAAAAGATCTCCGAAAGTTTGCTCAATTCGCTGACATCGTTGATATTGTGCACTTGCTTCTTCTTCGCTCAATGGTCGATCGTCGTGGGTGGGTCGGGAAGCAGCCATTTGTCGGTCAAGGTCGCTGGAAAAAATTCATTTTAAATTTTAGATACAACACATCTGTTTAAAAATAAAAATATTTCATCATTTCAAAGCTTCTCATATTAAAAAGACCATCCTAGCCACAAAAAAACCCCTTTTCTACTCACATAATTTGATGTGGTGATGATGGTTTAATGAAAATGGAAATTGGTTGAATATTGGCTACACTTTGCAATCGACGAATAGCATTTCCGCTAACATCCAAAATACAGTGTCTTCCTTGATTGGCAACTTCGCGAACACTTTGAATGCTTGTTCCATACAAATTATTCTGGAATTGCCCAGCTTCAATGAACAGGTTATTTTTAACATCATCCTCCATTTTGTGTTTGTTGACAAAGTGATAATCTCTTCCATCAACTTCGTTTTCTCGTGGTGGTCGGGAAGTGTCTGAAATTTTGTTATTTGTAAAAACCATATTTAAAAAAAGTAATAAATTTAGTGAAAAAAAACTAACGTGGTACACAACTGCTGAATCGGTTTGGATCTCTTGATACAAGTTCATCATTGATTCTATCCTTCAAAGCTCCAAGAATAATAACTGGTCGAACATAATTGATTTGTTGTTGATCAACAGTTTGATATGAGAATACAGGTTCTTCAGAAATATTGGCTTGTTCTTCAGCAAGATCGTTCAATCGATCGGTACTCTTGACGAATGGGAATTTTCTCGAGAACGATAATTGACTTCGACTTCCACGGCGGTGTTCAAGTCCGGTAGTTGAGGAGTTTCTTCCGAGGGATTGTGATCCGGCATTGAAGTTGACTTGCTTGCGTCGTAATCGTTCACGTTTCTCAACACGTTTCTTTGAAGGAATCACACCATCTGCACTTTCTTCACCATTTTCATTAACTCTTCTAGCTGTCCACCATTCATCATCTGTCGAATTGATAATATGAAGAACATCTCCATAGTTAAATCCCATTGATCTGTGTGGTGGAACCGAATTTTCTCTAGTTGGATCATAATCAAACAAAGCTCGCACATAATGCTCTTTTCGTTGAAGAGTTCCCATTCTGCTTTGAGCAATCACATCATTTCTCAAACGCTCAATCTTTGATTCGAAAATTTGATAATCTTGTGGTCTGTATTGAAGAACAAGTTTAACTGGGTTTTGAACATTTCTCAATGCTTCAGCTGCTTCTTTATGAGTGGCCCCTCTCAAGTTGATTCCATTGACTTCCAATAAAACATCTCCAGTTTTAACATTGCCGCTAAGATCAGCAACTCCGCCTGGTAGAACAAAACTGATGTAAATTGGCTCATTATCTTCACCTCCAACAATGTTGAATCCAAGACCCTTAAATCATAAAATTGCCAACGTCCAAAACGCATTGTTTTAGTTCAAAAATATGTATGAAAATTGTACAATGAAAAATTGAACTTACATTTTGCCCTTTGTAAAGTCCAACAGGTCTAGGTTCAAGTGGAATAGCAACTGGTGCTTGCGAATAACTTTGATTCAATTGTGGTTGACCATAAGACAAATGAGATTGCGAATCATAAGATCTATTAAAATCTTGAACTGAGCTTGCTGAAAAAAATTTCCCCAATTATTTTCATTTACCTTAATTTCACTCACGTCTCATTATTGGTGTTGTTGGTACAAATTGTTGGCTAGCTGAATCATTGAAAGCTGGTCCATTTCCTTTTTGCACCAAAAGACGGACACGGTTTCCAGTATTTTTCAACACTTCTACAGCATGTTCGTGAGTTACATTAACAAGTGGGATGTTGTCAACTTCCAAAATCTTGTCACCAACTCTAAGCCTTCCGTCAATATCAGCAGCTCCTTCATCAATAATGTTTGTTACATAAATATCAGTATCTCCAGGAACATTTTCATTTCCAACTCCTCCAGCAATCGAGAATCCCAAACCTTTTGTTCCCTGAAAAAAAAACCATTATTATATTTAGGTTTACGCAAACAAACAAAACAACAAACCTTGTACAATTCGAGGAATGTGGTATTTGGTCGATTTGATCGGTATTGCATTGATGACAATTGACTCAACGAACCGTGATGAACAGGTGGCGGCGGTGGCGGATGAAGAGGAGCTAACGGTGAATGAGCGGCAGCGTGTGTGAGATTACCGGCGCTTAATGAGGGTGTCAATCCGTTGCGAAGATGGCTGTTTGAACCGCCGAAATTTGCAAGTGGAAGTGGAGTGGTAGCTGCATTTTCATCGCGGCGACGTTTCAAGGTCTGAAAATAATCGTTATACTAGGCTAGAGGGTAGGGATTATTAATTTTTCCTAATCTATTGTTGTGACTTAATTATGATCTTTTGATATTCTGATCTTATGATCTACCTCTGAAGAAAGAGTCCCAAATTGAAGCATTTCTTAATCTTTAGTCAGTTCATATTCCCTGTGTTTCATTTTTCCAATAACTCACCAATGAAACAACATTTCCAGCATTTTTCAACGCATTAACTGCAACTTCATGTTTAACTCCCTCACAATTTGTTCCATTCACACTAACAATAATATCATTTTTCTTCATTCTTCCATCGGCCAACGCAGCCCCTCCCTCAATTATATTGGTCACATAAATAGCAGTGTCACCATCTTCAGTCGGCTGGTCAGTTCCTGGAAAAATCATCTCATATGTATATATCAGATAAGATGAAAAATAGATAAGCCCCACCAATTATTACCTAACCACCCCTAAAAAGAAATTAATGTGGAAAAAATTACGCACCTCCAGTGATTGAGAATCCAAGGCCAGTGTGACCTTTCTCAAGGATAACATTTTCGAGTTCCCATTTTCTGCCATACTCATCGATAACACCAGTGTGTTCAACGGTTCGACGTTGCACACCGCTTGGCGTATCGACCATTCGGGTGGTTACTTCTTTCCAAGTTCCATCGTGACTAGTTTGTCGCGATCTTTCGTGTAAAAGATGTGATGTAGTAGAGTTGGCGAATGGTGAACTTCCGTTGTTCAAACCATGCCCATCCAAGTAGGAAAATCCTCGATCTCTTATCGATGACTGCAAAAAACGGAAACTGTTTATCATCATAATAATAATAAAAACTATGCTTACGTGAAGATCTGAGTTCAATGGAGTTGAAGAAATATTATTATTACTAGTTATATAGTTCAAATTTGATGTAGTTGTTCTGTTCAGCAGTGGATTGCTCTCCAAACGATCAACCATTCGTTTTACATCGTTGATTTTTTGTTGATACGAACGGTTACTCATTAATGTGCCCTCGTATAATTCATGCAAGTCTGAAAACACAAAATTTGTTTGAAAAGACTTTCTAAAAGTTATGAAAATTTATAAAAACTAACCGAGAAGTGTTGAAAAAAGACTCGATTTGAATGTGGTTATCAATTTTTCACAAGCATTGCGTAGTTCTTCATCGTGTCGTGTCAATTTGGAATAGTATTCTTCGATGTGTTCTAACGCACGATGCGCCGCTTCTGCAAAAAATGGTTTCTATTTGATAAAAAAAGTAAAATTATTTTATTGTTTCATTTTTAATAATTTCTCGGGAAAATATTCGCATCCTTGGTGCTAAATTGCGACTTGGTAGCTCATAAGTGTGACATATACAAACGTTAACTTCAAAAACTTCTAACTGTATAATTTTATCGAATTTCAGGTTGGTATTATAAAATCAAAGTTTGAATTTTGTTCCAAAAAAAAATGAATGTATTATTTTTTAGGTCCTCTAGATTTTTCAAACGTTAACTTCAAAAACTTCTAACCGTTTGACTTATTATTGACACTCCCTAACATTTTATGTCTTTAATGCTGAAGTGTTGCAATCTCATAAACATTTGTTGTGCTCTTGATGTTTGTATAGATCAAAAAATGACAACTCGCCTTGGCAACTCGCCAAACCCCTCAAAAACTATATTTCCTTTCCCATCTCTCCTAAATATTTCCGATTTTCTTGCCGCCAATGCCCTTTAACAAACGCGCAAAATATACATGTTTGTATGTATTTATGTGTGTGGACAACACAACGCATGCATGACTCATTTCGATTCAATATTTTATTTTTCGCGATCAAGAGTGACTCTTCTTTTCTTCTTATTCTCATTCGACCTGCCTGTCCTCTATACAAACAAAATGTTTGCACATTTTTTCGGCGAACCGGCCATAAAAATTGTAAAACACAACACAAAAACTCACCGTTCTGTTCTTGTGTCATTTTGCTGTTCTGGGGATGACACCAAAATCACTCCAATTTGCTCGATGTTTTCGATATCGCTGGAAAAAATAAATATGTATGAATATTAATACCAAAAAGAAAAAAAAATAAGAAAAAAAGGAAAAAGAAAAAAGTAGATCAAATTTCATATGAGAAAAATGGAGGGGACCCTAAAGAAGATTAAATCTTCTTAGGCGAAGAAGATCTACGTAGATATAGGAAAAATGAGAGAGAACATAAACAACAAGGACGTTTCGGACACATACTATTGTACAATATTTTCTACGGGAAGAAACTTGGGAGAAAAAAAGGAAAACAAAAGATGAGTCATGAAAAATGTATAGTAAAATTGTGTTGATGATTACGGTAGTTTTTATGCTAACACATAACAAATAGAATGAAAATGTACAAGAAATCGATGCGAAAATCGAGCTGTATACAAATGGTCATAAAAATTCCTCGCCGTCTTTTCTTCTTCTTCTTCTTTCCCTTCTTATTCCTTTCCCTCCAATGATAATAGTTTCTCAAACAAATATTATCATGACAAATAAATAGAAGACCAAGAAGGAAAAAATTCCATCGTCGTCATATTAATATTAATAATAATAAAAACGAAAATAAAATTTTCATATAGATGAATATGATGAGTCAACCAATAAATACACAGCGGGAAACTTTTTTTTCTCTGGGTGGAAAAGCAGTCGGCAAAAAATTGGCTATTTGCTACACAACAATAACCGAAAAAAAGTGAATTTGCCGCGCGAGAACCGGACGGACCGGCGGTCACCTCTTATCTTTTTGAGTTTCAACATGTAAACATCAAATTTTTTGTTGGCATGGTTGGAGAAAAGGACAAATAATGTGAGAGTGCCAAAAAAATTGAGCATATGATTGAGAAGGGAAAAAGGGGGAGGGGGAGCATCAATGAAACAGTTAGCTGTCGGAATTTTGTAGTATTTAGGAAGAGAGTGTTTGAGAAAAGAGCATAATTTTTACAAGCAAGATAGTCTGAAAAAATTAGAAAAAATTTGTTTCGAACAAATAAATCAACGGTCTTGAACAAGAAACATTTTGAAAAATTATTTTCTTATTTTTTCAAACTTTTGAAACTTTGCAAACAATAATTCAGATTTGTAGAATTTCACCAGATCCAATTTTAAAAAATTCAATTCTAATAAAATGAACCCAAACAATAAGTACAATATTTTTTCATGGAAAAAAACCCCAAACGTCTGATAAAAATTCGAACAGTAGCTAATCACAACAAAACTGTCAAAACCAACGTATTCGTAAATCAAAAAAATATGCAATTCGCTCATCAAGCACAAAAATAAATTTTCCCGATAATCGTTATCACCGCTAACAACTATTGGTATTTATTTTTAGACAAGAATTGAGAAAAGCGTGATTTTTTCGCGTTGATAAAACAATGCTAAATATTAAAAACCCCATAAAATCTTATTTTTATCATAGGTGGTGGTCAACAAGAGAGACACAGCAAGAATGAAAATAGTTGGGGTTGGCATGATTAGAAAACGCAAAATCGAAAATGTAAACATACAAAAGAAAAACGAAGAGTGGAGAAAAAAGAGAGGATTATATCTCGCCCTAGAAAAAGTTCGGGCTTCTTTTTCGTTAACACAACAACAAATAAAAAAATGAGCAAAAGCAAAATTGAACATTATTGAAACATAGAAAAATATGAGGAAAAAACTGCTCTCGGCTTTTTCTCGCATCAGAGCACTTGCTATCAGATATATCACTAATCAATTATTGTTCGTCTTTTTCTCTTTGTTTTATTTTTTTAACACGAGAATTTTTTAGAAATAAAATAAGAGGAGAACATCAATAAATCTATCTAGAACTGGTTTTGTTGAAGGAATTTTTCATCAATGTAAACTTGTTATGTTTTATTTTATAAAACAAAAATAACGTATACGTTTCATTTCATTTCCGAACGAAAATAAAGGAAAGAAGAAAAGAATGAGTCATTTATTTGCATATTGAAAATTGTTATGAATAATCGTTTTTTGCTACAATTGGATGATTTTTTGTGTAGTTTTGTATAGTTTGAGAAAATTGGCTTGTATTTTGTATTAATGTTGGAAAAGATGTCTGAGGAAATGAGTCAGTATTTGTTTTTTGCAGAAAGATGAAAGGGAATAAGCAAGAGAGAAAAGAATATTGGTAAACTGATGTTGGAATGTTTAATGTAAGGTTCAAGGAAACAAGTTGAAACAATCCGAAGTATTTGTCAGCTGAGAGAGATTTTTAAAGTGTCGTAATCTTTAGTAAACTTTTGAGATTTTTATCAGAATTTAGTAACTTCAGAAGTTATAATTCTTAACTGATTACCGGTGATCTACGTTATTTCGGGGCATCAAATTTCTGGCAGGGAGTTTTTCCAAAGCTGAATTTATACACTTTTATAAGAAATCGTAATGATGGAATAATCAATCATTAAAAATTATTGAGTCCAAAACTCGATGACGGGGTAACCATCCCAGAAGTACGTTTCAAAATGAATATCTACTATGAACTATTCAATTTAAATTTTTCAGTCTAAAAAATTTCACACAGGAAGTAAAGTTTCAAGAAATTCCAAATCCCCACCAGAAAAAAATTGAAAACCAAAAAAAACTTTGCCGGATTATGTTACAAAATATTTTCCAAGGATTACGAAAAATTCTCAAGAGTTGTGAGAAAACCCGGAAATCACAAAAACTGCCAAAAAAAGAAACAAAACCGGAAATCACGCATGAAAAAAAGGAATGGATAGGTAGGCTGTCATAAAAATAAGGGTTAATCCTCGAGGTAAAGGTCATTAGGAAAAAAGAAAAGAACAGAGGATTGACAAAAAAGGACACCAAAGCGAAGAGGGAGGGCAGGTAGGAAAAACAGTGTGACCCCTCATCGCGCGGTCTACCTCATCAAACTGTTCGAATATTGAAATAACAGGTAATTTGAGGAGATTTAGAGACACAATGTGGGACGCCTTGGAGACAACAAACACACAACACAACACTCTACCTGTCCGGCCCCCTCCCAACACGAAAAACTCTTTTTCTCTTCCCGTTTTCTTCCTCATCCTCTTTCCCTTTCCCTTAATACCTTTTAGTTTTGCACCAACCACCAACCACCCAATGTTATCTTGCGCGACCTTGCACTGACCTTGGAATGAACACCGTTCCTCCTTTTCTCTTTTATTTTGAGGGGGAGGTAAATTGAGGAGAGTTAGAGAAAGTGATGGTTACCTTTTTGATTCTGCGGTTTTTGGGGGGGTCAAGTGACTTTGACATATAAGAAAAAAATAGAAAGAATGTTTTGGATTAGATTATGAGACTTTGTTTGTTGAGAAAAACGGTTTTATCGCTTTTTTATTGCCAATAACATTTGTGGTTGGTTTTTCATAGAAAATGTCATAGAATTCAAGGTTTGAAAAAAACATAGAATACATAAGATTGGTAAACAATCTGGAACAATTGAACTTTTTTAGGAACGGAAAGATATCTAGAAAATTTTTAAAAAGTGTATCGGAAAAACCAAAGAGAAATATAAATATCAAAATTTTCATCGTGAAATTCAGAATTTTGGGAAATAACAATCACGCTTAAAATTTTTTGAACTGTAAGTAGAATTCTGTCAGAGTTTCAAAAAAAAGTTCAAAAAATGTTGTCAATACTTGCTTGTCAATACTTGTATTCAAAAAAATCTACAAGAAAGTAATTACAAAATTTGACACAAGAGTTCAAACCAAACCCACCAGAGTTCTACTTGTTCAAAATGGTCAAATTCTGATCTATCAAAAAACTCTCACAAAGCAGACTTCTTGAAAACATCTCGAAGGTGTGTTTTTTCAGAAAGTAATATCAGAATTGTGGTGTGCTATACAGCTACATTTTTGAGAGAAAAAAACCTATCCAACTAACTATACTATCTACAAAATCCAAACAAAAAAGTTTGATAAATCAAAGAAAAAATCACCAAATAAAACAAGAAAATCGGGGTCAAGTGACGCATCTTTTCTTTTCAAAAACCTTTTTTTTTGTTTTAAAACAAAATAAAACGCGATTTTGTTCTGTCTCTCACTCTTCTAGTGGCTTCTAAAACAAATAATAAGTAGTAGTTAGTTAGGTAGAAAAATAGAAAAAAGATGCAAACGGAAGAAAGACAATAGCCAAATAAATAGTAAATATAATATCTAGCCAAGAAGCGTGAAAATGTCTCCGGTTTTATTCAAATATAGTCATTACTTTATTCAAAAACTGCTAAACGGTACACAATAATATATTATATATAATTAATAAAATCTCAAAACAAGTGAAAAAAAATTAAAAAATAAGTGAATTACTGCATTCCACCAGTTGATTCCAAAATAACTCGACCTCTCGCATCAACTTTGACAACTTTTGGAGTTCCAGGTTCATAACTTGGTTGAACTCCACGTTTTGGTGCCTTCCATGGTCCGGTTCTTGGGACCATTTGAATACATTCAGGGATTGGGCAAACACTGTAGCACAATGTGCAACCAGTACAATCATCTTCTGTGACGTGAGGTTGATGGGTGACGGCATCGAATGTGATGGCTTGGTAACCAGAATCATTGCAAGTCATATAACATTTACCACAGTTGATACACATATCCTGCAGAAATATGAAGTTGAATTTTAAATGTTAAGTTGAGAAATAGAACTGGTCATCAGATACATTTTTTTATCCCAATTTTATTTAGTTTTATTTTTCTTTGAAATTTAGAATTGCAAGATAGTTCCAAAATGTATAAAAAAAACTCACATCATCAATTACGGCAACCTTCTGAAGTTTATTATCAAGTGTAACATATGGTCCAATTCTAGGCAATGCTTTTCCAATAACATCCTCAACAGTAGGAACTTTGCTAACTTGAAGATCAGGTCTTGAAGCAAAATGATAATCTGACACAGTATTAGAAGTTGGTTGTTGCAATTTCTCACTTTCCAATTTCTCTCGATCCTCTCTATATTTTCCGAAGAATGGTTTTCCTTTCAAGCCTTGTACGAGAACAGGTTTTCCTTTTTGATGTTTTTCAATCGGCGGTGATTGTCCATCCCATTCAGCAAGGGATTGAGCTCCAGAAAGGTAAAGAAGAGCTCGGAGTCCAGTGCAATAATCTTCAACAACAGTGAAATCTTGATTTTGGACAGCTGAACAAACTTGAAGAACAGAAGCACCAGCCATAAGGAAGCCAAGACCAGTTTCAGCGCTTTCAATACCACCAGTAGCCATAATTGGAAAACCGTCGAGTTCATTTGCAATTGAGGAAACTGCTTTCATTGCAATTGGACGGATAGCAGATCCAGACATTCCTCCATAAGTTGTTCTTTTATGAATTCCAACTGCTGGCCAGGATGTTCCATCAGCTTTCATATGCATCAAAGTTGAGACGGTGTTAGTGGCAGTAACACCCCAGGCTCCACCATCACGAGCAGCTCTAGCAATTTCACGAACATCAGTGATATTTGGTGTCATTTTTGGGAAGAATGGAATCTGGAACAAATATTTTAAAGTGAGTGAGTTTTGCTAACTCTCAACTCACCTTAACACATTCTCTAACCCATTTACAAATCTCTGTCACAATTGTTGGTGATTGTCCACAAGCCAAACCCATTCCTTTTTCTCCCATTCCGTGTGGACACGATAAATTGAGTTCCAAAATATCAGCTCCAGCAGCTTCACTCTTCTGAGCAAGTTCGACCCAGTCTTCTTTTGTATATGTACACATAATTGAAGCAACGATGATTTTAGTTGGATGATCTCGCTTCAATTCTTTGATACATTGAAGCCAATAAGCTGCAGATTTCTCCGAAATCAATTCAATATTCATGAATGATGTTTGATTTGGTCCATAGAGCGGTCCACTGGTAGAACCGCGAACAATTCTTGGCGAAACATTTGTCACCAAATCTTTATCCAATCCAAAAGTCTTGGTCAAAATGAAACCCCATCCTTGTTCAAAAGCGCGTCTACACATTGGTCCAGATGTTGTCGGTGGCGCAGACGCTAATCCAAATGGATTTTCAAATTTCACACCACACATCTCAACAGAAATGTCGACTTCATCAATTGGAGTGTAGAATTTTGGAAGTTGTGGAGTATCACTAACTTTGTTTCCGTGGAGTGATTGAAGATATTTATGGATTCCCCAAGCAGCAATTTTTCCATCGTTGACTGATTCAACGGTTGTTTCAGCAACACCAGCAACGTCACCACCTGCGAAAACCCATGGTTCGGAAGTTTGTTGGGTTTCTGAGTTGACATCAATTCCTCCCCATTTATTGAGTTTACAAGGTTGGAGAGCTTGAAGAACTTCATTATCTTTCAAAGTTGATCCAAACGCAGAAATTACGTAATCGCATTTGACAACCATAACTTGTTCATCATCTTCAACCCAGTTTCCTTCATCATCTTGATCAGTTCTAGCAAAAGTGATTGAAACAATTCTTCCTTCTTTGACATTTATAGATCTTGGAGATGCAAATGGCAAAAATTCACATTTTTCTTCTTTGGCTGCTTCGGTCTGAAAAAATGCAATGAGAAAGAAAGTTTTACAGAAAGCATTTTCAAAACTTACTTCTTCTGGAACCGCTCGAATGCCAGTAAAACCTTTTCTGAAAGCAATCGTAACACGTTTAGCTCCACATCTTAAAGCAGAAGTTGCACAATCCATAGCAGTATCTCCAGCTCCCAAAACAACAACTCTTCCGGGTAAACTTGGAATTGGTGTAGTTTTACATCCACAAAGTCCAGGTTTGCTTGCTTGAGCAACAAGAGGCAAGTAATTTTTACTAGTGTAAAAACCATTTTCAATTGAAAGCCCCTCGAAAATCTTATCAACTTTCGGCTCTGGATTACCGATTCCAACAAAAACGGCCTTTGCACCTTTGGCCTAAAAATAATAATCTTATCATAAATATTTTGAAAGATAAGATGATTTAAAAACAAACCTTCAATTTCTCAAGAGTAATATCATTTTTATGAAGTGAGCGGTTAGTTTCAATTCGAACTCCAATATCACGAGCAAGTTGAATTTCAAAATCAACAACATCATATGGCAAACGGAATTGTGGGATTTCTGCAGAACTCAATCCTCCAATAAATTCACGTTTTTCATAAATTGTGACATCAGTGTATCCTAAACGAGCCAAAAATGATGCACATGAAATACTTGCTGGACCACATCCAATAAGAGCAATTTGTTCAGCGTGAGAAGCGTTTCGATTTTCACGAACTTCTTTGGAGACAATTTGACGGATGTTCATCTTTTTGAACACCTGAAAACAATTGTGGTTGGGAAAATTTTTCAATTTTTCTTGAATTTTGGGAACAAATTTCGGGAACAATTTTCAATCTAGTTTTCATAATTGAAACATGGTAGACTTCTGAATTTTTGAAATAAAATTTGAAACATCATATCTATTTTCAATAAATCCTCACATCACATGCATATTGTTGAAGACCACCAATGTTAATCGCACCCTCTTCAGATGCTTGTAAATTGCAACTTCCAACACAGAGATCCGATGTCGGACAAATCATTCCGCATGTTAAACCAAGCGGATTATCCGACAAAATTTGTCTGGCAGCTCCATAGTAATTCTTGTTTGAAATACTGGTGATAAAACTTTTGATATCAAGTTGTGTTGGGCATGATTTTTGGCAAGGCGCGTCAGCGCATTTAAGGCATCTAGAAAATAGAAATTATGATTGATGAGGGGTTTTTCGAAAAAATATCAAATCATGTGACGTTGTAATTTTTTTTTCATTATGCGTCGATCGAGACGAAAAGTGGAAAGGTATGGGTTCTTGAAACCAGAACTAGTTTTAATCGTTATACAAAAACGTCAGGATTTAAAGTTTTTTGTTTCTGTCGTGTTAGAAAGCAATTTTCAGTACTGAAATAAACAAAAGTTTCAAATTTTCAAAAAGTTTAATCAGGAAACCCAATTTTCATTTTCGATTTGAAAATTCTAACCTTAAAGCTTCTTTGAGCGCTCCACGTTCACTCAAAGTGGTATGTTTGATATCTCTCCAATCATTTTTCAACTTTGATTCTCCACATCCAGCTCCACATCCTTTTTCAGCATTTCTCTTCCAGTTCAACTTATTTTTCTTGGTAACCAAACTTGGAATCGCATTTGCTGTTGCTTTGACTTTTGGATTGAGTTCAAGGAGTGACTGTAATACGAATTTTTGAAGGGTGAAAAATTAGTGATAAGATTAAAAAGTGTACCGTGACTTGGTTATCATATACACACGTGCAAAAATAATTCTTATCAATTCTTTTCTTTAGGAGAAAAAAATTGACCATGAATCTTTGAAACTTTTTGATGATTGTACTTTTGATCTTTGATTTTTTTCAAAATTCTGAGCATCAAAACAAAAAATTTCAGATTAAACATTTATGTGAAGAGAAACTAACCTCAATATCTGGACTATCTTTACTCAATAGAACAGGTTGTGATTGTTTTCCTGGCGCAGTGTTTGGTGTTGGCGTCATTTCTAAAAGCCTAGAATTTTAGATAATATCTGAAAATTAGAGAAAAAAGCCTAAAAGGTTGAACATAGATCATAAAAACAATACATTAATAAACTAGCGTCTGTTAAATAAAACAAAAAAAGAGTGTGGTGGGTCTTAGAAAAGAAAAAGGAGGCGGGTTTTCTGTTCAGATAGATAGGACAATCGATTTTTATCAATGCTAAATTATTAATATATCATTAGTAAAAACAATTTTTGCAAAAAAAAAATAAAATAAAATATTTATAGAATGGAAAAGAGAGCAAAAATACACGTAAAACAAAATGAAAGAAACATCAAAAAATACCGAAAATAAGTATGTAAACATAATAATAAGATATTTATTATATTATAAAAAAGTAAAGCAGTTAGGGGTCAATGATTATTGATTTTTGTTTGTTAAAAGAAAAGGGGAAGTTTCCTGAATGGTTTTTGTTGTGCACAAAAATAACACGTATTTGGGGAGATCTTCAATTAAAAAAAAAATCAAAATGACTTCCAAAGTTTTTCAAAAACTGGACGGTCTTGACGATTGCTGGCAAAACATTGTTCAAGTAAAATCATACATGATTTATTGAAAATGGGCGGGAATTCGAGAAGTTCCTGCAAAAAAATCGATCAAACTAAATATATCAAACTGAAAATTTCTCTTTTTTTTGTAAAACAGAAAAATGATATTTATTGGAAAAGAGAAAGAGAAAAGACCACGAGGTCAAATATTTTTTGTGTACAAAAAAAACTTTTTTTTTGCGAGCATTAACCAAACTCTGAGAAAAAACATTCAAAGGCGAAAAGTTCAAATTATCAAATTTCTCCGAAAAACTTGATAAATAGAAATATGATAAAAAGAACCACGTTTTTTTCGGAGATCGAAAAATTTTGTAGATCATTATAATTACTCACAGTATCAGATTTGCCTTCAAGAAGTGCGCAGGCATTATCAACGATTTGTTCATTTGTCAAACTTTCATAGGGCCTTGTTTGACATTGATAACTCATTTCCCAAATTGTGGCAGCACATGACCAAATATCGGATTTATGTGTAAACTCGTTCTGAAATTTCACAATGTTTTTTTTCAAAAAAAAAACAGAAAGCTCTCTTACATGAACAATACATTCTGGAGCGGAATATCTCAATTGTGCATGATGTGAAGGTCCACGTGGCGAGCAGATTTTTGCGTGTAAATCAGAACCAAGTAGCACATTATTTGGGGTTAAATGTCCGTGAACAACACCGATTTGTTCTAGATATGTCATCGCAGAGCAAATATCTTTGCAGATTAGGATGAGGAAATCGACTCTGAAAAAATTTAAGATTGGTTCACAAAAAATGTTTGGAGATTTCTACAATTCATGCAATTTTTGTCAATTTGTAGATCATTATGAAGACTTTGAATGTTCGTGTTCGTGTTTTTTAAATCTTTTATTATTTCGCTCTCCCAAAACATTTTTGTTTTGATTTTTTCTCAAAAAATGTGATTGAGGAAATATTTGAGAAAACGGCTAAAAATTGATAAAGGAAAGATTTTTTCAACAAATGAACCTATATTTTTACGATCCTATTCAAAGCATCACATATTTTTGTTCACCCTTTCAGTTCAGTATTGCAATATTAAAAAAAAACTCCAAAACTCACTCGAACGGCGATGGAGATGCCTGAAGGAACAAATTGATGCTTCCAAGTTCAACAAATTCCAAAATCAAATTGCAATGTTCATCAACCGCCAAAAGTTCAGCAATATTTGGATGTTTTCCACATTTCATTAACATAGCAATTTCATCATTCAAAGCTCTCCTAAAAATTTCAAAATTAATATTTTGCACAAACAGTGGTTTTTACGAACCTTCCATGTGGACAATCGACATCTTTGATAGATTTATGTGCAACTTTCGATCCTCCGAACACAACACATTCTCGAATTAGAGTGAATTTTCCCTCACCAATCGCATGTCCTAACATCAAAGAGCTACTCGGATATTTTTTTCTGAAAAAAAAACAGGAAAAATAATTGAATTTAATTTAATAAAGGGTATACATAATTGAGTATTTTGTCAAAATTCAGAATTTTTTTTCCCGAACAAATTAAGTTACAGTATCTTTGACTCACACTTCTGTAACTCCTTTATTAGATTTGAAAGATCCACTTTTGCTGCTTGATTCAGTAGAAACATGTTGTGAATATACTTGTTCTTCATTCATTTCTGGAGGTGGTGGGAAATTGAAATCACTCCATGTTGGTGGCAAATTTCGATAACTTGAAGTTGATTTTGAGGAAACACTTAATAGCGTAGATTTTTGAGATCTCGCATAATAAATATCGTTTGCCATTTCAAATGGACCTTTACCAGTATTTTTGATATTTGAAGGAAATACGTGGCATGATGGTTTGTTTCCCATATGTGTGATTATCAAATCCTTTTTCAAGATCTAGAAAAATAATGCTCATATTCAAATGTGGGATTAATTCAAAATCAATAACAAACCTGTTCACATTTTTTCTCATTATTATTTTGTCTTCTTCTAATACACAAAGTGATACAATACGCCACACACGAGAAAATCGTCAAAAATACAATTCCACAAACCACCAAAAATTGTTGAATTGCTGGAGAATCTGGATTTGTAGCAGTTTTGATAACTGGTGAAGGTTTATTAGTTGTTGAAGTGAAATGGACTTCAGTGAGAAACATCCAATCAGTTGAAAACTTGATAGTTATTCGAACTTTTTTGCCAATTCGATTATGAAGAGGAACACGGAAATCATATCGTCTACTTGTATGATTTGCGGTTTGTCGCTCGCTTGATGAAATTGTTGAATAAAGTGGATATGCTTTTCCATCTTGACTGAAAATCACATCGATTTGATCAATGCGATTACCAAAAGTGGCTAGAACAACATCTGTGAAATTATGGATTTCCTCGAATTCGAAAAGGATATTGATGCTTCCATCAGTGTTTGCTTTACTCCAACCAATCCAACTGGCATTTTTCGAATCTTCTTCATATGGTGATGATTGAGCAACATATCCATCAGTAAGTAATCCCAATCCCCTGAAAAACAAATATTTCTCGTATTATGAGCACAAAATCTAGAGAGTTTTCTTACCGCTTGATTCCAGATTCTGTAAACATCTGACTATCTTCAAAAATCAAATCTCGAAAATCTAGATTTTCCTGACGGGATCCATCTTGAACAGTAGAATAGTAAATAACACCCTGATGTTTGCAACCATGAACTTCTGCTCGAAGACAAACAGTTCGAGTAGCTTTAGAGGTTGGGATGATACGTATTTTTTGAGCAATTATTGGAGGATCAAACTCGCGAATCACTGGAGTTGTCGTGTCAAAATTACCACTCATCATCTGGAAAATATGTATATTAATGTTAAGGGACTTTGAATTTTTTCTGAAAATTTTATATGATATTTCTTTAGGAAAACAATTTTCTCTCTGTTTGGAAACGTTAGAAGTTCAAATAATATCCATTTTTCTTCGAACTCCCCCCCCCCCATTCAATGAATCGAAACCCCTAAACCTCTTCATATTTTGCAACATTTTCCCCGCACATACCACATGCCCTGTCCGATTTCGATAACGTATCCACTGACTTCCGGTTCTCATGTAATCAATCATATATTCACTTGCAAATTCTCGACCAGTACCATTTCCATATCTTCCCTGCGTTTCGACCGCTGTTATCAAATGTGTTTGATTCAGATTGATCTGAAAAAATATTATTTATGATCTTGAAAAATATCTTCAATTTCTGTTTACCTGGAGATACTCATAAGATTTCGAGTTGATTTGCGATTTGGGACACCATGCTCCAGATGCAAATTCAGTATGAAGTCTGGCATTTTGTGGACCAACACTTTGTTTATCAAAAGTGCTGCTAGATGTGATCTGTGAGTCCGAAATCAAACCATTTTCCATACCAAGAGCCTCATCATTACATTGTTCTAAAATATATCATTAATTTAAAATTTCTAATTAAAGTAATAGGAAGAAACAAACCAATTCTCAATGTCTGAACACAGGATATCCAAGACACTAATAACACCGAATAAACACTCTGCATTGCATCTGATCGCAGTATCCTGGAAATAATAAATATGTATTCAAATAGATTCATAAAACAAAATAAAGTAATGAGTATATCTAATTATTCAGGAAGTAGTATATAATTAACATAAAGTATAAGTTTGAGACACAAAATTTGTATATAAAATAAAAATAAATAGGTAAAATAGTCGAGCTTCGATGTTTTCGTGTTTGGAAATGCGCAGAAAAAAACGAGGAACATTGGATAGATAATTGAAAATTGAACAAGTAAATAAATGCTATTTTGTATAGTAGTTAGTTGAATTGAAAAAAAACAGACAAGGATTTGAATGGGCTTTTTTTCGTTGAGATAATTTAGATATTGATAGAAAAAATCAAAGAGTTTATAAAAATATTTTGAGAAAAATAAATGTTCATAATATTTTAGAATTCTCAAAAGAGAATGTTTAATTAGTCAAATTATTTTGAATTTTTTGTTGAAGTTCAAGGACGAAATAGGATTTCATCGTTTTCAAGAGTTTTAGGATTAGTTTTTCAAACGTTCTCACATTTTTTTAGAGATATTCAGTTTCAACAATCACAAAAAAATACTCGATCCGGAACCATTTGCCCAAATCTCCCCCTCCTCCTCCGCTCAATTATTCCATTTAACCTAATCTTTTAGTCTCTTTGAAAAAGTACTTGACTAATCTTCAAAAAAGCTAATTAATGAACAGCAAAAAAGGAGCGAAAAAATGATGGAACACAAATACTTGACTCCTAATCCTCTTCTTCATTCCGCTCAAAAATCATATTCCAAATGCATAATTTTATACATATTAAAACGGAACAACATAAAACCAAAACAACACATAATAAATTGGACCTAATTTTTTGAAAACAAATAAAATAAAATATTTTTTTTGCAAAAGTAAAAAAGATAAATCAAAAAAGCCATCTGGATATAATGACATCACATTTTTGTTGAAAAATGACTGTTTTTTTGTAAAAATGTGTATATTATTAAAATAAAATGAAAGGAAGGAAGCAAGGAAGCTTCTCACCTAAACAATAGGTAATTATCTAATTGAAAATGTACATAAATAGTTATTGTTGAGTTTTTGAATACATAATTATTTATAAATGATTATTCATTTATAAATTCATAAGTATGTATATTATATCATTATAAAAAAAGTAAAATAAATAAATAAATAAATAATCATCTCTCATCCAATAAAATAGGCAATGATGAATAAATGTGATAACTTATAGTAATATAATTAGTGGAAAGATTTTTCCGGTGAGATAACAATATTATTCTTATTATTTTCTTTTTATTATAATTGTGTATACAATATATAATAATCCAGAAGAACACCGACAAAAGAAACAGAACATAACAAAAAATGGCAGCAGAACAGACAGAACAGGATTAAAATGTGGGGCTGTTGTATCTTTTTTGCTTCCCTTTCTGCCAGATAGACAAGTAAGGGAGCACAGAACATAGCTGTAAATTTTACGGTTGAGAATCTGAGGACATCTGGTATCAGATCATGAAAACTAGAGATACTATGAAGCTAAAACACATTTGAAAATAACGGAAAATATAAAAATATTGGAAGGCACTTTACAGCAGGTGAAAATGCTCAAGAAGACGTGGTATGAAAAGGTTTATTGGGAGAGAACTTCAAATTTTCAGAATGTTTTCAGATCTGGAAGTTGAAGAAAGTGTGATTTTGAAAAATTCCAAATAAATATTTTTTTCTTAAAAAAAATAATCAAAAGTGCAAAAAAAGAAATAATGTCGAAAATTTCTCATTTCGTTTGAGAAAAATAAAACCCTAGACACTCCTAATAGTATACAGTAACCAATATTTCAGTATCAAAAAACTCATTAACCAGATGTTCAAACAGTTAGATAATCTAGAAGCGCACGTTTCAAACAAAATCAAATAAGTCACATAATCGAGCCAGAAAAGCAATCTCAATAACCAATAAAAATCCAGCTGACATTTATTTAAAATACCCGATACCGGTTTAATAGTCTCTGTCCCATTGTTTTTCTTTTCCAAAAATATGCATAATACATCAAAAACATCGGGCCTAGGATAGAATAAGTTGGCGCCAGGAGCAGATGCATTTTACCCATTCAAGGTCAATCCAAAAAACTTTGATCACGAAATATTTTTTGATCTATATTGAATTGACAGGTGTTCAACCTTTTTTATAAAAAAAGATTAAAGGTACAAAAAAATTAATTAATTTTTAATGATATTTATGTTACTACAAAACTTCGATTATTTTTTAATAATAGAATGAATACGGTAGCTTTACACATTAAAAAAGAAGGAAAAAAGATAAAATGCAATTTTGCAAAAAGAACGAATATAAAATATCAAATTTCAAAAAAGAGATGAAAATTAGCTGAAATTGCAAAATTCTTGTCCCAGCCAAAAAATTTATTTTTTTCTCTCATTCGTGCGAGAAAAATGAAACAATATAAAATTGATAAACTGGTTTTGTGTTGAAGAAAATTTATGGGTTTTTTCATTTTCTGTGTGTTTTGGAAGAGGTTTCTGAGAAGAGGCAAGTGGGTCAGTTTTCTTTGAAGTTGGACCGAAAAAACTGTAAATGAAGAGAGGCTATAGAAAAGTGGATTTTTAGTTGCTGTGAGAGGAAAATTGGACAGTCTAGATGTGGGATTTGGATAGGATTGAACTTAAAGTTCAAAGGATTACCTATGAGATCATCGGAGAAGATTTTGGAACTTTGACATGAGAAGTTCAAATTCAAAAAAATGAAACATATAAAACTTTGAAAATTAAAAATCTGAAATTCGGAGAATACTGTACAACATATCTTGTTCAATAGATTTCTCATTCTCTTCCAACCAACCAAAAAACTGAAATTTCATTGAAAAATCCAAAAATCGTAAAGGAACTTCCTCAAAATAGAAACAAATTCAAAAACAACGAAAAATTTGAAAATCGTTCAAAAGGTGTGAACGGAACTTTGCAACTCGACACTTTTTTCAAAACATACGTATACTAAACTAAAATAGTTTTGAAAATGATGAAAAAATATACGAATCGCAAAGTTTCTACTACGAAAAATGACAAAAAATACGAAAAATCAAAAGAAGAAAGAACGGAAGTTTCGGCCAAAAAGAAAAAGCAGAGTTGAAACCAAAAATTGTTTCTTCATCATGTCAAAATATTCATGTGTGTATGTGTATGCTGCCTATGATCTAATTAGGCGACACCATTCAAAAAAGAAGAAACACTTGACAAAAAGATGGATTAATTTTTATGGGAAGAGGGGATGTGAAAAATAAAATCGAGCAGCAAACTAACACATATGGAAATCGGGGTCCCCGTCTGACGAACATTAAAAATTCGTGACTTCCCTTATTCTTTTTCCTTTTTTTCCCCTTCACAAAACCAAAAGAGCCGCGTCCCATGAATAATAAGGTGCTAACAAGAAGCAGCAAAAATAGGTTTTAGCCTACAACATGCATGTTCCTTTAAAAACTTTCTTTATGCATAATTTGCCCTTTTTTGACAACTTTGCATGCATTTGAAACTTGAGCATTTCTTGTTGTTATTTTTCGAAATAGTTGTAATTTGAGAGAAAAACAATGAATATTTTCGGAAAGTGCGGATGGAAAAAGTTGAAAGAGGAAGTGCGAGGAACTAAAGTTTGAGTAATTTTGAGAAAATACAAAACTCTCGCGTTTTTGAAGAAAACGTTTCAGATTATTTAGATTTGAGAAGAACAATGATATTTTTGATGTTACTATAGCCAGAATTTCTAGATTCAAACCAAATGCGATTTTTTTTCTTTCACAGAACATTTAGACGCATCATCTGAAAAACTTATATTTGTGTTCAAGATTATCACTTTCTAGCTATGTACTATTTGATAACTTCGAAGTGTTTTCTGGACCTAAGTTAGAGAAAAAAAATCGTACAGAACATTCTAGAGCTGCAAAAAAGTCGAATCTTTCATTGTTCATTTCGAAAAAAAATTCCAACATACTTTTGAACAACAATCAAAAACAAAGTATTATTGTCAAAAAAAACGTCGATTCTAATTAAATCACAATGAAATGAAACATTAGAGAAATGAAATTTCAATTTTCATTTCTCTTTTTTCTCTTCTATTTTACCGCAAACTAACAACCCCAAAACAGATGTGTAAACAATAACAAAACAAATTTAATAAAATGAATACGATTCCAACACATCATAAAAATAAAAATTTTCCTAATAATAACACACTTATTAGGCGAGGTGCAAAAAGATAAGGAACTGACTGACATGAGTCCAGTTGGTCAAAAAAAAAAAGAAGAACACCATTCGATTTGACATATTAAGACACTTAACAATACATATGTAAATAAAGTTTGGTGTTCCTCTCCAACCACCCAAAAATGTGTAAATATGTTATTGTATTATTTATTTTTAGTATTATTAATAAGAAACAATACAAGAGCAAAAAATAAAAAAAGGTACAAGCTTGGCTGAATCAGAGTTTTTTTTGCTTTCAATTCAATTCATAAAAATTGAGGTTTTTGAAAAGAAAAATGACCAAACAAGTGTCGTTCCGACTTACAACGAGGTTCAAGAAGATTAGCTTTTTTTAAAGACAGAAAAATGGAAAACGTAAGAAAATATTTTCGGATTATGTTTTTTTTTTTTGGAAATCGTACAAGCGTTCTGAAAATAGTTTTTTTTCACAGAGAATGAATAACCGCTGATGATAAATGTTATAGAGAACTGAAATATGAAAATTTTGAAAATTTTTTGAGGGCCTCGGAAAGCTTGAAAATCAGAATACAATATAATTTTCCAAAGTCTCTGACGTCAAAAAATTGAAGAAAAAACAAAAATGTTTCACTGTTCCTAGAATCCTAAATGTTTTGGTGTTTGAACCTCGAAAAAATAATTCGGAAAGGAAATCGGAATTGAAAAAATTGACCCAGGAAACTTTTAAATGAAAATTTTATAAAAAGATTTTTCATTAGTAATCTCGAAAAGCTACTGAGTTTTCGGAAATCTCTGAAATATAACTTAAAACAAAAAACTCCAAAAATAACAGTTCAAAAAAACTGAGGATTATCAGAAAAAAATTTCTGAAAAAATGAATAATTTCTCAAAATATGTACATTTATCTCATTGAGAAGATTATTATAAAAAAATTCACATTTATTTTTTTTCTAGAAAAAATAGAAAATTCCAGAAACGACCATGCTTTTTTTTAGAACAAAAACATGATTTCCAGAACTATTCGTTTTGGCCTATGATCAAATAAATCTTATTATTTTGATAAAGATGAGGAAGTTTTTCATTATTTTTGAACCGAGCATTCCGAGCATTTTGAGTCCCGTTCAGATTGTTGAAGTACTCACCTTCTAATGAGACCTCAGAATCAGAAATTCTCACAAAATATTCTCAAATGTTCCTTTGATGTGACTCATCAAAAGGTGTGACAAATCACTCACTCACACCAAAAAAACCTATTATACATTTTCTCAAAGAAGTTCCGCACGCGTCACCCTTTAGCACATTTATATTTCTCAAAAACTCTCCGCGGAAAAATTGAAAAGGTGTTTCTGTTTCTATTTCTCAACAAAAAGAATGTGAATTGAAACATATGTGGAAAACGAAAAATTGAGACAAAATGACCGGATAGACACATACTTACACACAAATATCTTTTTTTTTGTTTTTGTGTGTTCGAAATGAAATGGAATAGAAAAGCCACAAAGATGAGCACGAAAAAACCTATTACTTACATTTTTTTCACCCTGAACAAAAAAATGTGAGTTGAGTTCATCTTTTTTCTGAGCTTCATGTAACTGAGAAATGAAGAAGATGAACATGCAGGACAAAAAAATGAACCAATATTTATTTTGTCATATGCAATCATCTTTTGCGAGAAAATGAAAATGCAAAAAAACTTAACGGGAAATCAAAATCTTCTTAATTTCTCGCTGTTTTTTTTATTATTCTCTAAATAATAAATATGATGCAGGAAAAAATAATACGGAGGGATTCGGGATTGGTGAGAATTGAATTGAACAAACAAAAACATTTGACAGACAATGAAAAAGAAACGGTGTTGAATAAATATAGATTCGAAAAAAATATTGAGAGAATAAGAATAAAAACAAAAAAGAGGTTGAAGGAAATGAAAAATAGATACTGTAGAAAAAAGCGGTGAGCGCTTTTTTGAAGAAGACAATCAATTTTTTTTTTTGCTTTTGATTTGGTAAAAAAAATTGGTGTAAACAATAACATTGCTGCTGGCTGACATTTTTATCATCAAATGACAGTTTTTGAACATTTTGGGAGTTTTTTTTTGAGCCCACGCATTTTTTGAAAGCAAAAAATATGAACGCGGAAGAAAGAATGTGATAAGGAAAGAAATTCTGGAAACAAAAGTTTTTGAATGACGAGTTTTGAAATTTTCAATTTTTCGGGAAATGTAGAATGTTTTAGAGAATTTCAATTCAGAACATCCGGGATAACGATTCTGATTTTTTTCCTCACAAAACACAGAATATATTCTACATATCGTCTGAAAAGAGATAAAGGAAAACTAAAGATGAAGTCAGCTTATCTGATTCCTTCAAAAATGTTTTACGAGTTTAAAAATAGGTTAATGACTTATGACTCATTAAACTTCAAGATTTTCTAGAAAACTTCATGGTGAACTAAAAAGTCAAACAAGTTAGGGAAAAATCCCAGAAGTTTAAGGCTGAAATTCGAAAACTTCTGAATTCAACGTGAAAATTTCAAGATCTGGATTCTGGAAAATATTGGTGAACTCAATGAATTTCAGAAATTAAGAAAAATCAGACATCTACAAAATATGTAAATGAAAAAGGTTCAATTTATTCAAAATAACCCAATTTCCACATCTTTAAAATGTTCCCACAATAAAATTCAAAACACCTGTTTTCAAAACCCCATTCAAAATTGAATCTTCATCGGATTATACCATTTGCATAAAAAACGTGAATAAAAACAAAATGCAGCAAAATGTGGTTTAGTCCACTACCAATATAAAAAAAATAGAAATATGCGAAGTGTGAGTGGAAAACATATTTATATAAATAAATATAAATTCGAAATTGGAAAAAAAAACGTTTTATTTTTTATGCAGTACATTTTGATGCACTCTCTGTTTTTCATCCGATTCAATTCGGAAATACAAATATAGAAAAAAGATTAAAAAATTATGTGTTATCTTGGGGGCGAAAAAATTCCTCATAAAACTGTCAGAAGACTCATTCTCGTCATAATTAATTGGGGGAGAAAAAGAAAGAAAAGAAATAAAAGTGAGAATGGTAGTCGTAAAAATATTAGGAACAGGTCTTTGAACACCTCCGGATGAACATAGCAAAAAAAAAAACCACCAACCCAAATTCCTTTGGAATTTATTTTTTATTTTTTGGTTTTCTGAGTGGGTGGGGGTTTGAAACAAAAACGACCGAAACAATCTGATTGACAAGGCGCAAAACATTCTCCTGGGAGACGAATAATATATATGAAAATGTTGCAAGAGTGTATGCACTTCTTTTTTTGGCCCCCCTCTTCTCTTATTATTATTACTATGATGATACAAATCTCAGTTTTTTCCTCTTTCTTTAGTTTTTTTTCCAGCTCACATCAGAGTACTACGCTTTTTGGTTCATTTATTTTCATACTCGCATAATAAAAAGACACAAAAATATATAAAAGACACAATAGAAGTTACCTGGAAATATTTACAACCGGTGTACAAAAAGGCTGTTTTCTCAAAAACAAAAAAAAAGATAAAATGATAATTATGATTCAAGTTTCTGTTGCATGGAATCTCATTGGTGGGAAATCTTGAATGTTGGAAACTTCGATGTCAGTTTTTGATACTTCGTTGTTTAGGAAAGTGGTTTCGAGATGGTTGCTGATCCATTCCAAACCACAACGACACTTTCCGTCAAACTTCACGGCAAAGCGAATGGTGTAATCTTGCTTGACAACCTGAAAAAAATATTTCAATTGGATTTGGAAAGTGAAATACAAAACGAAGAATAGAATGGATATGGTCGTTTTTATCAGCAAAAAAATCTGTCAGCTCTCAATCTTGAATTAAGTTGACCATATTTCTCAAATTTTGAAATGTTCCCCCCATCATTTGATATGTTTCCCTCAAAACTCACCCCATGTTCAACAACTTTTACAAGTCGATCTCTGAATTTCCCCACCGTCTTCTTTGGTTTTGGACATGGTCTCGACACATCAACTTTCAACAATCCACATTCCACCTTAAAAGTTCCTCTCATTATCGCATCATTGGTTTTAATTCCCGATTTATCAGTAAGTTCAGATACATTTCGTGGATTTTCCGATGTTATTCCATAAATTGCTCTTCCACTCGGGAAAAGACGAAGAACACGATAATAAGTCACTGTGTGCCAGGATGAGTAATTCGAGTCCTATAAAAATTTCATAGGTTTCGAGCTTATAAAAACTATCAAAGTTACCTGAAAAGACGGTTCTCCGTGTCGAATATAACTTATTTTGCACGAATAAAATCCATGAAAATATACTTGTGGAGTTGAGAGAAAATGTGATTTCCAAGAATCTGAATTGCAAGTTGTTGTGGTGTCTCCTTGATTTGCTCGATTATGAATCATTCGCCAAAGATTATCATTCCTAAAATTGTTTTTCAAATATATTTTACTCAAATAAAGAAAAAACTTACGTAGAATGCACAAAAAATGCAGCACAAGTCAATGAAATTCTTTCAAGTGTTAGAAGATCGTTTTGTTTTCCAATACATTTTTCAATAATCAATTCAATCAATTCAGCTGGGAGTTTTTCGAATTGCACAACTCCTCCTAAAAAACATCAGAGTCTGGCTTGAAGTGTTGAAAAAATAGACCACCTCTTTCCGCTTCAAACGAAGTTTTTCGCTCCTGAATTCGGTCAATGAGTTGATTTAAAAACACTTGATAAATCATATCTCCCTCATTCTTATTCGATTTCTTGGAATATTTTTCAATTTTTGACATCACTTTTTCAATATGTGGATCCAATTTGATGGCTTGTCGATAACAAGACACAGCTTTTGACATATTTCCTTGTTTTTCATGATTAATACCATCTTGAAATAATTGGATCGCTTCCATGTTCTGAAGATATTTCATGTTTCTAGATTTTTAAAATAAAAAAGAGTAAACTCACGACTTTTGGTTCATCTTCTTTCTCTCCTTCAACATTCTGTGATGGTTCATCATCCAAGTTCAAATTCTCCACAGCTTTTCGGAATTCAATTTCACCTTTCCAATTTTCACGAAATTTCTCAAGTTCATCACCCATTATTTTCTCTAGAAAAATTTTCTTATTATTGAAACCAAACGGAAAGCATCTACCCCGTTGAAATAAAAAAAACTAACAAAAAATTGTGAAAAATTATTAACCAAGAAAAATAAAAAAGAAGTATGAAGAAAAGGCGCCCTATTGGAAGAACTCACAGGGACGTCGGGTGAGAGAGTTGAGAAAAAGAGGAGGGCAACAGACGAGAGAGAAGTAGCTGTGTCATTTAGTGGAGTGTTGTTTTTTTTTTAATTTTTTGAAATAATTTTCACGGAGCGTGATGTTATTGAATTTCCAATCTTCTAGAGGGCATTTAATCATAAATTATCTGTTGGAGCAAATTCTTAATCAAACTCCAGCTAGTAACAATTTCCGCGTCGAAATATCTATGTACAGGGTGCGTAAAAATTACCCGGACAACTTTAAAATCGTGATATTCCCAGAAGAGAATGAGGTTTCTCAATATCACTCGATAATTAGTTCATTTGGTCCCTAACTAGAATATAAAAACTGATCTCCCTTGATCTGGTCGATTTTCTGAGCAATGCCAACGTGGAAACGTTCGGAGGCTACCTCTGTCGCTGCACGCGGGTCATTTTCGGACAAATCGTCCCAGTTTTTCAGAATATCCTTATCTAGGCCTTCAAAATTGATTTGAGGGTTTCCCCAGAACCTTTTTCTACCCCATTTGAAAATAGAATAGTCTATTCGGTTCGAACTTGACTAATACTATCTCAATTCTTACACCTCATCATATCGAAAAAATTGCTTTTTGAATGTGATTTTTTCAAATTTTGACCTGTTTTTGGTCAAAAGGACTTGGGAAAGCTTTGAATGATTGTTTTCTAAGCTGAATACAGTTTTTAATGACAATTTGAATTCACGGACTCCGTTTATGTAAATTTTATTCTTGGTTTGGGGTCCTAGAACATCGAAAACCACTGACAGTTTCCAGCCAAGGACGAAATTTCAAGATCACCATCAGAGCTGGGTGTGAGTCATGGTGAACAGGTAGACTTCTGTCCTTGGCATCTAGGATGTCTCTAATGAGCCCCCAATCAATTTCTAACTTGAATAAACCTTCCATGATGAAAAAAATGACATCCGAAGACGCTGTTACCGAATCGCGTGTCAGTGAGCACAATTTGTACTAGTTTCTAGGATGTGTAATCCAGCTCAGAATTAGTCGATTGACTTGAAACTTCGCACAGCTTTTCGAAATATCCTAATGAAACAAATAAAAAATACAATCTATCAAATGTTCGTCTATTTTTGCTTGGGCTGGCGCTTAACCTCTGTCCGGGTAATTTTTACGCACCCTGTATTGGTGTAAAATACAAATCGGTTTGAATGTTGCACAGCCTGAGATGAAAGCATCAACCGATATTTCAGAATAATTTGATGAATTTCTAGTTTTATGTTCTCATTTTTTTGCACACAATACAAAAGTGATCTATTTGTCGGTCCCTTATTTTTGAACTTCGTATGTATCATCCGTTAGATTAAAGTTTTTGCAAACGAAATAGTCTGTTCAAAACACATTTGTGTTTTGCACATGATTTTGATGAATTCCATAAAAGATTATATGTAATTGCACATGATTGAAACAAGAGATTGAAGATTATAATAAAACTTTATTTATATATTTCTCTCAACATTCAAAACACAAAAAAAGCAACTAAACTTACAATTATTCATTTTTTGAATTTGCTTGATATGACGCAACACGATGTTTGTGGACACCCAACATAACAATTGGGACGAATAATACTTTGAAACCCCAGAATGAGAGAAGTGTACCAAGGGCGATCTAAAAATTTGATTTTAAAATGAATGAAAATACTATGAAAAAATTATGGCTAACCTGAACATCATGTTGAACACATCCAGTTGTGATTTCCCATCTTCCAATAATTCGAACAGCTTGTTTGGCAAAGTTTTCGGGGGTTACAACAAAAATATTATTAGCTTCTTCGGTTTTGTATGATGCAACTTTGGTCGCAACCAACATTGGAATAAGGCACTGAAATGCAATTTGTTGAGTTCACAATATTTAAAAAAATGTGCTCACCTGGATTTTAACATTGCTTCCTCTATATTCATCAGAAAGTGAATCGGAGAAGAATGAGAGGGCAGCCTTACTGGCTGGATATGAGCTGATGTATGGAAGTGGTCGCCATCCCTGAAATTTAGGGTTTAGTTTCAAAATTTAACGAAAGTAATGAGGCTTAAAACTAACAGTCATTGATGAGACATTGACAATGATTCCTTTGTCGCGTTTCACCATTCCAGGTAAGATCAATTCAACCATCTGCAAAAATGCATAGTTTTGTAATTTATTTTCATCAATTTTTTGTGGAATTTTTGTATCAGACAGAGGAAATTGAAATGTTCTCTATCAGTTGAGTAAAAGCTTTTCAGAACCAGAGTATTTTCAAATTTCATATATGTGTGACATTTCATTGATTTGAGTACTAAAGTTCCCACTTCTTTAAGGAATTGCTTTTTCCAAACTCAAAATTTGTGAAGAAAAACTTTTTTTGTGTAATTTCCTCAACAAACATTCGAATTGTTAATTCCAACAAGGACTACTTTGGACTTATTCAATTTATATTCTGAAAAACATTTTTATCTGATTTCACAAGTTTTTCATCGCCTTGTTTTTTTACTTGAAAATGTTTTTTGATTTTTATAGGTTACTCCATCAATTTCCGATCATGAAAAATCACAATCCGGTTTCAGAAAAGATACCATTTTCATTTCGACGTCACAACTTTTTTCATAAATTAGATAATTTATGTGTTCTCAATAATTCTTTGGTTTTTCCAACAAAAACACTTACTCTAACACTGGACATCAAGTTGACTCTCAAGATTTTTGAAGCGAGACCTTCTGGCAGTTCAGTGAGGGTTCCGATTTGACTTGGAGCAATTCCAGCGCAGTTAACTGAAAAAAGAATTGTTGAAGTAAGAGAAAAAGAATAAAACACTCACTCAAAATACCAACATTCTCATTGGCGAGATGGAGTGGGAGTTTTGAATAATCAGAAGATTCAAAGTCGAAAACGTGATACTTGACTTCAGCATTGTAAGTTTTCTCTGAAATTAATTGTGTTTGATAGTTAAAGATTAGAACTTTTACCAAAGTACCGAATTAACCCTTGAATTCCCCACAATTACCTACCAAGTTCACCAGCAGTTTTCTGAAGTTTTGTCTCATTTCTACCAATCAAATAAAATTTGCGCAATCCTCTAGTCTTCGCAAGTTCTTCAAGATATGCACGACCAATTCCATCAGTTCCACCAGTAATAACTGTCCAAGAATTTTTATACTCCTCAATATTCAATTCAGGAGTTAGAAAATGTATGATGAATGATTTGAGAAAAATAAATAAGCATTTCAAAACCCGTACGACTGCATAAGAAACAAATGCAAATTGTCCAATTTCCCAAAGCGACCACATCTGAAAATAAAGGAAAACTGTAAGGAAGACAATAATAATAAACTATGTATGTTTATAAAAATAAAGAATATAAAACTTCTTCGATGTGAAAATGAGATAAGTAAAATGAGAGTAAAACAGGAAAAACATTGGAATACTTGTATAGAAAAATGGAGAGTACAATGAGGAGAAGGAGGTGAAGGTAAAAAGGTAATTCAAGGTCGCTAGTCTCTGGATGCTCTCATTTTCACACTCTATTCTTTTATATATGTCAATCGCCCTTGGTTGAATTTTTCTGTATGCGTTGGTCAAAGATATATGGATGAATAACAGATAGTTGATCAAAAGGAAAACAGTTATATCAGTGTACTTTAGAGAGTTGTGGTTTGCAAAGATAGAAGATCTAGGTTCATTTTTTCATCAAATGATGATAAAAATCGCAACATTTAAAATTTGATGAAGAAAAAATGTAGGGATAGAAACAAATTAGAAACAAAACACAACTAATTGTTTCGAATAAACCGTGTGAAAATAAATAATTAGTTAGTTTAAATATCAATAGGAGTGTGAGAGAAAAAAAAGGAATTGAAGTATGGAATTCAATTCAGGAAAATGATAATCCTGATGTGAGCAACAAAAATGAAAAAAACTTTTTTTTTTGAAAAACAATCTAATCGTTTTCAACAACTACGTCAATACATTTAAACATTAATGAAATTTTTAAACAGCAAAATATAGAAACAAAATAATATGTATGTGAAAAAATAACAAAAAAAAACACCTTATTTGAAAAAACCAACATAAACTTATTGTTCGCAGTGACACGGTGACGTAAAATTGCACACATTTTTTAACAGAAAACATTTTTGTCATTTTTTTCGTTTTCCGTGTTGTTAATTTATAAAATATATATTTATAATTTGTTGTTTGAAATGGATTCACTAATATGTTTCTTACAGAACATTGACCTCAACTTTTGTGTCTGGTTTAATACAGTTTTGATGCGCCTTCTACTGATATTGTGATGAATTCAACAATTCATGTGTTTTGGAAGTGATTTAAAGTGAGTTTTTAATTTTAAAATAATACGCATAGACAAGTTCGAGTGTCTTTTCATATTTCTCTACGGGTTGAAATGAATGACTAAAAATTAGTAATTTTATCTCGAAGCTCCGTGAAAGAATAGTTTTTCCAATTTGTGTGTTTTTTTTTAAGTATTCAGAAAAAAATTTTATGGAAAAACTAGAAATACGTACAAAACCAAAGACATCTATGTATATCAATAATTTTATCAAGCTCGTAGTTTTTGAGTTCCCCTAGGAGTTAAAAAATTGTAAGATCATTATTTGAGTTAGTTTTGAATAGTGAGAGTCTAAACATCATGTTCGGCAAATCAAAAATTATTCAAACTTGAGAAATGAGTTAATTACCTCATTTGTAAATGACTTATTTGGCAAACACATTTCAACAATTATGAAGTGGGTTATTTTTTATTTTGTGTCTTGAATATAGTGTAGGTTAATTGGAAAGTGCAAGAAGTGATTGAAATTTAACGCATCTTATTTGACAAATAAATCTGTCGGTAAATTTGTGCTGTTTGATTTTAGGGAACTTGAATTATTGTTTCGCGGCTTATAAAAGTAAATAACCAAACATTTTAAAAAATTGTTTTCAAAAAAAAATGTGTTAAGTGGATTTATTGTTTGTTGTTTTAAATGAACAAAAAAAAACAATTGAGAAGCGAAACTGAGACGAACATTTTAGAATAATGTTTACTTGATGATTGAAGTGTTTTGTGATTTTCAAAACAACCAAACTTCTATTTCTGAAAAGAACACGTTAACAATTTGAAACAGTACGGTTTCCAGAAAATACACAGACAAGTTTCTATCAAAAACAAACTGTTAGATTTGATTTAGGTAATTTTAGGAATTAAAGAAGTATTTCATTTCCAGAAAACACCGTATTCTCATGTTTCAAATTGGTCTAGCATATCTATCAGTTACATAGTTTTTCTTTAATGATTAGTCAATTATTTGCAGACATGGTTTTCTTGTTCCTGGTATTTATGATAACAAACTCTCCTGGGTTAATATGTCATGTGTTATTTACTATCAAATTTGTGATTTTTGGAAAATTTGTCACGAGTTTGTTGCATTATTATCTCAATAATAAATTTATTTCTCAAGAATTATTTAAAACGATTCTAACTATTCAATTAGAAATGATAAACCAATGAGTTTGAAATATCAGAGAATGTTAAAGATAGAATTCAACTTAATATGTCTATATTCTATTGTTTTTCAACATGGAACACTTTTTTTGTATATACTCATGAGATTTTGCCTTAAAAATAAAAACAACCTGGCAATCAACTTATTCATTTTGGCAAAACAACAATTTTCAACCCTGTTTTCATATTTATCTATTAATTCATCATCCATTAATATCTTTTTTGACTTCCTCGGGATTAATAACTATTTCTAATCCTTTTCTAGAGATACTTTGCATGTTTGAACTCTAACAGAAATGTTCAAAAATTATTATTATTTCATTTTTTTGTATGGATTCTTTCATTTCATTTTTGGAAGAAAACAACATCACATCAGAAGATCAAATAATGATGACAAATCCTTGATGTTATAATCTATCTCGAAATCAAATAGTATTTGTGTATGAAAATAAACCAAAAAACAGTTCATTCATAAAAATATGACAAATCTGCTCTTTGCTCCACAGACTAGATCTCTATAAAGTGACCGTGCAATTTTGTGATCGAACAATACCATTCCATTAATCCGATTTGGCTATTTTTATTTCAAAAAATGATGACAATTGGCCATAATTTTTTGTGATCCAATCCTTTTGTAGGATATAAAAAATCATGTTTCACACAAAAAATGTTAAAAATTAGTCATCGGGTGTAGGCTTCAAAAAAATGAGAAAAACCCTTCAAGAGAAAATTTGAATATTTCAAACTGTATTAGTAACAGTGTGATATTTTTGTTTTCAAAATGACTAGTAAACGGAAATAGTTTGTTTTTATTTTCAGAGTAAAGTCCTTACTATTTTGAAATAACACAGTAGTTCAAGAACTATTTTTGAATGTTATTTTATTAATAAATCCCATGAGTAGTCTGATTTGATTCGAAATCAAAAAGTATTACGAACTTGAAGGACATGGTTACTGTAACATTCAAAACAGAACCAAAAATATTCTGGTTTTTTCAGATATTTATGACTCTGTGATTTGATAGTAAGTCAGATAAAAATAGAGTTAGGTAACCAGTTTTCATGCTTTCAAAAAATTCAGTAGGTAGTTATTTCCGAGTAATTTACAGTATGAAAGGTATAACGAGGAAGTACATATCTAAAACTTACAGTCCAGTTTATATATTTTTCAATGTAAACTGTGTGAGTTCACTCACTTTGGAAAAATATTAAAAAATCCGATATGGTGACAAGGCTTTTTCTTCACAAAATCTTCATTTAGAGCAGTTATAGACTCGTTATGTTTCAAAATACATATGCACATTTTCTCAAATTTTGGACAGCAATAACTTGGCTCACAGATATATTTCGGTCTTACGTTAGAAATTTTTTTTGGTATAATTTGTTAATGAAAACATGCATTTTTCTCGAATTAACAATAAAATTTCAACTAGAACAGAAAAAATGAACAGCATTTTAGTGAATGGACGAAATTTTGGTGACATAGATTTTTTTCAATTTGTTTTTTCTTAAATACCACATAACTTTAATTAATATAATGCACTCCGAATGAAATTTTTGACTTTTGGAGAAACAGATTTACTCGGATTTTCCTCATTTAAATCCACTAATCTTTGCCAAGCAAAACTGCAAGACTTGAATTTATTATTCGATATACAGGTTCACTAGATTTTTGGACTAGATGTTTTCTGTGTAGTTTTTTTCTTGAAAATTTATGAATTGTGCAATTTCGATTTTTTTTTTTGTTGAAATTTTAAATAGAATTTTGTCAAAAAACAATGAGAATTACACTTTATCGTGATAAATTTTGTACCTACGTCCAGGTGTTTTGATCGATATATTATTTTTAATGAATTAAATTTGTTTTTTTTTTGAAAAACTGTATCATTTTATTACAAAAAAAAGTGAATATTTCAATCTATGATCTTTCTCATTCATAGGTATTACTTTTTTTGCAAAAAAAACAGCATTTTAATCTTCAAACCATCATAAAAATAAAAATCGCACCTCGTTCAAATTGTTATCTGGTGAAATTGAAAGAAATGTTGATGATCTATGTAAGATTATATATATTTTAGATAAAAATTCAAACCAGATTGTTTGTTTTTTCTTGAAAACAATAATTTGGTGTTCATAACTTATACATATACATAATCCATAGAAAAAAATAATTGAAGAAAAATTATTTTTACAATCAGTTCATCAAAACAATATTAATAGAGTTATATAATGTCGAAATGACCTTATACTCTTGTTTCGTTGGGGCCATTAAAGATTGTGGTAAAACAACATATCTTTTAGTACATATATATATAAAATGTTGGTTATGACCTTTTCATTCTCCACTTTTATCATTTTTGTTTTTTCTTTCTCTAAACAAAAAATTCAAAAAAAAACAGTTTCCTAATCTTTTTTTCATTCATTTTTCTTCCAATAAACAAAAAACATCACCTTTTTCTAAGAAACTATGATAATCCCCAGATTATAGACCAGAACCAACTGATAGTATTATAAATATATTTGATAATAAAAAAATAAAAGATTTCGAAAATAAACTCGTAGAGAAAAAAGAGAAAAATTTTACAAATTTTATTAAAAAAACGGAAAAATGATTGATTTTTTTTCTCGCTTATTGTTTTTCAAAGATTGTCCCGTTCAAAATGTTCAGTTTTCTCGCCCACTTTTCTTCCTCCCAAGCTTTAAAGAAAGAAAGAAAGAACATATTGTTTACCGTAATCTTGATTGATGACTGACGAATTAGAAAAGATGATAGGAGGTGCTTCTATCAAGAAAAATTACGGTATATTTATAATTTTATATGTAATGAATGGAATTTCACCTCAAAATACACATCTTTTACCCAGACAGTCTTTATAGTTTATAGTGTGTGTACTCGAGGTTTATTACCTCAAGATGTCACATTTTTTAACACAAAAACAACTAGGGAACAAAAAACATTTCGACTAACTTGATATCAAGATTGTGTGTTCTTTAAAAATAGAAAATATAACATCTATTTTTATTTTTATCATTCACATTTGCAAGTAGAGTAATTTATTTCTGATTAGGCTATTTTTGATTATAATTATTTGAGACCCCTTTGGGAGGTACCATTTCCAGGACTACCGTAAAATTTCGTTATTGTTCGATTAGAATTAGAACAAAAAAATGATTGATCAACACTAATCCATTCGATCGTTATAGAATAGAACTGTTTTATTTCCATAGGAACCAAATAAATATTAATCAAGTAGAGAGAGATCAAATGAAATTTACCGGCTACGTTGACCATTGTGTACGAGTGAAAAGTTACATGTTTGGGGTAAGGGTTTGGAGGCTAAAAATGAATAGTCAGGTGGCTACTATGAATTGATGAATTAGGGTTAACTATAAAAAAGGAACACATTATTAAAGCTCATATTCTGGATATTCTTCTCGCATTGCTTGGAGGGCGTCTTCCCATGCGCCAATAACTTTTTCAACAATGCTCTGAAAATTATTCGGTTTTAGGATGTCTTCTTGAATTGTTTTAGTTTTAACTCACTTCATTTCGAGATTTTTGCTCTTCTGCGTCTTCTGATGGTTGAACACAGAGCATAATTGAAGCGATAAATGGAAGATGAAGAGCATGTGCAATAAAATTTCTGCGATATGCTCGAAGAAATTGATTGAGAGTTACTCTCAATTTTTTGCCAGCAAGTGCAGCATTATTTTTTAACATGTTGTAGTAAAATGGAAGATAACAGTTTTCGGCTTGTCGACGAGTTTCGGCATCACAACAGAATGTGAGAAGATGACAAAAATCTTCGGCAATACTTCCGGTGTGAATATTTTGCCAATCAATAATTGAACCAATGTGGTTTGATGCCATTTCACTTCCCATTGTTCTTGGAAGCCACATCAAATTATAAAACCACAAATCTCCGTGGCACAAAAAGTCATCAATTCCAAGAGTTTTGTGAGAATCACGGAGAAGTGCAATAAATAGATTGCGATCTGTATACATTTTCTCAACTTTTGCAAATCCCTCTTCCAATTGAGGATTTCTCGAGACAAATAATTTGACAATATCCGACATGTTTGATACGGTATCAATCAATTGCATTGGATATGGGAATTTTTGTTTCCATGTTTCATCCATATCAATTGAGAAAATATGTAGATTATTAAGTTGAGTACCAATTGATGCAATTTGTTGGAGATTCAAAGATTCATAATAAGGAACACTTATCATTCCTTTCAAATCTTGCATAACAATAGCACCAGTTTGTTTTCCAAGTTCCCAGCGTTGCTTATGATAACATTTTGGGGTTCTGACACCCGGAATCTTTTCCATTGAATAGAAATCGACTTCTCTATTGAAAAACACTGATAAACCACCAATAAATTGTTCATCAGCACCATCAGGTAATTTTTGATTAGTAGTTTTTTCAAGCGCAATTTTGATATTAGTTGTTTCCGGCATCTTAACGATATACTGAAATATATTTTTTCTGTTGTTTTATTTCAAGTTTTTTGCAAACTCACTCTTTTTTCTGTTAAATCCTTCATTTGAACTGTTACTCGCATAATTTGCGATACAAAACCATCCGATCCAAGTTGCTCACATTGCACATTTTGAACTTGATCAACATTCAAAAGTTGTTGCAAAGATTCAAACAACCAGCCAGCTGTCAAACCGTGACGGCCGATTGGAAGAAGTTCACGATCGAATTTTTTTGTAAAATATTCATGCTCACGAATATTTCCCTTGCTGAATAGCATAATATTGCGCAATGGGAGAATCTGGAAATCTTATTGAAATGAAGTTGAAAATATTTTTGTTGAAAAATACCTGTAGGAGGGTTTTAATTAAATTCTTCCGTTTTTTGCTCATTGAAGCTGTTTCAATGAAGGGAATAATTTCTGTAGTAGGCGTTGAAGACATGTTGTTTATTCGAAACATACAATTTCAGACAGAGGACAGTTTTCTGAAAAAAACGAGAAAAGTGCGAGCTTTATTCATTTATCTAGTCGAAAAAATAGGCGGAGTCAATCTCTAGAAATATTCTGTAAATTAACTTGAACACAGAAACGAGCAGCCATCTAGAAAAAAGGGCGGAGTTTGCTGAAATTTTCGAGCAAAAAACAAATGCTCTTTTTGTATCGTTCCCGTGGGAATCTGAGAAAAAAATGAGAAAAATGACCGGAGAGGTAGCTATTTTATCTGATCAGAGAAAGAATAAAAAAAACAACAAATTGTTTAATTGATTGTAACTTGATTTCAAAGAAGAGGAAGATACGTCATGGGTCTATGGTCTAACGCTAGAAAATTGAGGTTAGTTGAGGAGTAAATACCCATTTTTAGTGGTTTCCTTCTTTGGAAAAATAATTACTGTAGGATTTTTGAAGATGGACTCTTTTTTATATTGTTTGAGGAAGAAGGAGGAACTTGAAAGTGCAAAAATGTTGTTTTTCACGCGTTTCAAAAAATTATGTGTTCAAAATAGTGCATGAAACGAAATGGTATATCTCACACAACAATTGGTCTATTTATACCTCAATTCAGCTCCCATGTTCAATAACACCTATCCATTCTGTATATCTCCTCCTATTTTGTATTTGTGACGTTGAAAGTGTCGTCGACATGTTTGATTTTTACCTGAACTCAACGCATTTCGTCACGATTAGTGGTTTCGACTAGATTTCGCTGATGCACGTGGATTGTAGCATCTCGAACTGACACACTCTAATCCGATTTGTTGGGTTATACCATATATCATCTATTTTTAGGTTCGACTAATGAACACTTTTTTTTCAAGTGAAATTAAATATTGTTAGTTTTTTATAAGATGATCTATGATATTGTAATGAGTTCTCCATCATAAACAAAAAGCCAGACAAGTTTAACTGAATCAGACTAGAGGTCTTTTGTTGTTCTTTATCTAATAAACAAATTATCTGAGATCTCTAGAGGATTCCTCCATGTGTGTGTGTTTTTCAAAAAGTCAAACATACCATTTATTCAAATTTAAATCAAATACTAGTTTAAAATAGGCTGCCTTGAAAATATAAAAAAGTACAATAATTGCGTTAGAATGCTTTATTAATTACCGTATATCTTTTATTTTCATTCAATGATTATTATGATATTTTCATCTTTTTCCAAATAATTGAGTAAAAGAAAAAGAGATAAATTAGAATATGCAAGCGGCCGACAACACAAAACAAAACAAAATCGGTGATGTTTGATGACAGTTTCATATTGGACCTTAACTACAATGTTACATGATTCATTAATTCCAAGTTTTCAATTAATTTTTAGACGATTAAAAAAAGTTTTTAATCAAAAAGGGCTTCACAAACATTTTTTCAAGCGATTAATCCAGAAAAGGAAGTCTTTTTTCGTTTTTGGAAAAAAATGCTGAAATTGAGTGGGCAAAAAATCTACAGTAAGAAAATGAAGCAAACAAAGAAAAATGTGTAATTAGTTAGTTACCGTATATTTTTAAACATCATATGTGTAATGTTTTGCAGGTTTTTTAATTGAAATTATCGAAAAAATGATAAACATATGATCAATAGCTTCTTCAAAAATTTATCAATACAGTGAATTTTTTCGCATGCGTGCGCAGATTACTGTAGACTTATCAATTGGTGATTCCTCTTCTCCCAATTTTATTGTTTCGCCGATTTTCTTCTTCCAGGATTTTTTTCAATCGATTTGGAATAATTTTTATTTGAAAAAAATGCTTTTAGTGATTCATAAAGTTCCTTTTTTGAAAAAATAAAATTAATTATTGAAAGTCTTCTTCTTGGAAAAAGCAACAAAAATTAATAAAAACATTTTCAAAGACAAATTGCAAACAATTTAAGCCAGAGTTCATTCGAAAACAATGGAAACCTTTCTCTGCTAATCTGTTTCAAAGCTTTTGAAAATAAATAAATGTTCTAGTTTTTGTGTTTTCCAGTATAACATACTACAGGAAAATTTCAGTTCATGTTCAATAATTTTCAGATAAGATGACGTGAAGATTGTTTTTATCGCTAATTGATAACCAAGGGAATTTTTTAAATGTCACGGTTAAGAGTTCAAACACATCGTCTAGCATGATTTCATCGAATTTCTTTGAAATGTGTTTTCACGTGAATCGAATCACTAGAAAAATCATATGGGAAATCACTAGCGTGGGTAGGTACTAAAACAACATTTGTTATCAATTTAACTTCGGCGCAACGTTTATTCTCAAAGATCAGCGTTGATAGTTCACATGCAAAAAAGAACCCGACTAATTATTTGATTTTGAAAAATCATAGTTTGGTGACGTTGTGATCGACTGGTTTGCAGGATTTACGATGACGCTTTAATTTTTTTGTTGTGTGTGACTGTATGTTGTATTTGTATCTAGTTTATTCGTTAAACTCTGAATTATCCTGTAAACAAATGAGTTATGTATCTTAAAATTGTATTTTTTTTTTGAAAACATTCATGGTTTGAACTTGGCATTTTTATATGATGTGTCCAACTACAAGGTTTAATCTTCAATTTTTGAAAAACAATAGTAAAATAATTAACGTAGGATCGATGATTGTTCGTGCTTTTTTCGAAAAAACTTCGCCCCCGGACAAAAACAATATCTCATGTGATAACTGTGTTTTTAAACAGGAACTTGAGCATTTTTTATTCTCTTAAAGTGCACATTTTGATGATTTTCTGAGCGTCTGCTTTCTCTGATGTCTGGTAAAAATCTGAGAATAATAACTATACCGTAACCGTTTTTTGATTCTGATGACTTCACAGTTCACAAGGCCCAAAGAGCTTATCTGATCTGCACTATTTTACAAAAAAACCCAAAACCAGTAGATCTATATTTAGTTTTTTCCAATTTTTCTAGTTATTCTGTTTCACTTTGTGAATCGATGATGAAACAACCAAATAAAAAAACACCTTTTGTAAAATAAAAAACATATTTATTTGAGGTAAAACATATTGAGAAGTGCTGGATGAGTCATATGAGTAAGATAATGCAGAAACAAGTTTTTTGTTGTTTTTTAGGGAAAAATTCAGGTGATTTAAGACATTTGACAAGGGTCAGATGATTATTCTTCGTTTACATTTGCAAACAAATATTTTTTGTTCTGTCGAGTTTGGGGAGTCGGGTGCTGAAGACCTTTGCGAACACTATAAAAACACACACACATGCTTTGGGGTGCTAAGTACATAACGAGAGAGTTGGGGATGTTGATAATTGAGGATCTGGAAAACAACTGGGAAAATACTTTAATTGGGGAGGAAGTTGAATACGTATCCAAATAACAAAGATGGGGATCAAACAAAAAAAAATTATAAAAAAAAGTTGAATAGCTGAAATGGGTTTCTTTATAAAAAATTGTATACTGTAATAGAAAATTAATGATTTTAGTTACATCAGAGAAGTAAAAGTACTGTAAGAAGTTCAAAGAGAATTTAAATTTTCCAGATTTAATGAAAAAATAAATTTTCAATAAGATCCTATCCAAATATTTCTTGTCCTGGTTTGTTAATGATATGAAATTTTTGTAAAACATTGTTGATTTCATTATGGTATGTTGCACAGTATCTTAAAACATTTCGAACTTCCTAAAAGAATTTCTTGGTTACTGTAAAACAACCTATCACATTGCAAAATCTGTCAAAAAAATCTTGTTCACAATCTCAGACTGTAATCTGTACTTCCCTTTCCCCTCTTTCTGTCATTTTCGAATCTCATGTTTTACACAAATCACGAAGCTCTTGATATGATAATATAAATATCGATGACATATCCTCATACATTATTTTTGAAAATTTTCAAAATCATAACAAACAAATCGCAAAATGGAAAGAGAGAGATTTACATACTTGGTCATGCTTGCTCCAAGTGTATACAATGTTGATAATAATAATAATGAGAATTATTGTGATAAATAAGGGATGAGAAAGAAAACAAATGAGCAAGCAACAAGTATACAATATATATTCGCGCGCTTTTCCTACCCCGGTTTACTCAAGGCTGCCTCTTGAAATACACGCAAATGCTTGTATAAGGGTGTATATGTATAAATATTGAGAACGGGGCGAAGAAAAGAGACAAAGTCCTTCCCTTCTGCCTTGTTTGCGCCCTTTCTTTCCCGCCCTTGTGTTGTGTTTTCCACGGATATCGTCCACCATCAAAATTCATTGTTCTTCTTGGCAATGAAGAGCAACAACACACTAGTTATTCTGATTTTGCACCTTTCTAGTTATGCTGTTCTGTGAGTTTGTTCTTTTGTTTTGTGATAAGCCTGTTTTGCAGAATTTGCAAGAAGTTGTTCACTTATTAGTAGAAAACAAGGGGGGGGGGTGGATATAATGATTTTCACCTGATCGGCAAGGGTCAAAGAATTCCAAAGTTTTTTTTTTTTTTGAAATCAGGTCTTTGAGTTGTTTTAGATAATGATTTGTACAATTTCAAATCATTATTTCGAGAGAAGGTTTTTCAGATTTGAGCTCACTACTAATTAGTTTTATTGAATGTTTTGTCACGCTGTAACACAATTAATTTCAAAATGTTCTTGGTCCAAAAAATACATTTTGTTCAATGATAATGATCATATTTGATTCCATGTATATAACTAATCCTAGATTCAAAAAGATAAGTCGGAAAGCAAAAGTGAAAAATAGTGGAAGATCAGGAACTTTTATTTTTTTCCAGGGATCTTGGAATCAAAAATGAGAAGGCGGCTACATTGTAAAAAAATTTAATCTTTTTGTTTTGACTTTGAAAGAAGTTCTCAATCTTGGTGGTTTTTGGAGTGATCAGGGAAATCAATGTCTCATCATTTTTTTATTAGTTTGAACTCGAATTCAATATTAGGGATCTAGTTGTAGCTTTTTGAAAAAAAACCATCCGATTGGAAGCAGTGACCAGAATAAAATACCTCATCAGTCTTTGGTCACAATATTTTTGATCTACAGTACTTTAGAGGAAAAAAAGCACTTTGCTAAATTATCATCAAAGTTCCCTCTCCAGAATAACAAACTACAAAAAACTCGATTTTTTCACTTATTCTCTATTCAAAAATCAGAATTTCTCAGACAAACCTAATTTGATAAGGTCTAATTAGAAATTGATTGTTCTTTGTATGATGTTTTAGAAAATTTCATCAACCCAAAGAACTAACAATATGTTCAATGGTGTTTTATGGAAGATTTTGTTTGATTTAGGAATCTTGAATGAGGAACCAAAAAGGGAAACAATTTAGAAAATTGTGACAAAAGATTAGTGCAGATATAGCTGGAATTGGAAGATTAGCTGCAATGTTCTGACTAGAACTACATAATTTTTAATAAGGATTTTGGTTTGCAAAGTTTCAAACAACTAAACGACAAACACGAGATAAATTTGGGATTCCCGACAAGAATAAAAACATGTTTTTTTGCAGAGCACATTTAACATCTCGCCGGAGTACAAATAACAATTCATCATGCACTTGTGCTCCAGAAATTGACCCGGTTTGTGTTCGAGAAGGACCATATCAATATAGTTATTCAAGTAAATGTGTATTTCAATGTGCGCAGGAGAAAAACAAAGGTTCAGTTTTTTCCAGACATATATTTTTGTTTTTGTTCTAAAATGACGAATGGCTAGAAGGGCTAAAATTTCCCGTTTGAGTCAATCTGGATGAGATTTATATAGCAAAATAATGACAAGCCGGATAAAAAAACCCAGTTTCTGGTCTCAAAATAAATATTAATCAGTGAGATGCATTTATGGAGCTATTAGATAAGAAAAAGAAAAGTGAGGGACCGGGATTTTTCGTAGGATGTTGAAGATGTTGAAAAATATTTCAGAGACAAAGAAAATTGTTTCTGAATCAGAGGATTTGTAATTCAATTTTTTTGGGATTCACTTTGAAAAATTACTCGACAATTTTTGAAACATTGAATTTTCATAAACCAATAAAAATCACATTAATTTTTTATTCAGAAATCGTGTTACTATATGAAGGTTCCTGTTGTTCCGCTAGATATTGCAATATGTTTGAGCCCCCAGTCTGCTCCGAGGATGGTCAGGTATGCACATAAATAAAAACATATTTTTTAAAAATTTTCGAAAACACTGTTATGTTCAGATGTACCAATCTACTTGTGAATTTGAAGAAAGACAATGCATTGAGCATAAACTTTATAATAAATATCTTCCGATGGATAGCTCAAATAAAAAATGCTCCTGTATTGTTCCGTGTCCAACAGAATGGAATCCAGTTTGTGACAAAAAAGGAAAAACTCATGCAAACTTCTGCACATTTTTGAATTCGAGGTGTTATAATCAAAATCAGTGAGTTCTAGAAATCTTTGCGATGATTTAAAAAAAAACTGTAGAAAAAATATTCAGATTAAATGAGACAATTGAAGTTGATTATTCTGGAGTTTGTTGTGAAGATATGTGTTCAGCTGGTCAAACTTCTCTAACAGTTTGTGATTCTCAAGGTACAACTCATACGGATATATGCTCATTTTATGTGGTTAGTTTCGTTTTGCTTTTTTTTTGTTAAACATGTTTTTTGATGGTCACAATTAATCTGGTGCTGATCATCGAAAACAAAACGAAAACCGGGATTTCGTTTTCATAATTAAAAAATAAATATAAATAACTGTATGTAGTTTGTATGGTCTGAACAGTTTTTGTAAAACATTATGATTTTCCGAGGTTGCCTGGGGGATAATTTTTGTGAAATGAAATATTGAAAGATTAGATATACTAGAAAACCGGGAATTGAGAACTGTAGGAATTCCAAATAATAATTTAGTTTTGCTATTCGCTTTTCAGTGGTTCTTCTGAAATTTGTTCAAAAAACAGAAATTTAATTTTCTTTAACTTTATGTGCAAAACTGAAAAATTATCAATTGAAAATGTTTCAAATTTAAAATTCAAACTCCTTTAGCTATTATCTGAATTCTCTCTGAAATTTTCAAGATAAATCATTTTTCCCAAACCAACAATCAAGATCTCATTCTTTCCAGGAAAAATGTCGTCAAACACGCCGTGGAACGGGTAAAAAAGCGTCTACAAATCGCCGGAATTGGACCATGCAAACCAAAAAATCCACTTTTTAGTGCATTCGACTTTTTTGTGAATCGATTTCCAAACTATCATCCACCTCGAAGATTTAATAAAATATAATATATAAGTAAAAATAAACATTTTTGTTTTGACAAAATTACATTTATGAACATTTTTGTGTTAAAGTTACATAATATAATATGGTTGAATTACAATATTTTCAGGAAAATAGAACATGTTTCAGTGTGTATTTCATAATATAGTCAAGTAAAATCAAGTAAAAGTCATTCGAAGACCGGTAAGCAAAAAAGATAAGCAATTTGTAAAATTCCAAGGGGTTACATTTAAAGCTGTTAGGAAATTAGGGTTCTCTGAACACCCGTGGAGGAATGGGGACAGCATGATGAGATTCAAAAAATTATCGATTTTGTGTTTGTTTTGTGGTTTTTTTTTCAGAAAAATTAAAAGGGGATTTTTAAAGTGGCTCGATTTCCACGCCGTCAATGTCAACGGAATTGTATTGAACAATTTTTGGCTTTTGTCGATGTTTTGAAATTATATCACATATATCGCTGTATATCTGGAAAAAAATTGATTACTTACTGACGATTATTTTTGAAATTATAATTGGTTACCTTGTCAACGTCTCCAATCGTTACTAGTCCCAAAGTTTGATTGATTTCTTTTTCATGAACTTCAATCCAAATGATGTTTCTCTTAATTTGCCGGCGACTGTGCTGAAAAAAAAATTTAATTTTTAATTGGCTCGGGTAAACATGAGACTCAAATAAATGCGAAAAGTTGTCGTTCTTTGCACTTTTTGATTAAACGAAAGTAGCAAATAGAATATTCTAATGAGATTTTTGATACGATTTCTAAATATGGGAGAGAAAAAATTTCCAAAAGTTTATTGGATTTTTTTTTAGTTTTGAAAAATAGTACAGGATACTGTAGTAGTTGTATCTATGAATCTATGATTTTTGGCCAAGCAAAAATGTTTCTAATATCTTATTAAAATTAATATTCACTTCCCGGATTATATTATTTATTATATGTTTGTAAAATCAAAGACTATTTTCAAAGATTACCCTTTCGTTTTTTACAAACCTCATCAGTATAAGTTTTTCCTTTACTCGTATTTTGTACATTCAGAATTTCGACACTATACGCTCCGCCAGTTTTTGAGCAATCAAATCGCCGCGGCCGATAACAAATTGCCTCATCTTGAATGTATATGAGTCCACCGCGTCGAATCTGAAATGAATTGAATCGGAAAATTGAATTGATGGGGGTTTTCATTTTTTTGAGGAAATTTTTAACAAGATTCATGTTAATATTTACCTCTGAATGATGTCCATCATCAAGAATCAAACCATCAACGTGCCATCGATATCTGACAGATGGGTCTGGAACTCCAGGATCACAATGTTTTCCAAGAATACAACCCATTATTGCATCACCAACTGCAAAAAAATCAAAATTTTCTCAATGTTTACTTCACAAAGCGTAGGTGTAGAAAAAGAGTAATAATTATTTTCGACATTTTAAAAATAACAAAAACCGAGTAGATCAAACTAAAAAAAGCAGGAAATAGATTTCTCTCACGATTGTCGTTACGAATTCATCAAAGAGTGGAGACAAACAAATGTTCATATAATTTTGAACACTCAATTTTTTGTTGCTCCAGGCCTTTTTTGCTGTGGGAAAATATTGAATTATGATGGGTGGCATTCTGAGGAAAAGATTACGGTAGTGTTAATCTTTTCGACCTCTGATTTATCATGTGACCTAGGGGAGGAAATCTTCATGGGTGGTCAAAAATAAAGAGAGGATAGTGTAAACAATCATAATACGATTGTGGCTATTTTATCGAATTTTCCTAGATTAATTAAAAAATTAATTAAACCCCGTGGGTAGTACTTTATTTCAAGAACAACAGTTCAAATGCCCTTAAATCAGAAAAAATGTGTTGTTTGTCAAAAAAAAAAACAACATCGGTGGTCTATATCAGCTGCTGTCTAGGAAATGGTTCTGAACATCGTGGGTGGTCTAGACTTTTTTAATATTGAAAAACAACAATGAAACATCATTTCTCACAAAAAAACAATTATTATTTCGAAAAGTATTGTTTTGTAATCAGTGCAAATTGTTTTTTTCTTATTATGAAATATTTTTTTAGCAAAAAAAAAACAATTTCTGATAAAATTGCGTGAGAAATAGTTATTCTCAACAAAAAATAATACGAAATGATATCAAATCTCGATTTTTTTAATTGGCGGTATACCTCGAAATGTCATGGTTACCAAATCTCACGAGAAACACACGAAAGAAATTTCAGTGTACAAGCAATAAAACAAATCAGGCCCAAACAAGAAATGGCAAAAATTAAATGAACCATAAAAATTCGTGTGCACTTATTTCAAGTCGTCATTTTTTTTCTTATTTTTCGATTTGAGTCGAGTGAGTTTGAAATTCGAGATGAGCAGAGCAGAGCGCATTTTATGCGTTTAGTGAATTTTTTAGAAGAAAGAATAAAATAAGATGAAGAATTGTTAATTATTCAAGAATTTTGTGATCTTTTGATTCGAATTTTATTCTTGAAGAAATAAAAAAAAATAAAATATCTAGAAAAAAGAAGATAAAAAAATTTTATGGAGAAAATTGGGGGGAAAATAAATAGGAAAGCTCTTGAACACAGAAAAATAGTGATTTAGAAAATGCACTGAATAATCGAATAACACTCAGTCGGAAATAAATCCAATTTTTTCGGGGCAGCAAAGGCCTAAACGTTCACTCACTCTTTCACTCACTCAAAAACCAGATGGGGTGCAAAAATTAATTTGAAACATACTTTTTCTAGCTATTTTTGTGTGTCTCTTGTTAAGAAGACAAACTTTAAATTACTTTTTTTTCTGAAACAAAAAAAAGTTTTTTGAAAGAACAAATTAGTGGGAAATGGGAAATGGGAAAATGGAAAAAAGTTGATTTTTGAACGTGGAATAATAGAAACGGAAACTGATATGGAATAGTGACGCAAATTTTATTTTTGTTCCAAACAATAAAATAAAAATTGGTATCGTGAAAAACTGAAGGAAAAAATCATTTCTGTTTTTTCATTATTTTTGCCTATATATTTATTAATTTTGCTTCGTCGTCTTGAGAATTTTAGTGCATGAATTATTCAAAAAGTTGGATGGAGAAGACAAAAAATATTTTTATTTTTGAAAAAAAAACGACTGCTATCCCTATTGTTTATGAGAAATCAGCGGAGGTGTCAAGAACATGTGGAAAATATTCGAAAAATAGGAATAATAATAGGGGTGTGAAGAAAAAAGAGGGAGATGAATATGTTTCAAACGCAATACTGATAACAGAGCACTTTTTCGAGAGGATGATGTCATGATTTTCGAAATTATTCGCGTTTTATCACTTCCTTGAGGTTGAATCATTAAATTTGACTTATCCGAGTTTTATATAAAACATTGGAAAAAAATCAACACATTCATGCCTTAATGCTTCAAAAGATATCTAAAAGTTCATTAAAATGCGAATAACTTTTTCTTGATTAACTTGAAAAAAAGACATTCCACTTTCAGTTTTCACGAATGCTTAAAGCACTTTGAAAAATCTCAACGATGTTCTCAAAATCGAAAACTGAAAAATTCACATGAATTAGTCTAGACAACACCAAAATTTGGTATGTCGAATTTAAAAAAAAAGGCTCTAGAAATCTCAATACATTCAGAAAAGTTTCTCAAATTTTTTTAAACGATAAATTTTGAATCGAAAAATTGTGGTGTCTGAAAGTTCAACTAGAAAAATACACCGATAATTTATCTTTACCTAGTTGAACATGTTTTTTTGATGCCTATAAATTTTTCATGATATAGAATGCAAACGTTCGCTTTCACAGTTCTCAGAATGAGCTCGAGATAAAAAATAAATGGTATCTCAAATTTTAGACAAAGTCTAAAACTTTTATCGGAATTTCATTCACAAAATCTCGAAAACTATTGAACTCCAACTGATAGGAAGTTTGACTAACTAAATAAACCCAAATGAAGAAAAATCTTTAAAAATTTTGAAAAATCGTGAGATTTTCTGTTTCGGAAAATCTTGATTCGGCTTGAGAGTGTCGACAGAAAATATTTCCTGGCAACCCCAAAAAATTCTGAAAATCACAAAGAAGTCTCTAGACACATCGTGGAATATTCATACATACATATGTATAAAAGAAGCGACAAAAAAGTATCAGAAAAGAAAAAGCAAAGCAAAAAATATATATTTCTTTTCCCCTTTCTTTTTCTTCTTCCTATTTTCAATGAAGACGAGCACAAAAGCGCGAAGGGCAAAAAACATGGAGTAAAAAGGAGCTTTTTTCGTGTGTCTTGTCTCAATTTTCGACTCTATACCCCTGCCTTCTTCTTCTTCTTCTTCTTTTTTCTATTTCTTCGCTCCTCCCCCATCCTATCCTAACCCCCACTTTTGAATATTCTGAAACCTAAATTGCCCTCTGACAACAAAAATCCAAAAAAGACCAAAGGAAAAAAACAAAGTTCAACGTTTGGTAATTTGTGTGGTGTGAAACAGTGAAAAAATAAAAAGTAAATCAAATTTGGGCGCGGCGGGCTGGCGGGCAGAAAAAACTAAAAATAACATAACATATGAAAAAAGTTTCAAAGATTATATAAGGCGAAACTCATATTCGGGTTACTGTAGACATCAATAAATAATTATAGAGAATTTTGAAATTTGATTTGATCTTTTTTATTCAAAGATCTTGGAAATTTGTATACCTTGGGTTTTTTGACTGGATAAAAAAATTTCAGAATTTTTTCGTTACATAGAAACCGTACTCAAAAAAGCTCAATTTACCAGTTTTTGGCACTATGAAAATTACTGACAGTATCCCCAAGACACTATAATACAGATGTACTCACATCATTTCTGATCTACAAAACTTTCTAGACAAAAAAAATTCCAACATGTTTCTTTTCACAAATAATCATCATCTTAAAGTATTAAACTTTCAACAAAACACACTTCAATTTTTCGTAGTAAGTCAACACGGAAAAAATGAACACCTTTTGCGTCATTTTTCACCAAAACTGGTTGAATTCAAAAATTCATAGCAACTTGAATGATTAACGTTGTCCCAACCCGAAATAGTACATTCATTTTCAAAGCAAAAATTGTTGTGTGCAAAAAAAAGTGTAGTGTGTTTACTGAGATGGAAGAAGTCAATTCGAGAAAAGTACCTCAAAGTCATCTTTAATGTATGATGATGATGATGATGTTTTAAGAGAGAGAGGATAGCGACAACAGAATATGTAGAAAAAATAAAACGTTTATGGTTAACTAGAAATGGTCTTGAGGTCTTCTGGTAATTATTCCGAAATTTCTAGGTGGGGTGTGGGAAAAACGCCATGACTAGACACTGATCAAAATTACTCTTTTGGAATAAATTATTTTAGAATTTTTTTAATAGCTCAGAGTAAGTCTGGCTTTAAAGGCGCAGTTCGCGGACATTTTTTTCTCAATTTTTGGGTGAAAATCATGCTCGCAGATTCTGCGAAAAAAATTTAAAAAAATGCTAAAATACAGTATTTAAAAAATCCAGAAAAATAATTAATATTCAAAGTAGACACGTAACATTTTTTTTCTAGATATGACTATTATTATCATACATATAATGATAATGAATAAGAATGAGAAAAAGATTATTAGAAAGTGCACTTCGTATATATACAATTTTTCGTGAAAAAAAAAGAAATGTATAGTTTATTTTTGAAAAACCAACCAGATGTTTGCTTCAGAATAAGCAAAAAAGAGAATTTTGTTTGTCACCTTCTAGATAACAAAAAAAACACAAATACAATGGGGATTGAAAGTGAAAAACATCACAAGATGAAATAAAAAATCTGTGTGTGCGTATTGAAAAATGTGTTGCGATTGACGATTAAAACCCATGCCAAGCCAAAGCCATGTGTTTTTCAACAAAAAATACTGAAATGAAAAAAAACGGAGAGATAAAGCAGAAAAAAAATGGGGATGAGAGCAGATGTGCACTGATTTTTTTGGTTGGATGTGATGTGCATACTTGTTTCTTGTTTCTGAGAAAAAAGTCGAAAATTTGATTATACAGACATATTTTTGTTTTATATGGCCGGCGGCGGGCAGCGATTTTTGAAAATATTCTCTTCTTTTTGTTAGTTATTACGTCTGGAGAATAACTCAATTATGTGACTGACTGAATGTGAGTGAGTGACGAAAATGTCGGATCATATGAAAAAATGTCTTCTGGAGAATTTTTTTATACGAAAAAGTATCGAAATTTTGTAGTTGTATAGTGACTATTTTCAGAACAGTAGGAAGAGTTTGAGGAGAGCAATCGATGAAGTGCTTTTTTAGAAAGTGTTCGATTTGATATATGATTAATTTTGAGATTTTCAAAATTTCATAAATGAGTTCTGAAATTGAATACCGTTAGACCAAATCAGGTTTCTCAACTGAAACATTCAGCTTTGAAATTTTCATAACAAACAACTCAATGCACTTTAAATTGAGATTTTAGATTTTCAAAATTCAGAATTCTAAATACTTCGAGAAATTTTTGAATTTAATCGTTCTATTCTATAGAAAACTAACTAGAAATCCGAAAAAATTGATCAAAACTTTGACCACTCAAGTTCTCAGTAATGCAACAAAATAAAATGAAAAACTGAAAAATGTATAACGTCTAAATTATTCATCGTCAAAATTTTCGCGCGTGAAATTTCCCAACATGTAGATCAAACATTCCATAAGTCTACGTGGAATATTCAATATTTGAAAATATATTGTAATCCTTTTGCCGAAAAGGAATGTTCTTTGATGACAGATTTATATTGTCTGCATATTATAACTAAAACTTGATTTGAAGTTTTCGAGTTTCAGAAAACCTCAAATTATTCGTACGGGGGAGTTTCGCGCATTTTTTTTATAAATTGTAGATCAAAAAAATATACGTGAAAAATTCTCTCTCTCAAAAAAACTCCCAAACGAAAATATTTTCTCAAGAACTCTTGAGTCTCATAAACATTCTCAGCCAGCTTAAATAATAATTATTTTTAAATATTATATAAACAAACTGGAATAGAAATTCATTAAAAATCTGTCAGTTTCAGAAAGAAAATGAGACTGGAATGGGCAACTAACTGAATACAAATGACTGAAAAACGAGATTTAAGTTTTTCTCCCCGCGTTTTCTCATTTCTCGGCGCAAAAAAAAACAGAGACGGAGAAAAAACGACAAGTAGCAATTATAATTACTTCTTCTCCATACATACTACTTTTTCTCAGAAAAAAAAAAAAAAACTATTTTTTGTCAGGAAAAATATGCAAAAGAAATCTGTTAGATGGCTTCTACAAAAACATATTATTGAATTTTCTTTTCCATATCTAATTCATAAAGAAAAAAAATTAAAATATTCAAAAATTGGCATCAAAAATGGGAAGAAAGACGAAAAAAGAATGAATGAGGTGGAAAATTGAAGTGTTATCCCAAGGGAGCCAAAAAAAACGTCTGCAAAAAACAACGGTCAATTTTTGACTCCGACTTTGTTTTTGTTTTTTTTTTTGCTTGTGATCAATGTTGCACAATTTGTCATTTAACAAGAAAACATGCATGCATGAGAAAGCCACATTTATAGAAAAAAATGGTTTTTTTTCATCAGATTTTTGATGTATACAAATAGACAGTTGTCAGTCAATTGGGGGCTCAAAAGATGAGAAAAAGACATATTTTATTTTGATTTGTGTTGACAATTGGTTGGTTGGAAATTGAAAATTGAAAATTAGACAGCTATTGAATTTCTTTTATAAATGTCTTATTGTTCAGATTGTGGATGAAATGAAAAATGTGAAATGGATTGCACAAAGAATATATGTACCAAAAGTTCAAAATTGAACCTGAAATAGAATTTTTTTTACAAAAAATTTATCTGATTATCTGGTAATTTGATCAGATTTATTCAGTCGCCTAATAAATGTTTCATGACAATATAAGAAATTTTCGAAACTTTGGGGAACTTGGAAAATTGCGAGCGAGAAAAAATTGCATAGCATTCGAAAAAAAAAGATAAGAGCAAACCTCAAAATCGAACACTTGGTTTTCCAAAAACTAATACAATTTGATGACATTTGGCGCTGATTTAATTTTGCGGCCATAATTCAATTTTTTCATTAAATATCTCACATTCAGCAATTTTTTAGGTGTTCAACTTAATCGACATGTTCAAAGTTTTCAATATTTTGATAGTTTATATTTAAGGCTGATTCTTTAAATTCATCATGACTGTAATATTTATTAAAACCCTTGGAAAAAACACAAACAATGAAGTTTTCCAATTATAAATTTCTTATTTTCCAGCTGGATCGGCTTGACCTTGATTTTCTTGTTGATTATCACCATTTCCTGGACCGCCGGATGGATCTGCTGGCGCAGATTGTCCATCATCTTCACCCCCTGGAGCTGGTGCTGGACCTCCAGCTGGATTCGCTCCACCTTGGTTTCCAGATTGTTCATCTTCGTTTCCCGAACCTCCAGATGGATCTGCTGGTGCGGATTGTCCATCGTCTTCACCCCCTGGGGCTGGTGCTGGACCTCCAGCTGGATTGGCTCCACCTTGGTTTCCAGATTGATCATCTTCGTTTCCTGGACCTCCAGATGGATCTGCTGGTGCGGATTGTCCATCATCTTCACCCCCTGGGGCTGGTGCTGGACCTCCAGCTGGATTGGCTCCGCCTTGGTTTCCAGATTGTTCATCTTCGTTTCCCGAACCTCCAGATGGATCTGCTCCTCCTTGATTTCCTGGTTGATTATCATCATCTCCTGGACCAAAAGATGGATCAATCGTAATGTTATTGTATTCTTCGACAGAATAGTCTTCTTCTGTGTCCGTATCGAATGGATAATATGGTGTGGTTTCATCAGTATAATCAGAATTTTCTGCAGAATTTATGTCCTTTGGAATTTTTGGAATTTCTGGATGAATCATGGCAACTTCGGTTGTTGTTTCATAATTCTCTTCAATTCTGAAAACGAAAATCTCTATGAATGTTTAAAGCAAATGTTTGACCTAACACTTACCCAATTGGTTTACCAGAAACACAAACTACCAACAAGAGTAAGATTAACACTGACTTAAAGAAATAGATCATTTCAAATTTTTTTATGTCTTGAAATAGGCGATTAAAGTGTTATATAGGGGTTTGATATCATCATGATTATTCAACATTTTTGTTTGGAACAATGGAGAAATTCAAACTTTTGTTTCTGTTAAGAAAAAAACAATAAGGACTAGAATAATGATAATATTATAAGAAATGATGCATGTTGATGAATAATTGAATCATTTGTCACTTTTTCAGAAAGAAATGCTTATGTGCATGTACATATAACAAATTTTGTTAGAAAATTTATGAAACAATCATTCATAAAATATATATTTTCAGAATTAAGAATTTTCTCTTTTTGAAAAACGTTTCTTTTTCAATGAACGTGAGATGAAACATTTGAAAAATGTCGTTTTCAGATTTAATTCAATTTTGGAAATCATCGAAGTACATAAGTTATAATTTTTAAATGTCAAAACTTTCTTCTGACCAGTTCTGATCTATGTTATTTTTGATATTTGATTTAATCTCCAATCTTTCATAACTAGGAAGCCTCTTAATAATTATTCAGAAATCTGAATTTAAGTGAAATCATAATTTTATCCAAAGTGTATGTTTCGATGGTCTTGGTACATATTTCAATCATGTGTTTTTATTCCATTAAAATATTCAAAAAATTGGAACTCCTTTGTGTTTATTGGCAACAATCACAAGTGGATGAAGAATAGCGGTCAATCCAAAAGCGACTTTTTTCCACAAAGCTATCTGAATTTTTTCTGATAATAAGAAGTTTTAGAAGTAAAAAAAAACTCACATTTTTACCATACAACCAACATAATCCGAAAAATATTCCGAGCCAGATGGAAACCACAAATTGTGTTTCGATATTGATCAGATTTTTGGAAACAATTTGAATTGAAGTTGGGCTGATTCCAAGTGTTGCGTTTTGATAAAAACTGTGTAATTGAGATGCAACGCTATAGTATATTGCAAAAATAACACGACCAAATTTTGAAGAAAATGAATCCCAGTTCTGAAAAAAACTTACATTTAATAAATTTTTTATTGGTTCCGGAAGAACAAAGAAACAACTCACAATAAAAACATTTGAAATATGTATAAAAATCAAAACCCTTGCAAAATCTCCAGCTCCTTCACACAGAAATGCACCATTTACAAATAATCTGCTCTCCCCACAGTATACTGTAGATAATGTATAAATCAAAATCATCCGAAAAGATCCATGAACAATTTCTAATGGTATTCCAATAGCAATCAATACTGCGATGTTGAGAAGAAAAAATAATTCTTGAGATTTCTGGTTAACAAGGGGAGACAAAAGGAATTGCCAAAAGTTTGGAAGATTCTTATAAAAACGTGCAAGATTGGTGTTTTCAAGGCGATCGGAATAAAACAAGAACATCTGAAAACAAAAAATTTGCAGATAATGTTTTGAGAATAAGTTAAACAAACTTGAAGACATATGACAATCACTATGAATATTGGTTTCCTCCCAGGTGAAGTTTGATAATTCTTAGGCATAACTATTTGCGAAAATTGTTGAAGATCTCCCAATTTTTCCTCTTTCTTTTTCTCATGTTCAATGTCAGGTTTTTCATCAAAAATTATGGGATAAATCGGTGGTGGGCAATCGTAAACATATTGTGAATCCTGGAAAGAATTAATTCAGGAAAAATCATTTTTTTTTAATAGAAAAAACGCACCATTTCTCAGCACAACGTTCCAGATTGTGATAACTGACGTTGTATATATGCATTGAACACTCCATAAACTGAAATTGATACTGTGATAAACTATCATCATATGCTTCTTCTGAAAAAAAAAACGTTTATTTGATTTTGCAAAAGTTCATACAGAGTTACGTATAGACGAGAATAATGTTATAAAAAATTAAATTGTAATGAAACTTTTGAAATTTTTTAATAAAGATGTTTTAGAAAAGGTCCGAAAATTAATCAAGATAACTTACAATTGATGAGCGTTTGAAATGTAAAAAAAACTGCAAATTAGTTTCAGAAAACTTATTGATTACATAACTTCCGGGTTCAAAAAAATGTTCAATGAACTATGAATGTGAAATTCAGAAATCAACCAACTTTTCGTGTTTTCTGATTGTGTCTTTGACAGAATGATTTTTCGATTTTATAGACTATTCAATTCTTTCTCTAATATTCATTAAAGTTTATTATTCTCAAAATAATCTTTCATTCCGTTTCCCATCAATCAAATGTTTTGATTTCAAAAACGCAATTCAATAAACGTCTGAAAATATTAATCATCGTTCCAACAAATCAAATATTTTGTCTGAAACAATATAAAAGCTACCAAGAAAAATTGCAAACCATGCAATAATGAGAACTTTAATCGTTCTTTCTGCTCTCGTCGTTGTCGCCTTGGCGCAATATGGTTCAGTAGCAACTGCTGCTGATACTTCAGCTGTTCAAGTAACCTACCAAGTGCCACAATATCAATATAACCCCTATCCAGGAAACTATTTCTATAGACCAAGGTGAATCTTATTCAAAAAAAATGTCAAAATAAAACAATATTTCAGACCTCACAGACGTCACGGAAGACATCATCGTCATAGAAGACCAGATCACGACTGGGATTTCGATGATGAATCATCGGAAGAAGATTGGGGATGGGCTCGAGATGATTTTGAAGGATATCATGGATATCATGGATATCCATATCCATTCCAATATCAACAACCAATTTACACAGTTCAAACAACATCGAACAATGCCGCTGCTGATTCAACCAGCTATGGAACTGTTTCAAATACTGCTGCTGCTGCTCCAGCCACCTATGGATCCCAATAAATTATTCTGGTTTTGAATAAAGTTTTGTAATCGAACCTTTTTGAATTTTTTTTCCGGAAAATTCGATGATAATTTGGTAATTTGAAAAACTGAATATTTATACATAAGGTGTCAACTGACTAAATACAGGAAAAAGAAGAGGAAGAGAAATTAGAATAGAAACGCAAAGAAGCCGGCTAAGAGATGGTCTCATTAGTGATGCTGGACCTTAGTAGCTAAAACTATCCTAGGCGCAAAGGTTTATATAAAAAATAATTGATTAAAATTAATATGTGAATTATGAGTGGTAAATGGCGTTAGTCTGTTATATGATATGGCAGAAATAATGTGTGAGAAGTGGAGAGAGAAAAGAAAGAGAGAGAGAGAGAGGGGAGGGTAAACTACAGGATGTAGAGTCGTAGTAAATTTATTTTTATTATTTTTTTACTGAAATTTATTTTGTAAATAAGAATATAGGGTGTAATTGTTGTTTTGGAGTTAGAACGAATGAAGATTTTGTTTGAATTTGATGTTATGTATTTGAAAATATTGAAAATTATTCGTTATAGGTCAGCGAAAATTGTTATTTGTTATAGTTCATCAACAGGATAAAATGGAGTATGAGGAAACGAATGGCAAGATCTTGAAGTTCCTGGAAACATCTAGTCCACAGCTACATGCTCGAATAATGGATGGACTATCAAAGTATCAAGTAAGGATAGAGGTGAGTTTTTTGGTTTTGGGGTTTGAAAATTATCATTAAAATTGATAAATTGTAATTTACAAAGCTTTAATTTATAGTTGTATAAATTTGGTTAGTTATATAATATTTTTTGAAAGAACAAATCTGTATTTTTTAGAAATATTAGTTTTTTGGTAATATTTTATAGCTTGTTGCTTTATATGTATATGGTTTATGAAATCCATTTTTCACAAATTGATCAATTAGAGATTTCATTCTTGGTAGAGCATGATAGTATGTGTATGTGTCGAAATAGTGGAAATGAAAATCGTTCTAAAGATAAAAATTCATGAAATTTTTTTTGAAAAGTGAAAAACATGATCAATTTTCAAAGTGTTTCTGTCGGTCTTTTTTCAGTATTAATTTTGAGTTCTAATAATTCTACTCCAAAAATATCCTGAAATGAATTTTTGGTTTTTTCAAACCAAGATCTATCATTTTCACATTGTAAAAAAATTTTTGGAAAGATTTTGGTCCGATTGAAAAATTCTATAAAATGTTATATGTTTCATTTGAAATTTCCAGAGAACGTTTTCTGGCTTTTCGTGTGACAAGGGTGAAAATAGACGAAAAAATGTTTTGTTTCCGAAATTGAAAAAAATTGTTTTTGAAGCGAACAAAATTGAAACCAGGAAGTCAAAAAATCTGAACGAAAATGTTGTGATACGTGAAGAATGGGAACCAGAATACATACAAATTATATTATGTTTTCCGTGAATATTTACATATTTTTTCTATAAAAGAAATGAACGAAATTCAAAATTGTAAAATAATGAGATTGATATTTCTATTTCTATTTCTATTTTCAATCAGCCTGGCTAATGCCAATGTAGTGAAACGGGCCGCTCCAGATGGAAAACCTCCAGGCAAACCATTGGAAACCGGAAAACCTCCAGGCAATCCATTGGAAACCGAAAAACCTGCAGGCAAACCATTGGAAACCGGAAAACCTGCAGGCAATCCATTGGAAACCGGAAAACCTCCAGGCAATCCATTGGAAACCGAAAAACCTGCAGGCAAACCATTGGAAACCGGAAAACCTGCAGGCAATCCATTGGAAACCGGAAAACCTCCAGGCAATCCATTGGAAACCGGAAAACCTCCAGGCAAACCATCGGAAACCGGAAAACCTCCAGGCAAACCATCGGAAACCGGAAAACCTCCAGGAAAACCATCGGAAACCGGAAAACCACCAGGCCATCCATCGGAAACCGGAAAACCACCAGGCCATCCATCGGAAACCGGAAAACCTCCAGGAAAACCATCGGAAACCGGAAAACCACCAGGCCATCCATCGGAAACCGGAAAACCACCAGGCCATCCATCGGAAACCGGAAAACCACCAGGCCATCCATCGGAAACCGGAAAACCACCAGGCCATCCATCGGAAACCGGAAAACCTCCAGGAAAACCATCGGAAACCGGGAAACCACCAGGCCATCCATCAGAAACCGGAAAACCACCAGGCCATCCATCGGAAACCGGAAAACCACCAGGCCATCCATCGGAAACCGGAAAACCTCCAGGCAAACCATTGGAAACCGGAAAACCTCCAGGCAAACCATCGGAAACCGGAAAACCTCCAGGCTGGCCAAACAATGGAAATGATCAAAATCACGGGAACGGACAGAATCACGGAGATTGGCCAAACAACGGAAATGGACAAAATCACGGAGGGTGGCCAAACAACGGAAATGATCAAAATCACGGGAACGGACAAAACCACGGAGGGTGGCCGAACCACGGAAATGGACAAAATCACGGGAACGGACAGAATCACGGACAGTGGCCGAACAACGGGAATGGTCAAAATCACGGAAATGGTGAAAATCACGGAGGGTGGCCGAACAACGGAAATGGACAAAATCACGGAAATGGTGAAAATCACGGAGGGTGGCCGAACAACGGAAATGGACAAAACCACGGGAACGGACAAAACCACGGAGGGTGGCCGAACAACGGAAATGGACAAAATCACGGAAATGATCAAAATCACGGGAACGGACAGAACCACGGAGGGTGGCAGAACAACGGAAATGGACAAAATCACGGAAATGGGGAAAATCACGGAGGGTGGCCGAACAACGGAAATGGACAAAATCACGGAAATGGACAAAATCACGGAGATTGGCCAAACAACGGAAATGGACAAAATCACGGAGGGTGGCCAAACAACGGAAATGATCAAAATCACGGGAATGGTCAAAATCACGGGAACGGACAGAATCACGGACAGTGGCCGAATAACGGAAATGGTCAAAATCATGGACAAAATCACGGACAATGGCCGAATAACGGAAATGGACAAAATCACGGACAATGGCCGAACAACGGACCTGAGCAACACAGCGGACCTTTGCAAAACAACTGGCCAGGTCAAAACAACGGACCTTGGCAAAACAACTGGCCAGGCCAAAACAATGGGCCTTGGCAAAACAACTGGCCAGGTCAAAACAATGGGCCTTGGCAAAACAACTGGCCAGGTCAAAACAATGGTCCCTGGCAAAACAACTGGCCAGGTCAAAACATCGGGCCTTGGCAAAACAACTGGCCAGGTCAAAACAACGGACCGTGGCAACACAGCGGACCTTGGCAAAATAATGGACCCTGGCAGCATCCTGGTAACTGGCCAAATCCTGGACCAGGAGCAAACAACGGTTCGTGGCCAAATCACGGTGGTTCAGGAGGGCACAATGACGAAGATCACGAACATAATCATGAGAAACCAGAAAAGAAAAAACCAAAGCACAAACCAAGACATGATACCAGGTCTTCCGAAGATGATTATTATGATGATTAGTGAGTTTCAATTTTTATTAAGTGAAAGGAACTTAACATAATTCATTTTTTCAGTTTCCCATACTATCAACCAGTTTTGGTCCCAATTCAAGTTCAACAACCACAAAGAGCACCGGTTTTCCCGTATTAATGTTTTTTGACTTTCATAAATAAACGTTTCATTTAAAATGTGTCGAATTTCCAAATTAAAGCCCTTACAAGGCCTTTAAAACAAAAAACACTTTCACCATTTTTCTAACCTCATAAAAATTTCGAAATTCAAATGCTGATGTCGCTGTTTCTGCTTATCTATTTTTTTCTTCGTGTTCAGCATTTATGCAAAATCTTATATAAACTTCGATCAAAATACCATTTTTTTGTTTTTTCCTATTGAATTTGAAAAATGTTTCTTGATCTACCAGTTAACCTGCTCTACACTATTTTTGTTTACTCGTTTATCGGAATTTATACCGAAATACAATTTATGATATTTTCCACACTTACGGAGTCAATAAACTATATGCATAATTTGACTCTGGAGCATCATTATGGAATAAAAGCCACTGAAGCAAAGTTAGTTTTTTTTTTAATTTAGTTTTAATATTCTCAAATACAGCATTGCATTAATGTCCTCAATCATCAATTTATCTGGAGGTGTTGGTTTTATTATCTCAATTTTCTTTCTGGTCCCGAAGTCAGATTTAAAAGGCAGAAAATATCTTTGTGTTTACTCACGGTTTGTCAACAGTTTCTGAGTTGCAATCACAGAATTTCAAAATTAATATTGCAGATTTTTCCTCGGCTTTCTTTCTTCCCTTCTTCAACTTGGTGCAGCAGTGTTTCAAGCTTCGGAGCTTTACATAATTGCTCAATGCATATTTTGCGCACAAATTCCGATACGGATGTTTATCACCGCATTGTTCATTTGTGAATGTGCACCTGATAAGAATCGAGGTTCGTTTAAAATACATCAAAAGCACAAAACAATTGTTTACTAGGGTTTGCATCTGTTGCCTTGATTATTTGTGATGTTATCGGCCAAGTCATAATGTAGGTTTTTTTGGTTTGTAGTTCCAAATCACACTTTTTTGAAGGTATTCCATTACTTCAACTACAATTCTTGGGGGACCATCCACATGGTTTATTTTTCCATTAATATGTACAATTGCGTAAGGACCTCTTATTATTTTTCGAGAATAATATTCGTTTTTTTAAGGTCTGTTGCATTGTTTATGACAACAATGAAACTTCCGGAATCACCAAAATGGCTGGTAAAAATGAATCGATTCGATGAAGCCAAAAAATCCATTTTATTCTATCACGGTCCAGAATGCGATTTGAGTGAGTTAAAAAATCTCAAACCAAAATTAAATAAATTATTTTCTCTACAGATACCACACTGATTTCTATGTTGAAAGAGAAAAACTTAACCCAGGTTGATAAGATTTCTTTGAGCGAAATATGGAAGAATGATACACTTCGAGAAGCTTTGAAATTGATTTTGGCTGTGAATGCGTTTACAATGTTGAGTCCAATAGCTGTTGAGAAAATCTATACTGTGCAAATTCATAATTCTGCAGGATTTGAAATTACAGAGGTATGTTTTATTGAAATTTAAAAACATCCCCCAGGCAATAATCAAAAAAAATTCTAGGTTCTCAACATCAACCTTATCTTATCAATAATCTTTATTCCAACCAGATTTGCTGGAACATTATTAATTGATTATTTTGGCAGAAGACCAGTTTTGTTCATTGCTGCAGCTCTAACGTAACTTTATAACTATTAAACCAAAATTATACATTTTATTCCAGAAACATTAAAATCTGGTTGATGTCAATTGCATTATCTTTAGCATATTTTGAAGGGTTCAGTTGGCTTTCAAAATCTCTCACAATAGTTTCAGATTCTGTTGCTGAATTGATACATGGAACAGGATCTTATGCGTTGATGCCATTGTTGGTTTCTGAATTATTTCCGCCTTCGGCTAGAACTGTTGTTTCTCAGGTATGAAAATCCCGTCAATAACATCAAATACCTGATAGGATTTTTAGTGTATCCTGGTGCTCACAACATTTTCCAACATTCCAACATTGTTCAGTTTTCCAATTATCAATTCAATATTCCCACCAGGATTTTATATACCATTCATTTTCATTCAGCCAATAATTGTTGGTTATTTATACATGTAAGACATTTTATCGAGTTTCAATAACATATGGAATTGTTTTCAGTTATCTCCCAGAAACCAAGGCTCGCGCAGTTTGTGATATTATTGATTCATTTGATCAAGAAGTCACTTCAAGAGTAAGATTTGTTAATATGTTGAACCTTTATTATATTTTTTATAGCGAAATACACTTCAAGATGAGAGAAGACCACTTATAATTCGAGATAGAGTATGTTTTTTTTTCAATATAACTACGATAAACAAGATATCATTTCAGACAATGAGTTTGGCTCACAAGAGAGGGAGTTTTTTGTTGTCGACATCAAAGAGCAGAGTGGGCTGTTGTTTTTTTAGTTTTTGCTGAAATTTATGTTATTTTCAGGCATTGACGTATTCATATGATCAGAAAATGGGTGCACGGGAGTGGAATAATTTTTAGAACAATTTGTGGGAATGTATAGTTTGTTTCAGATAAAACTCATTGATTCACTGAAGTGAGATAAATTTAGTTAGTCTCTTGCAATACACATAAAGTATAAACAAGTTGCACACGGAAAACATAAACTCTGGAAATTTCTTATGGATCAATATTGTTTTTATCAATAAATTACGATAACAAATTCTGTTAAATCTACTGTAAAATTTTCAATGTTGATTTACTAAATCCAGTAGTAGTTTGCAATGTTTGGAGAACCATTTTCATGTTCTCAAAGTGCATTAATTGTAATTATTTATCTTGAAAGATTCCAAATATTCAAAAAATTGAGCAAAGCACAAATCAAAAGATTGAAACATTGAATCCATCAGCAATTAATTAAGAATTGTGATAAATGTCTAGTGTCGGCCATTTTTCGCTCCTTCTCTTCATCTCGAAAAAAATCAAAAAACATCAAAGCAGGTATCTTTTTTCAGGTGTGTGTGTGCTTTTCTTTCATAGTGAAAAAGGGGGAGTGTAGGTATATTAATGGGTTTGTCTCTTTCCACATTTTTTGTGTGTCTTTTTTGTTTTTTTCATTTCATTTCATTTCAATTTTTGGTGTAAAGCGAAATGAAATAAAATGACACACAGGCACACATGAAAAGATGATACGACAAATTATCGTATATTTTATGCTTCTCTCGCGTTTTTTCTCTATTCGTCATTTTCGTACCGATTTATGGGATTTTTTTCGTATGTTGTTTTATGAGATTCTCATATTTTAAGTGCTCAACACATTTTCTTCTTTTTCAAGCACATTTTTCAGAAAGATATAAATTTTCACTTCACTTTACCTTGTTGTGGTGAAATCCTCCAATCAATATTCACATCATATTTTATTTCGTTTTTATTTTTTTCTTCGATAAACACTTTCAGACTGCTACTTTCTATACGCTGTAAAATATTTTGTTTTGTTTTTCTTTCATCTTTTTTTCTGAACATTTTTACTAGTTATATCATTATTTTATCGAAATGCTTTTTTTTACAAAAAGTTCTGATAGAATTTCAAAACTTTGCACTTGAAAATAGAGATCTGTGTTTCGCAACTTTCTAGTTTGACCGGAAATATTTTCGTTCAAAAAGTGTTTTTTTTTCGCAGAACTTTGAGACTTGAGTGTGGGAGTTTTCGAAAATAAAACTAAAAAGTACATATTTTCGACATTATTTTTAACTGATTTATTGTGTGAAGACAAATCAATCGTGGGTGGGTGAACATTCTATGAAACTAGCATAGTTTGATTTTGAAAACTTGGAACTTCTAACAGAAATCATGAAAAAAAAAACACACTTTTTTGAGCCAGCATTTCTGTGGATGTTCCAACGTATTCCGAAACTGACGTCTCTGAATTTTCAACATTATTTAGAAAAGTCAGAAAGGTGAAAGACGTTTGAAATAAATACCGTGAAATTTTCAAATTTTATCACAGGATTTATGTAGCCTCGATCTACAGAAAAAGTTCATAAGTTTTCTAAACTAATATACTATTTTATTGTTCTTTTCAATCTTTTTCAAGTTGTCTAATATTTCTCGATTCCTCAACCTCTTCTGATCTTATTGATCTCCTCACTTCATGTATCCACCTTCACATTTGTCCATGCGATTATTTACCTCAGAAAAAAGATCATCCTAGAATGAAAAAATGTAATCTGATACCCTATTCTCGTTTTTGTCTCCCTCTCTATCTAGAAAACTGAAAACCGATCTGATAAAGAAAATGTGCACGCATCCGACTCACAAATGTTACGACACGTTTCTACAACTTTTTTATATGAATTGAAATGATATGAGCCACAACAAAATTGTTTCAGATTCACTCCTTTTGATAGTTTGCACTTCAATGGAGGTTGATGGAAATTAGTTGTTGTTTGTGTCTCGAAGGAACTCGAATAATTCTTGAGGATGATTCGGGTGGTGAAGATGAAGGTAGTAATTATAAATGTTGTCAGGGCGATGTTCATGTCAAGGTTTGCTTTGATTTTTCAAATTTTCTTCATCAAATGTTTATTTCAGCGTGCCTGTTTCTATGTTGCGATTTCGGCATTAATTGTCTGCTTATTTTCAACAGTTTGTATGTTATTTGGTGTTTATACGGTCAATTTATGGCTCGATATTTTTTTGATCATCATAAATACGGTTGTGGCAATTATCATGATGTTTGGTTTATACTATGATAAAGCAGCTTTACTAGTCCCTTTCATAATTTCTGAGGTAGGGCAAGTTTATTTTTATTTGCAAAGTATTCAATCAAAAAAAAAATTTCAGATAACTCAATGTGTTTTATTTTTTATTCTTGCTAATTATGTGCTTTATTATACAATAGTTATTAAAAGGCAGCGATTTTATCAGAAATTCGGTGAGTATTCAACAATATTCTTTTTAGTTTTCCATTTAATTCAAAAATTTCAAAACTTTGTTCAGATCAAATGCTGATGGTGATATCAATATATTTGGGAATAATAGTTTGTATAGGTGCAATTTGGGCGGCTACAAAATGTTATCATTATTTACGACAAAAGGCTGAAGGTTTATATCCGGATACTGGAGGAAGATGTATGTGGGAATAGAAATAATGATAAATATTTTTGATGCAATTGATAAATGATAAAATTTATTTTGCAGATTTTTTTTGAAAAAAAAGTAGATCTTAAAAAAGAGAAACTTGAACTATTCAGGACGTTTTCTTTTTGTGGAACTTCGAATCCTTCCTCTGTTAATATAAAAAATGAGAATTTGCTGAAAAAATATCTCTTTCTAGCTTGGAAACTATTGATTTTTTAGTAAATCTTTCTCAGTTTAAGATCTTCATGATAATCAAGAAATATTGAAATAGCATTTTCCGAATCGCAAAAATGATTTTTGAAAACTTTATAGTTCATCGAAGGAACATTGAAATTTGAAAACATTCATATTTTTATCCCTTTTCATTCCTGGAAAATGTCAATGATATTTTTGAATTTTCATTTTCCACTTCCTACTTTGTCCTGTCACCCACTAACTCGAAAATATATTTGTTTCAAATTCCGCACGCGATCCAAACAACAGAAAAATACAATTATTCATTAATCAAAATTCACATACACACGACAAGCAACAGATGATTTTCTAGACGCGTTGAAAAAAATGTGTTGGCACGCAACAGGCACCCAAAAAATATGTAGGTATAATTAATACATTTTAAATGAGAAGATTCGTCCTTTATTTTGCAAAGGGTTTAAATTGATTTTGAGCTTCGGCACAAAAAGCATTGCACATTAATTGACAAGCCACAAGATTGTTTTCACTGATGGTTCCCAAAGTAATTGTTCGACTTGTTGATGCGCCACTTGGCACGTGGAAAACCTAGAAAATCAAATAAAATTTCATTGGTTTTTTCTTCTTCACTCACTTCACATGTATATTGGCCTGCATCTTCATCTGGTTGATAATTTCGAATCTCTAAAAGTGCACCTCCTTTATAAGTTTGAAATTTGTCGCCAAGTCTGATTTTCTTTTCATGTCTTGTCCAATAAGTCACCACATTGCTTTGTTTAGCAGTAACTTCGCAAGAAACATTGACCGATGTTGTCGCCAAAACTTCTCCATAATTCAATTGTTTTTCAGCGAACACAAGGTCTTCTGAAATTGTTTTTTTTTGTTTTCATATATGATTTATTATCGATCATTATTAGATAGAGAGAACCCCAAGAACAACTATTTCTAGAATCTAAATCAAGTTCAATCAACGTCAAAAATGTTTCTTCCACTCATTTTTTGTGTTCATTATCAAACTTGATTATAAATAAATCAATCCATCTTTTTTCATGTTTTCTTTTTGTTATCATCTTTTTGAACTTCCAGTCCTTATTTTTGTTCTTACCAAAAATCACAATATCTACGCTGTTTGTCACAATTTTGTCTCCAATTTGTGCACGGCAAGTATAAACACCGCTGTCTTCGATTGTTGAGTTACGAATGACTAATGCAAGTGTGTACTCATCCAGTTTTTTGATTTCAACATTTCCGGTTCTAGAAATAATCTTTACATTTTTTTTTCTCTCATTTTTTTTTGAATGATAAGTTTTAAATAAATCTGCAAGAAATAAATCATAATTTACCTATCTAAACCTCCATGCGTTTTCCAAAGAACACCTGGTTTGTCTTTATTATATCCTCTGACTGTACATACAATTGAAACTTGATCTCCAGCTGGCTTTTGAATTGTTGTGGTGTTAGGATTTATGATAACTTGAAGCTCATCAACATCGTTGCCAATTTCATTTTGAGCTGAAATAGTTGATTTTTATTTCTTATTGTTTCTAGTTCTGATCTTCATGCTCTCTTGTCACGTGACACAGATTGGAAAAATATGTTTCTATTTTCTCGGGAAACATGCACCAGTAAATCTTATTGGACTTTTTCAAATATATTTAGTTTGTAACATTTTATTCAATAACTTTCACTAAACTTTTCCACTTCAACATACTTATTTGCTGTTCACAATCAGATAAAATAAAGCATGATTCTAAAAATCTGTTATGAGCATTATGTAGCTAAAAACATTTGAGCAGTGTTTAAAAAATTAAAATTGCGAAATTTATCACTGATAGTTTTATTTTCCTAAAGCCTCACCTTGTACGTTTCTCTGAACCAGTAATCCAAAAAATATCAAACTATACAACATTGTTATCGCAAAAAAATACTCGTTGAATGACTCAGAAAAAAACAACAAAAGAAGAATAATGGATATCTGAGAGTGCTCGGTCTTTTATATATATTTATATATCAAAAAAAAAGTTGGTGTGTAAAAGAATCGAGATAAATTACTATTGATCTCTTATTACCTTTTCGTATTAAGACAAAATCACTCTATGATTTTCACACACTATTTTGCTCCAAACCCATTTTGTCGGAATAGTTGTTAGGACATTGATATATTGAGATGACCGCGGCGACCCGGAGATGTGCTTTTTGTTTTTTTTTTTGTCTGATTTTTTGTAAGAAGCAAATGTCACGTGAAACCTCCTCTTGTGCACTTTTTTGTGAAATGGACACAAAAAATAGATTGAATTGAATTGAAATAAAATAAAATGCGGAGGATTTTGCGAAACAAAACAGATGCGGGAGATTTTATGCGCGGCGAGAATAAAACAAGATGAATTCTTCATTGTTTTAGAAAATATCGTTGTTTCTTCATGTTCGCCCCCAAATCCAAATAAAAAATCTACCACATTGTGCCATCCCTTTAAAACACCAATTTATCACAACTCAATTTTTTGGCAGTTTTTACATAACAGTTGTTCTCTCTCTTTTTTGGTGGGCAGGCTCAAAATCATTTGGAAAATCGTTCTCATTCATCAAAATAATATTGGATTTGCCTAATTTCCATAAAATCTTGAGCTACTATGGTAACCGAGGTCGGCTTAGTTCATTAAAACCCAAGAGAGGTTCCAATTATATATTTTGATGTGAGTTGAGAAAGAATTTTCAAGTTTTTATTTTATGTATATTCAGTGTTCGTATTAGTCGCTTTTGAAATATACTTGATTATTTTCTACTTTAAAATTGAAACAGCCGTTAAGATTTCATAGAAGATTTCTAGGTTATTTCGATATATACAAAATCTCTACTAGATTTTTGAAGGTGTTTGATTCTTTTAAAAAATCTCAATAACATCTACAGTAGTCCTGAATCTTAAATACAAAAATAATACAATTTCATGGTTATGAAGTATAAAAAATTTCCGTAATTTGTATTTTTCAGATTCCCTGTTTGACTATATATTTTCATTCATATTATTTTTCTTATATTGATTGAAATTTTCATGAAACCATTTTTACACTTTTGAGTTAGTAAAAGATCTACAAAAATATCACTCAAAATATTCAGAAAGGTATCAATTACATTCACTGACCATGGGTATAATTAGTATGAGTTTAACTCTATCATTTTGAGCTTGTGATTAAAAATATAGTAAATTCTGGACAAATTTTGTTAACCTATAATTTGAGGCCCCAAAACCCGCATTGTGGATATGAAAAATCCAGTTTTAGTTTCCATGGTGAAATTTCTATTTCAATTTTTATATTGTTCAGGCTATAATTTCAAATATAAAGATATAGTATTGACATATATATCCACTATCCTTATTTCTCCAGTGGATTCTGAATGTGAGTGTGAAAAATCTCAAAGGTTTTCGGACAGCTATTTTTTTCAGTTTAATTCAAATTTGAAAAATTTTTGGTATGAAATGAAGTTCATTTTGTGATAATACTGTGATATTATAATGTCACATTGTCCCAAGCGGATTTTTTTTGGCCCCAATAGAATAGCAGTCTGTCTGCCTTCATGTTTTACTCTTTATTGAAATATTTGTCCCCGCCCCTAAACATTTCATGAGATCTGGAATTTTTCTTGGAAACATCTATCCATCCATTTAAAAGTTATAGGTTCACAAAAAGGATCAGATAACTTTTTGTGTGTTCATTCTATTTGTCAGCGGCAAAAAAAGGCGCACCAATTAATTTACACCGTGAAAACGGCTTTGCGTTCGTTTCTCAATTTTTCGTCCGGTTGGCATTTTTCATCTCTCTTTTTCTTCTTCATTTTTTCGAATGTTTTTCACACACAACAAATGCCACCTTTTTCTCTTTTGAATATATCACCTCATTTTTTACTTTTTGCAAAAAAAAGTTTTCAGTCCCTTGAATATTTTCAGCAAAAGAGTTGGAAGAAATGGAACAAAACAACAAAAAACTCTAGTACCCATTAAAAATTGTACTTTTTCTCATTATTCTTTCCGGGAATAATTGGACGCCCAGATGTTTTTCGAATGTTTCTTATTCTCGGGCGTGCGCCCTCAATTTTTCTTTTTCTTTTTATTTTTTCCAACGTGTGGGAGTCATATAAACTTCGTTTTTTGTTGTTTTTCTATTTTGTTTTTCTTTTTCTTTGAACTTATGTTACTATATATCTATTTTTTCAAAAAAAAAACATTCCAGAATTTCATAACGTTAGTCATCGTTCCGTTTTTCATTTTATTTTTTCAAATCGTCATTTTTAATGATATTTTTAGACGGTTTGTTCGGATATATATTAAAAATAGAGAGCAGCGAACTTTTTGATTTTTCTTCAAATTTTTTTAGACTTTTTGAATAAAAATAATCTTATTTTACGCTAACTAATTAGATTAAAAATTTTCGTATAGTGGTAAAAGTTTGAATCTGCTGATATCTAATTGTTCATGCCGAACTTTGATTTCGAATGATAGTGAGAAAAATACGAAAATAATAGGTTCTATTCAAAAATTACATACTTTTTTTAATATGAGAATTTCTGAATAATTGCTTGAAAAAAATTCTATGAATCAATTTTTGAATGGTGAGAAACAAGATTGTTCTATTTCTGTGAAACCTAAATAGTGAAAATCAGTAATGAATTCAAACAAGCCGAAAAAATGCTTCCTTCCGATTTTTTTTCGAAATAATCTTTAGGATTACTTCTTTCTCTAGTAAAATCCATACCAAAGCCTGAAAATTTTGCTACATTTTTCAAATATTCAAAAAAACTTTGACCGCCTCTTTTTTTTTTGTTAATTCATGTTATGTTTTTATGTATTCAAAAATTGGATCTTTTTTCTTTGTGAGTCATTCCTGGTTGTTCACCAGAAAATATGTTTTAGTCATTTTATTGATCATGTATCATTTTCCCACTGTTCCCTTTTTTTCAAACTATAAAATGTATAGTAAAAATACTGTAGATAAACCACCTGGCAATTTTCAAATACCTTATTTTTTATTTCAAATAATTTGAATAGGAGACCTTCATCTCATTATTTTTCACCACCTGAAATCTCATTTTCGAAATTCATTTCTGAACATCTGTGCTGTGCATTTTTATTTTTCTCAAGATGACACATTCACTCCGATTTCATAATAATAATGCATTCCTCAAAAATTTAATGTTCCAGAAATATTTGTGGAAAAACAAAAAATTTCTATTTATAATTTTTTCTCTTTCTGTTTCTGGATTTGATAAATGAATCGACTCAATCTTGAACAACATGACTTTTTTGTTGTGTATTGAACTCTTGGAAGAAAAAATTATCGGATTTTCTAGCAAAAAAATGACCAAAACTTTATAACAAGTAAGCTAAATTCAGAAATCTCGAATATGAAAATATAAAAATTACTATATTTTTTGAAATTTCATTTGATCACAAAAATAATATTTACTAAATTTCTAAGAGATTATTTTTGACGTGATCAATAAATTCAGTTTACATGGATGTACAGGTTTACATATACGTCTTTTCTTATTATCTCTTCTTTTCCCACACTTTCTCACCGTCTCTGCTCTAATCGTTCCCTTCTACTCTTTGTATTTTTATAATTTATTTTTCTTTTTGGCCCGTAGGTATTTTGTTCATATAATAAAATCAAATCGCGTGAGAAACTGAACAAAAAATAATTTGAAAATTGTTTCTTCCTGAAATAATTTTCACATTTCAATCAGTTGTTGTTCAAAACACACACGCACTCACTCATTCATTGTTTTTGATTTTTTTTTCTTCCTAGAGAAAATCAAATATCCTTTATTTTTTCCATTCGATCATCATGAAAATTGCAGATGCACTCGTTTATACGTAATAATATCTAATATCCAATATCTTTTTTCAAAAATCACATATTTTTCACAATATGTATATGTTTAAGCGAACTATGATTGTTGGGTCAAATGATCAATTTCTGCTATTTTTGTTTCTTTTTCAAAGTGCTTTTTGAAACTTTTCAGTGTGTGTTTTTCCTTCGGGAAAAAATGCTTTTTAACGTTTTGATAGTTTTTTTCCAGACAGGTCAAAGGCTATGTGAAACTTCCGTCTCACTTTTTTTCTGTAACTTTGCCCTAGACGTAATTTTTCAGGTCGGGGTTACATTCCGGAAACAATCGATCATGATTTTTGAGAAATTGCGCGTTTTTAATTTATTATAAAACTATGACTGCCTGACCGGAAAAAAAGAAAGAACCAGACTGGAAATTGTATTTTTGGTTTCACTTCTTGATTGTTGTAGGTGACATTGTGACGAAACGGATTCTAAATTTCAAACTAATCAATTTTATCGCTCAAATTTAGGTTAAGCATTGTAATTTTGAAAGATTGTGTCCATTTTTTTGAAAAAATGTTATAAGCAGAAAATTTTCTAAACCCTACTTGAAGAATTCCGATTGATCCTAGAACTTTTAATTTCCACATTACTCAACAGTCATACGCTCTCTAGAGGTTTTGAAATTGATAGCATAATCTAAACTTGAAAGTTTCTGGAACTACAGTACTCGAACTCTAGTTCTGCCAATTCAAACGCTTTTTCAATTCCTATCACTTGAAAACTAGAGTATTTCTGTCCTCTGCTTCGCATTTCATCTCAAAAGAAAAAAAAAAGAGTTGAGAAGATCATTGGATGATAATTTGTATGTATGGGGCACCAAAAAAAACTATGTGATTGACAACGGCATTGTGTTGTGCCTTTCTTTCAACGCGAGCATTTATTCTTTCCTGCTTTTTTTTTGCCATGTTGAAAAAAATAGAAGAAGGAGAAAAGGAGAAGAAGATATATCTAGATAGCTAGATTGTGTAAGCAATTCGGAACCGATAAAAAGTGATCGGAAGGCAAAACGCACGCTTGACGGCTGTATCTTCTTCTTTTTTCTTCAACTGATCAAAGATTCGAGCATATGCCTATTGCCTGTTTGTGATTCCTGCTTCTTCTTCTTCTTCTATTTTTTTGTTGTATGTGTGTTTGTAGCAGCTTCCTTCCTCACTCATTTTTTTGCCATCACCACATTACTTTTCCTCATTTTTCCCCCGTTTCCACGAAAGTTTGTTCGCACATTTACAGTTCCAGAAAACATGGAGGTTTTGAACCAGACCCATCAACAACATAGTGGCGGTGGTTCAAATATGATGCAAATTCAAACTGGCAGCACATCAGATAGATTATTGACGGTGAATAATTCGACTGGTATGGTTGAAATGAGTGTCACCGTACCTCGATTCACACATAATAACAAGGTTGGTTGATTTATCCTGATTTTTTTCGCGGTTTTTCTGCAATTGTGTGTTTCTGTGTTATCAGCTGGTTTTTCTTGTTGTAAATTTCAAATTTAATATTATTGACGTGATGATTGTTTTTTGTTGTTTATTGCACATTTTTTTTTCGTTTGGATTGACGTTTCTTTTTTTCTCGAAGAAATTTTCGGATCCGAAATAGTTTTATTTTTATTTTTAAAGATTTCGAAATATTTCATTGAGATCTGTGTTGAAATTGTCGATAAATGTATATATAGGTTTTTGTAGAAAACCACCTGCACTTGTTTTTGAAGTTTTTTGATTTTTTGAGTTCTGTGTGTATAATTTTAGACTGATATAGCTACTCTTTCGACAAAAATCAATAATCCAGAAAAAATATTTTTTAAAAATTAATGATGCTGAAGTTCATGAAAACAATATTTTCAAAAATTATTTTGTTTCAAAGTTTTTCCTTTCAAATTCTGGAAGTTTTTAAAAATTTTTTGTGGAAATGTATAATTTTGGATTTTGTGTATACCTTGAGCTTTGGAAACTTGATAAATAAATTTCCTGAAAACATTTCCATCTGTTTTTTTTTGAACTTTCAAGATTCTGAAATAGAAACGCGTTATCTGACAAATTCAATTTTTCTTCATAAATTTGGAAAGCGTATTTTTACCTGAAAAACAACTCCTATATTCTCTTAAATATTATTATCCATAACTTTTTAATTCAACATTTTTCCCAAGATTTCACTTCTCTTTAGACCTCTCGTATCATATCAAAAAAACGTTCGGTAAAAAATATCTCAAATCACCTGTTTTTTTCAATTTTGTTTTCTGAATTATTAATTTTGAATTTCCTTATATTGATCTTGATGTCATGTTTTTTATCTCAACTTCTTTTTTATCGGACGTCTCACAGCAGTTCCGTTTCTGCAAAAGCACTGTTGATTATGTTTTATCATTTCGAAAATTCCGAAATTCCGAAGTGATTGATTTGACCTATTATTTACTAGGAATGACTCAAAAATAATAACAACAAACCCACTCGTATGCTCATCTAAATCACGATTGTTTATCAAAACTTTGCATGCACTTCAACCTTAAAAATAACAACAATTGCCACTTTATCTATCCATAAATATGTATAACATTCCAGATTCTTCATCATTCTCATCAACAACATTCACAACAAAAGTACACACCTTTCAAACAATCAATGGCAAAAGATCATCATCATCTTCAACAACAACAAAATCGAAATTTGACAACAACATCGTCGAGTTCTTCACTATTCAACGATCAGGTTAGTAATTTGACCTTTTTTATTTTGCTCTTCACTATCATCTTATTGTTTTTTTTTTTGAAAAAAAATAAGCAAAAAATGAGAAGAAAGAGAAAAGTATAGTTGCTTTTGAGCTTGAAATGATCTGATATATATCTGTTTTTTCTTTTTCAAGGAATCATCGATTAACTCGTCAACATGTAATGAGGTGATTGAAGTTCAACAAATTCCATCTCAACAACAATCACCGATTTTGTTGCAATCAACACCTACGATTGTGACGACAACAACTTCAAATAATAATGTTGGAGGAGGAAATAATGGGGTCAAACAATTGAGTGATTTCAAAGTGCAGGAGTTGAAACATGAGTGCAAGATTCGGAACTTGCCTGTTTCAGGTGAATATTTTGGGAGAACGGGTAATAAAAATAAACTCAGAATCAGAGAAAAATATAACAAATTTTGGAAATATATACTTACGAGAATCTGATAAAGATTTTTCGATAAAAAAAAGTGATGGGTTTAATATAAATTCATAGTTTTTCAACTGACTCATACCGAATTTAGGAAAAAAAATTGTTCTTCTTTCCGAAATGAAAATCCCAAGTTCCCAATCTGAAAAAAATTAAAGTAATTAGTGGGTATTTCTCAATCATAGCAATTTTTTAAAGATTTGCCAATTTTATATTCCCAGGGTAACGCTCCGAATTCGATTCTGATTTAATTTCAAATTTTAAAAATGATGTGTTAAAAAATATAATGTTCTTTCAATGAAACACCAAAAATTTCGAAATTTTTCTTCAATTTTTCCAATTCTGTGTAAAATTTGGGAAAATGTTCTAATTTCCTGTTTATTTTCAGTAATTTCCGATTTTTCGAAAATTCAAAATAACTTTTTTTGCACCGAATTCCTATATTATTTTAAAATTGGAATACTGATACACATTTTCAAATAAGCAACACAGTGTATTCCTTTTATTTCAAACTTTGCACTTTTTGTTGTCTCCTGAACTTTTCATCCAAAAATTCCCAAACATTCTTCTTATTTCAAAAGTGCGTCTATACACACCCGCCACGTTTCAAATGACCAGTCAAAGATCATCAAAATGACAACTGTTACCCATTGTTTTTTGTCTTGACACAAAAACAACACATTCTCGTCAGAACCCCCTCAAAAACTTGGGAATAAATCAAAAACAACTTTATCTTGTGCATTTTTTTTGCAGGAGCCAAACCTCAATTGATCGAAAGATTGCGTCCATATCAAAAAGAAATTCTCGAATCGAAAATGCAATTTGATATTTTTCCACAAACACCTTCAGAGGAGGTCTATAACATGAGCTCATCATCTTCTCCAAAATCCAATCATAGGTTTATCTTTATCTTTTTTTTTTTGTGATGCTTATGTTTCTATTACACTGATCATTGAGCATCAAGACGTAGTATTTCCACTCTGATTTCATTTTCATTTCAATTGTTTTTAGCTCAACATTGGTGATCAACAATTTCTTGCAACAACAACATCAAAAAACCGAAATGCAGAAAAACTCTCAAGTTGTTCAGGTAAACATTTTTTTTGCATCTTTTACCCAAACAATAATAAATCAAAGTAATATTACAATATTTTGACCTCTGCTCCATTTCTTCCGGGTTTTCATCTTTTTTTTTCATAAATAATGCATCTCTAGTTGTAATCAATTAAAAAAGTTTTTTTTAGCTTGTTGATGGATCGGGCAAAGTTCTTGGATTGGCACGAGTACAATATCCAGCACAAAAACAAATGGAATCACCAATCAATTTGAGTCCACCAACTCCGACTTCAAGTTATAATAATAGTCAACAGTTTATTCAAAAAACTGATAATAATATTTATCGTTTTTCACAACTTGGATCTGGCGGACAATTCACATTGGCTTCAGAATACTCACAAGAAGAACCATATAATGTTCAAAAACAAGAAGATTCAAGGAATATGTATGTGTCTCCAAATCCAACTGTTTATACTCATCAACCTCAACAACAAAAATTTGAAGAATGTAGAATGTTGCCACCTCAACAAAAAATGCAGCAACAACCCCAAGTGCTCCATAAAAGGTAAGTGATTCAAAATGTTTTTTAGTATGACTTTTTCAAAATCCCCAATCGTTTGAAGTTCTCACAATATTTTAACAATCTGAAAAATCCGAAACCACACCTTTGCCCCCTCCCGAATATTTATCCCACAAACAATAATCAATCATTTTTAGTAGTATGAGTCTTCAAGACAGCCCATGTGCAGCAGATCAAGCCGGAAAATCGCCGAACATGCCAATCAGTGAGCAGATGAGCTCCTCCTCCTCCTCGTCATGCACAAACACAAACAACAGTAGTAACATTGGTACTACTAGTAGTTTTCAAGAGATTTTCAACGATGAGACGACGAGAACATCAACACCACCTCATCAACAGCAACAACAGCAGCCATCAACAAGTTCTATGGTTTTTGATACGCAGAAATTGTGAGTTTTTCTGAAAAGAACAACTGACGTTTATTTGCTTCGCCTTCTTTTTTTCTGATATAATATGAGAAAAAAAAAGAAGAAACAACATATCAATATCAGGTCTCGGAATGTAGTAATTTTGGTGTCATAGGGTTATGCTAAATGCAGGGGGTCTAAAAGTTTTTTGAAAGTTTTGAATTTGGTTTGAATTAAATATATTCGAATATCACAAATAATTATTATTTTGAAAAATTTTGACCAAAAACAACAATTCACAAAAATTCTTATTTCACAACTATTTCCAGACTATCACCAAAAACTTTGCAAATCCATGAAGAAATGATCCGTGAGCAACAAAAACAAATCAACGAAATCATGACTCTATTGGGAAAAAATCAAAAACTTCTGAAAGAGCAACAAGAACTCATTCTGACTGCCAAAAAAGAGCAACAAAAATATAAGCAGAAAATGAATAAACTGTCAGTGATGGATCAAAAAGTTGTTGTGAAAAGCTCCAACGATTTCCGTCAATTGAATCGCCAACATATTCAACAATTTTTGGCTCATAAAGCACAACAACAACAGATTACTGAGCACACTGATGAGCATAATCGATTGCATAAGACAGAGACGAGATTGGTGGAAGAGTTGCATGTTGGAACTGCGGTTGAAGATATTGTTAGATTGATAAAACAGGTCAGTTGAGATTTCAGTCTTTTAAAAAAAATATATACCTATCAACCCACAAACTCAATATTTCAGGACGCCAGAACAGCTCTCTTAATAGTGAGCCTTCTCCACAAATATCGTGTCGAAAGAGATCAACAACATCTAACCTCAGCTACCCAACTTCAACCAAAAAAGGTCAAGGAAATGAGCCCGCCTCTCACTATTCCAAAGAAGAAGCAATCTGTACATAATATGAATCTCAATCTTACCAATACCGCCACCATTTCTACTCCAACTCCAAGAAAAGCTCAGAAGCGAGCCTCAACAACACCACAACCAGCACCAATTGCTCCACAACAACCGATTCAAAGAGAGCGTGAAAATGTGGATATGGAAGAGATTTTCAAAAGTGTGATTGAAGATGCATCGAGAAGCACATCAAAAACAACCTCGCTTCTCCATCATCCACAACAAGTTCAATCTCAACCAACTCAAATCACACCTCTTTCACCACACGTTTCGACAATGGTGATTCAAATTGAAGAATCGCCAAAAGTTCAACAACAAAATTATGAAATGCAATATGATTATGATAATGGAATTCAAACCCAACAAGTTCAACCACAAATTGTTATGGAGAATGGAAATATGTTTGAAACTGTAGGTTTTTCAGATGAGAAATATATCAGATGATGTTTAGCTTTGAGAAAAATTAGATAAAACTAGAAGAAGTTCATTTTCAATATTTCATAAATTGATTTGAGATTTAGAAATTAACGTTTTGTTTCCAAATGTCCCACAGAATTATTTCATTTTTTTATAGGAAGCATTCCCGAACATTGATGAAATGGTCGCTAATATGAATGAAAGTGAGTTCTAAACCACAAAACACTATAAAATATTTAAATAAAAATCTTATTTTTCAGATGACGATCTTAAAATCAATCTTGACAGCGATGAACTCGCAACAATTCTCGGCGATGATTGGATTAATACAGCAAGCCGAAATATCAACAATCATGGTCAATATGATCCACAAACACCAAACACCTCAATTGAGCAACAACATCGATTTGATGAGCAGGTAAATTTTCATATTTTTTCAATTAGTTTGAAAATAAAAATTGAATTGTTTTCAGCAAAACATGGATTGGCTCGATCAGATGATTCAAAATGGCTCGTATGAATAACTTATTCTTTTTTTCAAATGTTTTTCTTTGAATATATAATTTAATTTTTTGATTAATTAATGTTTCTCTCTAGTAGTCCCGGTTTGATACCATGTGAGATTAATAAGTTCTAGTATTCCAAAAACTGAAAAAAACCCGTCCAAAAATAAAATAATAATTGAGTTAGAAAACATAATAAGTTGTATAGAAAAATATATAATTCCCACCCCCTGAAATGATTTGATAGCCATAATAACATTCCTTTTCTTACATTATATTCCTATTCTTTTTTCTTTGTTTTTCGAGATACACATATTTCTTGAATAAATATATATGCTACCCTAAATATACATATGCTCAAGCTTTTTTCAGAAAAAAATAAGAAAATTTTTACCCAGGAAAAAAACACATTTATGCTACGAGAACGAGCAAGCGAGAAGAGAAGAGATAACGGAAAAATAAGAGAGCGTATCGCGTTGAAAGGGAAGCGTTGCGAGACCCATTTCGCTTGGGAGGGGGGATACCCTTTCTTTCTCTCGTCCTCCTCTTTTTACACAACACTTGTGCGCGCATTTATTTTTTTGTATATATATTAATATAACAAAATAAATTAGTTGTATTTTTCTAATTGTTAGCTGGCTGATAAAATGGCTGAAGAAGGGTGAGTCGTTTTGAATTTTTAAATGGATTTAGGAGAAATTGATGTGGTTATTTTCAGTAGTGAAGACAATGTGAATGTCGAAATTCAAGCTCAAGTTTTGGATGAAGAAAGTGCTAAGGTGAGTGTTTGGTTCTTTTTTGGGATAGGAAAGGGATAAATAATCAATAAAATGAACAACTGATTTGATAAATAATTTGCGCTGGAACTGTTTCAAGAAATAAATAACAGAAGTTTATCGCTCCCATGGATTTCCGTTTAGCTTTTGTACAAAGGTTTACGAATGCTTTTTTTGGATGAAACGTTTAAAAAACTGAATTTAACAGCTAGATAACGTGAAAAAAAGCGATAGAAGAAATTCTTTTGTGAATAGAAAAAAATCTAGATATTTGGAATTTGAATGTTTTGTTTCCCAGACTCCACCGACTTTCAAAAAATATGATTTTAATTATTAACGTATTGATTAGGCGGAGTGTGCTGAATGGGGCATAATATAAAACATTTTGTTACGAAAATATTCGCAAGAAGTAAATTTTTAACGGTTTTCTTCCAATTTTCCTTTTGCCGACATGTTTAAATTGGGAAAATATATTTTATTAGATTATTTTTAGCTAAAACAATATAATAACTAATTTTTAGTAGCTCAAATTATGAAACATATATAAAAACTATTTTATTGCGTGAGAACCAAATTTGTTTTGTTTTATTCCATATCTATCGGAAAAATATAACAACATTTTCAGAGTGAATCGGTCGAGCAAAATCCATCTGAAAGTGTTGAAAACAATCCATCGGAAACCAAGGATACTGAATCAGATGAACCAATGGATACTGGTGAAATCTTAGAAGATCCTATTGATCCTATTTCGAATGATGCAACTCAAGCTACAGAAGACTCTTCAGAATCTGTGGAACAAGCAGAATCTACTGATGCTACTCAAGGTACAGAAGATCAAGTGATGCAAGAAGAATCTGTGGAGCCAGCAGAGTCGGCTAATGCAACCCAAACATCGACTGAAATTTCTGATAATGCTAGTCAAGTTGTTGACGGTCAGTCAATTCAGGATCATGCTCCAGAATCTGTTGATCCATCTGAATCAACTCAAGCGACTGATAATCAAACAACTACTGATATTTCGGATCCGAGTCAAGATATTTATGAACCAGTTTTGTCAAATGAAGCTACTGATGATCAATCCGACACTGCAGAATCCACGAATGCTACTCAAGCTACTACTAACGATCAACCAATAATAGATTCTGGAACAACTGATTCAGTAGCTGCTACGCAAGCTTCAGATTCTGTTGAGCAACCAATAACATCTACTGATGGTGCTGTTGAAAGTGATGATGGTGAAATCACAGACGATGAGGTTTGTATTTTTTTCTTCAAAGATTTTTGATCATTCTGAAATAATCACAACTAATTTTATGAATAATTCCCTGACATTTTTGTTATTAGAAATTTTCTCATATTCAAAATGTTTCAAAATTTAGAATTTGTAGATCCATTTTGTAAATCATTTTTTTTGCAGAAAGTCGAAGAAAAATCGGAAGAATCGAAGCGTGAAAAAGATGCAAAGCGGAAGGATAAAAAGAAGCATAAGACTTCGAAACATAAAAGAAGGTTGGTTCATTTTTTGAAAATGCTTTGGGTTTGTGCTGAAATATCGGGGAAAAACCATCTAGTGAAATTATTTGAGAATTTTGATCTGTTTTTGTTAATTATCTGAATTGTGATTCTGTAGAAAAGATTGAACTTCAGCATGTGATTGTGAAATTTTTTTTCGTCAAAAAATTAATGATTTATTCTCATATTTAAGACAATTGGAGCTTATGAAGTTTTGAAAAATTCGAGAAATAATATTCAAAAATATTGAAATTCATATAGCATACAATCAATTTTATAACAAAAAATTGAAAAAAAGTTATCGTATAAATTTCGATGTTGTTTTTGATTCACACCTAACCTCTCTGAACATATTGAAAGTAAGTCTATTTTGTACGTTTTCTGATTCTATGATGTATTTTCCAATTCAAAATTCAGTTATTCATCTATTCAATTTCTTCTCACATGATACCGCGTTCATTTTTTTATACATATAAAAATGTTCCAAAATTGGTTTTCTATACAAATATGAAAAACTTTCAAATAAAATCACCTGTTTGAACTTTCAAACATTTTTCTCTGTTCATATTTCCCATTAAAAACTTGTAAAGTTTGTATATGATTGCAATTAGCCTAGACGAAATAAACATTTCCGGCAATTTTTTTTTGGTTTCACATTAGCGCACTAAAATCATTTCTCGACAAATTTCCGGCTTCAAGTTTTGAATGATTTATTATCCGATTATTCATTTTTTTCTCTTTCAAACCATATTTCCATAATAATAATAATAATAAAACGAACTTTTTTGTCAAAACGTTTTTTTCGAGATGTGAAAACCCCTATTTTTCAAAAGTGTTATTTTTCCATTTTAAAAATGAAAATAACAAAAAATATATAGATATATCTTTTCTTTCGAGCAAGCTTTTTGAGCATCTCAGGTTACAAACTGCACTTGTTGTAAAATTTTTGGAAGGTCAAATTAACAAAAAATATAGTATAATAATAGAAAAATGTATAGTTTTTCCCTTTTGAAAAATCCCTTTTCTGGGAGAAGTGAGAAAAATCTCATAAATCTTCACAAAAATCACAATTCCATTTCTCATTTTTCATCTATCAATGACCTTCGTCAACGCTTCTTTTTTCATCTATCTTTTTTTCTACCATGACGTTTTTTCGCAATAATGAAATAGACGGAAAAAATGGGAAAAAGTGTGTGGTTCGAAGTTGTTTGTGTTTTTAACGTTAATTGACTGTTTTTTTTTGTTCGAATTAGGTTTTTCTTATAACTTCTAACAAACTGACTAACTAAATGATGTTCAACTGATGATGATAAGATGTATTTTAAAAGTAATTGTTGTTGAAAACCTTCTTGACGTTATGAATTTCCTGGTTCTAGTTTAGTTTATTGAAGATTCCTTGTCGATAACTGTATTCAGAACCACACACTTATAATATTTATTTTAGATTTCCAAGACTTTTCACAACTTTTGAGGTTTACTTTTTTGGAAAAAATATTCTTTGAAGCTTTCGTGGACTTCAGTAATTCTATGAACTTAGGAATGAACACTTACTGAAATGGAAAATAGTTTGAGAGTGGTTTGGGTTTTCTCTGAAAATTTAATAGTTCAGAGTTTGCCGCACTTCGCATGGTCAAAATTAAGTTTTAAATGTTCAAAAATTGAATTTTCAGAAACTAGTTTCCAAATAATGTTATAGAACTCCGCCCCAAACTGTTTGATTTATAAAAAAATCATAGACGGTCAAAGACTTCCCAGTTTTCTTTCCAGTTTTTGATTTTAGATTCTTTTGTCTCGAAATTTTGTTTTATTTGGTACCATCACATTTCTTGCCTATTTTTAATGTTAGAAGTAGAAAATTACAATCCCTATCAATTACTGGTTTTATCTTTATTCAATATTGTGATACTTTCGATAAATTTGATCCTCATTTCAAATGTTCTTTGAAAAAGAACAGTTCTCCAAATAATCAATAACTTTTCGTCGCACTTTCTATCTTTCCCTCTTTTTCCCTTATACATAAATATACTCTCCACTCATCAGTGCATTAATCGAAACCAAAAACCAATATCAAAAATATGCATACCTGTTCTCAATCTATGTTTCAATGCTCTTTTTTCTGCTATTTCTGGGGTGTTGCAAATGTACATACTTGGTTGTGTACTTTGACTTTCTTCAACTATTTTCCTTCATCTCTCCAAATCTGTCTTGCCACCACCACTTTTTCTTGTTGTTGTTCTCGGGCGGTCAGAGCAAATTTGTTTGTACACATACAACATGTATGTATGTGTATGTTCATCTTCTTCTCTGTCATCGCTTAAAAAAGAGGGCCCTCCCGAAAAAAAAGTGGCTCTTCCCCTTCTTTTTTCTTCTTCCTACGTCTTTTTTGGCTTTTTCAAGTTCAGGTTCTAGATTTAGGATTACTTGAAAATGAACTTCTCCAGAAAACTGATCAGTTTTTTTTTGCATCTTAAAATTTTCAGCTGAAAGTCACTGGCTTCGATGTACCAAATATTTATGAGAAATACCATGTAGATTAGGGAATCTGAATTCCGCCAGAAATATTTCATAAGTATATTTCAAAACAAACTGATTCACTTTTTGAAAACACCATTTGAAATTTGCTAATATTTTTTGAAAGTGTCTTACAGTTAGTTTTAACAATTTTTAGTAAGAAATTGGTTGGAACTTTGAATACGAATAAGAAACCTGCTCTAGTCTAATTTAAGTTTCAAAATTATTACGTAAAACTGAAGTCCATAAATAACCAAAAATAACATTCGCTTAGAAATCCAGAAGTACGACGTCATCTTGTGAAAGTTCATAATTTTTTTTCAAATTATTTGACTGCTTTGAATTCGTCACTGTCTCGAAAAATTATTCAATCATGATTATTTAAAAATATTCTGGTAGATGCAAATTTTAAAATTCCGAGATTTTTAACCAGTTTTTCGAATTTAATTTAAAAATTTGAATAAAACCTATGGATAAGATAAAATAGTTCAAAGTGTTTTTTATTATCAATGGTTTTTGACCGGGTTAATCTGTGAAGCAAAAAAAACCGGATATCACCTTATCTTCTTTTCGCCAATATTTTTATTGTCTCAAAATATCCATGAAAATTTTTGGCAACATTTTTCAATTATTTTTTCTCCAATAGTTTTGTTTTACAAACAAAAAAAAGATTGCATAGAATAAAACCGGTCCGTTTTCAAAACAAATAGAGTTGCAAACTTATCAATTTTTCCCTCTCAAATCTTGAGAAAATAGTGTTTTGTTTTTTTCTTGGCTTGGCTTTGCTGCTATATTTATCTTACCAGACAATTTTTTTCTCACTCACTTATTTTTTTTTGCTGCGTTCCATCTTATCTTCTATAAAAATTGAGTCGAGCTAAACAGTTGTCACATGTAAAAACTGATTTATTGTGTGATTTGCGGAGAATAAAAACATAATGAAACTTTTTGTAGGTCTCGCTCAAGATCCCCAAGAAATCATCATCGGAGAAGTCGGAGCTCATCACCAGTACACGCTGATCACTCAAATTCCGGGCAAAAAAGCTCATCACCTTCAAGGTTATTTTGAATTTGAAAAATTCAAACACCACTGAAATACTCATTGTTCTTTTTTAGATCATCCCGCGACAACAATGGTCATACAAACGGTCGTAAACACCAAAGCAATGGTGACAGCAGCAAACGTCGAAATGGAACCGCCGAAATTGATAAGAAGGATATGTTCAAAAGTCCCGCACTTCTTCAAGCCAGATGTCAACAAGTTGTACAGATTGGTGAAAATCAGGTAGGATTAATGGAATTTTCTAGGATGACGGCAAGGATTATATTTTTTTTATTAAAATGAGCTTAAAGTACTGTAGATTAGCTCTGAAAATCTTTGTCTGAAAATTTGTTTGGCATTTTCAATTTTGTTGAGTGGTTTCGATACTGAAATTGTTCTAGGATCTCTTTTTTGTTAAATTTTCTCGTTTAAGTTCTGTGAATCAAGTTCTAAACCTTTGTTAAAAATAGCGCCAAAAACCAAAGTCTCTTGGAATCAAATTTCATTTCTACATATCACATCATTCTCGAAAAAAGTTTTCTCTCTCTCTCTCTCGCAAATTCATAAACATTTCATTTCACTTCTCTCTGCCTCCACTATTACTATTCCCACCAAAAAAGGTCATACACTACAGTACGCTCCAGCAAATTTTTCATAAACAAACAAAAACTGAAATCAAATGATAAGTTTTTTTTTGTGAGGTTGGAGGTTAATTGCGTCATCAATATATCTCTCAATTTTTTTTTCCAATATTATTTTTCTTCCCGAGATTTTTCGTGGTCAGAAAAAAACGCGACATACGTGACAAAATGAACAGAAATCTTTCGGGCTCACAGCAACAAAAAAAGCTTCGCATCTTATCTTTGAGAAAGCTGCTTTTTTTCCCTCAGTCATTCAGATTAGCTGTTTTTTTTTGTTGCTTTCACGTCAGCAAGAAAAGATTCATATTTCGTTGAACTTTTGGTTGAAGAACGACACAAAAAAGTTTTTTTTTGTGTTGGAAAATTGCATCATTGTCATTCGTCTTATATTTTTTCACTTGCCCCGTGTATCTTCTGTGTATGTGTACTTTTCGGGGTTGGTTTTTCTTTGACAGACAAAACTGTGTGTATGTGTGTGAACTATTGATTTTGACAATAGATAGTGTACTTTGAACAGTCAACTTTATTTTGTTGCAAAAAATAACTGTTTGCAAACTTCTCAAATTTCAGCCATTGTTCTAGCTTCAATTTTTTATCCTTAAAAATGTTCACATTAAACACCACCATCTGAGAATCGAATGTTGCGTCTTTGGTTTTTTCATTTTTCGATTATTATTTTTTATCAAACATTGTAAAAATGTACAGCCCCAAAGTTCGTGTTCACATTTTATATTCTCTATGAAACAAATTTGCATCATTAATTTTTCCTGATAGCTACAGTATTCCTGAAAAATTCCGGCAACACTTTCATTTTGAAGAAGTTAGTTCAAATTCAATTGTTAGGATTAACTTTATTGACATTTTCAGACAATAGAATCAATTAATCTACAGTAACCCATTCATTTTGGAGTTTCTGAATGTGAGTATTAGTTTTCATTATTTGTTCATTTTCTAATCGGAGAAATCACGTAAACTTTATCTCTCGTATTTTGTGACCGGTGAATTTTTTTTTGAAAATTGTAGCTTTCTAGTGATGTTTTCTAGTCAGTAGATTTTGACTGTAAAGAGACTTCAAAAATTGTAGAATTTTTTTAAATATCAGAAAACATTAGCCATTTCAATTCAAGATTCTTCCGCGAAGTTTATATATCTGCTACAGTACTTTGTATTTTGTAGTCAATCGTCAGAAGACTTGAACTTACCAAATTTTCAGAAAAACCTTTAAAAAATTTTAACACTCTTCAATAGTACTTCTTGAATCTGATTTTCACAAAGCGGATTTTTTTCCAAAAAAAAACGTTTATGAATGTTTTGCAATTCGAAAACTGTAGATCAAAAGTTCTTGAGCATTGTACAACTAAATTTCTGCGCGCACAAAACACTATATTAATCCTCCTCCTCTTCTCCTTCTTCTTCTTCAAAAGAAGCAACTTTTCTAGTTTGATCAGAGGACTCAGGTCAACATAATTGCACCAAAGAATATTTCCTCTTTTTCCTCATCTTTTACATACACACATATATATATATTATTTGATAAGTGTAGTATATCCATCTTCTCCCTCCACTTGAAACACCCGAACGACTAAACTGATGACCTGCTCCAAACTTATTTGTTTACAACTCCGCACCCACCTTGCTTCTTTTTTTTTCACTTACCCGCAAAAAACACACCCCTTTTGCTCCCATATCATTTAGTTTAGTAATTCACCCCTGTCCTCCTTACAGGTAAAGGGTAAATTTTCAACTGTAAAAAGTCTATTTTTCGAGAGCTATTGTAAATAGTGAAACGTACTTTTACTTTGCTCCTCTCCTCTCCTTTTTTTCAAAAGTTTTTCGCTATTTGTAAGAAAACATTATCAATCTTATCTTTTTTTTTCACTTCGCCTTGACTGTGTCTTCATTATTTTTATTATGATTATTATCAGGTGATTCCAGTTTTGTTTCAACTTTTTTTCGCGTTCGTTCGTTCTTTTCGGTAGACAATTTTTTGCTTTTCTCCTTTCTTCCCGCGATTATTTTTTTTCTGCGTTTGTTACAACATTTCTGGGATAAGTCAATTCTCAAAGATTCAAAAATCCCCATCTTTTACACATATATAATGGAACACCTCCTTCCGTTTTTTTTTCTTTTTTCTCATTACAATCATTGAGTGTGTGTAACTTTTTTAAGTAAAGATAAAGAAGAAAATTGCATCATTTGTTTCTAGGCTGCTCAAATCAGCGATCATGAACTTCGAACATATATCAAAGAAGTGGTCACACTTGAACGCGAATTGGACAAATATCATAATAAGCGAGAATTGTTGAAAGGGTGAATTTTATTTCTTTTTAAATAAAAAAATAAAAAATCAATAATCTTTTTTCAGTGAACTGCAAGAAATGTCAAAACGCGAGATGGATTTGATCAAAAAAATTCATTCGGAGATGCCGCGCCACATGCAAAGCGTTTTGCGAATCGATGGAAATTCGGTGCACATTGAAAGTTAGTTTTTTTTCGTCATTTTTATTTCATTTTTTGACGAAAAATGAGTCGTTAAACATTAATCGCTTTTTTCCCAGGAGCCAACGGAGCTCCAGGAGGAGCTGGTTTCCCATTCGGAATGATGCCACCATTTGCTATGCCACCAGGAATGATGCCACCAATGGATATGAAGTGAGTTGTTTTTTTTTTGCAAAAGATTTCTCAAAACTATATATGTTCTAGATTCCCTCCACCCTTCCCACCGCCAGCTGGAATGTTCAGACCGCCACCAAATTTCCATATGGGTCCGCCGCCACCATTTGCAATGGGACGTGGACCCCCGCCAAATGTGATGCATCCGCCACCGAAAATTCCGACGCCACCAGAAAATCGGCGAACTCCACCGGTTTTCAGCCAGCCACCTCCAATCTCGGTTAGTTTAGAAGTATTTGTAAAATATTTATGGGGAAATTTGAGATTTTGGGAAAAATACTGTAAATTAGAATTTAAATTGAGAAGATTCCAAAAGTGAGAGAGTATGGAAAAATTACAGATTTTAGGAATCTTTGAAAATTTTTTCATCAATAAATAAATTATATATTTCAATCAATTTATTTCAGCAACAAGGTGGATTCCCGGACTTTTCGAAACCTCCACCAATTCCACCAATAATGGAAAAAGGCGGCGAGTCGGCTAAAGAAAATGCCGCAAAAACTGGCGCATCTCGGCCAGCCGCTGTTTCAACTCCACCATTCAGATCATCAGGAGTCGCCACCGAAATGGCGGAAAAATCAAACAAACTGACGAGTATGCTAACCAACGCATTAAAAGCTCATGTTACACAGGTGTGGATTTTTTGCTCATTTATTTTGTTCTCCTTTATCAAAAAAAATTGTTTGTCTCTCTGGCTTTGCAAGACGAATTTCCTGGTTCATCTCATAGCACCTGACATTTCCAGCCAGTCGGCAAAATGTTATCACATTAATTTCAGAAACCTCAATCACCATTCGGAAACGGAAGCCCTTCTTCAACTCAAAATGCCGTGGCACCAAAACCAGCGGTGCCGAGTTTGATGAGTGTTCCGATTCGAGAACCGCCAAATCTTCGTGGACTTCCTGGAAAACGAAAACGTATGATGGGTTAGTTTTTTCTCTTTTTTTTCTAAATTTTTTGTTATATTTTCGTCTATTTGTTCTTCTCTACTCGAGTCATGCGTCGAGAAGAAGAAGATGAAGAAGCAGCAAAAAAAGAGATTTTTTAAAAGAAAAACAAAACTTTTTTCTTTTTTTTTCTATTTTTTCAGCTAACAAAAATGTTGTTTTTTTTTTCAGAAGACGAATGATTCAATGGTGCAAATTTTCTTCCTCTTTTTTTTCTCTTTTATTTTTGAAAATACTGGTTCTATTTATTTGATTTTATTTCTGGCCAGGCTTATCAGCCCAAACTCTTGGTTTTATCAGCATCTCATTTGAGTGTCTCTTTTTTGTGTTTGTGTCTCAACTTTTTTTGTGAATTCGAATTATTTTATTTTATCTTAATTTGTTTTATGAAGTCAGTCAAATATTTTTTTTTCTTCTTGAATTTCATTTTTTCACTCGGTTGATTTTACCGGTTCATTTATCTAAATCTTTATAATTTTTCTCAATTTTCTGAGAAATTATTCATAATTTATTTTATTTTAGAAACGGGAAAAGATGTATCACGGCTCATATTATCCGCCAGAGCTTGCCGAGATGATTCAAGCTGGCGCTTATCAAATGATGACCAGCCCACACCATCCACATCCTCACAATCCACATCATCCACGTGGTATGCCACCAACGTCGGCGGCTGCAGCTGCGGCCGCCGCTGCCGCTGCTGTTGCACAATGGAACAACGGATATCCGATGATACATCCGCTTGAATTGCATCAACTTATCAGGGTAAGATAATGTGTGAATTTTAGTGTTAGTAGGGAACAGAGTTCCGAATTTCAATTCATTCCTAGTACAGTACTACCTAGTTCCTTGATTGCGATGCACTAGTACATAAGGCATTTAAGCAAGGCCTTGTTTAAAGGTACTGTTTAAACAGTACTTTCAAACAAGGCCTTGTTTAGAGACTTGTTTAAACAGTTCATTTAAACAAGGCCTTGCCTAAAAGTACTGTTTAATCAGTACATTTAAACGAGACCTTGTTTTAATGTCTAGGCCCTAATTCATTTAGACGCTACCTGTCTAGGCATGATGCGGAATTAAACACGGAAAATATAGTACACTAGTACAGTACTAAAAATTATCTAGAGCTGTACTGTATTCTTATAAGGCATGTTCCACCAAAAAAATTTTTTTTTTGAAAATTAGGTATTCGGGCACGGGGAACATTTTGGTGAGGTATGCGATCCGGAACAGACTTTTAAAGGCGCATGCCAGGCTATTACACATTTTCCAAGATAATTTTTTCAAACTATCATAACTTTTTTATTTTTGAAGCATTTTTGAAATTTCGACAACCATTTCGGCGGTCTTGAGGTGGGCTACATTTTTGTGTTGACACCAACTTTCCCACTTTGCTCCTAAGGGGTGTAAAATGCATTTTTATTCGAATTTTCATCAAAAATTGACATTTTCTAGAGAAAATACGAGTTTTTCACACCCTAGGAGCAAAGTGGGAAAGTTGGTGTCAACACAAAAATGTAGCCCACCTCAAGACCGCCAAAATGGTTGTCGAAATTTCAAAAATGCTTCAAAAATAAAAAAGTTATGATAGTTGGAAAAATTATCTTGGAAAATGTGTAATAGCCTGGCATGCGCCTTTAAAAGTCTGTTCCGGATCGCATACCTCACCAAAATGTTCCCCGTGCCCGAATACCTAATTTTCAAAAAAAAAATTTTTTTTGGTGGAACATGCCTTATAAGAATACAGTACAGCTCTAGATAATTTTTAGTACTGTACTAGTGTACTATATTTTCCGTGTTTAATTCCGCATCATGCCTAGACAGGTAGCGTCTAAATGAATTAGGGCCTAGACATTCAAACAAGGCCTCGTTTAAATGTACTGATTAAACAGTACTTTTAGGCAAGGCCTTGTTTAAATGAACTGTTTAAACAAGTCTCTAAACAAGGCCTTGTTTGAAAGTACTGTTTAAACAGTACCTTTAAACAAGGCCTTGCTCAAACGTTCAGTGCAGTAGGCTGTTTAGTACTATTTCCTAGTACATGTACTATGCGGTACTAGTACTTGAGGCCTTAGAGTCGGAACCCTGGTAGGGAAATGAATGGGTTTGAAAGCTGTGAACGTGAAAATTATCCTAAGTTTTCTGATTTGAACAAAAATGTCGCTCATATGTTCGACATTTTAATTTTTATCAACATTTTTGACGAATAATCAAATTTTTATCAGTACTCTAATTTTCCCGGTCCTGAATTCAGATGCCTTCCAAAGATCTCCTCTTTCTCACAAAAAACCGCCACTCATACAAAGAAAACAAAAAAGTAAGGAAAATTTTTCATCGATTCTCTTTCTTCTCCTTTTTTCGCATCCTTCCTGAAAAAATAGTTCAATTTAAGACACACACGTCAGTTTCGTCTTTTCCTTGACTGCAATGCAGAAAAAAAAAACAGAAGAGGAAGAGAGAATCGAGAGGCATTTTTTAATTTATTTCTGTTCCAACAAGTTTTAGTTTGAGAATCATGTAGTTCTCTAGTTTTTTTGTTGTGAGAGAAAGGAGTTTCTGGAATACTGTGGGGTTGCCTTGAAATTACTAACAGAAAAAAAATTATCAAGAGAAACATTGTGGGGCTTTTTATATCCGAAATCAATGAGTCGGTGTATTTTTTGTGTCATAATCGCTAGATTTCTTATCCAAAGCTTCCTGCTGCCTAGAGGACTCCATAAAATCAAACAAAAATTAAGAAATATCTCAATTTATGATGAGAACAACCCAGTACATTTCAAAATCGACAAAAATCCCAATGACTCATAATTTCTGAAAAACAAACATAACAATTTTTGAAGCGGAAACTTTTCTCATTAAAAGTATATTTTTATTAGTCAAATTTAGGCTAATTCTTTTCGTACATAGATCTTCAAACTTGTAAACAAATGTTACGAAAAACATGAGCCTGTGATTCACATGGCCAAACTTCAAATCTCTCCGGATTTCCGATTCCAAATGTTTCTAAATTTTTTGAAAAAATTCATGTTGATATTTTGAACCTTGTAGCGTTCTTAGCACTCAAAAAAAAACTCTCACCAAACAAAAAGGTGTCATTTTCACTCTCCCATCTCTCACCGTCCCACCAGAAAATCCTTGCCAAAAATAGCAATTATTATTTATAATTTGGTATAACAGCTGCACGACATATACCAACCAAAAAAATCGATATCCAATGACCCTCCCTTCTCTCTCTTTTCCACCACACAAAACACCCTTCTAAACACCATAAAAAGACAGAAGAGAAGGATGAACATGGATAAAGACAACGCTCTCATTGTTAGTGTTAGTGGGCGGGACCTAGCACATTTTTTGTGTGTGCGCTTGGTTTTTTTCTGTCAGTCAGTTCATTTTTGTATGAATGGCATAGCCAAAAATTATTTTTTTCATTCATTTTGTTGCATCTTTTTTTGTGTGTTCGTTTTTTTCTGTCTTTTATTAGTTGGGGCAAAAAAATGAACACAACTTATCATTTTTTTTTCATTAGCTGCTGATAAGCGAGTTTTCTCAATGAAATGTTCTTGATTTTTCAGCAAGGTATGATTGGCGCAATTCCACAACATCAAGATAGTCCACCACAACTTCGCAAATTGTTTATTGGAGGATTGAGTCATGAAACTACAGATGAACAGGTAAGCGATAAGAAAATACGTGGTAAAAGCTACAAGATTTTCTATTAACTCTTGTAAAATATTCTGAAAATGTCTGTTAAGTTGGAAGGTTTCAATTTTTTATCGGAACATTCATAATTTTATGAAACTATTATTATTGTTTCATGAAAAAGTGAAATTTCAAAATAATGATATTCTAGTCTATACCAAACAGAATTCATAACAAACCCATATTTTTTGCAGCTCGGAAACTATTACGCACAATGGGGTCCAGTTGTTGATGCAATTGTTATCCGCGACAACAACACCAAACAATCTCGCGGTTTCGGATTCGTCACTTTTGCATCGATTTTCAGCGCTGACGCTGCAATGAAAGACAGACCACATGTTCTTGGCGGCAAAACTGTTGATTCAAAAAGAGCGATTCCACGCGAACAAATGTCGTCGATGATTCCACAACCATTTTTCGAATGCGATCCAGCGCCAGGCTGCAAATTGTTGCTGAGCGGCATTATTCCAGGAGTTCATTCAGTTGATGCTCTTCGCATCTATTTTGAGACTTTTGGAACTTTGGATCAGGTAAGCATAGATCTTATTGTCCCTTTGTGCTTTCTAACCCCTATCTATCCCCCTATTTGTCTGTGAATGCCGTTTTTCTAACCGTTGCTTTTCTTTACAGGTAGAGATCGAAAAACCCGGTTTGTTACAGGTCGAAATTCTCGGTCATCCACGAGGTTTTGGTTTTGTAATCTATGAAGAGAAAGAGTCGGCAGACCGGTGTTTATCGCATAACAGCGGACGACACATTGTAAATGAGCGACGAATCGATGTGCGAGTATTTGTCAAAAATGCAAATGGTAGCACATATTGGAAACGACCACAGCAGCAAAACAATGCCACCAACAATTTGTTTGAACAATTGTCGCACATGAATTTGAAGGATAGTGATGGTAAAAGTGGCACCGATACAACTGGAAATAGCAGCACTGCTGCTGAAACACCGCAGAATTTTGATGAAGAAAGCAATTATGGAGGAACTACCACAGAGGTAAGGCTACATAGAAAAATGAAGGCTTTAGAATTAGTAAAACGTTAGAAAAGGTCCTTTGTTTAGTTCTATTTAAAAGTTCAGTAGAATTTTTACTGGAAAATAATTCAATTTTTTTGGAACAATCCTTTAAAATATTTATTCTGAAAATCAAGTTTTTCAAAATCAAGTTTGATTTCCAGGACGACTGCAACGCATTTGATCAAGAAGAGCTTAGTGATTCACCCATTGAAACCGGTTCAACAACGCAAAGTTCATAAAAATACTCCACACTATTATGATACATTTTTAAAACACACCCATACGAAAAAATCTATGTCTGATGACTCTAATCATGTTGTTTTCCGCCCAATCTGTCTCGCTTTTCTTTCTCATATCTACAATTTTATTTGAATTTGACAAAACTAATTTGCTCATACTCATCTATCCTTTTTTCCTATATTTTTCAAAAAAAAAAATCCCTCTCAAAATTTCTTGAATTTTGAACCAAAACACATATATTTTGATTATTTTTTATGCCGAAAATTCTAATAATTGATAGAATCTTCAAAAAATTCTGACTCCAAAAAAAACTAATCAAATTCTTCTCATACTGGTTTTTCTCTTATGTGTCCTTCTAACCGAGATACATTCATCGAAACATTCATTTTTTTTTTCATTATTTCAAAACCCCCTATTTTGTCACCTTTATCCATATTTTCAGTCAGTTCTGGTATATACGTTTTTTTGAGATTTTCAAAGAGTTTCTTATTTTTCACCGAGTTTAATTCTTCTTTTTTTGTAAAACCAGAAAAAATTTGTAGTATAGTCTTGTTTGTTTCCGAATATTTTGGACATTTTTTTCCTTTTTTCATTTTTTCCAGTAGTGATATTTTTGTAGTTTTTTGTTCTTATAATTTTTCTTGCTACATACTGCTTATTTTTTTTTTGACAAAAAAACCAAAAAAGATTTCTATACTTATCACACACAACAATCACACATTTTTCCCGTTAGTTTAGTACCTCTGTGTAAAAAACAGGGTGTTTTTTCATTTATATATATATTGTTCAATAAATATTCAAAATGACAACTGTTTCTTTTTTTGTTCAAACGTTTTTCAGGAAAATTGGGAGCATCAGAAATCAAGTACAAATGAAGTATGATTTGTGAACATTTTTGAGAATTTTTAAAATTCTTATCAGTAATCAACTGTTTCCAAATTATTGATAAATGAAATTTACAATGTGCCAAAGTTTCAAACAAAGAAAACGCCCACAAAGTTTTGATAGGGAAAAAATGGAAAATTGATGTTTCCTAAAATTACGAAGAAATCTTAAAATAGTCATTTTCACTCAAAAAGTGCATTATTTTGAAAACGCAAAGTGTTCAACTCTCTTGAAACTTCAGAAAATTCTAACTTCCTGCTTACTGAACTTCAAAAATGATTTTGATTTACGTGTAGAGAATTCCACAAAAAATGAAATTTTGGTTTTCGTGTAAAAAATTCAACGAAAAATGAAATTTTGGTTTTCGTGTAAAGAATTCCACAAAAAATGAAATTTCGGTTTTTTTTTACATTCCTGCACACTGTTTACAAGGAAAAATTGGGAACTGAAAAAATCTTGAAATTCGCCTCGAATCTGCTAATCAGTTGCATCCGTTTTCTCAAATTTCGAGTTTTAGAGAGAGTGTGCCGCAGAATTTGTAATCGTTAGCTATTAAAATTGCCGCCTTTCTGCGCTAACGAAAATTTGGTCGACAAGGATGCTAATATTTTCCCGAATTTAAACAATCTGAACAAATTTTTCTTTGTTCAATTCATACATCTGGGAGCTTTTTTTTATTTCTAGCATTGAAAAATCCCAGAAAAATCTGAAAGTCGGCATATTTTGATCTTATGAAAAACCACAGAATCTATAGAAAAATGTCTTCTTTGCCATATGGTACATATGTTTTTTCACCATCACCGAAACAAAAAAAAATCATTTTATTCATTTTATAACTGGTTTTGTGAAACCCGTCAAAACAATTGGCTATCGTAAAAAAGAATAATAGAATTGGAAAATATGGCTGTTAGAAAACGGGGAGAATTTCAGGTATGCAACTTAGAGTTTGAGACTAGAATATTATTTGACAAAAATGCAATAATTTAGTACAACGTTTTTTAGATTGGGGGAAAATTGGTTGATTAGTTCCTATTAAAATTAAAAATTTAGATATTTATAGCACCTGTTCAATACATTCTTTCCAACGATTTGCTTCATTCAAATTTTCAGCAAGAAGACGATACGTTTTGTTGCGCATTTGAAGCTGAAAATTTTATTACTGATGTTGATGGCCAAACTTATTGTCAAATAAATCCACAAACCTCAATAATAGCTCTTCTTCCAGTTGGTTCAATATGAAAACCACTGAAATCGCAAAGATCAATTGATCCCGATGGTTTTTCGCCGCTTTTCCATTGATCGAAATCTTCAAAATAGAATACTTTGGCAATATCCGGATAAACCACAAAATATCGGGGAACCCATAATTTGAGTTTTGCTCCGCGTTTGCTCAAATATCCAGTGCACAACGGTGGGATTACTGTAGAAATTGGTGGCGATGTTGAATCTCTTGTCAGTGTGTCCAAGGTTGTATCGCGACTCTCTGCTGAAAATTGAGATTTTGTTAGCGTTTTAGATTTGTTGGTGGATTATGAGATAACAGAAAAAAGGGCGGATGGAGCAGTTATGATTGCAGATTTGAAATTATCAACCTGATATCAGATAACTCATGTGAAAAACCAACTCACGATCAGTGTTAATGACAATCGCATCTTTCGGCATTTGACTTTCATCAATCGAAAATTTATTATTATACACATGATTAATTCCATTGAATTTTGCTTCTTTTGTCGAACATCCCTCGTGCAAATAGATTTTACATTTTTTACAGTGAATAGCTAAAAAAAGACATTATTTTTCATATAATGACCATATTTCTTTGTGACTTACATCTGTTCCATCTGGTAATGACATTCGAACACACGCAACATTGTACTGTTGTCGGACCAGCCGAATAATATACAAGGTCGTGATTTACGTCAGCGCTAGAAAAACATTGGTAGATTAATTGAATTGGTTTTGAAAAGATGCTCAAAAAAAATGGAAACTCACCCATTTAGCGTTGATTGTGTTGATTTCTTTTCCGAATTATCGAAAAGTTTCAAAATAAAATTGAATTGAATATTTTTCACAGTAGGATCTGTTTCTTCAAAATCGATTGTTGAAAAATCGATAGACCCTCTTTCCTTTATAACTTGTTGAGGAGAACCTTTTGGTGCAATATATTCATCATCTCGCATTTGCTCATTTTCAACAACATCCATATCATATTCCGATCCATATTTCAGAAAAACTTCCGAGAAAAATGACCACATTGAGATTCTTGTGAGAGAAATCGAGGGCACGAGAATTTCATTAGATGTTGCTGAATATCTGCCATTTCTGAATTGATGATTTTCTTTTGATTTTGCCATAATATAATCCCAAATATTGATAAGTGTCAAATCATCAGGAATATGAAAATCATTCAAATCAGCTTGCAATCTACGCTCCTCACAATCCTCTAAAAATGTTCGAAAATATCCAGAAGTTGTGTGAAATGCGATAAATCTCAGAAAATAATCAGAGAATTCAAAAGAATTCGGATATTGTTTCATGATTTGATGAACACAATCCAAAAAACAAATGATGTATGGTGAACGAGTTTCGGAATCTTTGTAAAAACAATGTCCAAATGCTAGCCATTCTTTTTCGATCAGTGTTTGAAAACCTTCCAGTGTTCGATAATATGGATCACTCATTAATTGAACTAATGAAGTGATAAGAGTTGTTGTCGATTTTCCAGTTTCAAGACAAATTGCGACAGAAGAATTGTAGAGTGACATAATTGCGGTGACAGAGTTGGCAAGTTCAAGTATTTTCGAAATCTGAAAAAATTGAGAGTTTGGGAATTTTGTACTGACTTCACAAAAAAACTCAGAATTTCTATCAAAAATGCAAACCTGATGTGGCCAATTTGATGTATTCCACAGTTCAACAAACGAAACTTTCCCATCCACAACAAAATCCTTATTCTGAATTTGTTTCACACGATGCAGTGCTCGTTTCAATTCCGAATCCTTAATCGCTTTCACATTCACAACTTCAGCATGAGCATCGTTTGGCAATTTCAAATGAGTCCCTTTTTCAACCAACACATACAAAGTTTTCCGATCTCGAGAATTATCGTCTAAAAATGATTGATTACTTTTGCGTAACTACATAATTTCTAAAAATCCTTACGTTTTTTCTGTGTCAATGTTCCATACTTTTCTGACCAACTTTGTGTTTCCAAATAATCCTCGTTACAATTATGTTCATAACTTCTTGGTGACGATTGCGCCAATTTCACAAAATAATTCATTTGTACTTCGGAGCTTCGAATTTCACCAGAACTGAAAATACTGGAAGAATTGTCATCATTGCTGCTAGCCTTGGAGTTGAGAGTTTGTTCACTTCCATTGAATGTTGATGACAGTTTTGGAACAGTTCGGCGGATTTGAACAACTTTCTGAAATACAATTTACACAAGACGTTCACGATTTTGAAAAAATATACCTTCAATTTCCTGACAACTTCATTTGTATCAAACGCGCTTGATCTAATCAACAATGCTCCTGATTTATTCATCCACGTTACAACTGGCAATCGATGTTCAACAAAACCTTTGGCAACTTTCGACAACTCGTTCTCGTTAGTTTCACTTGGCACAATAAAATTTGCAGGATAAGTTGCGCATAATGAATAATCCGAATTGGCTGAAGATAAGCGAAGTTTAACACCTCGACCATTCAAACCAAGTCTTGGATAATCAGTCACAGCATATCGGATGTGGAAGCTATTTTTTAGAGTTCCCAAATCTTCTGAAAAAGTGATATTTTTGATTTGGGAGCTAGCTGGTAAGGAAAACAGGGTAACTGACCGATTTTATCAAATGAGAAATTTACAGATCCCCGGTGTGCCGAATGGCTTCGAAGTCTTCTCGGCTCCACTTTACGTTTGGTCAAGTCTGAAATACATAGTTTGTTTTTGTGGTTGGAATTTTTTTTGCTATATATTTGAATTGTAAGACGAAACATTTTTAAAAATTTTTTTAGAAAAATCTTAACATTTTCAGAGACCGATTTATCAAGGCCTTTAATTGATGGTCTCCAGAAATAACCAGGAATGAATCAATCAAGGAAAATGTATTTCCTCCTTTTTAAACAGAAAAACCTACTCTCAAGTTTTCTAATCGCATTCAAAGTTCCAAACTTCGGAGTGCTAGGTCCATTCACTTTCTCTTTTCGAAAGTTGGAACAAGCAAAACTTCCATTCTTGTTACTCTCCAAAACCTCCAAAAACTTCTCAATCGCCATATTATTGACTTCTTCATCATCAAAAGCAACAGTAATTGTTGATGATGAATGTGATCGAATCGCAATAACATGTTCGATTTTGATTTTCTGTAAAGAAAAAAAAAATTTTTTGCGTGTGATTTCGAGATAAAATTACCTTCAATTCTTTTGGAATGATTTTGCGAGTTGTAACTTTTTTGAAATTATCAACTGAAAACACAGGGAGCGTTTGAATGACTGTGCTATTCGTAACATCAAGATTCATAGATTTCCCTTTGAAAATAACTCGATAATTGGACAAAAATAGACATCCTTCAGCTGGCAGAATTTTTTCAAGGCTTTCAAATGTCACCTCATTCTCATTATTTGGCGAGATGAGATAACAAGTAACAGGATCGCAGATCAAAAATTCTGATTTGGATATGAGATATGGATCAATACTGTTTTTCTTCAATGAATTGTCAAATGCGGCAACTTCATTATAAACATCACGCATTGTTTCAATATGTGCTTCAACGTATGTTTGAATATCTGTTCTTGAAACATTACACATTCTTCCAGTTGCACTCAAAATCGAATCTAATGTCCAAACAATCCATTTTGCTTTATCTTGTTGAATTAAAAATGTTTCTTGCTCAACACTGAATACACTTTCAGATAATGGAATATGCAATGAAATCATCAAGTTTGCAAAGTGTTTTGTTTGCGCTTGAATAATTTCATTTTCCTGTTTCACAAGTTCAGTTTGTTCAGCATCGTTCAAATCAATCATTTCCATTGCACAAGGTCTCAAAGTATGACACCACAAACTTCGAGTCTGAAACGATGTGTTTTTAGAATCAATGGATATGACTTCTGAACTCACCAATTTTCTATCTTTTTTGAGTTTGTCGGAGAATAGCGTTTCATGAACTTCATAGTAAAAGCAAGACGTCCAGAATTGCACACTTTTCCAGACTCGGTGATTTTGAATTGTTGTGTACATACATTGATGGATTCCTTGTGACAATTTCTGGAAAATGAAATAATTCGGATTCATAATATTATTCTAGAACCTATAGTTTCTTTGAATATATTTTTCAGCGCTACCCCAAATTTAAAATCTCTGGAACATTTGACTTACTCGATTAAAATTAGATGCAAGATACATAAGACTTCTGATAACTCCATTCTCATCTTCCTCATTTTCTCTTTGAATTGCTGCATTAATCAAAGTTGAAACGTCATCAAATTGTCTAGATGTGAGAAGCGATTGGCTTGTCGCTTTCTCATTGAGAACTCGACACAGCTCAATTCGAACAGGTGCAAAAGACATTGACATCGTAACAGCTCTCAATGATTTGCTTGCCACGTGAGATTTATCATCGAAAATGCAATCAATACAATTTCGCAAAACTTCATCACGATGTGAATGTGCTTCAAATTGATTAGTATGATAATCAACATGTTTAGAAACTGTGGGTAGCATTGTATGTGGACTCGAATTACTTCGCATTTTTGGTTTGATTGTATGAATAATTGAATTGCTTCGCTCAACAAGTTGTGTTTTTTCATCAATGTATAATGTTGTGAATATTTCTTGCCTAGTCGTAGAACATTTTTCCATAAATCTCTCTTTCTGTATTAATTCACAAGCGACTTGATCAATCAATTTTGATGTTTCGAAAGTTGACATATGATGTTTATTGGCAAGTTGGTCAAGTTCTTTCATGCATGACACCTGAATTATGATTTTTATTTATATATATTATTCAAAAACAAATAAAGTTTACCTCATCAAAAAGATCATGTTTACTTCTTGGAATTGCTCTTGTTGATAAGAACGCTTGAAAATACGGGCTATTCAAAATAAACTGCGACAAAGAATCTGTCAATTTCCGAAATCCTCTGAATGCTCCAATATGAAAACTCAAAGATGATGGATTTTTCTTTTCGAAATTCCCTTTGATTCTGGTGTACAACACAAAATATTGATAGCCATACAAGAGTTCGGCAAAATACAAAATGAAGCAACTTCTCAATTTTTTATCGAGGATGAAATCATTGATTGGGATTTTTTCATCATTTGGAATTGCGAGATCTTCTTGACTTGTTGTCGTGAACAACACCTGAGGAAAGGGTTTTTTAAAGAAAAAAAAAAAGCGGGAAACTTACATTTCTGAGACGTTGTTGTAATTTATCATAATAATAACTGTCAGCAATATGAATTTCAATATCATTTGGTATACGAATATTTCCATTATCCAAGAAAACCACAATATTTTCCTCTCCAAATTCAGTCACAATATCGCCCAAAACTCCGATCAAAAATGGTGTAGGAGAATCCAAAACTTCGGACAACGATTCGGGCAAAATTGTCACACAGGAGTGCCTGCAAAAATTTTATTCACATGAAGAACAGAAGATTTATTGACTTACATATAAACGAATGGATAAAGCAACGATAAAAGAGCATTTTGACTTCTGGAAAGTCTCATCAAAGATGAGCTAACCAATACAATTCGACAGTCGGATAATAAAGCGTGCACAATCTTCACAACGTTAGAAAATCCTGAAAGTGCATTATTGATAAAAATAAAAAATCTGAAAAAATTACCTAGGATTTTGAAAAGCATGCTGACATCTTTATCAGTAACTGGGATTGTTGGTGTTGTATCAAAGCTCAATTCCACGTTCAAGGTTTTGGTTCGGATTTCAATTGTGGAGCTGGAAAATGGAACATTGATTTTTTTTAAATTTTTGGGTAAATATTTAAAATCTCCTGAAAATTATTTTTAAAAATGTGATTGAATTTACTTGAAGCATAAACTTTGAAATCACAATGTTTGATAAAACATTTAAGGAAACTCAATAAATTTCCCCAAAAATTCAAACTCACCCCTCATCAACCAATTCATCAGTCAAAAAATGTACAAGTTCAGAGGCATCTGAAATATCAGGCTTTCTGAAATCTTGTGATAATTGCAATAGAATCTCTTTGAAAGCTTTGGCATGAAAATTGCGTGAAATGACAATAATCGAAACTGCTCTAGCCGCCGTTGATGTCGATTCCCATGTCGATAAAATATAAGCAATTCGCCGAACACCAGTTTCAGATGTGAGAATTTGATAGAAATATTCAGATGATGTACTTTGCGATTGATTGAACCATCCACGCGGGCGAGCAAACTATAAACATTTTTTTGAATGGGATTGTAATAATTTTTGAAGGGGAGTGGGGGGGGGGGTGAAAGATCGATAGGCTATGAGTCATAAAAGATAAAAATTACAGATGGTGACTTCTTTCGAATCGATCAGAAAAAATTAAAGATAATTTCTGTGCTCTTACCTTAATTAATGATTTGATTGGGATTGAGTCACCCGAATGTTTAGATTGTGTTTCATGTAAAACAATTGGCAAAGTCTCCTCATCGTCGTCATTTTCCTCAAGTGCAATAATCGCTATTGAATCACAAATCGGCCCATTTTTCACCCCGTCTGGATCTCTCATCCTATTATCTATCGAGACTGAAACATAAAAAACTATTTTGAAGATATGAAAAAAAACGGAAGAAAAACATTTGTTCACAAGAAAAATGGCTGTTATTTTAGTAGCAAAATAATATAGTTGCTAATTGATATATATAAATTATAATAATAATAATAACTATAATACAAATAACAGTGGTTTGAAAAAAATAAACGGGAAAAATACAGGAAAAAGAAAAGAAATCAAAAACAATTGAAAGACGGAAAAATGAAACGTACACTCGAAAAAAGAGACGTTCACACAAAAAAACATAATCCAAAAAAAACTTGTGTCATCTCTTACAGAAAATGCGCCAGCCTTCGGTCTCTTGGCACATTTTTTCCTGCTTGTTTTTTTTCTTCAATAAATAAATAAAATATATAGTTTTTTTGTTTATTTATCATCAAATCAGTGAATAAATGTAATATGCCGCAAGGTTTATTGCATTATTCGCCTGATTCAATGTTGGCTCAACGGTTTGTGATTTTTCCTATTAAAAATAATAAATCGTATAGAAAATTTCAGAAGAAAATCAGTGGTTCGTTGGTATGCAGAGCCGAAAAAAGCATTAATCTGCTTATTGATTGGATGTTTAAGTGTATATTTGATATTGTATATTTATGTTTTGCCTGGGACTGTTGTGATTGATGAGCATTATGCGAGAGGAGTTAGCGATCATCTTGTTGAAAATAGGTTAGTAAATATTGACATATTGTTTACAATTTTATTAGATTATTAGATATCTTTGTTTCCTTTTGCAAATAGTAGCCATTGAGTTTGAAAAGAAATCTTGAAATGATTGCTCACATTAGAATTGAACCTATCAAATTTTCCACCCAAATTCTCTCAATTTTTTTTTAGAGTTGGACTTCATTCGGTAACTGTGGACGAGGAATGCTCAACAATTTCGAAAGATTGTTTCCGAGTTGTTGACAAAAAAATTGAGCTTGAAAATGGAGGAGAACTTGTTGAGAGACATATTCTACTGGAAGGTTTTGGTGAAGATTCGGATAGTGTTAAACGATTGATTCCCCAACCGGGTATGACTTTTGAGAATTCGGATAGTCGAATGTGGAAAGTGGATCATTTAACAATACGAGTTCAATATGTGAGTTTTTGATCGATGAGGGGTTTTATGAAATACATTATATGAAATTGAGAACTCAATCCTAAGCTGAGCTCTTCGAAAGCAATATTCTCCTTCTTGTATCCATGTTTCCAGATTGCCGCTCTATTAGTCTCACCATTCTTGGTGTCAACTCTTTCTTTGGTGGATGAAGACAACAATGGAAAAACTGTGCTAGAAATTGGTCTAGGTGGTGGAAGTTTAGATATGTTTCTTCATACAATGAATCCAAATGTGAGCCAGAAATGTATCAGGAATCTCTTACATCCACAATTTTTCTAGATAAATATCACGGCTGTGGAATTGGATCCAGTGGTAGTAAAAATTTCTCAAAAATGGTTTGATGTTGTTGAAAATTCAAAAAGAAAAACACTTGTGGAGGATGGATTGAAATTTATTGACAAGGAAGCGGAAAATGGTAAGCTTTTCAATAAAAAGTAATGAAAAATGAAAGAATTTTCAGATAAAAAATATGATGTGATATACCTAGATGCTTGCGATTCATCACACATTCTTCCATGTCCATCAAAAATATTTCGCAACACAAAAACCTATGAAAATCTCTATAAAATTGTAAAAGAAAACGGGGTGCTAGTCATCAATATTTTGTCATATAATCAGGAAAAAGATGAAGCTGCGGAGGTGGGTTCAATAAAAATAAAATAATAAAAATATGTAGAATGACAAACTCAAAATATTTTTTTTTCTATGTATTTTTTTTGGATTCTCAAAACAAAAAATTGTTGGAATGTGTTTTCAATTCCCATAATTTATGTTGTTGGGAAAAAATAAAAACATTTATTTTTTTGCAGATCATAAAAATGCTTATGGAAAACTTCAGCACGTGTATTAGAGTCACACTTCAGTCAGAGGTAAATTCCAGTAATTTTTTTTAGGATAATTTTAAAAAATCCGAGAAGAAGGTTGATCTCGGGAAAACATTCGCAACCTTGGCGCTAATTTGCGACTCGATTTTTCGTTGGCGCAGAAGTGCGACCGTTTTGAGCGAATGTGCGACACTTTTTTTGGTCGCAGTCGTTGGCGCAGATCTGCTTAAAAGTGTCGCTAACTATTTCAAAACCTGCGACACACTCTCTCGAAAACTCGAAATTTGAGAAAACGGTCGCAACTCATTAGCAGATTCGCGACCGCGGTCGCAAAATTAGCTCACTCGTTGCGACACGTTGTCGCAGATTCGCTGAAAATGGCCGCAGATCTGCGCCAACATGTCGCGAATCCAGCGAATCTCTGCCCGAGATGTTTGAAAAATGAAGGATAATGAAAGTCGATACATTTTCTAGAGTCTTTTTTTAAATTAATTTTATTTTTACGAATTCCAAGACTTCTGAAATTTAAAAATTAAATTTTATTTAATTTATTTCAATTGAATTTTTGAATTCCTTTCAAAATTTTCATTTCTATTCATAAGGAAAACTTTGATTGTCTCCAATAGCCCAATTTTTATCCAACACTAATCATTTTCCAGACAAACATAATTGCCATTTGCACCCGCCATATAATATCAGCCAGTGATTCAAACATCGATTTTTTGAAACGTCGAGCTTTAGCAGTCACAATGCGCCTGGGTCTTCATGATAGTCTTAAAACCATCACAATTAATTAACCATCTGCTTTAAAAATTTTTTTAGTCTCAATTTTTCACGGGTTCTATGCTTCTACGAATGAAAAATCAAAAATAAATATTACGTAATTGATAATCAGGTTTATTATAGTTTTTTTCTAGCGCAACCATCGAATGAGGAGAAGAAAAACGACGCATATACGTATACAAAATCCAGATTTTGTTATGGGATGGGGTGGCGCAATATTCAAGTTTTCTTGGTTGGTTTCAAAGTGTTTTTCTTCTTTTTCTCTCTTTCTTTATTGTTACATTCATTGCACTATATATTTATCCTCAACCAAAAAAAGGATAATTTTTTGTCTCTCTCCAGAAGAAAAAAGATACGGTAGCCGGTTTGTGTTATGCCAACCATTTTTTCTTCCACCCTTCGGTGAAAAAGAAGAAGTTCATTTTTATCCACTTTTCTTTTTTCTTCCGATTTATCATATAATTTCATCTAAATTGCCAAAACTTTCAGTTTTTTTTTGTTTCTCTTTTCGTTTTTTTTTTCGCTGTTGCTTTTCTTCCAAGTTTTATCAAATTCAGGCAAATTATCCGTTTTGATGTGGATAATTGGTTTAGTTTTACTAATACATTTGGCACATGAAAATGTGGTTTCGGCTAAAACTTTTATGACAAATGAAATCTCAATGCCATTTGATGCCAGGAAAAAAGTTCAGGTTTGTGAATTAGCAAGAAAAGGCCTTTTTTGAAAAATGAAAATTGTTTCAGAACGATATTCCTACAATTATTTGGAACAACCAGAGCCCTCAACCAATACCAAATCGAATAAAATCAAGTAGATTTGAAAGATTGAGAGGTGCTGAAGTTTTGCCAATCCAAGTGCGCCCAGCGGTTGTTGAAATCCCAACTTCTCCAAAAATCGAAGTAGTTCCCGCAGCTCCGGAATCTTCTCCAATTGAAGTGGAAAAATCAGAAGTCGTACCATCAAAGATAATTGAAGTTGAAAAAGAGATTGAAACACCTGAACCAAAACTTCATGAGCACGAAGCAAGCGTTCGAGAAGTTTCGATTCATGAAGCTAGACAATTTGTAGCCGCAGCTCCTATTGAAGAAGTTAAACCTGCCGCAGTGACTTGGGGATCACCTCCCATCGATTTTGCCTCGGAAGTTGTGCCAACTGAAGTTGCTGAATTTGAAGAAGCTGAAATTGTTCCAACTATTCCTGAAAATTATGCAAAGATTCCAGAAATTGAAACCCGAGAACCAATCAAACAAATTTATCCAATTTCTGAGAAAAGTTCAAAATTTTCTGAAGTAGAAGAAGCGACTGAAGAGCCGACAACTACGACAAAAAAACCAAAGAAGCTGAAGAAGAGAAAGGTACTTTTTGTCAATATTTTGAATTTCTGTTGTTTGAAAGTTTGAAGTTCAACTTTAATTCAATATCAGATAATGTTCTGGCTAATAGTTTTACGCTTGCTTAGCTAATGTGATTTAAAAATGAGATTTCAAAGTTCCGGAAGTTTTTAATTTGAGAAAAATGAGGGTTAGGATGTTATTTTGACTTGATTATTCAATTGAAAAAAAAAGAAGGTATATGTTGGAAACATTTTCCGGCTTCCTCCAGTTGTTATTTTTATGTTTTCTAACAAAAATCCCTTTTATTTCCAGAGAAAGAACCGAAAAACCACCACAACTACCACCACCACAGTAACCCTTCCAATCACAACAACCACAGTTGAGCCGACCACAGTTGAACTAACTACATTTGCACCAACCACAGAATCCACAACACCATCAACAACTAGCACCACTTCAACGACTGTAAGTTTCTCCAAATCCGTCTTAAAAAGTTTTCATTGTTCTCGAGAACAAATCTATGTACAACTTGTTTTTAATAGCCCTGCTATCACATTAGCAGCATCATTTTTAATGGACCGGATAATAATGTTTTTTTTAGAAAAAACACATTTTTATAGCCTAAACCATTACCAATAACAACAATAACAAGTTTACCTGCAATACAAATTCAAACATTATCGAAACACGGTGAAAGTTATTTGGGTGGATGGAATGAGGAGATCAGCAAAAATGATAAATCTACCCTGGGGTGCGTATTTTTTTTTTGTTTTTGAAAAATAGAACAACATATAATTTATCTTGAATTTTAGAAATATCATGAATCAACTCTCGGAAGTTCCATCATCAATCTCGTTGACTGATGATGAAGCAGTTCGAGCGTATTATAAAAAATATTATGAAGAATGGTACAGGTGAGATTTAGCAAGTTTTTTTCTTAGCCGATGAATCAGGCATGTGATAAGAATTCGGGAAAAAAGTTCCTGGAAAAACAAAAAAAATAATCAAAAGATGTGATGTCATTTATTGATAATTGATATTATTTAGTTTTGCCACATCACAAGCAGATTACTGAAGTTTGCAAATTTATGTATTTGTGTTTGTAATTGGAATGATTTTAAAAAATAGGAGTGGCACAGATTGAAAAAAGCGTTTTGATATTTCAGAAAATCAGTTTCATTTGACAAAAATGTCACTTGTTTTTAGGATATGCAAGTTTTCTGAAAAAAAAGTTTAAAAAAATTTTTTCATCTCTAAAAAACACTGTTTTTATTTTGTCAACCGAAATCATTCCCAAACTATTTTGTGAAAAGTTTATGGTCGAAACATTTTCAACAATTTTCCGTTTTGAAAGCAAGTTTAAAAATGTTTGTGAATAAATCACGAATTTTATCAAAACTGTATTGATAAATCACTAAATTTTGATATAAATTCACATTTTTCACACAAATTTTTTAAATTCAAAGACTTGGCTTCATCCTTGAGAAAAAAACGTGTTCCATGACTTTGATCTATTTTTGAGATATAATTTTAAAAATCAGATACCATAGTTCAAAGATGTTTTTTCCAGGCAACACAATATTGCAATGCCTACTGAAGTTCCCTCGGAAGTTGTGACATCTGCAACCCCTCGAAAAATCAGTATCCAACTAGGCTCAAGAAATCAAGCATCATCAAGTAACACCGCGGCGGCTTCAAACCCATTTGTGAGTCATAAAATGATCAATACCAAACAAGAATCTTTCATTTTTTTTATCATTTAAAAGCAAGCAATTAAAACGTTTTTATTGAACAAAAAAGTGACAATTTTTCGTAGGGTATCGACAGCAATTCAACTGTACCGACAAAAGAACAATTGGTGAAAATTTGTGAATATGTGGAGAAAATCTCGAAATCTTTTGGAATCAAAGATCCTGTAACATTTGCCAAAAACAATTGTGCATTTGTCAAAAATTTCCATCCAAATGCAACTTGTGAACAAGTTCAAGAAGTGATGGCATATTGTTCAAGTCGTGTATATTCAGCAGAGTCATGAGTTCGATCTCAGGAAAAATTAACATATTATGACATTAATTTATTTTCAATTTTCCTTGTATAATAATTTCATAAATATTTGTTTTCTCTTTTTTAATTGAAAAATTCAACGTTTCCCGGAAAAAATGACACCTTTTTTCGGAAAAAAGGGGTAAGTACAAAAGTTTGATAAGGAAAAAAATCCAATAAAATTTTTGGTTGGCAAACTCATAAAGATTGGTTGGGAGGGGGGAGAGCAAATTGGAAACGACGGTGAAAAACGTTTTTGAGGCGAATAGTTTGATAACGTGATATTGTACTACTATAACACGCCTTTTCGCAAGTGACTCGAACTTTTTTTTGGCTTGTTGCTCTTAAAGGAAATTAGTCAAATTTCAGGATGGCATCGCGGGTTGTCATTTTATTGGTTGCTTTATTTGGTAAGATTTTTTTAAAAGGGTGGGGTCGAAAATGTTGAATTTTCAAATTTGAGAAGCGTTTTTGAATTCGGGAAAAATTTAATTCGGTGTTTTATTGAAAATTTCATAATCAAAGAATTTGAATTTTTCAGAAATGTTGTTTTTCAAAAATAAACTGTAGTAAAGTTTTGAAAGCTTCAGTTTTTTTCAATATAATGTCAGTTTTTGTAAATATTTTAATTTCATGTAACCCTGTGTAGTTTTAACAATGGGTTTTTTTTTGAATTTCATTATTCCTTGATTATTCTCAAAATCCCAAAATTAACCTTCGATGTTGAATTTGAATTTTTTTCGAATTATGGAGAATTCATTTTTCAGAAATGTATCTTAAGAACAAAGAATCAACAATTTCACGAAAAATGATTTTTGAAAAATTATTTATATTCCAGAGTCCGAACCTAGAAAATTATTTTTTGAAAATTACTTGTTATCCTTATTTAAATTCTCCCAATTTCACTTTTTTCAACATCCGCTAACTCGCAACATAATTATAATTATATGAAGTTCAAACTCACTAATCCTCTTATCACTGATTCTTTGATTTAATGTTCTTATCTTCCACACTACTCTACTCTAATAACACCCAAATATTTTCACAAATTTCACAGAAAATGCACAATTTCCTGTTTCATTTCCCGAGAAAAACTAGCTAGCTATTTACCAGACTCATATTAAATAAAATTATATGATATAAAATGTGCACATAAAAAGTTTCTTTCAAAATTATCACAAACATATAATAAAGATAACAAATTTCCACGTGTTAAAAAATGAATGAAATGACGCAATCATGTTTTTGCTGAAACTTTCTGTAATTTTAGGTGTGAGTTTGGCTCAAAATCAACCATGGTTGCAAGCCTGTGATACTGTACAATTGCAAACTTGTCAAGGACAATTCAACACTAAACTTGGAGTTGATTGTGAGTTTTTTTTCAACGTTTCTAATTAATAATCACAAAAAATAATAATCTTTTCAGCCAGCCTGGGAGTCACTAGCTTCCAAGCATTAAGAACTGCTGTTGAACAAACATTTGCAAACGGTCAAGCTTACGGTCTTTTGACAACTTGTGAAGCTTATAAAGAATACCAACAATGCTAGTGAGTTAGATTTTTCAGAAGGAAAATCTTTTTAAAAAATGAACAATTTTTAGCACTGATACCAACTTCTATTCTTGCGCTCAAAATCCATTCGGACTTTTGGCCGCTAATGGGTGAGTTTGAAATGTTGCAGAGAGAAGGCTTTTTAAGATGAAACGTATAAATTTTTTATTACATAATTTACAATATTTGTTTATCGGACCTTTAGAATTATGAAAATTAATACACAGTTCTGAAAAATTTGTTTATTCACATTCAGAAGAATATGGTCCAAAAATTTTTTTAATACTCAATTTTCTTTCAAAATGGTTATTGATGTGAAAAACTAATTGCACAGAAAAACACACCTTCTCATTGTAATCAAATTTTTTTAGAACAACAAAATTCTCAAGAGTTCAAGCTTACGGATATCAAAAAATCTGGAATCAACTCGATTTTGTCTGTGGAGCCGGATTCGGATGTAAGCTTCATAATTTTTTCAATTACTTATGAATTTATTTTCAGTGTTCGCTAATAACGAAAATTGTGGATCAAGTGTTTTTGCCAACAATGCCACTGCTCTTCGTCAATGTGACACAGATTTTGAAACAAATGTAGTTTTGGACCAATCTCAAACTTGCGCGTAAGTTTGCTTTTTTTATTATCAATGACAACAAATTTATAGATATGTTGAACTTGCCGCAACATGCTACCAACGTATCTTTTACGATGCATGCCGTAGATCTGAAATGGGATGGTGGGGATGTAATTATGAACGAACTGGAACTAACTTGAACTACCCACAATGTACTCAACTTTTCTGCTCTTGTAAGTTCCTATATGTTATTTATTTGAAATTAATTAATCAATTTTTTTTCAGTCCACTCTTAAATTGCCCAATGGATTTTCCGATTTTGTTAAATAATTATTATCAATTTATCTTTTTTCATGAACAATTTTTGTATTTTCTTCTTTTCTTCCCTTTAAACTCATTGAGTTTGAATGCTTGACTTGCATTTTCATATTTTTGATTATTTAATAATTTTTTCATTAGAAAAATTATTATTTTTTAGAAAATGTTGGGAGTTTTTGTTGTTGCCATCCTTGCGATCTCAACAGGTGTCGAAGCTGGTGTCGACTGTGATTCATCGAAATATTATTCATGTCAGGCCACACTCAACTCAGCGCTCAACATTTTCGACACTCAACCTTGGTATGACCCAGAGAATTATAGATATGAAGTGGAAAGTTACTATCAAAAACAAGGAGTTGATGGAATTAGAAAAGTGTGCAGGTTAGTGAAAATGAGCCATTTAATTATCAAGATGAAAAAAATCTTGCAACTGACAATTTTCAACATTTTCAGTGTAAATATCAAAAAACCAAATAAATTTTCGAAACAAAATTTTTCAGAGCTTTCCGCGAATTCAAGCAATGTATGGGTGACCAATACGCCATTTGTATGACACCTGTCCATTTTGTCTCACTCTCTGCAACCACTTTGAACGCTTATCAATTTGTTGGGCTTTTCAATCAAATGCATTTTGTTTGTGGCGCCGGATTGCAAAGTGAGAAAAAATAGTAAAATTCCAAAAAAATACAAAGATAATTTCAGCTTATTTGAGCAATGAAGATTGTATGTCAAACTCATGGAAGGGTGAAAATGGCGCAGCTTTGAAACAGTGTCGAATGGATTATGAAGTCACCAGTGATCTTGATTTCAACCAAGCTTGCACGTAAGCTCGAGTTTTGGCTTGATAATCTAGTCTAAAAAAAATTTTCAGACAAGCCAACAAGTATCTCATCTGTTTTGAAAATCTATTCAAACAACAATGTGGTGACAAATCAAATGATGCACAATTTTGGGCTTGTGAATATTCCCGCGTTAATGTTTTCACAAGATATCCACAATGTGCCGCACGATGTGTTTGTGAGTTTGTAAAATTTCAAAGATCTCATAAAACTTTTTTTTGCAGTGCCATACACCGGTGGAATTCTCGGCTGATCTATCAAATATGAATAAGTATTATTCTGATTTTATATGTATTAATAAATATGAACATTTACCAATTTCGGCGATAAGAAACTTTTTTGGGCTTGCTTGCTGATAGAAAAGGAAGAGTTAGGAAGAAAAATGAAACAGGAAAATATATTTGATTTGGAGGGGGTGGATCATTAGGAGAAATTGCAACTTGATTAAAAAAATATTGATTAAATGTGGGACTGAAATGTTAATTCAAACAAAATAAAATCATTCTAAAACAGTCAGTTACCACGTGAAACTTATTTTCAACATAATCAATGCTGAAAATAAGGTTCCGAATAAAACATTTTTATTGGAAATATTAATAAGCAATCACTTCGGAAAACATTGATTTCGTGTGCAAAAAACGAAAGGTATGAAAAACTAGAAGGGGATTTTGTAAGTAAATATGTCTTTTATGAGATTTTTGTTTATCCGAATCTAGGCATTGAAACATAATGCTGCTTTGATTAAAAACGTTTTCAGATCAAATAATTGGTGTTAATTTACTAGGTGTCCTACAGCATTCGAAGTTTTTCAAAACTTCGAAATATTCCGAATTTCTCAATCCTTCCGGTTTTGTTAATCTATGCTCCCTATTCTGAATCACGTTTCCCCAATTTTTTATCAAGTCCACCCCGTTCACTCCCATTTCAAGCATGCAACGATGAAAAAAACAAATCATTGAAAAAAGAAACAATCAACCTACTTATACGTGTATCAAGAGTATTATTTATAATCACTTTAAATGATAAGACAACTTTATAATTAATCCTCTTTTTTCCTCACTACGTTCATTTAATCATGATTTTCCAAGTTTTTGGTTTTTTGGCAGGTAATATTCTCAGGTTATTCAAAAATATTCATCGAATTTTTCAGTTTTGTTGAGCTGCGTTTATGCAGATTGTCCTGTTGCAACATCGAATAAATGTGATAACGATTTGTTCAAATGTTGCGGTCTTCAACTTCACGACAATTTGCAATTATCAAATTGTTTCGGAATTTTAGCTTACGAGCCAGAATGTCATCGACAAGAAATTGAAAATCTCTACGCAAATGGAACCACAGGACTAATGACTGTTTGCGAGTAAGTTACTTTTTTTTCAATTTTTTTTTCCAAAATGTTTTCCAGCTCATTCAACAAATATTACGAATGTTTGGGAGATGCTCGTGAAGATTGTACCAGCATTGGATATCACGTTCAGGCCGGACTCAGACTTTCGTAAGCTCACTCACAAGTGTTCTTAAAACATTTCCCGAAAAAAATTGAGAAATTTTTAGGGACGCTGTTAATGTTGTCTCAATGTATAAACAATTTGGATTTGCATGTGGCGCTGGTTTCGAAGGATTTTCAAACAACGATGCTTGTATGGGTCATATTTTCACTAGCAAAGCTGATCGAATCAAGGCTTGTCGAAACCAATTCCAAAATAATATTATTGTAGACAATGCAAATCACTGCGCGTGAGTTTTTTTTTGGAGCCTAACAAGCTTATGTAAGCCTAATAATTCCAAATGGAGCAGTCTGGGTCCATATTTCTTGGAACTATGAATAATTATTTAGATTTTTAGTTTAAGGTAAAAAAAATTTCAATAAGTCTATAATTAAAATAAAGATGCTTGTTTTCTAAATACCTAACCTTTAGTGTCTTCCGCCAAAAATACGTCAAAACTTGTAAATTCCTAACACTCCAATTTTTCAAGAGCTTCTCCCAATATTGTTTATATGTCATAGTAAAAATTATCAATATTGTAGTTTTGCTCTCGTGCGCAAATCAAACCACAAAGTTCATTTAGCTTTGTTAGATCAACAATTAGTTGTTGCTCTTCAAAATCTCAAGAAAAAATAAAACCTGAACTATATAGTGAAGCAGGTGTTTTTAAAAAATAGGCAAAGAAAAATATTTTGCAGACACCTGGAAGAGTACACTGGTTGTTTCACGGCTGTTTTCGAACAAAGCGGCTGTAATACAGAAAGCACTTGGTGGGGATGTGAATATGCTAGACAATCAGGACGTGTTATTTTGCACGATTGCAATTTGCAATGTTCATGTAAGATCATCTAAAATTGGGATTTTTTTTTAATCTGGCTAAAATTCGGGTTCGTAAGCACATATGTATAATTGAATGTTCCCTTGTGTATTTCAGCGTAATATTCACAACAAAAAAAAAGATTTTTCCAGCAAGAACCTGATCGAATTGTTTGAGGAGGTCTCGCGATAAAATTTCTATATTAATTTCAAATTCCAATAAATAAATGATTTTTGTTCAGACATTTTTTGTTATTAAATGCCATTTTTTCTCTGTTCCAGATAACACATGTTCGTATTTCGTCTATACTCTTCCCCTCAAAATCCGCACATCACAAAAAACATCGGTCAAAGAGAAAACAACTGACACATTGGAAAACCGATTTTTTTTCATTTTCTTTGCAAAATGGCTGAAAGCGCCGAGTTTATAGTGTTATGCGGTTTATTTTTCGCATTCTGGTTTACTATTCATCATCCATTTTTAATTGGATCAATCATAATTATACTGCTGGCTTATTGGATTTATAATTCACCTGAAACTCAGAAAACTATTATTGATGTGGCATCCAAGACTTTTGAAAATACAAGAAATCAAATACAAACAAATCGAGAAGAATCAGAAATGACGAGATCCGGAATCGAGAGAGCAAGAAAACAATATATGGAGCATTGCAACAGTTTCAATTCATCATCGAATCCTCCTGATACTGAATCAAAATCAAATTCTTCATTATTATTCACATATCAAGTACCAATTCTTACAAATTATTATGAATCCATCATTCAATTTTTTACACAGTAGGCATTGTTTCAATTTTGAAATAAATAAGGAAGATGGTGACTCAGTGATGTATATAGTTTTTTTTTCGTAAATTAATTAATAAATTGTGTTTTTTTGGCCGCCTTTCTTCTTTCGTTTTGAATGAATTGATTTTGTATTTTTAGTTTTGTTGTTCCGCAAAGTTTCAGGTTTTTCTTGAATCATTTGTTGTTTTTCAGAAAATTCCAGAGAACAAATTAGTTTTTTACACGAGTTAACACAATTGCTTCTGCAATTTTTTTTTAGTTTTTGAGTAAAGCAGGAAATTACTGTATATACATAATTTGTTTTCAGGTAGTTTTTATATGCATACAAATATCAAAATATTTTTTTTCGTTGAAAAGTCAAGACTCAAAATAAATTTCCTTGAGGAAATGTATTTACGGAGCGATAAATATATTCTTTTTTGAGTTATTTATCACGAGTGTCTAGTTCCTATGTATTTAAAAATATTTTTTTTCCATTTTGATTATCTTGTAAAATTTTTTTCAAAACTCTAAGTATGCAATACTAAATTTTAACTCTGAACATTTCAATGGTATGAAGCTATTTTTTAATTTAAATTATTATTGGTTAATGGCTAAAATTTCTATTTTTGTCATATTCTATAAATATTCTGAAAAGTTCAACATATATCACCACAATTTTTCCGAGTTGAATTTTCTGTTTTCAACTTGCTCACTTGCATTTGGTTGACCAAAAAAACCAATTTTCGAATTGCACGATGTCTATAACCTCAAATTCTCTATGATCTTTCCAAATTTGTAAGTATTTATCATAACTGTAATCCAGACAAACTAAAATTCCTCCTCTCTTGCTATAAAAACCATTCTCAAAATTTACACAATGACAAATACATCAAGCAAAAAAAAGTAACATTTCTACTATTTTTTTTTCAACACAGTTTTTGTTGGCTGCCGTTATACATACATATGTTATTGTTAAGAAGGAGTGGGTTAACATCAGTGAGGAGGAAGGAAATCAAAATATTGATGAATCAGAAAAAAGTAAACACAGTGGTTGGTGATTGCGCCTCCAAGTCAGCGAAAAAAACTATCATCCTTTTTGCTTCCTTCGTCCTATATTTATTTGTGAATCTTTACGTTGTTTGTATTTATATGTATGTATGTGCGTATTTACATTATGTTACATTCCGAATTTTTGTTGCAACACTAATAGTTTGTACCGAAAATCATCAGACAATCGTTTTTTTTTCATTCAAAAATTTCAAATTTGTGTATTATGGATAACATATGTTACATAGTTCCATATGTTTCAATGTTTTTTTTCTCACAGATCTCTCAACTCTTGTCAATATTCATATCTATCCATATATTCATATTCATATTTATGGATTAATAATTCTCATGGGATAGACCGGAACAACAATGTTTCTCTCTTTTATTTTAGTTAGTTCTGAAGAGCTTTTTTGTTATATATAAAAGTTAATGGATTTTTATGGTCTATTGCTCTTTTTTCATTTGTTTCATTCATTTTTTGCCTTCCAACCTTTTCCTTTTCTGGTTGATAAGCCAATTTTTTATGATTCATGCACTTTTTGAGCTCTAGTTCCTAGTTTTGCTCAAAAAGTGAAAGATGTCAGGAAATTCGGGCAGTTTTGCAATTGATGATTCATTGTTCATTGTGTAGGGAAAATATGCATGTTTTTAGGTTCCTGGTTCACTTCTTTGTGTGGTTTTTTTCAGAAAAATCCGTCATTTTTGTGAATAGATCAAAATTCCAAAAATACATTTTTCTGAAACTTCTTCAAATATTTTTAATTAGTATTTTGGAATTCCCTTCAGTTTTATTTAGTTTATAATTGGTTTTCGGGATTTTTTGCTGGATTAATTTTCGGAAACTACAGTAATCCTTGAGTATAATTTCAATAGGAATTTCCGTGTTGAACATTTTTTAATTTGCTTGAATTTATGTGTTTATGAAAAATGTTATTTCTAAACATAATGTTTTTTCATTTCTAGCAATGTTTCCAATTCTTAAATTTTGGTTGTTGAAATATTTTTCTTTATATTTTATTTTGAAAAATCTGATTAAAAAATTTCAGATTCAAAGTTTATTTTTTGGATTATTTTTTATGTGATGATGATTCATTTTCCAAAAAAAAATATTTGAAATTTATTTTTCCTCCAAAAAACCAATTCAGTTGTTCTTTCAAATATTTTTTCGCCAATTTTAAAAAATTCTTCGCAAAAATCAGATCGTTGCTGAAACCAAATATCAGCATTTCCAAAATTTCAGAGATATAACTTTCCACTCTTATCCCATATTTTATTTTATTTTTCTTCATTTGTTTCGCCATCAAAAACACTTGATTTATTTTACGTAAATAACATTAATGATGAAAAAAATGTCAAAATTTGTCTGTTAAAAGAGGCCAAGTGAGAGCAAAAACGAATTGTGCAAAAAGTGTTGGCAAATAATACGAAAAACGGCTACAGAGAAAAAGAGACAAAACGAAAAGCTTGCGCATAGACATCAAAAAAGCATTGCGTTAGAGAGATTTTTTGATTTTTTTTCGACGATTTTTTTTGAAACATTTTTTACCTTCCCACTTCATTTTACCACGGAGTTCATTTTGCACTCTTTTTTTATCGATTATTTTGAAAAAATTTAGCAAACTTTTTTTCTCGAAAAAAAGTGACTCTTGGAAAATTTGATAAAAGTAATGAAAATCTCTTAAAACATTATCATAGAAAACCTGATTTTTTAATCTAATGTTGTGATTTTTCACAATCCTGAAATTTTATGATCTACCGTACAGGTTCAGTTGAGTCCCAAAAGTTTTTCCAAATCCCCTCCATTTTTTGAAAAAAGGTGTCCCTTGTCAAATGAAAAAAATGTTGCCAAAAAACATTGTTTCGTACATTCAGTCAGTGTCTGCTCGATTTAAAACACCCCAATTTTGAGGCGAAAATATTAGCCTAATGTAAGATGCATTAAACAACCAACCAAAAAAAACACATTGCATTTCTAACCACCATTTCATTTCATTTCATTTTTTCTTTTGAAAAAAATGGAGCAAATTTCTGCAAAAAGTAATGATTTTTTGTGAGAATCTTGAAGCATATTGAATTCATCTGGAATATTACACATTTTCAAACGACTTTTCAATGGAAAAAAATGCGATTTTTCTGACCAATACTTTTATTTTGTGGTCTTTAAACTTACTTTTTCTCATTTATTATTCATGAAACAGTATTTTCTCTCTCTTTTTTTCTTTCAAAAGAAAATTCAGGTAAAATTAGCATTTTTGCAGAATATGTCAAAAGAAATTGACATTTCTATACGATATTTGGATAATGTTCTTTCGTCAAATAATGCAAATCTCATTTTGAGTGAGTTTTAGAAAAAAAAACATTATTCACCAAGATTCCCTGAAAATGTATTTGTTTTCAGATAGTACTGCTGCTTTATTGGAATCGATCTCAAAACACTGTGACACAACAAATTATGAGTTGAAGGTCAGTTTTCTTCCAACAAAATTGAACTTCTTTTTTTGATATTCTGTATCTCTGTGATAAAAAAAACCCCAAAAAGCTCACCAAACCTTCAAAAAACCAAAAAATAAATAGAAAAATGACTTGAAAAACATGTTGTATTGATTTTAGAGCCATTTAGTTTAGAGCGAATATGCAGCTAGTTTTTTTCCTCCCCGATAAAAAAGTGTGTTTGGCTTGGAAAATGTGTTTTTTTCCAAATTTTCTGGAGTTTTTACTGGAACCTGTACATTTGTTTTGAGAAATGGAACTCAAACATCTCTTACTTTTTTATTTCAATTCAATTTTCAGTTTGAAGCATTTTGAAATGTAGAAAAACTGTGCTGAAGTTCTATGAAAAGTCAGAATAGAGCACATTTGCATGTCCTTTTTTTCATCTGAAAAAAAAACGTATGAAAAGCAGCAATTTGGCTTGGAAAATGTGTTTTATCCAATTTTCTTGAAACTGAAATTTTCCAGAAAATTTAATCTTTTTGAAACACAAACCTAAAATAAAAATAATAACTATTCTGTAATATTTGTACAGTATTCCCATGTTTGAAATGTAGTAAAGTCGTTTTAAATTTTCACGAACAATCTCAAATGAGCAAAGTCCAAACTAGGTTTTTTGCATCTCCGAAAAGGGGAAATGGGGCTAACTTTGGCTTGAAAAATGTATTTTTCCTAGTTTTCTCTGGAGTGTTCGGGACCACCAAACCAAATTTTTTCTAAAACTTAATCCGATGAGAATATCAAAATGTTTTGCCACTTATCATCAAAAAATTTTCATTATGAAATGTAGAAAAATCAAGTTTTAAATCTGACTGAATTTCAGATTAGAGCGAACATTCTGCACTTTTAGTTTCCTTTTTGACGAAAAAAGAGTATTGTCTTTAAAAATGTTTTTTTTCACATATTTCTCTGATTTTCAAGTTGAAATATGAATATTTTTTGAAAAATTAAAACTTTAATTCATTCTCGAATTGTTTCTTCAATAATTTTTGAAAATTTTAGTTCATGAAATATAAAAAACAGTCAGTTTACTTTCAAAAATAAAATCACGTTGGAGCGAACTTGCAAACACTTATATTTTTCGCTATATCTTGGACAAATACATATTTTTCAGAGATGCATAATTTCGCTTCTTCGCATAATTGATAAAAAATGTTTTTTCAATGAAAATGTGGATTTGAATCAAATCAAATATTCTCTCAAAGAGCTTGGATCTGTAAGTTATTTTTCTCTTCTCTCTGGGAAAATTTTCAGCAATGTTTTTTAGTTATGCCCCAAGCATCCGAAATCAACTCAATCTTATGCTACTCCAAAAATCATTGAAGTCGATTCAGATTCAGAGGCAAATCCAGAAGAGGAAAATATTGATAACCTTCTCAATCAGTTGAATTTGAAGTTTGTTTTTTTTTCAATTATTGGTTCTCGAAATTATAAGTATACTTTTTTTTAGAAAAGTTCCATGTTTTTCACCATCATTTCCGGCAATTGACGACGAATCCGATGATGAAAATGGTGTGACAACTAAACAAAAAGAAGAGGAAAGAGCAGAGCAACATGGTCAAAAAGTGTGTGAGGAAGAAGTTGTCAAACTTCCGGATGGTAGAGAAATTCGAATGAAGAAGACAAAAACTGTGAATGTTAAACAAACAACAAAACATGTGAGTGATCTTTTCCCAGAAAAGGATAGTGAAACAGCAGAGGGCATGAAATCTAACATTAAATAAAATATTTTTCCAGGTCACAATCTCGACAAAAAGTGCAAACATGCCAGAAGTCAGCCGTCAATTCATGAACACAAAACGTGGATTCGACGAAGATGAAGAATCCGAAGATACTAATTTTGGTAGTCCACTACGTACTGATCCTTTCGAAAGATTCAAATTGATGTTGCAAGACAAAGAGGAATCAAGTGATTCAGATGCTTCAAACCCAGGATCTTCTTCAAAAACTAAAACTATCGAGAGGAACAGTGAAGTTTCTCAAAAAGTTTCAGAGAAAAAAGAGCGAGATGGTAAACTTTTGGCCGAACATGAAGCATCGAAATTAGATAAATCAAATTTATTTGCCAAACAAATTGATACATTCCAGGTATATATTTCATGGGACTTTCCTGAAAAAGTTGTGATTTTTATAGGGGAACACTTTGATTGATCGAAAAGGCGAGGGAAGTTATGAAGAAAGCACACTAATCAAAAGTGATCAACCACAACAATCGCAAGTTGCGACACCCCCAAGAATGCATGTTGTTGAATATATGATGGTAAACATTTTCGCAAATTTTATTATTCTGAAAATTTCCAAGAAAAACATTATTTTTTTGTCAATTTTTATTGTTCTTCCACGGCAAAATGATGTCGAGACATTTTGAAGACGTGGCAAGAAATGAGAAAAACCATGCCAAATTTTGAGAATTAGCAGTATTAAAAAATATAATTTTAGCTATGAATGCAATGAGCAATCTCTGGAGAAAAGCAAGTTTTTAGATACGATTTTGAGAAAGTTCAAATTATGAGATACTGTTTTCTTTAAGTTTAGCTGATTGAAAAAATTGTTTTCTTTAATTAATAGTTAGAATTATTTCAGACTTTTGAATTTGATTTAAAATATCAAGCTTCTCCTTTTTCCTTCATAAGTTGTTTTCCAGATGTTTGGCGATGACAACAAAAACAATGAAAATGAGTATCTGAAAGGCACAACAATTTCATCCTATGTTCGGCTAAACAGCAATCTCAGGTAATTTCCTATTCAATTTTTCATTCCCCTAATCAAAAAAACCCTATTTTTCTTTGTTAAAAAATTCCTTATCATTTCAGAACACACGAAGAGCAATTCCGAAAAAAGATCCAATTCGAGTTTAGCACCGCAGGTAATTTGATATAATCTTTATCAAAACTTTCTCAAGCTGATAAGAGAACAATCGACCAGAAAAAGGTTTTAAAAAGGCGAACATAGAACATTAAAACGGTAAATGCAAATAATTGAATAAATAAATAAATAAATAAAATCCGAAAGTAGAAGTTTTGAAGAAGAATAGAGAGTGAGGCCAAAAAAGTGTCACATTACCATTCTTATTAGTTTTTCCTATTCTTTTCTATCCAAAACTAAATTTTGGTGTTTCCTAGTGTGTATTTTCCTTCTTCTTTCTCTCTCTATATATTTTTTCATCCTATTTTTTTACCTGATGTGATGTGATGTGAGAAAATTGAATCCAGTTTTTTTCACTTTTATTCACTACATATTTTTTGCGCACTGATATTTAGCTGATGATTTTATTTCTGAAAATTTTGAAGATTTTGTATCTATTCCTATTTTTGATTCTGATATGGATTTCGAATTTGAGGATAATCCAGTTTCCTGGTATTATCTGCAAATCCTTCCAGGTTTAGTTTTTTGTTTTTTTTTTGAGAATGAGATTTTTTATGACGGCATAAATTTTCTATGATGAAGTATTTTAAATTACTGAAGTTTCGAAGTAGGTTTTATTTTGAGTTTCTAATTGTAAGATTTGGAAAATCAAACATTAATAAAAAAATAGGCTTAATTGTAGATTTTTTGAGTAGAATTTCAATTCTAATTCCATATAAAATCCACAAAACTGACAAACCCCTAAAAATTCAGGAACATCTTCAACAACAATCGATTTGGACAATTTATCCGATCTTCTCAATCAAACCGATTTCAATTGTCTTCGACCACCACAAAAATGGCTAGAAGATGTACCTCATTCATCAAACAATCAACAACCAAAAGCAATAGATTGGCAAAGAGAATCAATAGATAAACATAGGATTCACAAAGAAAAAGATTTGCTATTAGAAGATGATGCTCGAGAATATATAATCTTTCGAGAGAAAAATGGGAAAGCTCTAGAAGTTCGAGGTGGACCAAGAGATGCTTTGATTGTTTATGCTACTCAACCAGGACATTCAACACTTTTATATCAAGAAGCATTTTTAATAACTTTCCGAACATTCATCAATGTTCTAGAACTTGTTAACAAGCTCATCAAAAGGTAACTAAATTTTATTTTTAATTTCTATAATATTTTCAAATTTTCAGATTCATTTACATGTCAATGTCTACCGATGCACAATCCGAATCAAAAGCTCGTCATACATTTTCAGTAATCGTTAGGATAATTGACGAAGTTACTCATTATGAGCTTGATCGTGATTTGATAACATCCATCACTTCTTTTGTCTATCGATTGATTCATGAGGGAAATTTCACGTTTTCACGAATTTTGCGAACAAGGTTGTTGGAGAGATTGAGAGAGCCTTTTGATGTTGAACAGTTTTTGTCGACAAATTTAGCGAAACCAAAAAAGTGAGTTTTGCGATACTTGATAGAAATATTTGGGGAATCAGCAAAAATTGAAAGAGTTTTTCTGAACAAAATTATTTCTGTGATAATGAAAATGATATTTCCAGACCACAAGACCTGTTTGATTTCAAATCTGCGGACATTGCATGCCAACTCACATTTATTGATTCCCAACTTTATCATAAAATTGAATCCGCCGAACTTCTATGGTGGAGTCAGGAACAAAACGAAAATCGTAGTCGTAATCTAGTCAATTTTACCGAGCAATTTAATAAGGTAACTGTTCATCTTTCAAGAAAACAAAACAATAATATTTTTGTAGCTCTCATTTTGGGTACGTACACAAATAATCATTCAATCTAGTCAAAAAGATCGCGAACGCTACATGATGAAATTTATCAAAGTGATGAAACATCTTCGCGAAATGTGCAATTTCAACTCGTATTTGGCGATTCTTAGCGCAATTATGTCAACTCCTCTTGCCAGACTTGAATGGGATAAGAAAATCAAAGATGCTCTCAAGGTACCCTTTTCAAATGTTCATACTTATCTAATTTTTATTTAAAAACATTTTCCAGGACCACACCGGAATAATGGACACTGCTCAATCTTATAAAAATTATCGAGCATTATTGCAAACCGCCAAACCTCCATGTGTACCTTATATGTTAGTTTTTTCGACATTTCAATAGGAAATTAGCAGGCTTTTGATAACATTTGTCTGTCATTATTCAAAAAAAACCAAATATTTCATGGATTTGCTAACCTCGTCCCCTACTTATTTTCTAAGTTTTGAGAGGTTTGAAATTGTCAAGAAGGGAGGATAATTAAATTTTCTTCATGAAAAATGCAAATTTAATAACTCCTTCAAAAGAAAAAGGAAGGAAGAACACTCTTCCTAATGAACTTTTTTGAATGGCGGATAAATATAGATTTTTCAAAAGTGGCTGGAATTTTGTTGAAAGAAAAAACATTCTCTGAACTTAAGTGTTCTAGAATCCCCAATTTAATTTAAGAAAAAAATCAATAATATTTTTTTCAGTGGAATAATTCTGCAAGACTTGACATTTGTCCATGCTGGAAATCCGGATACAATTCCAGCCGATCGTTGTAACAACAAGAAAAATATTTTAAATTATTTGAAGCGTTGGAATCAATTTGCAATTTTGGACAGTATTCGTAAACTTAAAAAATGGTATATTTTTTTCTAATTCCAAAAATATCTTCTTATTATCAAAATAAAATTGATAAATTATTATTGCAGGAATTACGATATCAAGCGAAATGACATAATTATCCAGTTTTTCAACGGTTTCCAAAATCGTATCGATGAGGAAAAAACATGGGAATTGTCACATTTAATCAAGCCATCCAACCGTAAATCCAAAGCTTGATAATTTTTTAATTAATTGCTAATTTTTTGACCCCTTTTTTAATAATAAGCACGCATTCCCCGTTACTCAGTGCGCCAGCAAACTGTTTGTGTGTTTGCTTGTTTTTTCTTTTCTTTTTGTGTGTGTTTCATCAAACACACACACACATTTTTTGATGAAACACACGCCTTGAAACAATCGCAAAGAATACCTCTCTCCGGAAGAGTTATGTATAAATTTATATATGAAAATGTAGAGAAAAACACGAGCAATCTAATGATATAAGTACTTTTATATCAAAAATTGAAATTAATAATGAAAATTGGGGTAAATGAAGTGATTCAATCGTTTTCTCTGTGAATGCTCAAGTTAAATCATATATTTTCTCGATGTACACCAAATTTCATGAAACATTCGAACCTAACTTTTGTTCAGGAAGTCTTTACGCAGCTTTTAATGTGAATAAATCGTGTTTTAGTCACCTACTTGAATACTTCTCTAGATTGGCGTGAAATTGCCAATGGGAAACGGCTGTTTTTGGCTATTTTCTTCGATTATTTCATATTTTTCTCGAGTAAACGCCAAAATTTCGGTATACCTGATATGAAATGTTGACTAAATAAGTAAATTCAACATTATCCACCAGAAAATAACAAAATATAGTTTCACTTGTAAATTTCGAGAAATTTTCAGACGATTTTTCAATGTCAAGCGGAAAAGGCGTTTGAATGAATGAATTTGAGTTGGAATTTTACAAATTAACATGTAATTAGATTTATTTCATGACTTTAAAAGAAAAACATGAGAAAATGTCCGAATTCAGCTCCAAAATAGACAAAAACTTCCCAAAAACACAGGCGATTTCACGAAAATCTACCGCCCGTTTCAAAATCGAAACCAAAATTGGAGATCGCTATATTTTCCGATACAGAAAAACATGCTGAACAAAAGTTAGGTTGCATTTCTCGAATATTTTTCGGTTTCGAAGAGGAATAGCACCTGTAAAGTACAGGTTTCGGAGACTTTTCTCTTCAGTGGCTATTTTTATCGCTACACTAACTTTTAGACCAGGATCTTTTATATCATTGTATTCCTCGTCATCTCCTCTTTCTTCTCATATATGATTTTATTTCAAATCCCCGGAAACATAATGAATTATCATGCTTTTGTTATGCGAATTCAATAAAAAACGTGAAAGCGAGATAGTGTGTGTGTGAGGGAGGCGCAGACAAGAGAGAGAAAACACACACAAATGCGTCAGTGATTGTCGCCTGTTGGCGCACTGAGTAACGGGGAATGCGTGTAAGTATAATAATATTGAAATAAATCGTTCTGTTTTTACCTGTTTTTTTCCAAAAAAAAATAAAACTAGACACAATTTATATGAATACATTACAATATATAATTATTTTCAAAAATGAGAGAGAAAAAACCGGGAAAATTTGATGAAAACAAAAAACTCGTGTGACTAAAATCGTTAGTACAAAAAATATGTTAGCTACGATTGGAAACTATTCGAACAAGTGAAAAAAATGCTTTTCAAAAAAAAAATAGAAAGAGATTGGGAGTTTTAAGGGGCAGAGTGGGAAAACAATTAAAAAATATTTGGTACCGTGTAAATAAATATGAATAGAAATAATAATAATAATCTCATAAAACAAGAATAAGTGAAGAAAATATTTAATTACAACCTGCAAGATTCCTTGTTTTCACCCAAATCTTTTGGCTTTACCGGTACTGGTGGCTTTGGCTTCGTTGCGCTGGCTGGCGGCGGTGGAGGAATCGTTGGTGGGATAATCACCGTTTGATTAGACGTTGTGGTGGTTGTGGTCGGTTTTGTTGGTGGGGAGGATGTCAAATTGATTTGATTCGTCACCGCAGGCTCGTCATCAAGAGTTACAAGAGTTCTGAAAAAGAATTTTAATATGTGTTTAAGAATTGTTTTCAACATGCTGGTGGTTTTAAGTGGAGGATAAGGGTTATTGGGAGTGATAAGGGAAGCATGCAAAGGTTTTCATAGTGTATTTTTCAAGCACCTAGGAGAACAAGCAAACTTAATTAGGCCATGCAAATTAAAAAGCAACATAGAATAATTTCACAAATTTGTCATGCCTAAACACACCTATTGTTACCACCATCAGTAACCACATTAGGAGAGACTTCTTTGTTCTTAGCCGATTTCAAGAACCCAATAAAACTTTGCCGCTTGCGTTCTGGCGCAGTTGGCGGTGGGGATGCTTCGGTGGCCTCGAACAGTCTAGTCAGATTCTGTCTGACAGAACCAATCTCGTCAGATGACACCGAATCACTTTCCGGTGATGTACTAGCCCCAACTGCATAATGATAACTCATTGGACGGCCTTGTGGCAAGTCACTATTTGTTTGACGTGCTGACTGTAAAAAATATCGAGAGCTGATTTTACGACACCATGTTTTAGTTACATTGTGAATGGTCTTTTTTTTCTTTTCGGTAAAACTTCTCGTTAAAATCACAGCTTCCGATTTCGTCGGTGTTCGAAACGACTCATCACCCTCTTCAGCTTCAGAAGACCCTTGAGAAATATCGACGAGTGGGTAGACCTCTGTGAAAAAAAAAACTAGGTTAGTTTTGTCTCAACTAAAGATTTCCTACTCTCTGAAACTGGGGGTGGAGGTGGAGCTTTGTCTTTTGGTCGAGTTGTTCTTGGGCTCACTGCAGACATGCTTCGTGTAAAATTGCTCGTGATTTCGAGAACTGAAGAGGCTCTTGGACCATCGACAAGATTTTGTTTGAAAGCGGGAATTCCGAATAATCGCTGGGCATTGTTGATAAAACTTTCAACAATTACTGTGCCAACCGTATTATGACCATTCAATTCGATTCCCATAATGTTTGGCCCCATAACAATTGCCAAATTTGAAGCATTCATTCTGAAAAAAAGATTTATATGAATTGTAGAAGAAGCCACCATCGCTATCATTTTGAGGGCCCATGAGAGTATTCGAATTCATCAAGGTTATGTGATAAACGGTTTACAAAATCTTTTATATAAACTTAAATCCATACACATTTTTTTACAATTTTATTTTGTTATTCAACATGTTTTTTCACAATTACGTCTGGGAAAACACCAGGAACATTTTTTGTTTTCCATTTTCTCAGCGATCATGAATAGAAATAATGGGATTTGATTTGTTTTTCTGTTTACTAAAAACAATATTTTTCCTGATTCAAAATAGTGCGTTGGCACAGTGAACACGTGTTGTCCAGATGTATATCTCCTTTTATACATATGTATGTATTATTTAATTTTTTCGAAAAAAGAACCCTCGAAAAACTCACGATGTGACATCTTTATATTGTTCCAAGTCACTGAGAAAATGCATAAGATAGATCAAATTATCACGATGTGATTGTGGAAGAGCTTTAATCAACCTTTCAAATGCCTGGAGTCGTTGTTCTCCATCCAATTTGACAGCGGCAACCCATTCAGATTGTAGAGCATTTGTCAAAAGTGGATCAGGAAGTTCGCGTAAATACGATTTCAATACCGAGCACACAGAAAATGGATCATTGAAATAATACCTCTCTTCTTGCTGAAAAAAAAACATTATTTGTTTAGGATTCAAAGATTTTTGGGCGAGCAGGAAAAAAAAACTAACATCAAACTGTCCGGCATCAAAAGCAGCTTTGATTCTTCGGATTTTTCCATTGTTGCCATTCACACGGAAAAGTCCCTTCTCATTGAATCCATTTGCTCGTAAAAGTGAGCAACTTTTCTCAATTACAACAGCAATGCTTGAATTTGTGTGAGCCAAATGTTCGGTTAAATCGACACCAAATACCGGTCGAGGGCGGGCAGTATCGATATATTTTGTTAGTTCTGGGAGGACTTTTGCAAATTCCTCATTCATCTGTCGATGATGTTCGTATTTCAATTGGATGAGTTTGGCCATTGTCTGGAAAAATAACCAATTTTTGATTTTATTGAAGTTTTTCTTCAAAATTCAAAAAAAATAATCAAAATCAGATTTTATTTTTATTTTGGGACCGACTGAAAACATCGATTCTCAAAACACAAACCTTTGCAATTTCCTGTTCTTTCGTCGATTGCAAAAACGCATCAGTCATCAAAGAATCTCTCAAAGTCTCGACTTTCAATTGTGCACTATCAACAGCTTCCTGATGTGTTGAACTAAACTCCTTCTCCAAATTCTTCTGCGCAATTTCCAAATCAGTATACGCATTCAACAATTTCTCCTTCGACTTTTGATATGACTTCTCAGCTTCACCAACACTGGCAAGTTCCTCATATACTAATCGCTCCAAAATGAGTTCATGCTTAACTTTTTCTTCCGCTTCAAAGTGAATCGCATTTGCGATACTATTCATAACTTTATGTATACATGTGGATTGCAAATATTCGAGATCAACTGAAGAATCTTTGAGATTGTTTGATAGACCAATTTCCTCAAGTTTCTTCTGAAAAAAAAACAGTTTTGTTTTGAAAATATAGTTTTGAATTTCATCACCAACCTTCCTTTTATCAACATTTTCTTCTTTAAAACCAGTCTGGAATGTGTTTGCGAGATCTTTGCGAAATGTAGTTATTGTTGAGCACAGCTGCAAAAAAACACATGAATAAATAAATAGTGAGCAATCGATAATTTTACCTTTGAATTTCTGGCTTCGATTTGATGAATATTGCGAAGCTCTTCATCGTCATCTTTTTTCGAGGTGCTGCAAAAATATAGATTTTTTATTTTTTCCGGAAACAAAAAAAACTTACTTAACCAAGTTATGCTTGATTCGACGAATCTTGTCCATCTGCAACAAAAAAACTGTTTAAAAATGTTGTGAAAGAAGAAAAACGAGGTAAAAGTAAACAAAAATTGATAAATTCGATTTAGAAATATATATATAGGAAAAGGAAAAAGGGAAAGGGGGAGAAAAAAGTAGTTTATGTTGTTCAGGCACAAGTGCAACGCGAAAGGGACGACGATTTGCATTGGGGCGCGCTTGCTGCACTAACTAGTCGTTTATTTCACCCTTGCTTTTTTTTTGGGTTTTACCCATTTTTTTGAGGTCTGGAATTTTTGATAGATAAGATCGTTTTTCAAATATGATAGATTAGAATTCTGCTGCCCTAAAAAATGTGTGTTTTTTCCCGCTTCAAAAATAACGATTTGTTTCTTTTGAGAAAAAAAGAAAGAATATTTTTTTTGTTACAAAATAAAAATGAAATAATAAAAAAAAATAAATGTACAGATGCGATGAAAAAAATTGGAATTTGCTTAACGAGAGGATGGCGAAGTGTTATTGGGCGAAATTTGTTTGTTTTTGTTGGAATCCTACTCACCGCATCGATTGTTTATTTTTATATAGGTGAGTAGAATGTTTCACGGATTAAAAAATGCGGCCCGTTTTTTTCTCTACAGATGCGCCACTAAAGTTCAAAGTGGCCAAGATTGTTGAAAGCGGGGATCAAGAAGAGTATTATTCACCCCGTGACAATTCGATTTCTCGAGTTTCGTGAGTTTTATTTAGATTTTCTATCAAATTTTAAATTATCTTTAGGTTTAATGACTCGAAAAACGATGTGATTGTTTTTGTGCATATTCAAAAGACTGCTGGAACAACATTCGAACGATTTTTGGTGCGATATCAAGATAATTTGCCTTGTAAATGTATGGCTCATAAGAAACGTTGCAATTGTGCAAGATCGCAATCAAATGAGGTAATTTTTTGTGTTGTGGGCTCAAAAATAGTTGTAATTACTTTGAAATTTAACCAAGTCTCCCATAATATTTCTTTTCACATTTCCCTTATTCCAGACTTGGTTATTCTCACGTTATTCAACTGGTTGGGTTTGTGGTCTACATGCTGATTATACCGAACTAGTCGTCAATAATTGCGTGCAAAATGTGCTCGATAGACAAACCGGTTTCAAAAAGAATCGCAATTATTACTACACCACATTTTTAAGAAATCCAACAGATCGATTTGTCTCCGAGTTTCGACATGTTCAAAGAGGCGCCACGTGGATTTCTTCGAGGTTGGTACTCGGACTTTTCTTCTGGATTCCATAATATATTTTCAAATTGTTTCAGACACGTCTGCAATGGGAAACCAGCTTCATTAAATGATCTACCATCTTGTTTCGACCCGAGAATTGGTTGGGAGGGTGTGTCTCTTGAAGAATTCATATCATGTCCTTATAATCTGGCGTTTAATCGACAAACTAGGATGTTGGCTGATTTGACATTGGTGAACTGTTATGAACATGTCAGAAAGCCTACACACGAACAAGATAGGATTCTTTTAGCTAGTGCAAAGGAAAACTTAAGGTAACTTTTATTATTTGTTTGAGACAAAACAAAAAAGTTGAACAACTACTTTGAAAACAGATCGCACAATTCCTCTCTACCCCAAATTCACCCAAAAATCCCCTAAAATAATAATTTATAGAAAAATGGCGTTTTTCGGCCTCAAAGAATATATGGATGATAGTCAATGGCTCTTCGAAAACACATTTCAAATGCAATTTTCTCGAAAAATGTCAGTTTGGGGTAAGAGCAAGTCAAACGACACAGTTCTCAACGAATCTCAAATTGCGTTTATTAAAAATGTCAACAAACTTGATTGGGAGCTTTTTGAATATGCTCTTCAACTTTTCAAAGATCGAATTTCTCAAATGAAAAGACTTATCATTAATTGATTGATTGCTTTTTTAAAACGTTTTTTTGCTCCATGTTTTTATACCTCAACGATCTCTATTACTTGTAACCCGATTATTTCCTACCTTGTTTTCTAATTTCATAATCTCATTTTGCATTATTTTTTCATTTTAATTTCAATACGTGTTTTCTTTCCGCAATATAAACATTTTCATACCAAATGAATAAATGAATCCAAAAAAACATGTTTATACAACAAACAACACTCCGCAATAACGTTTTGCATGTAGTTTAGCGCGTGCTCGTTGTATTATTCAGTTTTTATTATTTTTTGGTTTTTCGTGATGGAAGATGAATTTGATATTGTTACATGGACAAGGTTAGTTTTTTTTTCAATATTTTTGTTTTTTTGAGTTAATGAAAGAATAATTTGCAGGTTGAATGGTGTGATAAATAAAATAAGGAATACGGAACAACAATTAGAAATATTAAAATCACAATTCAATGATGATTTGCCTACAAGTTGTAATTATGCGGCGTCTATACTTGTAAGTTTACTCATTTTTATTCGAAAAATCAATCAATAAAAATAAAACTCAAACAATGAGAGATAATTATGAAATTTCCAGGCATCAGAAATGGAAGTGCGACAAACTTGTATAAACAAATTGAGAAAACGAATAGATTGTGTTCAAAAATTGTATATATCAAAAAGGCGAACAATGCATGAAGTACATGATAAACTTGCCAAAAAACAAGTGGATTTTGATAAACTTGTTGAGAAAAATGAAACGCTGGTTGAGAAATTAGTTGAAAATAATGAGCAAATGGAGAAATTGAGGTGAGAGAGTTTATGAAAGAAATTATTTGAAAAGCTTTTGAATCTTTATATCTTGAAAAACGAACTTTTGATAGAAGTTTTCAAGATGTTCAGCTTTCTTCTTCAAAAAACTTTCAACAAAGATTGTTTTTTAGAAAAACAAATCTAATACAAGTTCGATTGATCTCGTTCCGAAAACTATATCTAATCCAAGAAATCGTGGATCTTTTCAAAATTGACATTGATGGAGGTCCGGCATCAAATCAACCAAGAAACACACAAAGTGATTGTAAATGTGTGCTGATTGATACAATTAGAAGTCTTCATTTACCGCAAATCGCCAGTGTTCAAGGTAATTTTTAGTGCGAGTAATTCTTAAAAACGTAACATTTTCAGTCGCTGGTCATTCTGAAATTGAAACAACATCTGCTGTTGGTTATGTTGTTCAAGTATTAGATGCGATTTCAATGGTTTTGGATTATCCACTTCGATATCCGGTGATTTGCGGATCTTCTACATCGAAGATTTTGTTTCCTATAGAAAATATGAGGTGAGTGAGGTTTTTGGATCAAAACAAAACATGAACTGTTCAAAAAATCATCTCAAATATTTCTAGAGCTGCTCAACTGTACAATTGGAAAAAACGGCTGGACCGTGACAAATTCCAAGAGGGTCTCGTATGGTTTGGCAAAAACATTGCGCAACTACGTGGTGATTGTGGCATCCCAACACCACACGCCGATAAAACGCTATCAGTTTTGGCTGACTGGGTCAGATCAATAAATGGAGGGTAAGTGTCCCAAGTATCTCAAGAAAAAACAATGATTGTGTTATTATTATTTGGTTTTTAGTTTCAGAAGATATGTATGTATTTATGAACGACCAACTGCAAGTGTCACTAGTCCAGCTTCGCTTCTAATCAATTATGAATAGGATTTTATTATAATTATTTTTATACATATTTAGAAATATTTCTCTCACTTTCAAACATATCATTTTGTCTGTCAAATACCCTATAAATTATTATTTCACCCAAAATTCTCATTTTGTCATTGAAAATATAAGGGTCAATGTATCCGAAATTATCTTTTTTTAAAATTAAATCAACACATGGTGAAATCAAATAAATCTTCAGATAGATAGACAAAAATGGATGAAGAAGATCAAGATGAAATTGAGGTTGGGATGAACAACAGTTCAAGTACATCAGAATCAATAGAAGATGAAGAAGAACATGATGAGGATGAGGTGCCATTAGAGCCAAGATTTAAATATGATCGGATGAAAGGAGATGCAGCAATGAGTGTAAGGTTTTTTGGGGTTTTAGATAGGATTTCTAAACAAATCAGCAGAATTAGAAAGTGAACAACACGTTCCAAAAAATCTTATTTCTGGACAGCATTCAAATATTGTTTAATCCAAATTCTATCACAAAAAATTTTTTCTAGATGCTGAAAAAAGAATTGCTAACTGCTATTGACATTGATGATAAATTTGTGGCAATTGGAACACAATCGGGTAAAATCTATGTGATTGATCACGAGGGATTTGGCGATTTTCAAAATGTGCCAATTATGAATCCACATCGCTGTGCGGTCAACAAATTGAAATTTGATGAGACCGGATCGTATATTATTAGTTGTGCAAATGATGGAAAAGTAGTTGTTTCAGGAATAGGAACTGATAAATTAACATGTGTAAGTTACATTAATCTTGAATATTATAGAACTTGAGTGTTGGAATGAACAAAACTGATAAAGTCTATCAAAAAATATTAATAAAAGTTCCTAAAAATGCAACAATGAATGTGAAAACAAACAAAAATGGAGCGCACGTGCTTCACCCGCCAATTATTCATAGAGGGAGTTTCAAAATATTTTTTAAATGTTTTTTTTATTTATCAAAGCCTGTATTTTTCCAGACAGTGAATGTGAATATGATGCCCAGATCAGTTGCGTTTTCACCAGATTTTGCAACTGCTCAATCGACAAACTCTTTTATTGTTGGTGAAAGAAGTCTGATGCTTTATGATAAGAAGTTTTTCAAATATAAAACAACAGTGAGTAAATTTCCAATTTCTTATAAATACGATATATCAGAATTCAGATTCACATTAAAAATTTTCCAGGTTATTTACAGTGGCGCCGAGCGTGATGGTTTCATCAACTGCTGCTCTTGGAAAGGCAATTACATCGCAATGACAAACGATTTAGGTACCCAGGTGTTTGATCGAATTGCACTAAATCCCATCACATCAATTCAACCATCTCACGATATTGACAAAGTTCGAAGTTCTCGAGCTCCACCAAAACACATTTGGCTCCCAGATAAATCATTGGTAATTGGCTGGGCGGATACAATTACGATTGTTCGAATTGTAACAACTGATGATAGTCGTCGAGGTGAAATTCACAATATGTGGCATCTCAAAATGTTTGTCTCTGGATTATCATATATTATTGATACATCTACTGATGTTGTTGAATTAGTTGTGACTGGTTTGAAACTTGAAGATGAAGAATTTGATGATGGAGCTGTAAGTGTTTTGGAAGAAGGAGTTTCCTGAAAATATTTGAATATTTTTTCAGTCAATGGTTTCAACATGCACAACTTTGACAGCTATGGAGAGCAGTGTTAGTACAACTCTAAAAACCAGTGTGATCAGATCACTTGGGTTGAAGGAATATGAGCTGCAATCAGAAGATACGATGAACAAGTGAGGAAATTTTGAATTCTAAATTCAAGCTATGAAAAAACCAAAAAATATTTTTTCTAGCGTTCAACTAACCAAATACTCAATGCCTTGTAATATTCATATGGCTGGAATACCTTACCTCAACACATATTTTATAATGACACTCAAGGATATTGTAACCGCTATTCCATATGGACCAGAGGACGGTGTAAAATGGAGACTAAAATATAAATTATGGGATGCAGCTCTGGATATGGCAAAAAATAATGTATATTGTTATAAACAGATTTTTTTAATCAATTATTTTTTATTTCAGATCGAGGTCCTTTCGAAAACTGATGTGGACTTCAGAACTGTTGGTCGGCGAGTGATTGAAGGATTTTTGAAAGATGAAAGACCGAAAGCTGCATCGGCAAGATTGCCGAAAGTTTGCGGAGAATCGAAAGATGAATGGGAGTGGGCTGTGAATTTATTTGAGAGGAATCGACTTTGCACATTACTTGCTGATGTTTTGCCAACATCTAATCCACAATTGGAGCCGGAAAATTATGAAGGTGTACTTCAAGCAGCACTGTTCAACGATGTGAAGTTATTCAGGAAATTGGTACAGATGTGGAGTCCGGATTTGTATCGAACATTTTATATTATACATCGAACACAGTGGAGGATTCAAGAAATTACAAAGATTCCGAATACAGCGCAGGATGAGAAGATACTGATGGATGTAAGTTTTTTTTTCGAAAAAAACCACATCAATTTCAAAATTCCAGAGTTTGGCTCATCTCTACCTCTACGAACGCAAATATGACCAAGCACTAAAAATCTTCATGTCGCTTGGCGATACTCAAATCTTCAACGTCGTCAACAAACATCAATTATTTGAAATGGTCAAAGATCAAATTCAAGATTTGATGAAAATTGATTCGGATCTTGCATTGCGACTAGTTCTAGATAATGAGGATTCAGTTGAACCGTCATTTGTTATGGATAAAATTGCGCGCCAACCAAAATTGCAAATGGCATTCCTAACAAAACTATTGAGCAGAAATGAAGGTATATTTTTAACACCAATTTTCGATTTCAAGATGGAGTTATCATGTTTTTAGGGTTGGAATTTGCCGATCGCGCAATCCAACTTTATGCTGAACACGACCGCAAGAAATTGTTACCATTCCTCAGGAAAAATGAGCATTACCACCTGAACCAGGCTTTGAAAATTTGCCAGGCTAAAAATTACACGGAAGAAGTGATATTTTTGTTGACGAAAGGTGGAAATCATTTCGACGCTGTTAATTTAATGGTCAAAGAATATTCAAGTATCGACAAAGTTATTGATTATTGTAAAGATCAAAATGATCGAGATTTATGGATTTATCTTGTTGAAGTTGTGTCAGATAATCCGGCTCATTTAGCAAAACTACTAGTTGACGCCTCAAGCTGCCTCAATCCTTTATTAATCATTGAAAAAATGCCTTTGGAAACTGATATACCGGGTCTTCGGAACGCGATTAATCGCGTATTATCCGACTATAGTGGTCATTTACAACTACAAAAAGGATGTTATGATTCGACGTTGGCTGATTCGAAGATTCTCATCACCGATTTTTTGGAAGATGCGAATTCAGCAGTTTTTGTACATACGGGTCAAAAATGTGCGATTTGTGGACTTATTGTTAATTGCGATTCAGTTAGATATGCGACTGGTTATAGGATTCATGGATGTGGACATGTTATTCATATGGCGTGTAGTGGAGACGTGAGTTTTTTGAACTTCTATGAAATAAAAATCACAAGACCTTGTTTTTATACTTTACAAAATTTTATTATTGTCTATCAAATTCTCGAAATTATAGTACAGTATCACGAATATTTATAGTTATACAAAATTGAAAGACAAAAACAAATAAATTTGAAGTTAATGTTTGGTTATTTTTTAAAATTTTAAAATCTGACTTTTGGAGAATATGAAAAAATTTCAACTTCTATAACGAATTTTGCAAATCCGGCTTCTTTTAAAATTCCCAAAGATTATGAAAATCATTCCCAAATCTTAAAAAATGAAACTGCTCTAGTTTGATTTCTGAACTTCCTTCCTGATTCTAGTATAAACATTGTTTTGAAAAGAGACAAAAATCATTGTTGAAATTCAATAGTATCAAATTTCCTCTCAAAAATCAAAATTTTCAGAATGCTTCCAACAAATGTTCGGCTTGTCGTGAGCAACCAATTGATTAATTATTTTAAATTTTTTAATTCTGTAAAAACAATCAAAATACCTTCTACTTATATGTGTTCCTTATGAATAACCGGTTATTTCTAGTGATATTTGTTGAAATGAAAATTTATTTATTTATGTATAAATAAAACTAGCATTGATTAATGAATTGCACAGAAAATTCGAACGGATTCGGTAAGGAAAACATGTAATTTACAATGATATAGGAATGGGTAACGCAAATATAGGATAATCTTTTTCAATTTTATGTATATATAGAAATAGAAAGTCAGATCCTGATATTATGGCAAACATCACAAAAGCAAAGCTTATCAAAATATTTTGGAACGAAAAAAGAAGGGAAAACATATAGAACAGATGATTAGATAGATGAGAATCATGGAAATGAGGGAAACGGAAGAATTAATAGATATATAGACAGTTTAGTTGCTGGATGATGAAGTTGATGGCAAATGTGCACGTTGGTCTTCGAGTCGACCAACTTGCATACGAAGAACAATATTGGTAACATCTTCCTCTTCTTTTGCTTTATTTTTTGGGAGTGGAGAAGAGGCGGCTGATGTTGATGGGGCGGATGATGATCCAGCTTTTGGTGGAGACGATTGACGGAAGCTTAGTGGGTGTACACCATCTTGACGCAACGCTTTTGGCAATTCACTACGTTGGTCGTCGAGACGTTGACTTTGAACACGCATCAACCATTCGACCAAATGACTGTCCAATTCATCGGTGGAGTTTTCACTGGAAAATTTGGTTTTGAAAGAGTTAAAAGACTAGTGTGTGCAGGTGGAAAAAGTTTTTTTTCAGTAAATTCCATCTTATGGTAGGGCTTATTAAAATAAAATTTAACTAACGTGTTCAAACGACGCAAAATCAATTGTCCATGCTCATTAAGCCCTGGCAAAAATGGAGCTCGTTGATCTTCCATACGACGACCTTGAGCATTCAAGAGAAGATCGATCAATACTTCAGAGCCATCTGAAAATTAGAATAAATGGATAAAAAGAGAAAAAGATGGGGAGAAAAACAAAATTAATATGCAAAAAACGACGAACCTGTTGACGAGTTATCCGGCTCAGTGTCAGCCTGTCGGCGTGTTTTTACCGGTCTATCTGGATTCAATAATGTGACATCGACGCGTTGATCATTCATTCTTTTTGATTGCAAACGCGCTAGCATATCAAAGAACTCCTCTTTGTCGTAACGATCGCCGGCGTGCGGATCTTCCGCGTCCTGCAAAAAAAAACATTATTTATTTTTTTCAACAACAACAAAGTTTGCTTTTCTCAAAAAATAAATGTCAAGATCACATGTTGAAAAAAAACATACGTTCACCGGGCGATCAGTTAATGTTCGCTTTTTGAAAAACGATAAAAGCGTCTCGTTGTTTTCAATTTGTGGGCCGTGTGGGTCAGCTGACGGATCAATGATAATCTGAAAACAGCTTATTTTTCAGAAGTGTCAAGTTAGCTGCTGAAATTGAACTCAATAAGAGAAAAAAAAAGAAAATGGAAAAGCTCCGCCTTCATTTTTTATATGAAAGAAAAAAAGAAAAAAGGGGGCGGGGTTTGCACTAAAAATTGTGCCAAAAGAGCTCACCTCAGTGTTATCGATTAAGACTGTGGATTTTGCAGCATCCAAAATTTCCTTGAGCAAATTGTCAATATCAACAATTGTGTTAGTGTCTTCGACCTAAAAGAAATGTATGTATATTTTGAAGAAGAGTATGTGCAAAAAATAAAAGAAGTCGGCAAGAAGAACAAGAAAAAACGAGCAAAAACGTCTTGTGCTCGATTTTAATTGATAGTTAATTCCTTTTCGCGTCCATTTCTAATTGAAAGCGAAAAAACTGACGAGTTTATTTTTCTCATTTTCATTTTCTCATGTACACTACTACACTAGACACTACCAACCTGAAGTGCCATTCTTTTTGCGAGAACAAGGAAATATAGACTTTTTCGGAAATCACGAATGTTTTGGAATGCTTGAGCCAACGAGTAATAGGATCTGAGTTGACCGGATTTGTCCTCAAGTTTTCTGGCGATATCCAAATGGCGCAAGAAATAAGTTATAGCTGGAAAAATGAAATAATTAATTAATTGGGGAAAAACTATTCAACTGGAAAGGACAGTTGAATATTTTATTACAGAAGTTTTTTTTTCTAAAGTTTCAGCGAGCGATGAAAAAAACTTCCTCTTCTATAAATCATTTTCTTTCTTCTCCTCTGGGGAAAATTTGAACATATAAAAAATGTTTCAAGATTTTTTTGGGGGCTCAAAAAATGCCTCATTTTTTTCTAGGATTCGTCAAGTGAGATGGAAAATGAGAAATTCGAGGGTCAAATGATGACATTTGGAAAATGGAATAGCAAAAAAATAACAAGATAAAATGCAAATTTGAATTTCCTCCTTGATCGATCAAGGAGAAAGGGAAAAAAAGAATAACAACAACAAGAAAAATTTGAATAAAATAAATTCCTTGGACAGATTTTTTTTGGTATCAGTTTTTCTGACTGTGAGATCTCAATGAATCCACAAATTCTAAAATTTTATAAATGAGCTTGACCTTTCCGGTTTTTATTATTTTCAGATTATTTCAAAGAAAAAACCTCACATCAATTGGAATTAGAAATTTGATGAAAACAAAAACACTGCACTTTTCTTCAAAATAAAAGTCAAATGAAAACTTTTTTCTCGTTGTTCAAAAGAAAATCTAAGAAGGAAATTGAGTTTTTTTTTCTTAAAAGAACGAAAAATTTCTCAGATTTTCACCACATAAAATTGTAGTTTTTGCTACAAACCTTTCGGAAAATCTTTAGTAATATACAAAGCATTGGCAAGCGAATAAGCCATTTGTGCCTCTTCGGAACGATTTGACAATTCAGATGCGATATTATAGGCTAATCTGAAAGAAGAAAAAACAAAAACATGAATAATCTTTTAGATAACATCATAGGATTAACTCACCGATAATGTTTAATCGCTGCTGGCATATCAGATTTCAGAGCGTGACAATTTGCAATATTTGCATGAGCACGTCGCATTGACGCACGATCGCCGTATTGTTGAGATAATTCGAGCCTCTGGAAAATAACAATGAATTACTACTGATTTTTAATAATAATAATAACAACAACACGTGTGTGACGAAATTCGATTTAGATGTCTGAATAACTCAATCAGAAGAGAAGGAAAATCAAGACAAAGTGTTTTTTATAGACAACTAAGCGCGCGGAATTAATTTGATTTGTTCCGAATAAAACAACTTCGGAGTCTCTAAAGAGGATCTTGGGATAGCCGTGGATTATGAGTTTCAACAATTTTTATCAGATTATTCTAGGAGATACAGTAATCTGAAACTTTGAAAAAATCAAAATCTTTTATATAGGGAAGAAACAGGTGATTATTCTGAAAGTGCAAATTTTGCAGGTGATTTTTCGAGTACTGTATCTAAAATTTGAGAAACATAGAATGTTCTGAAATGTCTTCAGGTGCTTTTAAAGAAACAAAAGCACATTTTTTTGAATTCGGAGCATCAAAAATTTAAATTCAAGTTTTCTCGTAAACGCATTCAAAAAAAATATCCTCTTCAGAAAAAAACATGTCAAAATGTGAGTTCTCGTAAATAATTCTTTGATGAGCTGAATTGATAATTAGTGGAATTTTTGTTGACATGAAAAATATGAAATTTTCAAAGAAAGATTCTATAAATCTTCTTTTCAACTCTCAAAAACAATGTTTCTTTGTATTAAGATTAAGAGCAAAAAAACACACAAAGTTCCTTATCCAATCTTTGAGCTTTATTCAAATTACATCATCATCAATTTTCCAGGTTCCCAACTATTCCACTAATACATTATTCATAGTTTAGGAGTTCAATGTCAAAAAACATCAAACACCAACACCAGTCCCTCAATAATTCTTTTCTAATCCTAAAATTTCATGTGAAATTTTTTCTTGCAGTAAATATAATGTCATTATTTCCAAGAACTCGAAATAATCTCATCAAATTAATTATCATTATTCTATAATCTGATTTTCAAAAAAAAGTATATATTTTTCAGATACCGTAATCTATCTTGTCACAGACCACACATTATAAGATATCAAATTATATGAGAAAAAGTGCATATTCGTACCCTATAATTGTTTCTTTCACAATACATATTATTATTATGAGAGCTCACATGATTTTGTCAGATTCTTGTAAAATATCAAGGTGTGAAATAAAAAACCTTGATGTCACATGGGGGGACGAAGAACCTATCAAGTTACAAACATGCGCCAAAAAAATTTGGAATTCTGACAAAATGAGGGCAATGCAAACAACAATTAGATAAATCGCGTGGGGAGAAATGAAACTGACAAGGATACTTTTTGTATGGGGAACTTGCTAAAAGTGTAAAAAATTCGAATTGAAAACTCACAAGTTTATGATAATGTATCGATTTTTCATAGTTGCCTAGACAATAATAAGTATTTCCAAGACTCCCGTAACATCTACCAGTTGTCAAAGCGTCTTCAGCTTTTTGAGCCAATTCCAAATTCATTGTAAAATATTTGATAGCATTTTCAAAATCCGATGTTGCCTCACGCGTTTTTTCCTCCTCATCTTCTTCTGTCATATGAAGTTTGGTGAATCTTCCGCGTTCAATGTAAATTGTACCAATATTGTAGTATGCTCTAGATTCCAACAGCTGCAAAAATAATTGAATAAATATATATTTCGCGGGGGAAGTGGGACTTACAAGATCTTTAAGCTCTTCGGCGAATTCCAACTGGCGGAAAGTGAAACTGAGCGCATCGTTAAATGAACCCTTCATCTTGAAAATACTTCCGAGATTTGCACAAGATTTCGCTTCACCTTCTTTGTTTCCAAGCATTCTGTAGAAAAATGAACTTAATTATGAAATGATTTTGAGGAAATTGATAAATATTGGAAAATATCATGGGAAATATCACAATTTCCTCAATTAACGATGAACTATGAAGTTCGCGGAAATGAATTATACTGTGAATCCCACTGCGGTTATTTGGTAAATATATTACAAAATTGTAACTGAATTCAAATAATTAGGATTTTTCTGGATGTGAGAACAGATCGAAAATCAATTTCAGTGCCTCATTTAGAAAACAACGTTCTGACTTTAAAATAATCAGAAGATGATTTCCCAAGAAATGTCATTTTGTAATCTATGCGATGGAAAATTGTAGAAGTTTGATTTCAACCAGGAAGTTTAAACTTTTCGGATATTTTTTTGAGGAAATATCAAATTCAAATCGCAAATCGTGAAACTTTTTATAATAATTAGAACACAAGTGAAACTTATGGTTTTAGATTTATAAGATTTGATTTGGAAAAGCTCATTGATTTTTTTAAAATTTGAACACCTTGAATTATTAATAACAATAAGTTTTTTAGGAAAAATTATAATATGTTTGTATTTCATTCCAACATTGGGTTCTTTGGCTAGACTTGTGACAAAGGGCAAAATTTCAAGGAAATTAGTTATTTTTTGGAAAATTCAGAGATCGAGAAAATTTGCGAAGTTCTCTACAAAAATTAAAGTTACCCTAAAGATTTGAATTTAAAAAAAACGGAAATAATGTAATCTTAACTCAAAATAGCCTCCAACAACAACAGAAAAAATTTCACAAAATGGGAACATTTTTGCCAAAACTTTGCTCTCAAAACTTCCAGCAAAACTGCCCGCGGCAACTTTTTCGGCAGGCTTAAACTAACTAAACTACAAACATCATTTTTGTATGAACAACTTTTGAATGATTCAAAAAATGTTCTTGATATATCAAAAAAAAAAATGATATTCTCACACTTTTTTGCTCTTTTCTGCGAACGGAAAAAGAAAGGAAATTAGCGATAATTTATGTGAAATTTCAAGCAATTTTCAAATTCAAACGTTCAAAAGACATATGACGTTCAGGTTAGAAAAAGAGCAACACAAAACTATGTTTTTATTTTGAGCATCACAAAAAAAGAGCTCACCTTTCAACAAGAATGTCATAGGTGTGGAATTTCAACGCTGATTCATAATCTTTGAGCATGACATGAGCATTTCCCAATTGGCAATAAATCGCTGACAACAATTGAAAATCATCGGTTCCTACATCGAGCGCTCTTTCCAGAAAAGTGATGCCTGAACAACTTTTTTATTTATCAAATATTTGTTTTATCTGTCTGATCACTTTTTAACAAAACAAAATAAATACCTTGCTCATATTTATGCAATCGAAAGAGCCGCTCGCCTTCCCGTGTCAAATCATGACATTTTGATCGATTTTCTTCCATTCAACCCCTGCAAAAATCAAATAATTCCATGTTTTTCAAAGAAAACAAAACGAAATTCAAATTTTTCCATAAAAAACAAAGAAATTTATAAAAAACATAATATAGTATTATTATTTTTATAGAAAGGAGTAATCAATCATCAAACGAGACAAAGAGAGGGGGGGGGAGAAAAAATGCGTTGTAATGGTCCTGTTTATTTTATGCTACACACAAACGCGTCAGTTTTCGGTGACATAGCGCATTTTTTGTTGTGTGTGTGCATTATGTCAAGTGTATTTTAAAATAAATTATGCTAATTATATAGAAATCAATTTGGAGAAAGAGGACAGAAAATGGATAATTGTGGCGGTTTTATAGATTGTTCTTAATAAAAAAACCAAATGTCCCGCCTTATTTGGGCGGAGAATAAATGCATAGCACAAACCATGGTTTCTGTTGAAAATGAGAAATAAAAGAAAATGAAAAGAGATTAAATAAAAAACGAAAAGGATTAGATTAAATGTGAAAAAAAAAACGAAGGAATAAATTAATAAGATTCAGAAGTCCACAGAAAAGTGGTGTAATTTGGTTTCCATAGGAACCGTGGTGGCTGTTTCACTCACAAATTTTTCCTTTCCATTTTTTTTTTTGGGAAAAATGCCCAACGATGTTCAAACATTTCTGATTCATTTCTTGAATTTGGAACCATTCAATTTGAATTTAACACCACTACAATTTGATCAATTGCCAGCAAATCAGCTTTTGCAAATTACAAGCAATGTTTTGAGGTAAATTTACTTTAAATGGAAAAAAATGAAAGAAAATCGAACATTTTTCAGCTGGATTTTTCAAACTGAACAAGTTGATGTTCGTCGCGAAAATGCAGAAGATACGGCAATTCGCATTTTGAACTTGTTGAGAATTTTGAGATATCGACCACAGGTTGATCAAGAGTTGATGTAAGTTTAGGAGACTTTTCAGCAGACAGGGTGACAATTACAGTAATAAAACGATGACTATTATTAGATCTACGTCAGAATTAAATTAATAAAGTTAAGAAAATCGAAAATTGTTGATATCAGATCAATACTAATAGTTTTGTAAACATTTAAGGATTTAGAATAAAAATACTCATGTTTGAGAAAAAAATTAAAGATTTTTTAGATGAACTTTGAACATTTAATTGTGGACCTAAACCAATTCAAGTTTTCACTCTAACATTTTCAAAAACACCCAAATCCACACAATTCCTTCAATTCAAAAAAAAACAGGAACAAAACATAAAATACCTCCAAACTCGCCAGACTCGATAAATGCATATAAAACTGGCGCAGGAAAAGGAAAAATTGAAGGAAATGAAATAAAATGGAAAAAAACCAACATGGCTCATAATTTTATTGGTTCTTTTCAGGGATGAATGGCGTGCTGGAATAGTTGAAGGCGCCAAGGGAAGCATATATCCACTTTTAGTTTTTCTTTTTGAAAATACGGACTCATTGAAAGAACGCGCTTATTTGGCAAAATATTTGATGAAGGTCGGTGATGAATTAGATATTTGTTGCAAATTTTGAAAAAAGTTTGCAAATGTTTCTTTTTTTCAAAGAACATTGTGAGAAAATAAATATATGAGGAGAAAGAAAATAATTTGATAATAAAATATGGGCATATTATATTATTTATTCAGACCGAAGTTCCTAGCGAAGTGCATGATTATGACACGGTGGAATTGCAAAATGAAATTGGAGAGCTTATGAATGAATTTAAGGTATTTTCGAAAAAACCAAAAACTAGACACCAAACACCAACCCAATTTTACAGGAAGTTCACTCGGAGATGAAAAATATTCAATCAGATGTTTTATTGTTAGATGACATAAAAGAGGATCTTAAATCGATGGAACGCGAAAAACAACTGTTGATACGAAAAATTGAGAAAACCGAGAAAAAAGTCCAAAATATTCCATTTTTCGAAAAGTAGGTTCATTTTTTGATCTTCGAAGCTTATGTGAGCAGCGTTAGAAAAAAAGAATAACGAACAAAAAAAAACTTTTTCAAGCAAAGCGGAAGAGGTTTGGGGGAAGGAAACATCAAAGAGTACATTGTGAAAATTATGACGAGAAAAAATAGAACAAATCGAAATTTGATACTTTGGTTTGGTTTCTATGTTTGGAAAAAATTAGTAGGACAAATTCTGACGTCAAAAATGACTGAAAATTGAATTTGTGAGTTCATGAAACAATGAATTGGTAATGTTTTGAAAGCAGAGAACAATTTTTGAACAAAAAGTTGTTAGAAGTGGTGGGAGTTGTGGGGGAATCATGGAAAATTGATATTGTTTTTGACACTGTAGATGAAAATATTTTCAAAAAAATATTACATTTCGGAAAATTCAAGAATCGAATGAAAAATGAGGATTTCTAATTCCCAATTTTTCAGACATATGCAACTTGCTTCAAATTTACGTGGGGAACGAGATCGTCTAGCCGAATATACTTTACAAAAACATCAAGAAAGACAAAAGGTAGTTCTGAATTTTTCTAACTTAACAATATCTATATTAACACTTGTTCTAGGTTGTCAACGCTGAAGCTCGTATAAATCGTCTGAATGGAGTATTAGCAGAGCTTCGTAACGCTTCAGAATCTATCGATCAAACAAGCTTGGTGGAAAAAGTAGAGGTACACAATTTTTTGAAAAAACAAGAAAAAAGAACGTCACCTTGGTGAGAAACAGCAAAAAAAAGAAATTTCAGGATGAGGTTGCCACAAATACATATTTAGTGAATGAAAAATTGGCGGAGGATATAAATGTGAGAAAGCAGAAAATCAAAGAATTGGCTGGAATGATGAGAGCTTATAATATAAAAGATGAGGATTTGAGCAAATTAAATGAGCAGGTATCTTTTGAATCATGGAAAAAATCAGGATTAAAAACTGAAATTCAGAGAAGATAGGGGAACTCAAAAGCTTGAATGTATTGAAAAATTATAACATGGTTTAAACTTCTGCCAAAAAACTTTCCTGAAAGAAAACCCAAAACCCTCCGAAATCTAATTCAGAAACTTTTTCGAGTAAAACAGCAATAAATTCCAGATCGAAACACTGTCCAAAAACATCAAACAATTACAAGAAGAACGAGATTCTCGTGAAGTGGATGTTGATGAAAATATGAGGTTAGTTCAGGAGCAATCTATGCATTATTCAAACTCTTTGAGGGCAAAAAATCAATAAAAAAGTCGCACTTTTTTTCAAGTGCATTCTTTTTTTCTCGAAGTAAAAGAAGAAGAAGAAGAAAAAAGGTTGAATTGGAATGGAATGGGATGGAATGGAATGAAAAAAAGACTAGGGCGAGAAAAAAGAAAATGATTCTCCTCAATTTTTCCAGCATTTTTCGTCATCAAGTGACTGCTCTTGAACGCAAGAAAGAAATCGCTGTGCAACGTCTTCAGAATATTAGGTCCGTTTCTTTTTTCGAGATTGAGTTTGTTTGGTTTTTTAATCTCACAAAACAAATGAAAACTTTTAATTTCCTCTCGAAAAAGCAAAACAAAAAGTACAGTAATCCTGTGAGGTCAGCGAATGTTTGCTCTTTGCTTTGATTCTCATTAATTTCCGAAAGTTAATGAGATTTTTCTTCTTGCAGACAGGAACTTACCAAAGTTGAAAAAGAGGTTGAAGAGCGAAAAAATGTATTGCAAGCAAAAGTTGGTGGCGAAGTTTTGTCCACAGTTAAGGTAAAGGGATCAAAAATCTTAAAACAAAAAATGTTGTCGGCGATTAATTTGATATATTATTATGATTATTATGTATAATTTGTGAGAAAAGGGAAACTAAAACACCTGGTTTTTTCAAAACTACGGTAGTCTGAAACTTATGATTATAGATTAATCAGATTGTTTGAGAAATTGTGTGGGGGTTTTCGAGGAAATGAAAATTTGAGGGCTTAAATTTTCATTTACAGTACAAGAGACAACTTGACATTTTCCGTGCTCGAAATGAAGAGCACAAACGAAAACGCCGCGAACTTAACGAGATGCACGCTGAGAAAACATTATACAAAAGAACTGTTGAAATTCTTGCCGCAAGATATGATGAACTCCGTAGTTATATTGTAAGTCAATTTTCATAAAAACGATTTTCTTCTCAAAAAATCAAAATTTAGGAAAACATTGGTGGCGATATTGTTGAAGTTTTACATGTTCCTTCACAATCTGATCGTCCAAAAACATCAGCTCCAACTACTAATAAAATTGAGGTAAAAAGAGATTTGGAAAAAATAAGAAAAAATAAAATTTATTAAATTTAGGACATTCGAGAAGAGATAAAAGAAATGATGAAGAAAATAGATGATTTGAAAAATATCATTTCGGAGAAAAAACGAGAACCTGAACAGCTGGAATCTTTTATCAAGGTATAACAAAATATTTTTAACATTGATGTTAGATAATTTTTTTCAGGAAAACTTGAGATCTCTTTCTGAAATTACTGAACAAACAAATACCAAAGAAGAGATGAGAAAACAAAATAATGAGAGAAAATTAGAGGTAACATAATTTAGTTTTCGTTACAGAAAACAACTCATATTTTTTTTAGAACATCAATGAGATGGAGGAAAAAATAGAAAATTACAGTACTGAAATTCCAAATCTCAAAAAGGCGATAGAAGAAGATTCAGAGATTGTTGAATTCTTGCGTGATTATGAAGATAAGAGCGAGGAAAACATTGAGGTTTTTTTACTTGTGAATTCTCTAGATTTGAAAAAAATCTGTTCTATTTCAGCACGAGATTGAAAACTTAATGGCTATGGAAAATGAACTTGATTCACAACTTTCTGAAATTGGAGATATCGAAAGTCTTCGAAATCAAACTGAAATGTGGCGCGGTTTGAAAACTATTTTTGAAACCAAGATTGAGATTTATAAGGAAAAATTGGCTTCGAAAAATTAATTTGTTTATGATTAAATATGAATCTCTATGAGATCAAACATCAAACATGATATTTTTAATTGAAATAAACTTTATTATTTACAAAAAATTAATCCGATTTGGAAAGTTTTATGTAGAGGGATATTTGAAAGATTTTCGAAAATTTTGAAAATTAAAAAAAAAACGAAGAGAAGCTGGCTTAAAAGAGAAAGAACACAAACATCCGTCTCTTTGATACTGGAAAAATTTGGGATTTTTTTGTGTGAGCTGATGAAATGTGAGAGAAACAATTTCACGATCTCAATCTCAATAAAAAAACTTGTGATTTTTTTTGGAAATATTCAGGAATTTTTATCTTATGTTAGATGTGAACGTTGATGTTTGAGGAGAAGACTTATTTAACGACTTTTCTGATTAATCAAGCTGCATTTTTGAAAAACATTTTCCTGAAAGATTTATCTCTACACGTTCCGGTTGATTTTTGAAATATCATTCTTTCTTTGTACCCTTATAGTCATTGAAGATATAACTTCTATCAACTTCATAATTTTTTCAAAAAAAAATCGGCCCGAGTTTTTTCAAAAAAAAAATCGGCCCGAGATTTTTTGTTGGGTGCAAAAAAGAAAAAAATCGGCCCGAGTTTTTTCAAAAAAAAAATCGGCCCGAGATTTTTTGTTGGGTGAAAAAAAGAAAAAATCGGCCCGAGTTTTTTCAAAAAAAAAATCGGCCCGAGTTTTTTCAAAAAAAAAATCGGCCCGAGTTTTTTCAAAAAAAAAAAATCGGCCCGAGTTTTTTCAAAAAAAAAAAATCGGCCCGAGTTTTTTCAAGTTTTTTCAAAAAAAAATCGGCCCGAGTTTTTTCAAGTTTTTTTCAAAAAAAAAATCGGCCCGAGTTTTTTCAAAAAAAATCGGCCCGAGTTTTTTCAAGTTTTTTCAATAAAAAAAATCGGCCCGAGTTTTTTCAAGTTTTTTTCAAAAAAAAATCGGCCCGAGTTTTTTCAAAAAAAAAATCGGCCCGAGTTTTTTCAAAAAAAAAATCGGCCCGAGTTTTTTCAAAAAAAATCGGCCCGAGTTTTTTCAAGTTTTTTCAATAAAAAATCGGCCCGAGTTTTTTCAAAAAAAAATCGGCCCGAGTTTTTTCAGAAAAAAATCGGCCCGAGTTTTTTCAAAAAAAATCGGCCCGAGTTTTTTCAAAAAAAAATCGGCCCGAGTTTTTTCAAAAAAAAATCGGCCCGAGTTTTTTCAAAAAAATCGGCCCGAGTTTTTTCAAGTTTTTTCAAAAAAAAATCGGCCCGAGTTTTTTCAAGTTTTTTTCAAAAAAAAAAAATCGGCCCGAGTTTTTTCAAAAAAATCGGCCCGAGTTTTTTCAAGTTTTTTCAATAAAAAAATCGGCCCGAGTTTTTTCAAGTTTTTTTCAAAAAAAATCGGCCCGAGTTTTTTCAAAAAAAAATCCGCCCGAGTTTTTTCAAAAAAAAAACAGAAAATTTTTTCCACAGAAAAAAAACGGAACTGAACTAATAAGAAGACTGTTACGCCTGGGGGTTAACAGCCCCTAGTCATTGAAGATACAACTTCTATCAACTTCATAATTTTGAAGCAGTAAATTTTTTTAAAGAAACATATTTTTTATTTTCTGAAAAATTTATCTGGAACATTTTTATGTATCTGCAAAAAAACATACATAATTCACAAATTGATTGGCTATGATTTCAACATATAAATAATACGAAAGCAATGAAAAATAATTGAAAGTGGATTTTTATGTTTTGAAATTCATTTTGAGTGAAAATTTGATTTCCTAATAAATGAGATAATATTATATGATATTCTTGTGAGAAAATTTCAGAAAAATATTTTAAAAATTCAGGGAGATAGAAATAATTAGGTATGTGGGAAACATTGAAAAAAATTGTTAGAAAAAACTCGTATTCAAAAGAGATTGTTCATCGTCATTGTTTCTAGTTTATCAAATGACGGACCAATTCCATTGGCAGCGGGAAGATTATTGTTGAATTTTTTTCAGCGCTGAAATTTTATTAATTTTTGAGAATGTTTGAAAGAATATGGGGGACTTACGCAACAGAATTGAGAGTTTGAAGATATCTCAACTGCAACGCAGCCGGTGATTGTGCAATAACTGTTGCAGCTTCGCGTAATGCTTGCGAAGCTTTTTGTTCTCCTTCAGCAGCGATGACTTTAGCGCGAGCTTCACGTGTTGCCTCAGCTTCAGCGGCCATGGCTCTTTGAAGTTGAATAGGAAGCCGCACGTCTTTACTGAAAATTTGAAAATTACATCATTGTTTTCAATTGAGATAGAAAAATCTCACATTTCAACTCGTTCGACTTTAATTCCCCAACTTTCAGTAGCTTCATCTAAAATGGTTTGCATTGCTGTTGCTAAAGTTTCACGATCGGATAAAATTTCTGAAAGACTTCGAGTACCCAGCATATTACGAAGTGTTGTTTGCGCCAATAATCTGGAAAAAAAATTGTTTTTTAGTCAGTCTCAAAGACATTTTTTTCAAGATCTGATGATTCAAAGTTCATTTTCATCACAAAAATTTACCTAGTCGAGTGGTGTGCATTTTCAACATTGGCTACGCTAACCGTAGCGTTTGAAATTCTATAATAAATAACTGCGTCGACGGATGTTGTCACTGAATCTTTGGTGAGAATCTGAAAATAAAAAAAAATATTTGTATGCTCAAATTTTTCTCGTGTTTTTTCTCACCTCCTGTGGTGGAACACTGAATGAGACAGTTCTGAGATCAACTTTCGTATACGATTCTATACAAGGAAGGACGAAAAATATACCTAAAATTGAAATGTTGAATTGTATCTATTCAAAAATCAAAAAAAATATATGTACCTGGCCCTTTGGCTCCACCACCAATCAAACGACCTAATCGAAATATGACAGCTCGCTCGTATTCTTGAACAACTTTCATACAAAAATAAATTGAAACCGGAAATGTGGTTATGACCATTATCCATGAAAGACCCATAAGTAACCAACCACAGAATCCTAGACCAGTATCATAGTGTTCAGCTGAAATTTCAGTTATTTGAGAATACTGTAAAGGGTTGCGAGTACTTACGATTCATATGTTTTGGATAATAACTCAGTTTGAGTTGTGCCAATGATTGTCGACGAGCTTCCCGTTCCTCTTTGGCAAAGATCAAAGGGTTCAGGGTGAATCTAAAATTTTTTTTGTTTTTTTTTCTAGTTATGAATTTGAGGTTTTGGTTCAGAAATTTTGACAAAGCTTTGAGAAAAAAATATTTTTTCTAAATATGTTCAAGTTTCCCATAAAATCCCTATTGAAAATTTTGATTTCTGACTTTCATATGTTCCTTCATAAAGTTCACATCATCAAATTACTCCCCTCTCAAATATTATGTCAAAAAAGGGAAGATGGAACTCCCAAAAGTATACGAGCTCCAAATTGCAAAACGAACTCCTCTCCTCAAATTTCATATAAAATGTATATATATATATGTATATATATTTCTCAAAATCAAATCATCTTCCACTTTCCCACATGGTTAGTTATAAGTGTTCCTTCCCAAGGGTATTAATCTTCCCATTTTTACTTATTCTCATTTTATAAAATTATTAGCTAGTAAATTTTTTGGGAGTAAAACAAGATGTATGGGTGGATTTAGAAAAATTGTACTACACTTTGCAAATCTTTTTTTTTGAAACAAAAAGAAACATGAAAAAATGACTGATGATGGGATCATGAAATGATGTGTCAATGTTTTTTCCTGTCAAGTTAATCTTTTTCGACTTTTTTTTTTGGTTTTCAAACTCTAGATGTGTCTAAAAATAAAATACAAACCTTCGACCCATTCGACCTCTTGGTTGATTTGGTACCGGAATTTGGATATTTCCCTCATCGTCAGATTCCATTAGTCGTTCACTTTCGTTTGACGATGAATCGCCAGAATCGCCGCCGTCTGGAACAACAACACATAAATATGAGAGATGAGAGATAATTGGAAAAATGGGACCCCCTCCTTGGAATATGACTCCAATTAGATAGTTTCTCATTTTACTTTTTTTTTGTCGCTGCATTCTCGGCGAGAATGATGATCTACACATGTTCTTTGGGACAAGAGAATGTGTGTTTTGCTGATGTGAGGAAGATTTTTGTATGAGAAAATTTTTTGAAAATTCTAGATGTTGAGTGGTTTCTGGAGGCTGGAAGTATTAAAAAAAACTTCACTCCCGGGGCTCAAAATTTTTCAAAATTGATATTAGTTTCAGACTACGTAAAAATACGTATACTTACAATTTCCAGAAAATCTAGAAAAGTCTTTAGAAAACCACGACTCCTCTCAAGGTCCCCAAAACTCAGAAATCCTCACCAAAAATCTTTTACATGCAAATTTACAAACATACAAAACTTGTTAAAAAGTTCCCTCTAGTTAATATAATAAAATATTATATAACATAATATTATATTATTATATTCCCAAGAGCACCAAAAACATTAAAACTAATTTTTCGTGATTTTCATGAGCTCCGCCCCATAATTTTTGGAGCAAGCAAAAAAGTAGAGAAAACTCAAACTCAAAACAACAAATGAAGAGAATGTCAAACAAATGAAAAAACACAGGAAAGGCAAGAACTTTTAATCCGTGCTTTGGGTTTTTTGTGGGTGCTCTTCATCTTCTTCGCCTTCCTGCCTTCTTTTTACAAACTCTCTCCCCAATTTTTTGCTGTTTCAAATGACTGGATGAATAAATGAGTTCAGTTTTAAAAAAACTTACGCAGCGATCCTTGTCGTACTTCGAGAAATTCCATGTTTTCTAAAACTAACACCTTTTGTTTTTTTTTGTTTAGTGAAGTGAGAAACAAAAAAGAGGAATAAACTAAAAAAAAAAACACAAAGGAGGATCAAGTGTTGAAAAATAGTTCAACTTTAAATACAGCTTTTTGAAATCTATGTTTAGGGATGTGACAGAATTACTAGTGTCGCCAAGCGACATTCTTCCTGTTGTTTTTTTTTGTTGGAATCTTTGAGGGGAAGTAGGAATTGACATATGAACGGAAAAAGAAAGAATGGAATACGAGAGAAAGATTTTTGGGACTGGGACCAGTGGGATTTTTTTTATATAAAAAAAATGTTCCTTGAGATGAGATGAATGTAAGCAGATGTTGTTAATTTCTACTCTAATTAGGGATGTTAGAGATGCTTCCGGAATAAGGTAAACCAGGAGGAAGGTATGAAAAGAGGGTGAGTTCCGGTAATCCAGGATACAACACTGTTTGAGTTTTGGTTTTAACATTCTGAAAGCCGTTTTCCAGAAAAGAAAAGTAGTCGTTGATTTTTGAAACATGTTTCAATTTCCGCATGACTCGGTTTTTTACCTAGAAAAGTACAAAATAGAAAACGAACCTGGATATTAGTTTCAAGAATTCCCAGAACAGAACAAAGCAGCTCCAGAAAATGAATCGAAGAAAGAGAGGTTGATTTTTGCAAAATGATTCACCACTTTAGATATTCAAAACTGGTAAATAAATGTACACAATGAAAACTTCACTTAAGCTTCTAAAATTCAAGAAAAAAGTATTTTTTCCCGAAAAAAACTCTTAATTGAAGGCAGAAATTCTGGAATTCAAGAAAACCACAAATAATTGTTTCCCCCTCTTGGTTTTTGTTTTCATTTCGAACTTCATCCCCTCTTACAAAAATTTCTAATCAAATTTTCTCAAAAATTGCTCACCTTAGGTATTGCACCACAGTAGAACGACAAATCTAGATGAAAAAGAACGGAAAATAAATTTCCTCGTCGTAGAAAAATTGCTATTTCCAAAAACTAGTCAATTCAAAAAAAGGGCTGACTAAGAGGCACCAAAAAAGAATAAACAAAACAAACTTTTCTTGTTATTCTTGTTCCGAGTTCGGGTGAGAAAAATCAGATAAACCTTGTTTTTTTTTTGGATTAGGTAAGCAGAAAAAAAAGGTTGGAAAATGTTGCGAGATAATTTTTGCATGAATCCATTGAGCTTTGTACTTTTTCCTCTCGCAGGAAGTAATTTTCTTGTTCACCAAACGTGTTAAGGTGCTCAAATTAGCTTAGTTTAGTAGTTGTTTTTTTTATTTCTATCAAAACATTCCAGATTTTTTAATGCTGATTTTTGTTTAGTATCGTAGATTTGTTTATTTATTCAAGCAAAGATTCATTTATGTGCAATGTCTAAAAGATTTTCCTATTTGTTTTTTCCTCTTATTTTATATTTTTCGGATGGCTGAAAAAACACAGAAACAAAATAACTTAAAAACCAACCTGACATTTTCTGTTCCGGGGTTGTTCCGGGGCTTATTAGTAGTAGAAAATGAGGAATCCTCGAATTTCAGTTCAAATAACAACTAATATTTCTAGTGGTGTTCGGAGGAAGAAAAAACATACACAAGAGCAGACAAAAAACATCATATTTCGACACGTATATATCAGACAAACCCTCATTCATCATTATGACTACTACTAGACAAAAGAGAATGTTGCTCTTTTTTGTTGGATTGAGAGAATGAGACAAAGTTGAAAATCATATTTAAATATTTTTGGCTAACACTTTTGAATCAGACACATTTTTTAATTGCTTAATTTATTCGTATTTTGATTAATAAAAAAATTTATCTCTAACTTGGCCCAAACTAGATTGGTTCAATTGTTGTTTGAAAAAAAACTGAAACAAAATTCTGAAATATTCATAGCAGGAAGTTTTGGTCAAAGAATTTTTTAACAAAATTTTCGGGGAATTTTTTATCAGTTTTTTAGGAATTGAGAATTTTTTAAAGATTATTGAATTTCTAGAAGTAAGAAAACGAGATGATCATCAACATTTTTAAAAGAAATACCATTCTTCACAGTATCGTGAACATTTTTTAGATCTTTTCCCATTAATAACATACGTTTCTGTCCAATTTCCAGTATCAAACTCATTGTCAGGAATCTCACAGAAACTGAAAACAGAAATAACAACTATTTCAATCTACAAAAATTATTAAAATTTCACAAAAAAAATACAGAGCAGAGCAGAACAGAAAAAAAACAACAGAAGAACAATTCTCGATAAAAAAGTTCGACAAAAGATGAAGCTTGATGATGATGGGGCTTCTGCCAACACATTCTCATGAAATATTTGTGAACTTTTTTCTTATTTTTTGCTTCTCGTTGTCTCTATTTGAAAAAAAGAGTATCCGAATTTTCAAAATTTTTTTTTCAAAACTTAAGTTTGTATGATAATATAAATTAATCTACATAGATCTTCTTCAAGTGAAGAAAAACAGAAAAAAAGAATAGTAAAAAACATCCGCAGAGACAACGTTTGCAGAAAAAAAGAATGTTTATCAGAACAGAAAAAACAATGAATTTGAGATGAATCGGGCCTATTCTATGCGAGGGAAAAAGTTTCAAGCAGAGAAAATATTCCAGAAAAACACATCAGACAAGAATAATAAAATAAATCACCAAGAATCTTGTCTAAAAGTGCGACATGAGTAAATCTATGCTTCAATGAGCTTTTGGGAAGCGAAAAGAATAAAAAAAGGTGTTGACGGAAGGAAAACCAAACCTTAGTTGGATCGCGCAAAAAAAGAGTAAGAAAAAATGCAACAAAAAACTATATATAAGTAATTTTTGGTCTAGATTTCAAAGGTTTCTGAACTTTTTATATAAAAGTATAATGTCGCCTTCGAGTCAGTTAGGTCATGCGAAAACATATTTGGATACGAAAAAAAATGTTTCAGTGAAAACCAAAACCAATTCTTACCAAGCAAAAATAGTGTTCTCACGGATAGGATAAACGCTTTTTGCACAAAAAAAGGGTCATTAAATGTATCTAGTTTGGACTTTTTGAGAGTTTATGTGAAGGATTTCTCAATTATTTCAATGGAAAAATTTGCACAATCATTTAAATTTCAGAAAAACTGAATCGAAATTTTTTCGTAGAGATTTTATGTACCTTAAAAAAAAGAAGTTCAAGAAAAATTTAAGAATGTTAGAATAACACTAATTGAATTTATGAGAGTTTAAAATAAATTCACAAAAAAATCACCTTGATTTGTTTTTCTAAATAGATTTCAGAAAAGGTAAATGTGGTGAACTTTGAAAATTTCGAATAATTCATTTGATTTTTGAACGTGAAAATTCGCAACATAGGAATGCAAATGATAAACTGAGAATTAATTTTGAAAAATATTAGAAAATTCATTTTCAGGAAACGTTTACTCTATATTTATTAGAAATCATTGATTGTATATAAGTTCTGTAATTTACTTTGAAAAAAAAACGTATTCTAATTGCAAATTTTGTTCAGTTTCTAAAATTTCACACTGAAGTTTGACAATTGAAATTTTATCATATCTAAAATTGAAACAGCTAGTTCCAAACAATAAAACTCAAGTTCATCATCTAACAGAACCTCCTGAAGTTTTCAAATCCCGAACGCATGCACAATGTTCCTAATTCCAAAACCATCCATCAATATTTCAAACCCAAACACCCCTTTTTCAAAATTTACCGAGTTGATCTGAAAACGAGATTCTGGCACTTGATGCTCGCCGATTTCCACCGCCAGTTGTTGGCGATGAATCTTGTCGTTTCATAGGAAAAGCGAATAATAAGAGAAGATGAGTAAAATGAATATGGCACAAAAAAATGAGAATATAAATAGATCCGGAGAAGTCTTTGCCTCTCAGCTCATTAGGTAATAGCGTCAAAAAAAACTTTTTTCTTTGCGGGGCGTGTATCAAAAAATCTCGAATTCTTGTTGTTTGTTGATGTTGTCAAAATAGGCGTGGCTTGTCCTTGGAGCAAAAATGGGGGGAGATAGATAGATAGATATATTCTCGCTCAGAAGACAAATAAATTTGATATTTTGTTTCCTTCCCTTTTTTCTTGGCCAACACAAGTTACCCCAAAACAATGCCGCTTTTTGAAAATGGGATTAAAATGATTTAGTGTTTTTATATCGAGTTCTAGTTGGGTTCGGGATGGATTTTGTGTCGTCGACGCCACAAAAAATTGGAATGGAATGTGAACATGTTTCACATGTGTTCGGGTTTTTTTGAAAGAAGATGATCGTGAGAAAAAATATACGATGGATTCGAATGGATTATCCTGATAAGATCAACAAACAATTTTTCTTTATTCACAATTAGAAGATGGTTTTGATGGAAATAAGTATACCAAAAATCTAAAACTTCAAGGAACAGAGAACATTCAGAGATTTAAAAAAGTTTGAAAATATGTTGAGTAATCCAGAAAAATTGCTGCTTTTGTGACGGATTGAGATCAAAAATTAGAAAACATTCCGATTATTAGAATTATTATTTCGAGAACATGAACTTCAAAGTTGACTGGTTGTCAACTTTCGATTGACACGAATAGACTAGAATTCGAAAGTTGGAAATATATTGTAAAATTCTTTCAAATTACTAGTAAAATCAAAACATCAAAACCAAACGCAAAATTGTAAAACTTAAAACATTCAAAAAAAATCAGACGAAAAAGCTCAACACCCCTGTAGCACTTTTACAACAAATAAAGTTTCAACTCTAAACTTAATTAAATTAGAAGATTTCAATTTCCTGACAAACTATTCTTCACCTCCTCATTTTTCTTAAAAAATCGGAAAACGACAAAAAACATGAGTGATGGGGAGAGGAGAAAAAATAGAAAATGCTAACATAAGAGCCATTTTAATCTGGATTTGTATTTGCCCCCGAACATATTTTTTCTCATTTTTGCCCGAAATTTTATAACTTTTTTGGAATTGAAACAACAACTGAATGAATAATGAGGGCTTGAAACAAACATGAGATAAAACCATTAAAAATCGGTTTGTTTTAGAAATTTCTCGAAATTTGAAAAATAAACGAACCTTTTTTCGAATTAAGTTGAATCAGAGACAGAATAAGAAGAAGAAGATGGAGAATATTATGAATGAATAAAGTAAGATGGAAAATTTATATTTGATGTTGTTATTTCATATTTTTCAGTTGTTGTTGTTTTGTGATGAATAGCAGCTTACAAGCAAGCAGAAAATAAAAAAGAGAATAAAGAAAATTTAAATAAAATCTGACTATTTTTTATTATGTCTTCAATATATCTTTTTGTTCTATGAAAAATGGAACATGTTTTGTTTTGATAGAATGAAGCCAGTAGGAAAATTGGGATATGTACGGAGAAAAATTTTTTCGATCTAATCTGGAAGACTGTCTTTTCAGAACAGTCAGGAGAACAACAAAACAAAATTCCGGCTTGACATCTAACTTCTAAAAGTTACCGATTCAATAATCAACTAATAAAACGAAATATTAACTGGAAGTAAAATCAACCCAAAAAATAAATAAATAAATAAAAACATTTTTGTTGTGAAATGTGCAAATTTATGGGATTGTTGACTAGGTTTGGCACATTTTTTTGATTAATGTTTCAAATAACTACCGTTATTTATTTACTTCTCATTTTTTGAGTCTGGGGGTTCAAAACAAACCTGGAATTTACTTGGAATACAAACTGACAGAAGTACTAGTTTTCGGAACTCACATTTGAAGAGAGATAGAGAAAAATTTAAATAGGCGGCGTTAAAATTTATTGGCTTCCTTTCTGAAGTATATTGTCACCTAAATCTTCTAGACATTTATGAGATGTTCTTTGAAAACAATTGATCTACTGTTTCAGAAAAAAAACAAAAAATTAGGGAAAAAAGTTTACGCAATCAAAGTGAAAATAAAAAGGAATCAGGGTGGTGTCGTCGCTAAATGAAATTCAATTTAAATTTAAAATTTGTAGAAGAACAACATTAGTGTAAAAAAAAGCAAAAAAAATACTATTTCAAATAAATGGAACACTTTTTTGCATACATACTAAAAAAAGAAATCAAATTACCACTCATCTCAAAGTTTTTCTGGATCCCCCCTGACTAAAGAGGGAGATATATATTTAAATATGATCAAATTTCTATACATCCCAAAGGAACATATGTTTTTCTATATATTTTTTTTGAAAAAAAAGAGAAAATATTGCACTTTTTTTCAAAAGGTGTCAAAAATCGAGAGAAAGAGAAAATTATTACAAATACACTTACCTCTCATCATTTTCGATGTTAGAAAAGGTTTCAGCTTTTAGCAAGCAGGAGCAAAAATATTTTTCACCAAATATTTTTTGGGTTAGAACTCATCAATCTATTTTATTTCATCTCTTTTTATTTTTGGGAGCATAAGAAGAAAAAAGAAAAAAAAAGCAAAAAATAAATAACGAAAAAATAAATATTATTCTTTTCAGTTTTATTTGAGAATCCTGACATTCAACCTATGAGAAATGGAAAATACATACATAGATACATCAGTTTTGGAGTAACAACATAAATGAAGAGAAAAAGAGAGGGAACATACATGCTCATCAAATTTTACAGATGTATGTTTTTTGTGACAAATTGGATGGGAGAGAAACACAAAAGGTTTCCCAATTTCGATGGGTTTTTATTATTCATTATTTTTCGTTTTTGAATTTTAATTGGATAACGATTTTTTTCTGTGGAAAATTTCAGATTCTCAACAAAAAATGGTGAAGGCATAAATAAAAACAATCAAGATCTAATTTCCGTGGCACTTTTAGAGAAAAGTTTTTTGGTTCGGAAAATGAGGAAACAGAATCAAAGACCACTCCCATAGTTTAAACAGTTTGGAACTTTTCATTAGTTCATTCAATGATACATTTGGAAAAAAAAATAAATCAGTAATTCTTGAAAAAAAGTTTGACCACCCACAAATACTTTTATTTGTTAATTGCGATTAATTTGAATTTTTTAAAGTGAAATTCATTGCTTATCGTAAGCTTATCGTAAATGTGGACCTCCCAAGAAGTTTTTCTCAAAAAAGCATTATTCTCATTTACCTTTGGGTATTATTGGAATCATGAATATCTAGAAAACCCAGCAGAAAGTACACCTAGAATAAAGAAAAAAACCAAACTAACTTTCGACTTCGACTCCTCCTCCACTCGACGCCGCAAATCGCAATTTAACTTTTCGGCTACTACCAGATTTGCTCATCTGTAATAATTTGATACGCTCATTTTCCTCATCGCAACATATATGCGAAAAAAGAAGCAAAAAAATACTAGAAAAAGAAGAGTATCTAACTATCTATCAAGAAAATGGAAAAAATGAGAAAAGAAAAGAAAAACAATAAAAAACATTTCGATTAAAGATTCAAAAAAACACAACTAATTTATATCATATTCTTCTTTTTTTTCACTATTTTTTCTCAGAGTTGAGTTAAGTTAGTAAAATTTCTTTCAAAAAATGAAGAGAAAAAGCAACAAAAGTTGTGGAAAAAATAGAACAAAAACGAAACTTCTGGATTATTTGTTTTTCACGTTCCATTTTTTGTTGCTTTTTTTGGCAACAGAAGAAAAAACAATATATAACGTTGAATAAGTGAATAAAATGAAAAAAGCGACAAAAAGTAAGTCATAGCCAAAAGTGCACATGAAATTTCATCTGCTCTTCAAATGCTCTTTTCAGATTTTTTTTTGAAATAAAGAAAAAACGTGCGAATATATTATATAATGAGCATAGTTAGAATAAAATGAAAAAATGTTTGTATAGGTTTTGGGAAAATGAAGAGTTCAGTAGTTTTATGAACTTTTTCGAGGTTCAAAAAATTAAAAAAAAATTCTCGATATTTCAGAAGAATTCTAGAAAAGTGCAAATATGCAAAAAATTTCACCTGAATCTGAAAATTGAGTGTGTTTTAGCCGATTTTTGGAGTTGAAACATGTGATTTTCTTGAACAAAATTTTAACTCAATTTTTCAAATGTTTGGTGAAAACAACAGTTCTCTCAAGCTCTTATGGGCCTATGCAGAATAATATTTTGTGATAAAAAACATTATGCGATGTCCAAAGTAAAAAAATATAGCAAAAAATGCGAGAATATATCGTCCAAAGCTCGCCTTATATTTGAAATACAGAACAGAGAAACAGTGTGTATATTCGAGAGACGCAGACACGAAACAGAGAAATAGTGTGTATATTCGAGAAACGTTGACGGCTAGACTTTGAACGGTATTGTTTTTTATGTTTATTTATTACAAAATGTTATTCTGCATAGGCCCATTCAATGTAAAAAATTTTTATAAAGATCAAAAAATTAGTTGCATTTTTAATTGTGGGAAAAATAACTTGGAGGTTTGTGCACTATAATTTGAACAGAAACGGTGTGAAAAATAGAATACTCAAAGAAAATGGAACAATATTATTTTCAGAAAATATTTCAAGATTGTTGGGGAGATTACAGAAAGTTCAATGAAATTTTAACAAAACATACATGAGATAATTTTAATCCGGTGCAGAAAACTTTCAGATCTAGATTTTACAACAAAAAAAAGAGTACAATGAAAATTCAACCATATTCGAAAAAAAGAATTGTTTTTTTTATCAACAGACATAACTTCAGAATATTTTTTTCAGACAAGTTTACAACCTACAAAGCCTACCTGCTGCTAAATACCATAACTTATTTTCCTCCCAGTAGACAACCTAACAAATAACTCCCCCTAAAAACATGTATTATGCTGCGCAATTATATATTCCAGAAAGACCCACCCTCCTTCAGTCAAGTAAAGCTATGCAGCCAAAAAAAATCATCATGTACTTCTCAATCTAACCAAGAAACTAGCACCTGTTACATTAATCATTCCAAAGATTTTTCCGTTTTATCCAAAGATTACATTTTTCTTACTTGATCCATGATTTGACAACACAAAAAATAAGAGGAAAATACATAGTGTTTGTGTGTGGAACTCGGCAAAATCTTGGGGTTGAGGTATCAATTTCACGAAAGGCGAGAAAGAATTTGTTGTTGTTGTTGTTGTTGTTCTGAACTATGTAGGTAAAATAATAAACTACAAAAAACTAAAAAATGAATATGAATGAGAAAATTTGTTGTTTTTTTGCAATTAGCTCAACTTTTTTTTATAAAGATCTCATTCTATTTATTCAAAATGTTATCTGTTTTTTTTCTGCAAAATATATACATCATTTCATTTTACTACTATTTTGTTTTTTTTTCAAAAAAAAATCATAAATTTCAAATTTGGTGAATAATAAAAAATAACCAACAAAAACAAAGAAAAAATAAAAGTAATAATTGTAAAAGTAACCTCTATGGAATTTTCTGATGAATGGATATACGATTATTTGGAAGCGGTCAAACGAGAAGCAAAGGTATTTTTTCACATTAGTCAATTTTTTTTTGTTTTTTTTAGGTTTTAGGTTATTTATAATGAAGAGGAAAAATCTGAAAATAAATGAAAATGAAAATACCCACCCGGGTGTACCCGCCGAACTGTGGGTATTAGGGTGCCCTGTGGGTGCCCAAACGGCACCCCTGTAAATAAAATGATGTTAAAGTTGGCTGTACATATTACTAGACTATAGTTTTGAAATGTTTCCTCGAAAACTAGAAACCTAGAGAACAAATCTAAAAATAAGAAACATTATTAATAATACTATTTTTTTTGGCACCGAGCAGCTGTTAAAAGAGCACAAATCCATCATTTTTCGCACTTTTTTTGAAATCAATTTGAAAAAAAGTTTTTTTTTTTCTGAACAATATGGAAGAATAAATAAAATAACATGTAAACAGATAAAAATAAAAATAAATGTGAAAAAAGGTAGTCGGGAAAGAAGACATTCTATGCAAATTTGTTCTTCTTCATATTCTTCGTCTTCGTATAGAAGTTATTGAAAAAATGTGCATATTTTTTTGGATTTTGGTAGTGAAAAATGGGAGCGTGGAAATGAAAGTTCTGTGAAGAGCTAGGGGTTTTTCGAGTATTTTGTTGATATTTTCTTTTTTCCTTTTCGAATGACTTAATTAATTTTTCACGAACATGTTCCAGTTTTCTTGACCACTACATCATAATTAAATATAGTATTTGGAATCGGAAAGGGATATTGTGAAAAGAGGGGTGAATTTTTTATTATTTTGTGTTGGGAGGGGGGAAAATAAGGGACTTTTGGTGTGAATGAAGAGTTTATAATTTTAGAAAAATGATTGTGGTTAAAAAAAGAAAAATAGATTAGAATACGTAAATGTTTCTTTTTCATGTAGACACTTATAAATCAAATTATATTCTGAATAAGTTGCAAATGTTTTTATAGAATTATTTTTGATGTTATAACACTGGGAATATTGGAATAAGAGATTGAAAATATCAGAATGTTATGTGAACAAGTTGATTTAGAATATGAAATTGTGGGAATTAATTTTTCACGATCAATCAGATCACCTGGATAGAATGTTATCGAAATCAACTACTGAATAAAAAAGGAAATTTTTGAAAACTTGTATTTTCAGGAAATGTTTGAAAATAAAAAAAACTTTATAATAAGTTCGCCATAATGAATAAATAACTTCTTTAAAAATGTGAAACAGACACTGGACAAAGACAAAAGCAGGGACACAATATTGCAAAATTACAAAAAAAAATCTCAAAAGGATCAAAATTGAGCATAAATTTCAGTCAAAATGTTCAAAATACTCCGAAAAAAATTAATTTGGAGATCATGACGCGCATAGATTGATTTGGTGACTATTTGAAGTTACCAGGATCTGAAAAATATATCGGAATTTTTGAAGTTTTTATTGTTTCTGTTGAAGTTGTATGAAAAGTTTTTTTTAAATAATTTGTGTCACATTTTTCTTTGAAAATATTCAAGAATCGAAATAAAATACTCATCAATAAGTACTTACATTAAGATACAATAATTTTGCTGAAATCCCAACATAATTCCAATCAAATGTAATTCAGTTGTAGTAATACACCCTGAAAAAACAATTCGCTAATCAAGAGAATATTTGATACGCGAAAAGATTGCAAAAAGCACACAATAATTAGTTTACACCAAAAAATTGACCTAAACAGTATTATATTACATCACAAAATGGTGTCTGGTAACTTGAAGTGTACTTATTATTAAATCTGAAAAAAATATCTGGCGATTCCTACACCAAATGTCATTAACAAGAAATATTCCCAAAAAAAACCCACAAAAAAAAAATTTTATTGATTTTTTTTCGAAATTTGGCGGGATAGTGCGGCACTGCGCCCTCCTACTTTTTTCGTTTCGTGTTTCCTGTTGGCTACTATTTCAATGTTCCTTTAACATTAGAATTTTCTGTTGGCCTAAATTTATGTTTCTTATTCATTTTTTAGAACTGTATCTATATTACAGTAATATCTTTGATGACTTGAATTATGTAAATATTCAGTGTATTTTCAGATGGTAAGGTTTTCCAAACAAAAAAAGTATTTTCGAACCATATTTTTTCAGGAAAATCGAAGAATTGTCGATTTGTAATTTTATCTTAAGCAAACTAGATTTTCAATGAGTAGTAAGTTTCTTTTTCAATTCTTTTTTACTTCTTTAAATTTTTTTTACAGGAAAATATATTATTTCAAATAAATTGTAAATATAGAACATCGTGTAGTGAGTCATGTGTACATTTTTAATCAATAATTTAACAGTAGAGGTTAGTCTTCAATATTTTCAAATTATTGGTTTTAAAATGATGATTTTTCATTCAGATTAACTGTTTCTAAACAACAGTACTTCTCATTAAATTGTAACATTGCCGGTATTCAATTCAATCAATTTTTTGAAGCGAAGGCTTTCGATAAAATCGCGACATAAGGTTGGTTTTATGGAGTAATGTATTGGGAAAAAGAAAAGTATTTTTCAGGATTACTGTATCTAAACTACAGTACTTGGAAATTGATCAAATGCTTGCCAAGTTGATAGAATCCTTGAATAAGTCAACTCAATGTTTAGATAGGAGAATTCACCAATCCATTCGGAGTATTTATATGTCAGTTTCATGATTCACAAAATGAATTGATCCATGGAATTAATTTTTGCAGACTGGAAGATCTATCATTACATAACGAAAGATGAGCAAAAACGATATCCGAAAGAGACATTATTTGTGTGGTCAGTTTGTTTTTGGTCTTTGGGGACAGAAATATTACAAATTGAAATACTTGAATTTAATGTTTTGGCAGGCCAATATATTTTCTCATAAAAAAGCTCAATTTTTTCTTATTTCAATCAAATTAGACAATTAATTCAAAATTTGCCACGTATAAAACTGTTTTTTAGCTCAAATATGGAAGAAAGAAAAAAACATCAACAATATTTACTGGATTGTATGCACAAACATCGAAAAAGCATAAAATCAAAAAATGGTTATTAAAGGTTGGTTGTCTTTATTAATTTTTGCATTTAAACAACATTTGATTTTTCAGGATTACTGCATCTAAACTACAGTACTTTCAAATTAATCTCGTTAGCTTTGCTGATGCCTGTCAATGAATGGTTAGTTTTTTTCCAAAATATTATATTAAAAAAACACATTTTTCAGGTAAATTTTTTATTTCTGATTGTTTCTGCTTCTACGCGAACCATGGTTAGTTTTTTCTGCATATATTTGAACCGGGTTACTCCAATAAATTTGTTTCAGAGATCGTTGGAAAAACATTGATGAATCGATAGAAAAATAATTGAAAAATGTCTTCAACCCAATGAACATACGGGTTCGGCCCTGAATAAAAATTGTTTTTGAAATGATAAATAGAATATGCAAGCACTTTTAATCAGATAGTTGACAGAAAATTTTATAAAGCGTTCCAAAGGTTTAACAGATTCCAAATTGTGGTTTCAGTATATTTCGACAACAGTGAAGTTCACAGAATTTTTATGGATTATTGGAAACTTTACAATTTTTGCTGCAAAAAGTTATACAACGCTTCAACACAAAAATGTTGCATCCAGATATTTCAAAAAAACCAAAATCCAGGGGGATTTATTCACGAAATTCCAGTTGTAATTTTCGAAACAACTATCAAGAACCTTTCAAAAGACAACCATATTTCAACCTTTCCTCACTGTTAATCCATTTGTAATCATTTTTCCTCATATTTTACACGTGTTCATGTTAACATGCACCTTTTCTTATCAATTTAACATTTTCAAATAAATCGAAAAAAAGCTGATAACATGAAATACATGATAATTCTGCAGTCACTCTCGAAAATGTTATATACTTTGATATTTCTGCTATTTTCAACAAATCTAGTCTTATCTGCTAGACATCCAGCTCTCCCACCATTTTTATTGGGTAGACCAACAGCTGGCGGATTTTTGAGACACGCTGATAAATTGCACAATTTTGAAGAATTTGATGGAGCTATAGCTGGGTTGACTCAAAAAACAATTCAACAACCAGTTGATAACTTTCAAACATCAAATGGTGAAACCTATGAACAGGTTGGTGAAAATCTAACAAGTTTCTCTAAATTTTTGATGGTTCTAGAGATATTGGTACAATGGAAATTACACACAAAACAAGAATATTGTTTTTTTGATGATTCAAGGAGAAGGTCCCGCTACTGATAGATGGGTTAGCTATCCTGGATATCAATATCTTCAATGGGCCAAAGAATTTGGAGCCGATGTTTTTCAACTTGAGCATAGATGTTTTGGACAATCTCGTCCTTATAAGTAAGTTATTTTCAGAACAAAAACTTTGAAATTTTAAGAGAAATTTATTGTTAAAAAAAAATCTAAATGTTTCAATTTTCCAGAGATACTTCTTTCCCTGGAATCAAAGTTTGCACAATGGAACAAGCCCTTCGAGACATTCACAATTTCATCGGAAAAATGAACACTCAATATAATTTCAAAAATCCAAAATGGATTACATTCGGTGGATCATATCCTGGAACACTCTCAGCTCTTTTCAGAGCAGAATTCTCAGGAGATACAGTTGGAGCAGTAGCATCCAGTGCACCACTTCAATGGACACTTGATTTCTTCCGTGAGTTTGGATAACTTTTGAGTGGAAATATGAAAATAATGTTTTTAGAATATGCTCAAGTTGTTGAATCCGTTCTTCGACAAACTGATGTGAACTGTTGGTCTGCTGTCAACACCGCATTTACAAATATGCAACAATTGAGTTTGTCAGAAACTGGAATTTTGAAATTGAATGATTATTTCCAGTAAGTTGACATTTGATTTTTGAATATGTATCTTCAAAAATTCCAGACTTTCACCACCATTCCAAACTGGAAATTACACCCAACGCGATATTGATAACTTTTTTGCCAATCTTTATAGTTTCTTCCAAGGTGTTGTTCAATACACTTATGATGGTAGAGTAAGTTTATTTTCAAAATAGTTTCTGAAAATCAAATTGTCTTTAGAGTGATGCCACAATCGGCGGTCTCAATGTCAAGAATCTTTGCGGAAAAATGACTGATGCTACTGTTCCAGATGTTATTACAAGAGTTAACAACACGATTAATTGGGTAAAATATTCCTATATTGAAAATCTGGAAAATGTTTCAAAAAATTGTAGATCAATCAAATGAACGGTGATCCAGTTGGACCATTCCAAAATTCATATGACGATATGATGACTGTTTTGAAGAATGTGACTTTTGATGATGAAAGTGCAGTTCCAGGAGATATTGCAGCTAATCGCGGTTGGATGTGGCTTTGTTGTAATGAACTCGGAGTTCTTCAAACAACTGATCAAGGAAGAAACATTTTCCAACAAACTGTTCCATTGAAGTGAGATTATTTGAAGGGTTAGGGTTGGGATCGGGAGAGCGTGATGATACTTCAAAAAAATGGAATGTTCTGAAACCTTTAAAGCTTTCAAGAGACTGATTTTTTATTTTCCATTATTTAAAAAATCCAAATTTTCCAGCTATTTCATCGACATGTGTACTGAAATGTTTGACCCAAGTGTAGATATCAAATACATCCGAGATAAAAATATCCAAACTTTATATGCACATGGTGGAAATGCCGGATATCAAGCAACTAATGTAGTTCTTCCAAATGGACTCTTTGATCCATGGCATGTTCTTGGAACTAACAATACCGATTCAGTCAATCATATGACACCAATCTCAATTTCAGGTAACTCTTAAATTTTTGAAGATAATTTTATTGCTAATTTTTCAGGCGCTGCTCATTGCTCTGATATGTATCCAGTTTATGATGGTGAACCGGTGGCACTGAAAGCTGCCAGACAAACAATCCACGATGAGATCAAATATTTCCTAGGATTATAATTTGATAATTAAATAAATGATCAATATTTTTGTACATTCTTCGAAAATGAAGATGAGAAAAAAAGTAGGGAAGAGAAGATAATAAAAAGTGAAACGAACTGGCCTTTTCGGACGGACGGATGGATGGATGAGAATATAATAATATATGTATATATAAATATATGGATGTTCGGACAGGGATAGAGAGAAACATTTTGAGAGTGTAACGAGAGATTAGAGAGAAAAATAGAGGCGTATAGCAAACAGCTACAGTGTCGAATTGTTTTGTGTTCATTTTTCGATTTCGACGCAATGAGACGATCCATATTCCTAGCCGTTTCCTTATTTATAGTTGTTGGATATTGTCAAGAAAAAGCTGAAGTCGATATCCGAGTATCTGGAGCATGCTCACCAAGTTAGTAACGTTTTCAGAAAAATTAGAGTTTGGTTGGGTAACATTGGTTTTTCAAATTTTTTTTTTGAAACATGGTATTTCAACCTGCAAAAGGCTCTAATATAGGATTTTTTTCAGCGAGTGAATCGGTTCCAAGTAAATTAGAAACACATAAAAAATTATTTATGCTAGAAGTCTGACATAACCGGTTAACATAACAATCTATTTTCACCTGAAATTGTGTTCAAAAAAAATACAGAACATTCTCTGAAACTGCACGTAAAACTTCAACGTAGGATTATTCTGTGCATTTTTTTCAGAATTTTGTTTAAATGTTTCAAATTGAGAAGTTCCACTAAACTTTAAAAATTATAAAATCACGATTCCATCTTTATCGTTCTCACATCATTCACCATTCACAAAACATCATTTGACAAGACACCCAAATCCAAATCCAGTTTGTTTTTCTCAATCAACCAAAAAACACAGATATGATCAGTTTCAACAGGTGACGGTTCTGCTAACTTTAAAATTCCAGTTTTTTTTCAAAATATCATATCTCACATTCAGAAAAAAAAACAATTTTCAGTATATCTATCAAGAAAAGGGATCGACATTAACAAATATCGACCAAGCATTCGATTCAATCCAGATAAGATTCAATTGATTCCAAAGAACCCAGTGATTCCAGGATGTATCAAAATCAAGGCCGAAGGTAGAGCTAGAAAATGTTTGGGGCCAAAAAATATTAAACTTTTTCAGGTGTCGAGATCACAAGACCTACAAAAAATTTGATTGCTGAAGTTGAGATGAGAATTGGTGGAACTCCAGATCCAAACAATCCAGCTTTGCCATGTTCGAAAAAAATCGATGAGAAAGTCAATCAATGTCCGTGCGCTAAACTTGAAGGATCATGGTAGGCCTATTTTTTTTTAACTTTATTTTTGATTCGAGTTTCATGAAATAATTCTTCCAGTGTATTTTGCGACTTCTGCAAGCAATTAAAGGCACAGACTGCAAAGATCACGGCAAGCAAGTCATCCAGAAACGAACACAAATCAATTGACGATGATTGCAAGTCAGTTTTTTCCGGGTTTTTTTTTCGACAAATTTTTTGTTTCACTTTCCTTTTAACCGGATTTTTTGAGAGCAAAATAATTTTTGTTCGAAATTTATGAGAGAGTGTACTTTTTTGGGAATAGAGAGTTAAAGTGAAAGTTTTGGGCAATAGATGAGAGAAAACAAGGTCAACTTGAAAGTGATAATAATCAAAATCGGGGAGAGCGGGAAGATGATGCGAGATTTGATAGTAGGGAGAAATAATAATAATATTGATGGATTTTTGTGTTTTGGAATTTTTCGGGAAGAGGAAGAATTTAAAAATAGTTCACAAATCTGAAAAACTAATATTTCTTTCTCGAAATTGAGAAACGTTTTCAGAAGAAAAATTGAGATTTTTGAAGTGTAGAATCTTATAATAATCAGTCTGATTATTGTTCGATTTTTGGAGTTTGGATAATGTCGGTTTGATTTCTAGTGATATCGGACTACGTTAATAAATTTTTATCAAATTTTTCTCTGTTAATAAATTTTTATTAAAAGCTATAACCAGAAAAAATGAATATTTTTTCAACTAAAATCTTAACCGAATCCTAATATTTTCCAGATGCGATGAAATGCCACCAGGTCTTTACGATATTGAAACTGAGATGTGTACTCCAGAAATCGACGATGTCAAAGACTACATTCCTCCAGAAATCCAAAACAATATTTTGGAAAAAAGACCGGTAAAAACTTTTCTCTAACTATAGTAAATACCTTTCAATGTTCTTTTAGATCTCAATGTTCATCACGGTATATTTAATGGATATGGAACCTCGTTCATCAAAAGAATCATATCTATCAGCTTTTGGAAAAGCTATCCTTCAAAGGAGGTAATTTTCCCGTTCACACCCAGTTTCTTTTTGAAAAAAAACCTGTTTTTTTCTAGGATGGCACAAAGTACGGTTGCTTGTTTCTTGCTGGGAATTGATGTTAAACTGGCTCTTCCACAATTCGAGTAATTTTTTTCAATTTTTTTTCTGTTAAAAACACATGCGGATATTTTTCTTTTTCAATTTGTTTTACTGTCTCATATGTTTGTATGTATAATTTATTGAAGTAGTCCGATTCTCATTTTTTTTTCTCCTAAAAAACAACACAATGAAAACATCCTTTTTCTTTTTGATAATATGCTTTATCAGACAATGAAACTTGATTTTCATATCTTCTGTTTTAGAAATCGAAAATGAACACGACGAGATTAATTTTGTGTGTTTTTGTGATTTCTTATGGATTTGTTGGGTGTGACTTGGTGGCTGATGATGAAAAGGGTTTTCTGGATTTTCTGACCGATTCTTATAAGGTGGGCGAGATTTTGGGATGAAAAATTATCATCAGAGTTTTTCGCTTCGGCAGATTTTTTTGCAGTTAGTATCGAAAATTTGAATTTTTTATCTTATTCTCATGTCAGAATTTTTTACCAGAATTAAACATGAACCCAAAGTTTGAGTTTGAAAATTTTCATCGAAATTTCTAAAATCAGTATTTTTGCTGTTGAAAATCAAAACTTTTTTGAGAACTTGGAATAACTTTGAGATGACATGAATAAAATGAAAATTCATTTTTGAAATGCTTCTAATAACTATAAAAAGTTATCCAGAAAGACCAAGAGCTACGTTATGCTCCAAAACACGAAGAGCATAAAGAAACCAAAGCAACAAATACTAAAGAAACCAAACTAGCTGACATTGTTCTTCTTCCCGGTGGCTATAATCCACTTCCCGGTCGCACATCTTTCGGAGATTATTGGCCACTTATGCCAATGTCAAATCAATATCACATGGGAGTCAGTTATGACACTTCCAAAGGAAGAGTAAGAAATGTTTTCAATGATGATGAAAGTTTTATTTTGTTTTTTTTTTCAGCACGTAGGTGGTGATATTTTAGTGCCTGTGCCATTCTGGAATCATTTTCTAAACATTGATGGTCATTTTATTGAACGTGCTCAAGAAGAATGGGTCAAAGTTGGATATATAAATAATCCTGTGAATATGATGGGCTTGACCAAGGATCAAATTGTGAGATTAATGACTAGCCCATCTCTGAATCATAATAAGCGTGAGTTAATTATATTTTCTTGCATTCACAACAAATTCAAATATGTTCAGAAATCCATCCACGTCTTCCTGTTGGAACTCTTCCTAAAGATTTCACACCAATTTCATGTAAACCACCAATGTGTGACCCTTATGCTGGTGTAATTGGTGTTGGAGTTGAGGCAAATTATGAGATTGAAGATGGTTTGGAAGGCGAGCTCGAAATTCCGATTCCAATTTCAAAGGATATTGCGTACAAGTTTCCGTTGAGTGGAAATATTCATTATGGTGGGATTTTTGGGATCTGATACTTTTATTTTTCACATAACAAGGCTCTTCTGAACAAACGCAGATCTTGTTGTTTGTAATAGAAACTGTTTTGAAATTCTTGTTTTTTCCAGATCGAGACGACACATCATTTAACTATGCTCAAAATCTGAGCCCACTGGATGCTCTAGCAACCGGATTTCCTAATGACAAGCCACGAAAAACTTCCTAATAATCCATGATAATAATGAGAATAATAAAAAGACCGTGTTTTGTTTTTTTGCTTGTTATTGTTTCGAGAAAAAAAAAGGAAAACCTGATAAAATGAGAACAAAGAAACGAAACAAGATTTTAGGTGATATAGATAGATAGAAGCTTCGGATTTCAATTCATTCATTTATAATTTTTTGATTGTGAGTAATGTCATCTGCTCTGGTATTTTCGGTTTTGTTGGTCGCTGTATCTGCACAGTTTTATGACTTTGGACAAGTTCAACAGCAACAATACCATCCAAATAATGTGCAATATGACTACATTGATGATGGAGAAGCTTGTGAGTTAACTATTAATAGATTAAATTATCAAAAAATAAATATTTCAGACTATCAAATGATGCAACATCAACAAATTCAAAAGCAACTTCAAATGCAACAGCAATACTACGCAATGATGAGACCTTACCCAAAAAGATCATATTCCAAGCAGGTAAAGTCATTTATTTTTGAATTTCATATATAATATGAAATGTATTTCAGATCATGAGAGCTTGTGGTTGTGAACACGCGAAAACCTATGCTGAATATTTGAAATACCGTGACTTTATCAAACAACAAAGAATGATGATGAATTACTACAATATGTTCAGAATGTAAATAAAAGATTTTGAAGTATAATAATGATAATAATCTGTGATTTGAATATAATTGTAATAATAATAAAGGATTTGTAAAATGAATAATTTGAATAATTTTTTGTGTTTGTGAAGGTTTGTTTTCGAGAGTTCAAAGACTGGTGTTTCTTATATACGATGTTTCTTCAATTTCTTCAATGTACTTTTACAGCAATTTTTTTTTCGTAAAACTTAAAAAAAAAACGGTTTTCACACAAGTATTTTTTTCAAAAAAAAACCTCGAACTTCTGAACGTGTAGTTCCTCTCCAAAAAAACCAGAAGTCAGAGACTATAAACCAATAATTCTGTATTTTATTTGAAAATGATACGCAGTTTTTTTTTAACAACCCACAAAATTTGAACTTTTTCAGAAGTTTTCCACCAATCTAATAAAAACAAAGCAAAAACAGAAAAATATTATCACCTGTAAAAAGCAAATAGCAATAATGTTGTTTTGTTCTACGCTGACTCACTCATTTCAAACATTCGTACTGTTTTATTTTTGTTCAATTTCGATTCATTTTGAAATTTATCGTACCATAAATCTATCCAGTTTTCACTTTTCATTTTTTTCATCATTTTTTTCAATTTTGAGATAGTTTTTTTTAGTCTAGTACATTTTTTTCACCCTAGAAAAACTGGTCAATACAGATCAACTTATCAAAGATCGAACAACAATTCCATGTTTTTTATATCTATTCAGATGCAAAAAACTGGCGAAAGAAGAAGAAGAACAAGAGGAAGACAGTCATCTTCTTCCTAAAAAAGAGACGGTAAAAGACAATTATAAATCGAGAGAAAACTAGAGAAAAAAGCGTTGAGATTATTTATATATATATATTGAATGTATTTGTTGGGTGGAGTGTCCTCGTTGCGCATAGAAACACACAAAACACCCCCTCTGCATACCTTTCCTTTTTCACCAAAAATATTTTGTTCTTTTTGGCTCATGTTACTTCACTTACTTTTATATTATTTTTTCTCTCGTGATCATTTTTTTCTGCGCTATTTTTTCCAGAACTGGATTTTCTTGTGTTTTGTTTATTTTGCGTTTTCATCATAACATCACCTGACAATCAAATCAATTGTTTCTTTTTTTTCAGATCACGGGAAAAATGACCGACGCCGACAAATCAGTCAAAAGTGGGTTTCTTGGAAATGTTAGATCTCTCAAAAAGATAAAAATGTTTGATCTACCGTTGATAAAATATTTTTTGGAACTGTAATGTTGTTTCAGAAATGAAAAAGCTTCAGGTTGAATTTTTTTTATTCAAAACGTTTACAGAACTTATCACCACTGAAAAAATTGTATTCAAAAACTCAAAATTATATTTAAGAAATCAGAATTGAAGCCATTCTTTTTAAATTGTTTAATTTTCAACAAAGAGATGTAGATTTTCAAAAACTGAAATTTTAAGGTTTTTTTAATATAAATTTTGAATTTTTTTAGACTGGGAAACCTTTGACGATGTATCACTTCAGAGTATATCTGTAGTGAATGAAGAACACCCTCATCCTCTGGAAACAAAATCTTCACCTGAGCCAGAACCGGAGCAAAAGCCTTCGTCAAAACCTGAGCCAAAATCAGCGTCAAAACAAATCAGTGAGCAAGAAAAAGTGGATGCTATTTTGGATCCAACAAAACTCGACAGAAAAATCCCGAAAGCCAGTGCGATTTCTGCTCCAAAAAATGTAAACGGCAAAGTATTGGCTACAGTTTATCCGGATAACATGATTTGCGATTGGGTGACTCCTCCAAACTACGATGCCTACAGTATGCCATCGATTTTGGCGATTGATTTACCGACGGTTTGTTTTTTGGGACACCTTATCATTTTGAGAAACAAAAATAAAATACAAAAAATAGAAAAATAATTTATTATACTTTGATAAGATTCTACTGTTTACGTCAATAAGTACGTAAAGTACGATGTTGAAAAAAACAATGAACTTTAACCAAAAATAGTATGAAATTTGAGAAATTTGTTTACATACTTGAAATTTTTGGTTCAGAATTATGATGAAGATTATTATTTACCTAAAGGCAACCCACACGAAAATGCCAAAATTGGTGCAGGAAAATTTCAAAAAATAAAGGACTACTAGAAAATTTTACAAAAAATGGAAATTAAATATTTTTGAGAAAATATATTATGAAAAAAGATTTTCAAAAATTAGATTTTACTATTTATAGGTTTGAATAATCAAGAATATTTTCTAGCACATTAAATTTCCGTTTTGAGAATCAAAACAATAAAATATCCTATTTCTATATTTTCAGTGGTCACAATCAGAAACTCTGAAAATGAACAAACTTCTATTCTAAAAAATAATTTTCCAGCTCCCTCCACCTGATTACATCAATTCTGTTGAAGCTGTAATAAAAGACATACGCTTCAAACTCTTCTCTACAATTTATTCAAGAATGGTTGCAATATGGATGACTTTATGGATATTCCTGTTAGCAATCACACTTTTATGTCAAACTAAAGGAGGCTGGCCAGTTATGATATGGTGTTTGGTTTGGGCAGTATTACTTTTTGTTGGAATTTATGTTTGTGCGGTTATTCGAAAAAGGGTAATTTTCTATAATCAGAATACTACCATAAATATTTTTTTGAAGATTCGAATCGGTCTTAATAAATGCATTGAAAATGCCAACAAATATTTAGTGGATCACCATTTCCTTTTAGGAATTGAAGACAAAGGCCAAATCAGTTGTCATAAAGTTGTGGTAAGTCATTTATTTTTGATTTTAAAAATTCAATAAGAATGAAATTTCTAGCTTCACTTCATCCGATTCAACGCTGGTGAATGTACCACCGAAGTGATGAGATTGTTGAAAATCAAACAAACTGGAGGTTGTGTTTTCGGAACACCTTCAACAAATCAACCAAATCAAAATCAGATGTCAAATGATGAAATTGAAAGAGAAGCCAATCGATTGATATTGAGATATAGTCAAGAATATGTGAAAAGTGTAGTGAAAAAGCGACTTGTTTTCCCGTCGAAACCTATGTATGGAGTTTCGGATTATGCTCCAAAGCATTGCAAGAGTCAAATGTGTCTTTGCCAGTTTATTGAGGATGTAAGTTTTGAATTGGGGCTTTTACATATTTTTGTTTTCAAATTGAAATCGTTAAAATTTAAATCGTTTGAAATTCAACGCGGAAAGAATTTCATAAAATATTCCAGAACATTTTCGAGAGAGCCTTTTTTCAGATATGAAAATCATAATATGTTCATCTCATTTTTACATTTTCCAAACACACCTATAAATCCCATTCTAAAAACCAAAAAAAAATCCACACCCTGTTGAATACAAATTTTTCCCAAAATCCTTTTTTTTCCAATCCTTCCCCACTATATAATTTTTTGCAGAGAAGATTCAACGCGAAGCCGAAAAAGTGGTACGAAAAATACATTTAAATCACCAACCACATCAAATTAAATGAATAAAACATCACAAATCGTCTTTTTTTTTGGTTCATTTCATTCTTTTTTCATGCATCTGCCTTTTTTTTTAGATTTCAAAATGGGTATTTTCTGTTCTGTGTATATATTTATGTAACTGTCATTTTTTGTTGCCTTTATTCTATTTTTCTTATTTCTCAAAAGCAAAAACTTGTTGTTGACGCGAATAAAAAATTATTTCTCTATTACTTTTTTCACCAAAAAAATAATAATTCTGCTCACAACAAAAAAACGGGAAAAAGGTGAGCCCTTTGACCACAACAAAAACAGCAGATTTTGTTCTTTGTCGATCTGCGTCTATTAGAGAAAACGCGCTCCGTTCAAACAATACTATTTCATCACACTCACACACAACACACATACAACACACAATTTGTCTTTATTTTTTTCGCGGCGTTTTCATATTTTTACTGACCGTTCTTATCTTTTTGTCTTTTTTCACACTGTTTCAATAAAATTCGATAATTTTTCCAGCGCACATGCCTAGAGATAGATTATTAGAATTACGGGTTAGTTTTTTTTGCTCAAAATTTGAGAAGTTTTCCAAAAAAAAAAACTTTATTTTAGGAAAAAGCGGGTATCCCAACGAACTCAACAACACCAACACCGTCAAGAAAATATTCGGAAAATCCCAACGATGCTTCACAACCGCTTATTGATCAAGATGCGGATTTTGAGATGGTAAAGTTTTTTTTTTGAAAAAAAAATTAGGAAAAATCAAAAAGATTCGTTTTTAGTTTCTCGAGAGGTGTACAAATATACGCAGTGGATTGACGAGTTTGAACGAGGATTTTAGCGAAATTACCAAACTTCACGGAAAACTTTTATCAACTCCTGGAGCTGATGCTGGTGAGTTGTTTTGTTATTTAGAAATTTGAATGAAATATAATATTAATATTATATGGAGAAACTTGTTTGTCCAATTCAAATAAAGAAAGAACTATGACTCATAGGAATTTGGAGAATTTAAAACATGAAAACATCTTACTTTGCATAGTTTTTTTTTTTGAAAAAATATCAACTCGAGTTTTGTTTGAAACCGAATTGCTCAAATGACTCAATGTTTAAAAATGTTTAGCTAAATGGGTTCAAAATATATTATCAAGAAGATTTCGCGAGTTTCTCTTCTGCAGGAATTTTTGAAAATCAATTACTGAAGATTGGAACCAGAAAAAAAAGTATTGAATTGGAATATTGACACAAAAATCATTTGCTGATTAAATGACAGAATTTCTGGAAAAAACCAAACAGAAACTATTGTATTTTCATTTCCGATTTTTCCAGGCCATGATTTGTTTTCAATCAAAAAATTTTGTTCGGAAAAACATTAGTTGAAGAATGTTCAAAAGAAAGTTTTGCAGTTTTGAAACAATTCTGTAACTATAAGGTATGAAACATCTCATTCTATTGTAAATGAAAAATCATTCCTGAAAATACTGAAAAAAATGATGAATATAAAAAACTGCTAAAAATTGAGAACAAATCTAGAATCCCAGTTTTTTTCGCAACAAGAGAAAGCTTATCTAATTTTTAGAATAACAAAACGAATTTTTTTCTTCAAGTTCAATTAAAATGTTTAATGTTCATATTCTGATCTTTTGATTTGTCTCAAAATTTTATCAAAATGGTCTTTTTTCATAAACAAAATACACCTACTCTCCCATAAACATAGCCAATTTTATATTGTTAAAGGGTTGGTGCTCCGCCAGGGAATCTTGCTTGGTTTAGATAGGAATAAGGTGCTCCTGGAAGGTTCCAGTTTTAGAAAAAATTCTAGTATCAATTCAGCCCATGTTTTTCCTCAAAAACACAAGCAAGTTAAAACCTACGAAACAAAACAAGTAAATGCGCTCTAGCTCACAACTCGTTTTTGAATTTTCGTTCGTGTGTTTGCACACAACTTTGAAAATAACACGGTGACGCCTTTTTGCAGACGATTTTTTCACCAGGAAAACACCAACCCTTTAAAATCTTAAAAAATCGTTGGCTTTTTTTCAAACAAAATCTGGATTTTTTTCAGATAATTCAAAAAGTCTCAATGCGCGCGTCGATTTATTCATCTCAAAGGCTTCACAAATTCGAGATAGTCTCAGAAGTGAGTTTTTGAGAAAACTTTGAATTCCAATTTGAAAACTAATATAAGTTTTTTCAGTTATATCAGAAGAGACGAGAAATTTGCCCAACAAATCTTGTGGGATAGCAAGAGCCAAGTCTGAGCAGGTATGTAATTTTTAAAATCTTTCTACGCTGTGGAAAATAAAGTTATTATCATTATTTTAATTAATTTTTTAGGTTCGCTCAATTTACAAAACATTTGAAACAGTAATGTTGAAATTCAACAAAGAGCAAGAAGAATATAAGGATAAAGCAAAAAAGAAAATTGTGGATTATTTGAAAATCAAAAATATGCAATTAAGCGATGAAGAAATTGAAGATGCAGTTTCATCGGGTAATTTATCCGAACTAACTAAAGGGGTAGGTTTTCATTATAAAGAATTTTGAAAATTTGAAATAATAATTCATGAATTTTCAGGTTATGTTAGCATTAAATGAGAAAAAGGCATTGTATGATGATGTGAAATCACGGGCAAATGAATTAAAATTGTTGGAATCTCAAATGGCTGAACTTGCTCAAATGTTTCATGATTTACATATTCTTGTTGTTAGCCAGGTGAGTAACATTTATTTTAGTTTTAGAAAAGTGTAGATAATCATAGAAAATCATTTGACAATTAAAATGTTGAAAAATTCATGAACCTGTGAAACTCATAAAATTTTGAAATACTTCTCTAAAATTTATTACGATTTCAAGAAAGTTTTCAGAAAACGATTGTTCTTTTCTCAATATTTTTGTAGTGTTTGGAAAATTAACTTATGTATACCATTTTTCTCCAAAGTATGGAATTGACAGGATTAATCGATTAGATCACCAGAGTTCTCAAAAAAATCAAACATTGTGTTGTAAATTAGGAACCAAAATTTTACAGTTTATTTCAAGAAGCTTACTGTTAGCTACAAGATCACAGTCATTCAATTTTGTTAAAGAAGGATCCCAAATCAACATTTATCAAAAATCTATTTCTCAATTCAAAAACTCGCATTCAAAATGATTGCATTGTTTTGCAATTTATTGTTTTTCCGCCGGAAATTACTAATCATTCATTTTCAATTTCCTCATGAATCATATCAGTGTAATAAAATTTCAAAAAATAAAAGATAGAACTCACCATATTTTTTGATAAACCCGATTTTCCCATAGCATATCAATCTAAAATAATAAATTCAACAATATGAGGAATGTATAATTTTTATTGATCTGTGAGAAAACGACAACGCGACAGGCACTGTGAAAAATAAGACAAAAATCAATAAATATTTCCAGGGTGAAATGATGGATCGTATCGAAAATAGCGTTCAAAACGCCACAGAATATGCTCAAAGAGCACGTGGAAATGTGGAAGAAGCGCGGCGACTTCAAAAACGTGCAAGAAAAATGAAAATCTTCATCATTATTGGCTCAATCATATTGTTTTTCATATTATTAGGCGTATTCCGTGTATTATTCTGCCTTTATATACCAATTTGTTCCAAATAAGTCACAATTTTTTCAAATGCTGCTTTATTCATAAAATGATCTTTTTTGGGACTAGTCATCCAAAACTTTGTATTTTTTATTCATTTTTTCTCTGTTTTGTCATATTTTTGTTTCTGTTCATAAAAAGTGCCTTTTCGCAAAATATTTATTCATAGAAAAACAAATGGAATGAGGGAAAACGTTTTTAGAGAAGTGAAAATTATGAGACAACGCGTTTTTTGGGGGTGTTAAAAGAGGAATAAGAGAGGGAAGGAAAATAATGATAATGTGAGGAAGAATAGAAGGAAGAAGCGATAGCAGCAATAACACACAAGACACACACAGATGCAAACTGGATAAATAGATGATTATGGTTGGAAGATGACCCGTCGACGTCTGAAATTTACATGATGTTTGTAGGAAATAGGTAAAGAGGTTTTATTAAGGGGTTGAAGCTTTAGGGTTCCATTTCAACCTGGGATCTTGTCAACTTGATCCCTATGAGAAAATATGATCCTAAAGATAATCTGGACCTCTCAAAAAAATAAATTATCTAGAAATCTCCAGATTTGAAGCTATAGAGAATAAAAGGTCCTCGAGGGTTTCTGGTTCCCAGATTTGTTGTGGCTCGGGTGTTCACCTTGAAAGCCTAGAGTTCTCATTAAAGTTTAAAAAATCATATATTCTATCTATGACGAAACTCCCGATAAGCCTAATGCCTTAATGGTGTTCAGGAATTACAGAAACATGCTTCTAGTCAATTGGGTTTTATCAAAACACTCCGTGCTCGGCTCCAAGGACCTGACTTATTTCATCTGTAAAAATGCTTACCTTCACGATCTAATAGCCAGTTTGTTCGAGATAGGAGGCAATCGCTTCAACAGCAGCACGAACCGCAGCCGACGCAGCATTCTCACCCTCGTACACCGCAATAAGAATCGCCGATTTTGTCTTGGCGGCGAAAAATCCAGTCTTTTCTTTTTTGCCGAAAATCAATTTTTCTTCAACGCGAGGAACAATGTAGTGAACCTGAAGAGTTATTATGAATAATAATAAATCTTTTTAAATGAATTCTTACATTTTCCAAGTCGGCTCCAGTGCTCGGAACAGAGTTGATGTCATTGAAGAGAGCAGCGAATTTCTTGAGCTCAGCTTCGGAGGCCTGAAAAAATAATTGTTTGAGGGAGTGTCCTAAATTTATTTTAATAAATTTGACTTACACCAAATGGGTTAGGATCTTGTGTTCTGGCCCAAACAGATCCGTCAGTTCCGATAATCGCAGCTCGCTTGATTGCGTCCGATCTAGCGGTCATTGATTGAATGTAAGCATCCCAGCCGGACATTTTTGATCTGAAAAATTGTATTAATAATTTTTATTTTAGAGAGAAATGAGAAGAAACCAAAATAAAAATAATCGAATGAGGACAAACGGGCGGGCGGGCGTCTAAAAACTGATTCATTCTAAAATAATTGTTTCTATTTTATTTTATGTGATGATGACTCATAAATGCCGCCTTCAATTTTTACAACAGAGCGAATTTGCTCGTTGTCATTTGAAATGCAATTTTTTTTTGATTTGGGGAAAGAGAAAAATGGAACTCAATAATATTATTGTAACGTGGAACTAATAGATAAGAAGCAAAATTGAGGAAAATACCAGAAAAGGCAACAAAAAATGATGAAGAAGAAAAAGAAGAAGGAGAAAAGACAACACACACAAAAGGAGAAAAGAACGAGCGAACGAACTAAACCGCCAAAATCGATTGCTCAGTCGACACACACAGACACCCTTCTCTGTCTCTCTTGTTCTAACCTCCCATTTTTCCTCCACTGTCCATTTTATATAGATGGAAGGATGGATGGATGGACAAGGAAAACGAAAATGTTGTCTCTCTGCGTCTCTTGTTCCATATTTACACAAAAGGACATAATATGACTACTTTTAAGGGCTAAGAAATACGAAAGAAGATACACCACACACTCAGGGTGACATTTAACCTTGGGAAAAAATGGTGTACTTACCTCCCATATATATGTATTTTGTACATATTTTTAATAATAATGGGCCTAATAAAACTTTATTTTGAAAATGTAAAAATATCAGAATAGAGACAATGTCAGAAGAAGAGAACGTAGACAAAAGCTGAGAAACATGAATCAGGAAATGTGATAATTAGAATCAAGTACACTCAAACGTCTAAATGAAGTATCATTTGTTCAGGCAGCTCGCCTCTCATTCTCAAACAATAGACTTTTGAAACAGGCAGGCAGTCATAGCAGAAGAAAAAAAAAACAAACAAAAATTGTTCACCATATATTGCAATTATACCGGATTTTACCATGTTTCTTTTATTTCACTTTCTTTTCAAAATTTATTTCAAAATGAAAAATGAAGACGAGAAAAAAATACACCGTATCTACAATGTCAGTAACTACACGTCAAGAATATTTTCAAATTGGTAAGCAAAAAAAAATTTCACGGGATCGGAAATGATATGTAAATATGTATTTTTAAAAAAGAGAAAAAGACTAGATTTTTACAGAAAAATGAGATCATTTGGTTAGAGGAATTTCGTTTCGATTTCCAAGAATTTCCAAAAGTCGCTCGGACATATAATATGGTCGATCAGGACTTCCATTATTTTGTTCACTGTCTTCCACTGAAAAGAAACAATTCATTTCATTATCAATTACTAAAAAATGGGAGAAAACTAGACTTACAGAAGCAAATAAAAGTGGTGTCAACAGCCATTTCATAAACATCGAAAAACAAGTCGGCCATAAAATAGCTGCCTGAAAATGGGAAAAAACTGGTAAAATTTCACAGTTCTATGAAACATATAATGAATGAATTGACTTACCAATAACAACAATGATGATTGGGACGAAATAATAATAGAGATCGACTTGTGGAACACCATCAACTACCCATTTACCAGAGAAGTAATAATAACTGACGATGCCTGCAAATAAAAATAGTTAGGAGTGTTTTCCGGGAAAGTTGAATCTTTGAAAAATTTTATTTTCATTGGGTCGTCTTTTTCTGAATTTAGAAACTTTTCAAAAATTCAAAAACATTTTTCAAACTCTCATTTCTCCGCTGTTTTATTTTCTGAACTCACCCATTCCAATAGTAATCATAGCTTTTCCAAGGAACAACAAAATTCCAGCAACTTTGTGAACAACAACAGTTCGAACAATATTTCTTGTGATAAGAAGGAATGAATCTTTTGCAGAAGTGAAGAAGTTTTTGCCATAAATTGCAATCTGAAAAATAAATACCAGATTTAAAAATCTTCCATTGATAAATCTGTCCTACCATAATGTATGCATTTTTTGTCAAGAATTTGAAGAAAACTTCTAAACACCAGAAGCAACATTTCAAGCAAAGCAAAAACCACTTCACTGCTTGATTTTTCGATTTTCCCAATTTATTATCAATGTATTCCAAGATAACCCTGATAATTTTGACAATTGCTATAATCAAAGATCCAAAAGCAATTGATCCTAAATTGTATCGAAGTGCTCGAGTGAGTGCTCGATAAACCGGGAAAGTTGGCACATCTCTATTTTTGTCACGAGCCCAATAATATGAAGCAAAGGCGCCGGCCAGAGCAATGTCGCCTGAAAAAACGCAGAAAAACATTCATGGTTTTGTTTACATTGGAATTAACAACATAAATGTTGCTATTTTCCAACAACCATAACATCTATGATTCAGGAAACAACAAAATGGACAGAGCTGTGGTCTTTGGGGAGGGCTACTTTTGAAAATTCTTGCAGAAAATCATAATTCACGCTAAATATTCAGAATTTTAAGAGATTGTTATGATCTAAATTCAAAAATTATCAATTAGGTTTCATTTTTTATTTACGAAAAATAATTTTCTCCAAATTTTAAGACTGAAACAACTTTCCTGTTCGCAAGTTCAATAATTTTAGTCTACCTAATCCTGGAAAAAACTGAAACTGAAATGTCTCGCGACAACTTAAATATTTTTGGATTTGCTTGTTTTTCTCTCAAAATATCTTTAAATCACTCACCGAGTGCTGTCACAAAACATGAAAGCCAGAAAAATCCGAACAAATTATACAACTGCAACCAGAAAATACGATCACTATCCTTCTCAATTCCAACATATGTGCATCCACTGATATTCAAATTACAATTGCAAATCGTTGATGTATTTGTAACACTTCCATTAGTCTCTTTCATTCGACAAATTTCTTCTCCAGAAGAAGCCAACCAAATCGCAATTGAGCCCCAAAGCGCAAACACTCCAATGTGTAAAATGAATGGGATAATTGGAAAAAGCAAAGTTGACATCATACTTCCGATTGCTTTACTTGATTCAGTAATCAATGCACAAGCAATACTAATTCTTTTTCGAATAAACAAAATGATTAACAAGAAAATGACAAGGAATACTGAACATATGATTGCAACTACAAACCAAGTAGTTGGCATTTCGAAATATGCTTCAAAAGCTGGATGGAAAGAATAATCATCAGTGGCTCCTGCAGTCTTCAAGTTATTCCATTTATTCCAGCTGTATCCAGTTCCAAAACCAAGTGCAACAATAACAATCAAAATTGATAACCAGATGATTAATGATCCCAACAATCTCATAATCACTGTCCAAATGAATGCAAACACTCCAGCAGCAATAATAAGGGTCAGAGTTTGCCACCAAGTTTGCGATAAATCGTGCACAATTTTGTGGAATACTGGCTGATCTTCAACGACTTGTTTGATAACTCTGCAAAAATAAAAAATAAAGATAAAATTCTGAGATTTTCGACTCACTGTGATCCTTGTCCTGTGATCATTGTGTCGTTTGGAATTGTTCCATCATCACCAAAAGTGGATCTGAGGACATCTAGAGAATTTGAAGCATTCAAGGCGGTGTTGATTGTGTCAGCAGCGCTGAATATTGCTTGAGGGAAACATCGTTGGAGTACTGAAAAAATTCGATGAGCAGGCTGGGAAAACATTTAAAAAAAGATTTTTTTAATTAGAATTCATCTGTTTCTTTCTGAACCTCAGCACAGATTTCTAATACTAAGAAGTTCGACCTCAAACTCACCAGGAATTGACTTCACGGTATATGAAACACATTTTTGCGATTGCACCAAACTCTTCAGAATTGCAAATGATGTAATGGTCGTTTTATCAATCGAATCCACACAATACAAATTCTTTTTAACTTGATTCTGCAACTCCGAAGTGCTCACAGATTGTAATTGCAAATATGAAAAATATGTTGATGGACATTCTTCCACACAAATTTGTGTTGTTTGACATCCTCCAAGTGCAGTCGCATAACTGATACATTTTGTTAGATCAAAATATAATAAATATGGTCGATTGGTGAAGTTATACAATCCATCTTGTGATCCTCCACATCTTCGGAATTCAGAATCAGTTGGGAAGATGAGTCTTTGTGGATCTCCCCATGCCATTCCAAGAGCAGCGACAACAGCCCAACCAGCAAGGAAAACAAAGAATAGGAAACAGCAACAAACATCCGTACAACCTCTGAAAAAAAATTATTGGAAAATCTCTAGTGAAATCTTGAAAATTAAGGTATAAACCTTTTAGTATACAATTGTGGATTATGTCTTTTTCCCATTTTTTCCGGATTTTTCAAATTAAATCTTGCAATCTGATCAGGTAAGTTAGAAGAAGTCGAAGATGGTTGAATATGACATGCCGAAACTGGCAGAGGTGGAAGATGCATCATTGGGTAAACACCATCGTGTCGATTTGGTGGAGACATTGGCGGAGCTGTTGGAAACGGTGGCAAAATATACGGGTCTTTAGCATATTGTGCTTCAGGAGTTGGACGATGACGTTTTTTAGCCATTTTGAATGGAACTGAAGGAAATTTCAGAATAGAAAAATATAAAGATCGAGCGAGAAATAAGAACAAATATAAATTTATATCAGAAATCAGAAAAGTCATCAAACCATCAATGCTAGCTTTCAAAATCCACAATTGAATTAAAAATAAAATGAGTACAAAAAACAGCGAAGAACACACGCAAAATAACACACTTGAAAAGTCAATGACCTTGGAAATAATGTGTACTGAACTGGATAGTATATATATATGAATGTTCTAACAAAAGAATTCCAAGTAAAGTTGGACTTTTTCTAGCTAAAAATAAAATGCTGTGCAAAAATAATTTTTTTTTTGAAAAAAATTGAACATTTTTAGAGAACAGCTGCTAGCGAACTCAGGCAAACTTTCAAGAGAAACAAGTTAGGAACTGCTCAAGAAAAAAACAACAAAAGAGAAAAGAGCGAAATCCGATATGTGATTAGAATAAACAAGAGTAAATAAATATTCATTAGGAAGGCGACAAAAAAAAACACAGTGAGATATAGAGAGAAAGAGAGGTCACGACGATAGACAGATTTTCATTTTTCTTGTTTGTGTGCGCGGGAACAAAAAAGGAGGAGACAATGTTCCAAGGGAAGCTATAGCAAACTAAAAACAAATAATAATGATGACAAATTTTCGTACAAGTGTAGATCAATAATGAATCATAAACGAAAAAAATGACCAATACAAAGGTCTAGTTATTTTTTGGTCGCGTTTTTTTTTGAATGTGCTACTATTCTATTGAAAAGAAGCAGGTGTTTTTTGTTTGAAGAAGGTTTGAGGTTGGAACCGGAAAAAAGGTTTATTATTTTTATGATTCATAATGTGTTTTTCGTTGAATTCAATTTCAGGATTAGATATAATGGAAAATCGTGTATTTTTGAAAATTTTTAAAACTAAAATGCTGCGTAGGTCACAATGAAATCTGATAGGTTTAGTTCATAAACAAAATGACCGAGCAAAAAGGTCAACAAAAAAATTTGGTATTTTTTTGAAATGAAAGCTTTAGCGTTAGTAGAAAATCTGTTTTAAAAAAATAAATGCAAAACTCAGAAACCTTCAAATGTTTTTTTACTGAACTTCCACAACCAGTGTTGAAATCACGGAAAAACTAACTTCCAATTAAATTAGGTCTTTTCTAAATTCGAATTTTTCTTATTGTTCACTAATTTGATAAACGTTTTCCAAAAAAAAATGATTTTCTTGCTAAACTTCATTGAATGTGTAACACTTTTTGAATTATTTACAATAAAAAATTTACATTTTCATAAACAATTCAAAAATTAAATAAATAAATAAATAAACTTCAGAAAAAAAAACTAGTCAGAAATGCTAAACATTCAAAACCAGTCATCTTCAAAAATCCATGAACGAATATGTCGAAAACAAAAATCTATATTTACACTATTTCTGTTCTGACCACACCTTTCCACTACAATATGTATTTACATATATTCCTATAATTATTCTATCTCAAATTTATAACAGAAATAATAATAAAATAGAATTAAATAATGTTTCAAGGTCTACCTAAAAGTGAAAATATTTGAGTTAGTGAAATGAAATGAAAACGAACATTTATTACATAATCAGGTTGACAAACCAGAGGATTTGCAATGATAGCAGCAAAATCCTGTCTCACATGTTCAAATTATATAAAATAATGAACAATAATACATATACAACACCACAAAAAAAAACTGGTCTAGTTTTTTTTTTTGGAATTTTTTCTCAAAAAAAAAACAGTTTCGCGTTGAGGTTAGTTTGGGTCAAGTTTTTATCTGATCTGAAAGTGAAAAATGCTTGAAGGAGGTGAAAACTGGTATATGAATCATTCATTTTTTGGAATGTTTATAAGCATAGTGTAACAAATAACATAACATAACATGTTTAATGAGTTCAATTATTACGTCAATAATGTTGTTCAAAACTATGGGTGTTTTCTAGACAGTTTTCATTGATAAGTGAGAATTTTTTTTAGGGTAAAAAAATAAACGCTTCGGAGGGTTTTTTCTTAAACAGTGGTTCGTAAAAAAATCTACGAAAGTTCTGAAAAGTCCGGGTTAAAAACCTACGACCTACAGTATCTGCATAATAATCAATTTTTATAATTCTTTTTGAAAAAAAACTCTTTTTTCTCTATAGCTTATAATTTTTATATATGAATAACAATAGGAAATTAATTTCCAGGAAGTCTCTTTTTTTTCAAATCAAGTCTGTCACTTTCAGGCAAGACGAGATTTTTCAGAGCAGAATTTTTTTTCAATAACTGAAATTTTACAAAAACAAAAAATGAAATGAAATGCCTTAAATTGAAAATAAAAACAAGCTTATATAGACGCAAAAAAGTACACACACATTACATAATTCTTCCGATAATAAATAATAACACGTTAAATTTTTGATTAGGTTTTGTTTTTCTCAAAAAAAAACATGCACTATATTGGCACTGACTCTGTCTGGATAGGAAAAAATAAGAAAAATAGGAAAAGTGAGAAAAAGAATGTGAAAAGTGTATTTATATATGACTGATATTTTCCACCTGTTTTTCCTGGTACCACCCATTTTTATCTTGGGACTAATTAATTAACAATTTTAGGTTTTTGAAAACAACTAACCTTCTGCTCAAGTTATATTCACTCATGGGGTTGTTATCCTGCGATTTCGATCCTACAAAAACTGAAATTATCTACATTGATTCTATAATTAATCCCCCCCCCCTCCTTCCTGGAAATACTCCAAAAATTTTCACCTGTTTCTACCATTTTGAAATCCGCAAACTCGTCCTGATTTATTTCACCTGCAAAAACAAAAGGTCGAAATTAACATAACAACTGAAAATATTTGACATAAAAAATATGTGCGGGGGGAAGCCATGATAAAAGTTTTGATGTCTCTATAGTAACCCACACCAAATAACAATTAGTTTCCCAAGCCTTTGCGTTTTTTATATGCGAAATGGAAATGTGATTGAAATTACTGATTTCCATGGTGATTTTTTGATAATATTTTCTCTTTTTCGCAAAAAATACTGATGACGTTCGATGGTTTTTGAGGTTGATCTTGCAAACTAGTTATAGACTGAGAATTGGATGTGACACATTTTGCTGATTTCAAATTTCCTAGAATATCTTTGAGAAACCGTCGAATCAGTTCTTCTAAAATCTGAATTCGAAAAAAATGCGGTAAAGTTGCAACTAAAGTATAACTATGGAAGAAAATCAAACTTCTAACTCTAATCCCGAGGCAATTTCAGATCAGATTTAAACGTAGCTTTAGGAAAATAAGCGAAATTATTTTTAATGCAGTTCTCCGAAGTCAAAAATAATTTTTTTTTCGAATTGTTATGAGTGAAGAAATTGTAGTTCTTGAGAAAACACATTTAATTCCGATATCTTGATTCAATTTTTTGCGTATTTGCTTTCCCGATTTTCATTATCACTATATTTGGTTTGAAAAGCAACAGGATTGAATTTGTTATTCTGAGTAAAGGAGAACGAATAAAGAAAAGTTTCAAGGAAAAAACCAGAATATCACGTAACTGGTTTATGTTTATTTTCCAGAATTTTCGATAGAAGTTTTGAACGTTATTGCAAAATAAGACAACAAAATACAACAAATCTTCACCAAAACTCAACAACTAAACATATATACAAAATATATCAGCAATTTTCAGCATAATTATAGCCTTTGCCGTTCTCATAAAGAGCAAAAGTAATTTCCATTTTCCCATTTCCCAAAGAACACTTTAATTACAGCGTATGTAATTCAACACCAATTTCATTTTTCCATGTTCCAACATAGTCCCATCCTACCAAAAAATCAATAAAACTCACGATATTTCTTCATTTTTGCAGGCAATATAAAAGTTAATCCAAATCCTTGAGTATACCTAGAATTTTTCAGGAGAATGAATAGATAGGTAAAAAAAGTGAGAAAAGAAAAGGTAAATTGACAAGTTTGGATAAACAAGAAAAAAAAACGATTTTATTTGCTTTCGGCCAATTTTTTGCGGCATCTCAACAAACAAATTGTAAGGAAAAACAATATCCAAACATTTATTGAAGCAGAAAAAAATTGACAATTTGATTTCATATTGTTTTGTTGTTCACTCTGTTTTTATTGTAATTTCATTGTAAAATTCTGAAATTGATTTTCAAAATGTTGAATATTTTCTAGCAAAATCGTTTGTTTGACGTCATATCTGGTTGGTCGAGTTATCAATATACAAGAATGATAATAAAATAATTGTACATATTTTTGTTATTTTTTACTGTATAATGTGACCACCTTCATGATTTGTGTCTCTATTTTGATTTTTATTTTTATTTCAATAAATTTTGGACTCTTCAAAGGATCTACGTTAAACAAAACCTGGGAAAAATTGAGTAAAAAGAAGAAGCTTAGGTAAACAAAAAAAATAAGAGTAAAATATTCTGGGTAAGAAAAAGTGTAAGGTGGAGTGCTAGAGAATTGGTTGAAGTTGTGAAATACCTAATCATTTATATTGTGATCAATAAAAACAATTGAGAAATCGTTATTTCAAAACGATAGAAAATACACCTGAACCTCTTCATGAGAATCTAAATATGAGCCTTAAAGCTGAAATTGGTCTAAAATTATATTATTTATGAAATGTAGTTCAAAATGGATGCAGAAAATTACATATTCACCTGACAGGTCGAACTTAAACATAAATTTATACGAGTTCCGTGAATCAAAACTTATTTTAGAAACCTTTTTTTGAAAATTTTACCCAAAAATCAAAAAAAACAATCATTTAAAAGTTTTAATAATTTCGGAATCAGAATTGCATAATCTCAATCATTTTCGGTTCTCAAAAACAGCTCACAGTAGTTCATTCTTATTTCTCATTTCGTCGCCGATTTTTTGCACAATAAAACATTTCGTTATCTGAAATTTGATATCAGCTTCTTTTATTATTTCTCAATTAATTCTTAAACATGATTTATTTTCCCTTTCTATGTTCCTTTCATGCAAATTTTCTCAAGTTCAAATTAATAAAAAGTAATTATTCTCATTGATTCCAAATTAACTATGCTGATAAAGATGCATTTTATCAAAAAAAGAGGCAAAATTTATTTTCTTTTTTTCTTGTCTTGCTCACGTTCTGACCTTTTATTATTTTATTCATAATTATTTTTAGCGGTATGTTATTCGATATATATCCGATTCAAAATTACACTCTCGAGCAAATCGAATATGAGAAAAATCATCGACTTCTTCAACCAGTTTGGGATTTCATAAAGGTTCTTTGTTTTCCTTTGAACTGAAAATAAGGATTCTGATTAAATGTTTTGTTTAGAATGGTAATGAGCACATCTTAAGCTCCCCACTTTTCCCGCCATTCTATGCATTATCAATCGATTATACATTTGTGATTGTATTCACAATCATCGATTTGTTTCTCTATGATGTCCCATTTTTCAAAAACACCAAAATTCAAAAAGATCGAAAAGTCACTTGGAATTTGATGAAAAAATCGCTCTATCTTCAGATGTGGAATCAACTTTTATGGTAAACTTTTTGCTGGTTCGTGAAAAAAATCATAAAAATTCATTTAGGATTTACCCGATGGCTTTGGTTCAATTGGTGTGGGTGCCTCCAACAGAACTGCCGATTCTTGCTCCAACTGTTTTCGAACTCCTTTCTCAATTGGCTATATATTTCTTGGCTTTTGATTTCACATATTTCTGGTTTCACTATATTCATCATAAAGTTAAATTTCTTTATCGCTGGTGTCATTCTGTTCATCATATGTATTCTTCGCCATTTGCTGCATCTGCACAACATTTACATCCATTTGAGGTAAAAACTTAAAAAGTTTCATACTACTCAAAAATTGTTTCTTGAACTTATCAAATTTTTATTATTTCTTTTTCCAGCTTTTCTTCGTCGGAACATTCATCACGACAATTCCATGGATTTTCGAAACTCATTGTTTGACTTATTGGACTTGGTTTTTGGTAGCGCAAAGTGTTTCATATGAGGTTAGCTTACGATTTGATAAATTAATTTTCAGACAATTACAAACTATTTTTTCCAGGTTCACATTGGCTATGATTTTCCATTTGCTCTCCATCGTTTCTTCTGGTTTTATTCTGGTGCTCCAGCTCACGATATGCATCATTTACGTCCATTAACATGTTTTCAACCATGGTTCAATTATCTTGACAGATTGATGGGTATATATTTTTTTTCGACTGAAAAAAACAGATGTTGAGACTCAAATTTTATTCCAGGTTATCACATTACATACGAGGATTTGAAAAAGATGACAGAAGCAAAATTCAAAAAATTCGGTTTGTACTCGAAAGAAGATGAGGAAGGATTGTTGAAGATCAATTGATTCATAATCTGTTAATGTTTCTTGGGTTATGACAATAAATTTATTATCGTTTGAAAATATTTCATTTTATTTTCAATTTCACAAATTATGTTTTTTCATAAAGTTTATGGAATTTTTTTGAGAATTCACACAATCTCAGCGGTGAAACTATAATTTATCAAGTTCAATGAAACGTGAGAGAAAAAAATACTTCTGGTGGACCAGGAAAAAATTCTAAAAAAGTTTTGAATGGTAGTGAGTTAAAAATGGTGATTTCGACTTTATTCCATAATTTCTTGACACAATATTCTTTTGATTAATTTTATTATATTTCACCAGAACTTTTCCATAGAACCCCCTAGTTTTGAACTATTATCATTGATTGAGAGAAAGTGAAAGAAAAAGATAACATGTGTATATGAGAGTGCTAGACATTGAAACATATCAAACGTCCCTGTAAGACATTTATTTCTATCAGGTTGTGAAAACATCGTATCCGACGCAATTTTTCACTTGCTTCTCCAGAATGCTTCATTCGTATTTTTTTATGGATAATGAGATCCTTCATCGAAAAAATACTGCTCTAACACTAATACTGAAGTATTGTTCACAACTATGAAAATACTAAAAAATTCAACAAAAAGAAAGCAAAACAACTTCACAAATTGTGTGAATTTTATCTCTGAAAAACCAATATTTTCTGGAAAATTGAAACTGCACATATTTCTGTTTGATCTTCCCGAGTGTTTCTCTGGAATCTAGGATTTTGCTCAAATTCCAAGCTCACAAACAAAACGCACAATTAAATTCTGTTGACACGCTTCAATTAGCTTGACAGATTGATGGGTATTTTTTTACGAATCTCGTATTTTCAAAAAAGGTCCAATTTGAAAGCCGCTTGTTTTATTTATTTGATTCAAAAAAGAGAAGCAAGCGAGAGAGAAGAAAAATCCAATTTTTGCTCTATTCACCCATTCATTAATTCATTCATTCATTTATATAAAAGCATCACACCCTTCCAACACCAAAAACAACACCCATTTCAATAGTAGAATTGGGGAAGGGGGAGAGGAAAAGTAGTAAGAATACGAAAAACCGACACGCCTTCTGGGCGCTTTTTTCGAAATCGATTGGAAAGAGGGGGGAAGAAGAAAAGTGTATGCGTGAGAGTTGTCTCTCTTCTCTTTTTTGGCTTGCTCTGTGTGTGTTTATTTCCTATTCGCGTTCTACTCACTATTTCTAGTAAATTAGAAAAGCTCAATTGGTGTTGAAAACATTTTTTTTTCTTTTCTTTTTTTTTTTGTTCACTGGGTTGACTGGTTTCGCAACAAATGGATAATGTCTGCTTTCAACAAAGACTTCGAGGTAATTTTTGAACAGGGAGGAACTACAAAAATTTGCGTGTTCGTGTAAGTGACCCTAGAAAACGATAAAAATAGAACAAGCGTGTTCAAAGTTTCACGGTTTTTTGTGTGAAGAAAAAAATCGCCTTTTTTTTCGTGAAAAACCTCTGTTTCCTAAAATTTTTCAATAAATATATTTCAGACCTGGAAAATCGAATTCGAAAATGGAGATTTTTGAAACTGGGCCTGTCCGAAGCTCGACTTCGGCCAAGAGAAAAGAAGATCCACGTCAGCCGATCAAAGACACAAAGGTTCGCTTTTTTCTTCAAAAATCTAAATGCAATTCCAAATTCAATTTATCTTAAAAGTAATTGTCTCTGAAACTCAGTGAAAAAAGTATCTCACAGAAATTTCTGTCTCATATCCATTTCTCAAAACGCAGTTCAATTTAATACTTATTTAAAATTCTAAAAATAATATACATGGCCATTTATTTTCCACCGACTGCTGTGGTACCACCTAATTTTATGCATAAATTTTCGAATTTTCCTCTCAGTTGACGTCATTCGCCCAGATCTCCGCACACAAAAAATAAATTCTTCACGAAACAAAAAAAATTATGGTTCAGAGTGCTCTTCAACATCGGCGAGTCCTCAACATCACCGACCAAATAATATCGGCTATTTAACGAGTCCAATGGAACGACGTTGTATGTGCTTTTTTCTATGCATTTTTGATGTGTTTCAATTGGCTCTTTTTTTCAGTTACCCCATTATCGATGAGACCTTCGCCATCAAGAAGGGACACGGAAAAAGATGCACTTGAATTCGAGTACTTGGAAGTGTGCAAAAAATCCGGCGTGCTTAATATTAATGGTTTGTTTTATATTTTATTAGAAAGGGGGAATGAGGTGGAACATATCAAAATTGCAAAAGAAAATCTGCAGGTGAAAATGAGATTACGATAGGAGAAGGTTCATTGAAACAATTTCCAAAAAGTAATATCAGTTGATGTCTTAATGAAAAAAAGTTTGGGTACATGGCGAATTTCTAGATTTTTATCAAACACAAGATTTTTCTACATGTTTTATTTCAGAAAATCTCCTCTATTCTGGGTTCACACCTGGCGAGATAGTGTCCCAACATTTTTGTGCAGCGTGGAATTTTTTTCAGAAAAAAATTATGCAGCGTGAAATTTTGAATTTTTTGAAAATTATCATTAAAATCTAATGAAAATCAATGAAAACTACACTTTTTCGTGAACAAATGTACAGTTGGGCTTTTGAAAATTTTTGTACAGTGTCCCTTTTGGACACGTCTCGTCAGGTGTGTCTGGGTTGGAGTTTCTTAAAATCTTTAGGGTTTTTCATTTACATATGCTCACACTTTTTTAACATTATCATTTTTGTTGTTCAAAAAAATAACTAAATTTGCTATTTGAAAACCTTGATTTTTCCTCGAAAAATTACATGCTCCAAACCCATTCAATTCAAATTCTTATTCAAAAATGTGCAACTAAAAATTTTACGATTCCTGCTATTGAAATTTTGTGGAAGTAGTTATCTCACAAGGTGGTTTCAATAATATTCAAAACTCAATATTACTCACAATAAAAAATTTTGAAATCCAGTATAATAATCCAACAGATTAGATAGAAAAAAGTTAAGCCTAACAGATTAGGTAAATTCTACCGTAATCTTTTCAATTTTAAACGAAATCTTTCCAGGCTTCCGACAGGTAATCGATCCAGAAGAAATAAATATAATGGATGTTTTGGGAAGTGGATCTTGTGGTGTTGTGGAAAGTGCTACCATTCGATCAACCACAATGGCTGTCAAGGTAATTTTTTATTATTTAAAATTACGATACTAATTAAAATGTGTTTAGACAATGTACAAAAATAACAATAAAGACACATTGAAACGAATTCTTCGAGATGTTAGGATTATGGATTTATGTGATTCGCCTTTCATTGTTTCTAGTTACGGATATTTTTATGTTTGATGTAAGTTCTTGGTTTATTTAAATCGATTTCAAGAAAACATTTCAGTCATCGGTAAAAATATGTATGGAAATAATGACTACTTGCTGTGATAAACTACTCCGTCGATTATACCACTCAAAACTTGATTTCTTCCCGGAATTTGTTGCTGGAAGAATTGTGCATTCAGCAATCAGCGCGCTGGAATATTTGAAAGAAGAACATGTGAGTTTTCCGAAAAAATATTCTTTTCATGAAATTAAATTTTATAGTCAATAATTCATCGAGATGTGAAGCCATCCAACATTTTGTTCGACGAAAATGGAAACGTGAAATTGTGTGATTTTGGGATTAGTGGATTTTTGATCAATTCGATGGCACATTCGAATAATGCGGGATGCCCACCATATATGGCACCAGAGAGATTGACAATTGAGGTTAGGGATCTGAAACTATGAATATAAAATTTGAATGCTTTGAAATATATTTTTTGTTCCAGACAAATTCGACATATGATATCAGAAGTGACGTATGGTCCCTAGGCATCACAATATTTCAATTGGTCACCGGGAAATACCCATTCCCCCTGAATGATATGGAGTTTTACACCTTGACAACGATTGCAGATCTCAATCTACCTTCACCATCGCTCAGTGATAATGTGAGTCTTGAAAAATATATTTGTGATAATTCACGAAAATTTTCATCATCACTAGGAAATTTGATAGACAATTTACCTTTACTGAAAGTCTCAAAAATGTGTTTATTTTTTTCATTTTTGCGAAAAGGAGAAACAGTATTTGATAAATACTTTTTGGGTTAACAAAAGTTATAAAAACAATTTTCAGCCCTCCAACTCATACACCCACGAATTCATAAACTTTATCGATCTTTGTCTGATGAAAAATGTTAAAGATCGACCAAATTATGACATCCTCATGCAACATGATTTCTTCCTAGATTATGATCCGCAAATGAGTCAGCGATATAAAATCAGAAAGGTTTGTGGAAAATCACATGTTCAAAAATTTACATTTGTATCAATAATTATATGTAAACATTTATTTTCTTATCAGTTGACCACTTTGATCGAAAAAAAAAATTTTTTTGATTTTTTTCTGGTTTAGAACCGAACTTTTTGAGTTATAGAGTTCGAAGTTCAAAATTCATTGTCAGAATTTATTGATTGGGGAATGAAAGTTTTCCGCGGTAATTAAACTTTAAAAAGGTTCAGGAATCAGAATTTCAAAATTAAAAAAAATGGTACCATATCCTCCAGAATCATATTATCCAACATTGTCTTATTGCAGAAATTCTCTGAAAAAATTTTGAATCTCGAAAAATCTAAATTTTTGCAGATCAATGACACCACTGATGAAATAGAAGAATGGTTCAGTAACGCCATATTAAACTCCAAAAAAGACGATGAAAATTGTCCAATTCCTAATACACCGTGCGTTAATTAACCAAAAAACAGAGCAAACTAGAAAATAAAAAGAAACTGTGAGCGACTACACATCAAACAAAAACAATTGATAATAATTTGTATTTTTGATATTGATTATTGTTTGCCTGAATACTTTTTTGTGTCCTCCCTCTATCAGTTTTATACGGGTCGACTATTCTTTATTTGTCACTACCACCGGTTTTTGTCAACGTTTTTTTACATAACAAATTGCACAATCTTTTTTTCACTTTGTTTATTTACTTATTTATCACTATAAACTTTTATTTCGAAATTTCTTGAATTTTTTCGCATTTTTTCATTGCAAAAAATGCCACCAAAACCGCTGAAATTGTTGCGAATGCGGCAAAATGAAGATTATGAAGAATATGTTAAAAATTTATTGGATGGAAAAGGAACATTGAATTTATCAGGTAACATATCCGTCGATTAATTACAAATTTTGAGAAATAATGTATATTTTTAAGGGATAAGAGTTGAGATAACTATGGATATGATACGACGAGAATCTCAAACATTAGGTAGCGGTGGATTTGGAAACGTATATGAAACTAATTATGAAGGTATTGTTTTTGCTAGAAAAGTGAGTTTTAAATTTGGTTTTTTTATTGTTATCATTATGTTAGTTCAAAATATTGTTATCACGACTGTTGTTGTATGAAGATTTCGGATGATTTTTGATTGACACTTGTTTGAAAATTTAAATTTGTTTATCAGTTACTGAAAAAAATTTCTTTCAAATTAACAACCAATGTTCTTGTCCCTTTTTCAATGCATTCTTATCGGAAAGTAGTGAAAATGTTTACGAATGTGTTTTATTTTTCAAAAAAAAAATACATATCATTTTTACAATATGATCTTCACATTTTCATCATTTTTCTTCCAGGAAATTAAAATTCCAAGCCAAGTAAGCAAAGAAGAAATGCATCGATATTTACGTGAACTCGATGTCACACGTCAATGCAAAGCTTGTCCATTTGTTGTCAAATTTTATGGATATTATATTTATCGTGTAGTTTGTGAATATAACTTTTATATTTTCATGGAAAAAGTGCCATTCAGCGCCGCTTTTATGATCGAAAAAATGTTGAAAATTGGAAAAGAGATACCTGAATTTGTTCTAGGCCGGATAGCATGTTCAGTTGTACACGCGTTGCGTTTTCTCAAAGATGCATTGGTAAATATTTTTTTTTGAAAATCAAAGCTTCTATTTTCATGAACCCCTCAAATGTTTCAAAAGTAAAAAAAAACAGAATAAAAGCTGAAATGCACTTTCAGCAAATAATTCATCGCGACGTTAAGCCTCCTAATATACTTATGGATTATGATGGACGCGTTAAACTGTGTGATCTTGGAATTTGTGCAAAATTAGAAAACTCTACTGCATTTTCAAGAGCTGGAAGTTATCCATATATGGCACCAGAGAGATTCAAGGAAGGTTATGATGATAGAAGTGATGTATGGTCCCTTGGTGTTTCTTTAGTTGAGTTAGCTGAATTGAAGTTAGTTGAAATCTGGGATTTGCATTTTGAAAAACATAATTTTTATAGAAATCCTTACACCACAAATGGTAATCAACTTCAACATTTGATAGAAGCTATAGGATCGCATCCATCACCAACTTTGAATCCAGTAAGTGACATTTTTTTGAAAATTTTTGAAAATTGAAGAAATTTTTTTTTAGAAAATATTTTCTGACTGCTTGGTGATGTTCATATCACAACTACTTCAGCATGATGTGAAGAATCGACCAAAATATGCGCAAATTGAGGTAGGTGAGAAATATTGAGACCTAAATGTCGAAAATCGATAGAATACTTTTCTATCCACCGTCCACCAGATTACAAAAAAAAAATAGTAATTCCAGCAACTCGAATTTTTCGTGCTTCACGACTTGCCTTTTACTTATATTGGAACAGGCAAATCCCCCAAGAAAGACCAAGAAAGACAATCAGTTGGAAAATGGATTGACGAGAATTTATTATCCGGTTCAAACTAAATTGAAATGCACAAATCAACAAACAAAACAAATATGGTGAATAATATATAACATACATACATTTCTCGTGATCTACGTGTACTCATTTTATTCTCATTTTTAGCTATTTATTTATTTTTAGAATTTAATTTTCTCTCGCCTTTTTCCTGAACCCAAATACCACACGACGAAAAAATGCATCTGTTTATTTATGTTTTTTAATCAATTTTTGGCGGTTGTTCAAAAAATTAATCTATTGTCTTGTCTTGTTAAATATTCCACGAAATTTTGCAAAAAATAGATGAAATTCAATTTTTTGAGTTTTTTAGATGATTAAAAGTCTGCGATGACGTGTTACCTATTTTGAACTAATGCTCTTTGTGATATTTCATTAATCTGTGAAACGTCATAAAATTTTTCTATGATAATCTGCACTAACGTTATTCTAACATAAGGGTAATTTAAAGTTAGTGCAAATCAATTATGATCGTTATTTTTTTATTTTATGCTGAAAATATGTACTTTGTTATTTTGTTGAAATTCGAAACCATCCATCTCCATTATTAACTTTTTTCTCGTCATTCGTTCATTTTTTCTGTACTTTTTTTATAACAAATGACTAAATCCCTTGGGACTCAATTTAGGTCTAGAATGAATGCTTTTAGAAGACAGAAATTAAAGTCAATTAATTTTTTTGTTGGAATTTTTTCGAAGCTTGAAATTTTTTTCTGATATTCCGGCAGTTCTCTTTGCTAAAAGTGAGAATCAATGTTTCACAAAAATCGCAGAATTCATTGTTGCCAAATTTATTTTTCTCACAACCTTCTAGTTAATCAAAAAAAAAATCCAGTTCTGTGATAAATTTTCTGATATTTGGTTTTATAAACAAAAAATGTTATTTCTGGAGTGTTTCCAACATGGCTTCAATTAGAAAGTGAGGCTGTTTTCATGATTCCTCCCACCTATCCTATCCTCAAAAAATGTTATCAACTTCTAAAATTATATCAAAAAATTGAAAAGCTCTAGTTAGAGAAAAAGAGGAAAAGTAGGGATGGAAACGAACGAAAAAATATGTATATTTTTGTTAAATAATAAGATTATTTATTGGCTGAAAAATAATAATACAAATAATAATAATGAATCTCTGATTTCTCACTTTCTCAAATTATCTATAAGGTCACTATGGTAACGCCGGTTGGTCATTCATTCATTCATTCATAGTCAGTCATTTGATCATTTATCCACTATTTTTCTTAAGAAAGTTAGAGAAGAAGAAACTGTGATCATGAATTATCTCGATTTTTGATTCTTCATGTTTTTCATTTGTGCATCATCTGTTTTTTTTTTCGGTTTCTATGTATTTCTTCTCCTCATTTTCACCAATTTTATAATCATAGATAGATAGATTTTCATAGTTTCCCACGATTTATATGGGAAAATCTCTTTGCAACTTTTTTGTTGATTTCCCAATTTTTGATTGTTTTTTCTAGGGTGATTCTCTTGAGAAAATCAGATTTTGATTCGAGTCAAGAACTTTTTCTGAACGGAAAAATTTGTTGGAAATTTTTCAGGCGTTTCTAGTTGAAAACAACGTGCAACTTCTGACTTTTTTTTCTAGTTTTAGAGATTGAAAAAAAAACTTATTGATTTATGGTTAAAGGAGTTTCATGTTGAAAAAATCTCATTATAAATTTAGCAAAGCCTTTGTAAACATATTTTCCAAACGGAACAAGATGAAAATAATAGTTTTGCAATTAATCTGTGAAATCTCCAAATCAAAATTTGATTTGATCAGTACCAAACCAACTTTTTGAAAAAATCGTAAAAAGTTCTACCCTGTTCTTAATTCAGACTCTCAAACGTCTAATTAAATTGTTCAAACTTGTTTTCTTATGCTCTCCAATTTGTCAAGCAACACAGAATTATGAAAGTGCTGGGTTACTTGAAAAAAAATCCTTGATAATTTGAATTTTTAGTAAGATTTTCAAATTTTTAGAAATTCACAAAAAACTCAAACATTTTTTAAATCATCGAAATTTTCCAACACAAAAAATGATCTTTGAAACAAAATCCTATCTGTCTCTCTTTAAAGTTCAACCCTTGCAATCCTTCAATATTTTCCCGTTCCCATGTCCATCAAACTATGATATATTTTTTTCCAAAACAAAACTCTCTAAATCAATTCCTCATCTACTTAATCGAATAAAAATTAGATTTGTGTTAGTAGATGCGAGAAAAAAATCTGGAAAGATAAGCTGTTCATTTTTTCTCGTTTTCAGATAAATTTTCCTGTTCTGTTCAAAAGTCAAATGATGAGAGTTGAGAAATGAAAAAAAACGTCATGCACTGCGAAAATAATAATAATAATAATGTGGATAATGAATTTCAGACACGAAATTTTATTTTCTGTGTGTGCGTCTAGACTTGAGTTAAGTAATTTTTCTATCTGAAATTTTTTTCACTTAAAAAAATCTGCAAAAACATATGATTTTTAATCTTTTTAGTAGCCAGGTAAAAATTATCTATCTTTTCAACATTTTTATTTGAAATGAAATAGGATAAAAAGATTTGATTAATCTCTGCCATTTTTCCATGTGTATTATTTTCAATTTTTTTTCTGCTCCCATTTTTCTTCCATTTTTTTTCTATTCCAGTTGTTAATATATATTTGCATAATGACGCGCGCGAAATTGCAATATTTTTTAATTTTCAAATGCACCACAAAAAATTATTGGAACTCGACCAAAATGCACTCCATCAAAGATTCATCATTTTTTTGGCGCCGAAACCTTTTGTGTTTTTTGTTTTATATAGGTTTTTCTATGAGTAGGAAGGAGTAAAAAGAAAAATAAATAACTTTTAGTGGTCTAAATTTTTTGAAGATTCTGAAAAATCTGAAAAATACGAACATACATCTTTTTCATAAGCTGTAATTTCTAAATCCCTGTGTTTTGTTGTCTTTTTTCTCATTTCTTTCTTCCTTTGTCCCTAGATTTTTGGCACATTTTTCTCTAATTTTGCTCTTTGAGCAAGTATTTTTTTTGAATGGCAACAAATAAAAATTGGCACCTCTTTTGAAACTCGAAACTCAACGTTTTTTTTTTTGGATTACGTTTTTTTTTAAACATTCATAGTCCACCTATTCAATATGAAACACATTTTTTATTTACTAAAAAAAACTAAAAATCCAAACCTCAAATCTCAATCAATTTCAATATGAATCATTAGATCAAACAAGAGTTAATCAAATTTTGAATCACATTATATTTTTTATTAATATGTTGCCAAATGTTCAATTACCAGGTACTTGGAAAAGCGGAACACCAAAGATTACGTCATTTTTTTGAAAATTTATTTTTGCCACTTTTCTCGGAATATCAGGATAATCAAAATGAATACGAAATGGGGTGGAACCTATATTATTTTTAAAACTTTTTTTTTGAGAATTTATTGTTAAAAAACCTTGTTTTCTGACTTATTTCTGATTAGGAAATAGTTTCGAAACATACATTCAAATTTTCAACTATTCTGTCAATATTTTTTCGACCCAATCAGAATTCTCAAACTTAAAAAAAGCTTCACCTAAAAAAAATTTGTTATTTCTTAGTTATCGTGCTTATAGAAAATAATATTCTTCAGGTACAACTGTCCTTTTTTTCATCTTTACATAAAATCAGAGTCTTCACATTATCTTGACATCATTTTTTCTATATTTGGATTATTTTTTTGATATTTCGACAAAAAATTTTGACGTAATTTCATGAGAACTGAAAATCATTTTAAAAAGTTGAAACAAATATTGTATAGTGCATATAAACTTGAAATATCTTGTTTTGAGTTCAAAAATATTAACGTCGTCATTAAAGTTTTTATTTATTTGTGCTTCAAATGTTTTTCTGAATAATGAATGAATATTCAAAATATTCTGAAGTTAGAAGGAAATTACTTTTTTTTACAAATTCTTTGTACATTTGTTCACCTCATTATCCTTCTAAATTCCCCTATTTCCTTACAAATCAATCTTTCTAATTTTCCATTTCCAGAAGCACAGCGAAAAAAAGGCGAAACAAATAATTCACGAAATAAAAAAAAAGACAAAAGCTGAAAGGACACGTCGTTTCAACCTTATCAACTATGCAAATGGAGGTAATCGTAATTTGATCACTTTTTCCTCTAGTTTAGTTCTTTTTTTGTTCTATTTTTCTTATTATATATCTCACTTTTTTCCTGAATAAGTAAGGAAAAGGAAAGAATGAATGACCTCAAGTGTTTTTTAATTAATTAATTAATCGTAAAAAATATCAATTTTCATTCATTGCTAAAGTGAGCAGAGCTCAAGGGCATTTCGAGAAATTTATGTGAGAATATGATGTGTCATTATATTTTTTTTCATTGATCTATTTTGTTCAGAAGATTTTGCTTTTTAGCTCCCACAAATCCTTGTTTTTGCACACACATACGCAAAAAAGATTTTTTATGGAACGGAGGTGTATATTTCCAAAAATACACACCTTAAATAAGTTACCTTCCTCCCTCGCGTTGAGTTTTTAATCATTTTTTTGCTATGAAACGCAAAAAATCTCATGAGTTATTTATGTGCACTTTTAGCGATCAAATACAAATTTATATATTTTTTATTTCTGAAAATACAATGTGATTTCTGTCTGTAGATTTTTTGATTTTTGAGTGCTTTTTTTTGTTTTCGGTTAACATCTGGTTAGAGTTAGGCTAACTGACAATTTTTTTGATTTTATTTGAAATTTTGAAAATGAGCATTGTGAGTCGTTCAAATAACGAAAATATGAGTTTTTACATTTATTTTAGTGGTTAATGTTTTTTTTGTTTGAGGTTCTTTTCGTTAAAAAAACAGAGATCTCTTTGAGGTCTCAGAAGAGGAATTTTCAATTTTCCAACAAGAATTGGTTTTTTTTTAATTTCACATTTTTTGCCGTGAAATATTATAACCTGTTTCAATTTTTTTCTCAAAAACATTTCATCGTTCCAAAAAAAACTTTCAACTTTCTTTGCAAAAAAATTTATCTGAATTTTCAATCAACCTGCACGTGATTTCATCAGACAGCACCAACCTCATGTTTTTCCTTAGGAGCCTGAAAAAATCTCTAGTCAACTTCATTCTATCAAAAAAACAAAAAATTATTTTCAGCCTGACATTTCATTATCCGATATTCTGACAACGAGTACGGATGTTGAAATGGATGCCCGTCCAAATAGTCGATTACAATGTCCGCCGACTGAAATGAGCTATTGTACTGTTCAACCATATTTTTCATTACAAACACCAACTTTTCAACCAAATAATATTCAAAGAAATCATCGACCGAGTTTGGGAAGTGAGTGGAATATACCTAGACGTAGGTTTTTCTTACAGTCATTTTTTCATCTTAAAATTAATTGTTCAGAAAAATTAGGGAAATATTTTCATGAAAAAATATTTTGTAGATCTTCAAAATGATAATTTGAACACCCGGAGGTTTCTAAGCGATAAACGGCGAAGTTATCGGAATCGGAGTCTGGTATGTGTTTCACATATATTTTCCAATTGCTCTAATGTTTTTAGGGTCCTACAATCGCCTCGGCTCCGTCTGTGGAGCAAGAAGATTACCGTACTCCTCGACCATCTTTCGATAATGGTGGATTTGCTGGAAAGAGTTTTGATTTTAGTAGCGGTCAGATCGGGTTGACAGCGAGTGAATCTAATGCTCTTGTGAAGGTAAGTTTTCTCCCAATCATTTTCGAAATTCAAAAAAACCTAGTCCCCCATAGCTTAGCTAGTTTTCAACTTGTTATCGAGAAAGAAAGATTAGTATTTTTTGAAGTACCGTAGTCAAAAATTTTGTGGTTATTTAGACTACATTTTCGCGAAATTTTTAAGAAGGATTACAATAATCACGAGTTGAACTTTAAGTAGTTTGAGAAATTTGATATCTCAAAAACAGATGTTTGAGAAAATTAGTACGAATATGTTTTTTTGGAGATCGAAATGTGAAGACAAGAAATTAAATTTTGAGTTTGAAAAAATATAACAAAATATTGGACTGTTGACTTTTGAGAAAGTAAAGAATCCATCAAACGTCGAAATTCTGGAAATCTAAATTTATGACTGGAGTTTTAGAAAATCATTCCGATATCCACATATCTGACAAAGTTCACATTTTTTTCCCATTCCTCACAAAATTTCCATTGTTCCAAATGTTGACATCATTGACTTTTCCTATCGCACGTCAATTCAACGTCATTATATTTTTCAAAATTTTTTTCCAGGTATCCGCCGATTTCCTTCGATTAAACGGAAGTCGGCAGCAGTTCCGAAATCTCCTATCAGCCCGCAAGAAACTAGGCTCACTTCCTCCAGCCTACACACGTATCGACTATAGTAGGGAGTCGTTAGATTCAGGTGAGTATACGAAAATGCTGAAAATGAATAACAAAAAATGGGAGGGAAGGGGGGATTACAAAAGTCTTTAAACTACAAAAAAGTTTTCGGGGAGAAAAATTTTCAGTAAAGTTATATTGAAAACGAAATTCGCTCTCATTTTCAAAAGATATTCTTATGTCTAAAATATCGAAAATGTTCCCGGCTTATTCGAATCTCAGTCGGAATATTCAAGGTTAGTTCAAATAGCAAATATCTTTCACCTAACTAATATGAACAATATTGAAACCCAAAGATTATTTCCAACCCCAATAAAAAACTTTGGTTGGAATTCTAGACCATTTTGATTTTTGGTTTTGTGAAAACTGTTTGAACTGTAAGCGGTCACACACATTGATACGGGTGTGTATGATGTCAGTCTCCTTAAAAAACAAGCCACAAAATAATGGGGGAGGGCAACGATGAAACACTACAGGAATCTTTCTGATTGATAATCTGAGCTCTTGGATGATTATTATTTAGAAAAAACTTCTGCTAACCTCAGTCACCAGAAAAATTAAATTTGATGTAGTTATCCGAAAATTTTTTCAAGAAGTTGTTGAATCCGGAAATCGTGGTTCAATTATGAAAGAAAAATCTAAAATCCTTTCATTTTTTCATAACATTCCTCTGAACTTTACTATTTGTTCAATGTCACTCTGAAAAAAAACGATAATTAAAACTTTATTATATCATTTCATTTTCATTGACGTCAGACTGTGTAAAAAATTTTGAAAATGTGAAATTGTACGTTTATGAGTACAGTAATCCTTAATCCAGCAGTGGGCGTTTGGATTACTGTAGCCGCTGAACTAAATTGTATGATATTCATTTCATTGAACGTTCTTTGCACAGCCGTTGAGGAAATATTGGATGGTAAAAACCAAAAAAAAACAAAAATTAAACAAAGTAATTAGAAATTAAGATAGATTTTACCCAAGGCTCTTTGAAATTCCTGAACATTTTCATGAAAAAAACTCTGGATAAGTAAAACTCAAAAATATTCCATTTCAGCTCGGGGAACTCCTCATCACGGTCCTGTCATCACTGTGGAAGATACCGGAAGTCAATTGCGCATCAACAACATCAAAACAGGTGTCAATGAAAGATTGCTTGAAACTTCGTGTTCATTTGAAAAAAGTAAGTACCAATTTCTGCTAAAAACAACCGGTTTCTTGTTCACTCTCTCAATTCTGTGTTACTGATACAAAAATCATATCATTTTCAAAATATTCTTTCTTGAAACTATGCCAATGTCTAAGAAGGAAACATTTTGGGAGCGTAGAAAAATCTCACAATCAGGTGCTGAAAATAAATGAGGTAAATTTGAGAAAATCAGCGCATTCTTTTCAGCAATGGTTACACAATGTGAAAGTAATGGTTCGGTGACATCGCATAATACAAGTTCTGCTTTCAAAAGGAATAATAGCAGGTAAATTTTTTTGTTATCTGATTGAATAATTAGTCATTGTTTTTTTTTTCATTTTTTGTTGTTGTTTTGTTTTGATCTACATTATTTTGGATGCTAAAAATTGATATTAAAGAACTAATTCTAAAATTTATTGATATTTTATTCAAGTTAGGATACCCCTTCACTCTATTTTTTAAAATCTAATTTTGCAGGTATGGAGTTCCAATTGACAGCACAGCTGTCAAACAAGTTTATCGGGTACGATCGGAACGACTTGCAAACCGAGTTCGAATTACGGATAGATCTCTCATTCTTGCGGTGTTCGGCATGATTCTGATGTTGATCGAATCAGAACTCACCGCCGAAAGCTCATACGGTATTTCAAAAACGCACTGGTTGTCATATTCTCTTCGAGCAATTGTGTTGAGCTCAACATTTGCTCTTTTGTATCATATCGTTCAATATCATCATAATGATATTGCTTTGGAGTTGGTTGATTGTGGGGCGGATGATTGGCGCGTTGTAGTGACGACAGAACGAATTGTTCAGTTTATCACCGAGTTTGTGTGTTGTGCAATTTGCCCGTTCCCAGGTTTGTATACTGTAGTTTTTTCAGGGATTAGTATATCTGTATATGGCAAGAAAAAAGTTGTTTTTGTCGAAAAAAATGAAAATTGTATAAAAACTACAATTTCGATGAATTTTCAGAAAGATGATATAATACGTATAATAATTTGGGATTTTAATGTAAAAAAAAATAAAAATGAAAAGTACACATTTTATTGAATGAACAGACAATAGTAATAAGAAAAATCTAATAAAAACACAATGAAAATTGTCTGAAAATACTTTTTGCAGAATTTTTTTGGGATTTTCAAAAAACACGAGCGTGTTTTTCTCTAAAAAATAATTAAATATTCAGGAACTGGTCACATGAAATGGTCATTTATCGAAATGACCCTTCACTCGAATGGTAATACTGAAAGTCGTTCTGCTCACTCGCGTGATGTATCTGTTCCAGTCGACATCTTGTTATCGTGCTTCATGCTTCTTCGATCATATTTATTTGCCAGATTTATGGTCTTGCACAGCAAACAATTTCAGGTAGATACAATCGTTTCTTCTTATTTTCAATGAAATAAGTGATTTTAGGATGCATCAACAAGAACATTGGCCGCATTGAACAGAATTCAAGTCAACTTCTCATTTGTCATCAAAACTTCTTTGGATCAACAACCAGTATTGTTTTTGACATCATTCACTTTCATTTTCTGGATTATTATGTCTTGGATGTTTGTTCAATGTGAAAGATATGGATTCACTAGCACCAACCACAAGGAATCACAAACTATCATTTATTCAAACTCACTTTGGTTTATCGCAATCACATTTATGCTCAATGGTTATGGTGATATTGTTCCACAAACCAATGCCGGAAGAATCATCGCAATTTTTGTTGGGGTTGTTGGAGCAATCATCTCATCAATCTTGATTGCTGTCATCTCCCGTAATATTCTTCTTTCACAAGGACAACGAAATGTTAACAACTTCATGTATGATAGCAAGCTTTCACGCGAACACAAGGATGCTGCTGCTCGAGTTCTTCAACATACTTGGCATATTCATAAATGTTTGCAAGGTGCAGAGGGTGGAAATCGGAGATTGCGAACTTATCAAAGGAAATTTTTGAGAGCAATTCATAGGTTCGTTGGGGGATCAAAAAAATATGATTTATCAAAACTCGCTAAAGAAAAACACATCGAGTTTCGCACATGTTTTTTGAAAAACAAACCAATGTTTTTTCTAACTTCAGATTCCGATCAGTCAAAAGTGAGATGCGTGAATTCAACGAGAACAACAACACTAGCACTCACCAAGTAACTCGCCTTGTCACCGATATGCACACCTCAATGCAAAAACTTTTGACTGTCCAAGATGAAATGAGAATGCAAATTGAAGTCCTTCAACAAACTGTTAGAAATCACTACCGTACGCCAACAATTCCACAATTGCAAGGTAATATTTTCTCATATCTAAACGATAATTCTTAAAATGGAGTGGTTCCAGGTTTGACATCATCTCCAGCTCTATCTGATTTGCATGACAGTCGAATTAATTTGTAAAGAAATTTTTCTGAAAACAACAATTGTTCGCCATCCCAAAAAAAAATACGATGAATACAAAATGCTTCCCCTTCCTTCCCCTTTTTGAAAAACTTTTACAAAAAATTTCCTTTACACACATTTCATACAAAAATACATTAGCAATGAATATACATACATATTAATAATATAAATTATTTTTCGTCTTTTTTTCTGATCAATAAATAAATCAATTTTGAAAATATTGATTCCATAATTTTGTCAAAGTTGATTTCCACTGTTTAAATTGTGGATTCTGATTCACATCGTTTTGTGGATTTTTGATAACTTCATTGAGACGTTTCGCAACTTTTTCAACGATTGGATGATATTCTTGAGGAATTTTGATTTCTGTTGGGATTTTAATGTTTTCTGGATTGAATTGAAATTCTGTTGCTGATTTTTTGGCTTTGGCAATCAATGGAGGAAGGTTTTCTTGGACATTTTTCAAATCAAACACATCATCAAGATCAATTGAAGTTGGAGTCTCTAAAAATATTTGCAGTTTTGAATTTTTAGTAAGATGAAAACACTGCAGAGATTACCTGCTTCTAGATCCACTGTGAAGAAATTTGCTGTAGTATCTTCAACTTCCTGGGTTGCTACAGTAGTCGAGGGTACTGTAATTGTTTCAGGGCCTGGTGTTGGTGGAAAAATGATTGGTAATTGGAATGCATTCCCAGTCGAAAATGGTTTCTTTGATCCAGACAGGAGGTTAGCAAGGTTTTCTTCGTTTTCAAATTGGGTGAAACAATCGGAATTCTTTCGCATAACCTCGGTAACTCTTAAAAAAAATATTTAATTAGTTTGAGCTCTAAAAAAATTTTTTAAAGACAAACCTGAACATTTTTCCGTGCCCAGGAACGACATAATTAGCATAACATAAGATCTTATTCCGATTAATTTTCCCGATGATTGGATTCCAAGCTTCTTGGAACCAAACCCCATTTGGTTCATTGGCGTCTTGTTCGTGATAGAATAAGTCACCAACAACTGCGATAACACCGTGGCAAGAAACATTGTGAACAATGATTGAGACGTCTTGAGCGGTATGACCGGGAGTGTTCCAAAGTTGAACATTTTTCGTAAGTTGCATTATGTCTTTCTGAAAGAATGTGGGGAGATTGTGAAATTATTTTGCTATTTTTCTTTTTATTTTCAAATTTTGATCTCCCCTGTATCTATCTTTCTCTAATTATTTGACCAGAAATCACATTATCGGAAACACATTATGCATACTTATCGAATTGGTCGGGTTCTTTTAAAATTTATGCAAATAAAAAAGTTCAAAAGGTCAGAAAAGTCTAGTTACACAAACTACATATTATTGTTCATTATGTCAATTTTTTTTTTGAGAAAATATTTAAAACTTGAACTCGAAATAGAAATTTGATAGGTTTCTTTTCTAAATATAGAAAATAGCCCTAATTCACACATTTTTTGTACTTTGCACTTTCGCAAACAAAAATCACAAAAACAAACACCAAAAAACTCCCACTTACTGTATGCAATTCGGTCGAGATGAAATTAGTATCCGAATATTCATAACTTCCAAAGAAATGTCTTGCATTTGGGAAAAAGTTACCCTGTCCAAAATGATCCGGATGTCCATGAGTGGTTACAACATATTGAACTTCTCCTGGTGAAATTTTATTTGCTCCAATTCCCTGAAGCATTATTTCTTTTGACGCAACATCGGTAGCAGAAGGAGAATCAACAACGATATAATGTCCAGCATCATAAACCAAGCTTACGGAAGATGTCAAGTTCATGCCCTGCAAATATTTTTTAACTGGATTGGATTTTGATAAAATACCTGATTGATTCTCTCAATATTGCCTTGAACCAATTGTTGAACATAAGTCGGATTTTGTCTTTGTATTGGCTCGATGAAAAACTGAAATAATTACTGATTTTTGTCAAAAAAATTTTTTTGTAAATCAAACCTGTAGAGCCTTGCATTGAATCGAATTTATCGTAATAAAAAATATTAGTAGTTGAGTTATCATATTATTGAAAAATGTTATATTAGATATAAATAAAATGATTCGTCCGTTGAAGAAAAAAAGTTAATGTGGCTGAGCAAAAAACTGTTAGGCGGAGCAGCGTACAATTGTTTTATTATTTTGCGTTTTTCCTGCTTGTCCAGTTAGAAGAACATTCGTTAAACAATTACGTCCTAATTCTTCTTTTCCGTTTTGTTTATACAAAAAATCACAATATTCTTTGTTTTCTTTTTTATTACAAATCATAAATAATGAACGAGTGAATAATGATAATAAAACACAGATTAAATGAATGAATTACGAGGTTTTCTTATGATCTTCGCGGAAACAACAAATCGACACCACAATCATAACAATTGATAGAAGAATAAGACCGGAACCTAGGCCAACTGCTATCCAACAAATTGTATCCACTGTATTTATTGGTCCGAATAATTGAGTATTCAATTGGTCTTCGGTGTTTTGATCCATGTAGAATGATTCGTTACACCAAGCAAGTGGATATGCTCCGGGTCGCATTACGGAAAATGATTTGATTCTTTTGTATTGGTTGACGAGCATGTTGATTTGTAACTTTTTCTGGGCTTGGAGAACAGTTCCAGAGTTCTGAAATGGTAAATTTTCACGAGTTATAAAAGTGAAGAGAGGGATGCGTTAAATAAAAACTTCAAAAATACGATTTGACTTGTTCAGATCCTCAAAATTATTGAATCATTTTTTTTTTGAAATATCATCAAAATTATTCACTTACCGGTTCAATATCAATAGTAGTCTGATCAGTATCATAATCTGGTTTGAATCTCGGCACAAACTTCTTCACAATTTTATCAGCTTGATAAAAATGTGGTTTCGACATAACAATCGGAGCACCAGTACATCCACTAATATCCAATAATCCACTTGGCAAACAAGCACTTTCAGCTGGATATTCGTAAGCACCATACTTCAATGGGATGCAGAATCTTTAAAAAAATTCTGAAGTTTATTAAATTTAAGTTTCACACTTACCCGCAATTTTCATCAAGGGTATAGTCAAACTGAGATGGTGGCAAAACATATCGATAAGCTTTGATACCTTTCACTGTGACATCTCCATCGTATGATAAAATTGCCGATCGACAAATATCGGAAATATAAACTGGCAAGTTTTCACTAGGTTTGATGAAGTTTTTGAAGAAATCAGCGTCTAAAAATATATTTAAAGTTGATTTAATTTTTTCAACAAAAAAAAACTTACTAGTTCCTGTGAGTTTGAGGGCACTTTTTGAATCTTTACAGTACGTCGAATTTGAATATGGCCACCAAGATGGTGGTAAAGTGTCACCAATTGATCCTAATGTTTGATTCGTCATTGAGGAAAATTGGGTGATATATCCGGCTTGAAGAGGATCGGTTTTACCAGTTAAGACAGTGTACAACACATCGCTAGTTCCATTGAGGGGCTGAAAAATTTCTTTTTTTTTGTAATTATGTAATTTTTTTCAATTTTCCAGAGAATAAAGAATGTTAAGACTCGATTTGCCCCTTATTCTGGTGATTTTTTTGGAGAATAATTTTGACAGTTTTGATTTTAAAAAAACTCACATTTAATTGAATTGGAGGGTTTGCAAGAGGTTTCAGTGGCAAAACTGGTAGAAGGAATTTGAGAATTGCTATAGCTTCATTCACAAAATCATCAATAATTGGTGTTTTGTATCCAGAAAACAACAATTGATCAACAGTCTGAAAACACCTTCTTTTGGAGAAAAAAAATTTCATCATGAAAATTGCAGATTCACATCAACCTTCTCACATTTAACTCACCACAGTGGTAAATGGTGAAACACCAAACAATGTCATCATAGTTCCAAGTTCTCCTTCAATCAATGCGGCAATATTTTGACAAGCTTTCACTGGATCTGCCACGTTTCGCCCCTGAATTTTCCATGTTTTTATTTTATATTATTTTACAACCTTATCAATTTTCTCTGATAAAAAGACACCACGAAAAGATTGAAGAACACAATATCATTTTATGGTTTCACAAATCTAACCTGCATAATTTTCTGGCAAAGAAGTTTTGCAATCGGTTGATTATATAAAAGATTGTGCAAAGCTGTATCAATTGTATCAATTCCAACTTGGAAACCAATATCCGGAATAAGGATTTTGTCTTTATATGGGTCGCAATCTACAAAAAATAAAAGGAAAATTAAGAAAAAAATATACCCTGTGATGAAAATACCTGCACAAGACTTATTTGGGTTGAAAACAAATGTTTGGACTTGTCGGAAATTCATAAATTCACCATCCTCGGAAAACGCAATATTATCCATTTTTATGATTTCACTGAAAATGTATTAATAAAAAAAATCTTATTTCCAACAACTCACTCATATGCATATGGTCCTTTTTCAATCATATCTGGGAAAATAGCTCTATTCTGAATACCAATTGTATTTGTATAATTGAAAACCCAATATTGCATCGTTGAAATATATTTATTATTGACCCAACTATCAGTGAATGAATTATATGTTCCATCGCTATTCAGTCCTAATACTTTTTGCTGAAAAGGAAATTGTAATTATCACTCTAAACTTCCCATACCTCATTTATTTGATTATTGACTGCCGTTGGGAAAACACCTAATACAATAACTAAACCAGCTGTTAGTAAACCGGCACCAATAAGAAAAATAATAGCTGCTAGAACTTGACATATACAAGACCGATTTGCCATTTTGCGAACCCGATAAAATCAGCAAATGGTAGTTATCTATATTATATATGGTTAAATGAAAAAGGAGCAGTCAAATAGACTAGATTGATAACAAACCACCTATTGGCATTCCAACTCCCTCGTGTTGATTATTGATATTATCATCACACACATTTCACATTGGAACTTGAGTACAAAGAAATTTAAATGTGTCAAAAATAGAAAACTGAAACATATTGGGGTTAAAAAACTGCAAAAAAAAGTATTTTGTTTTTCTCCCCCCTCCCGAAGAAAAAAAAACAGAGAGGAGTAGAGAAAGTGTGCCCTAATGATAATGTACGCAAGAGGATATTGTTTGTTTTCAATTTTTCGCTATTTTTTTTCGAAAAAACCTTTTTTCAATGTACTTTTGTTACCAAATAATAAGCCTCATTTTCCAGAGAACAAAAAAAGTTGAAAAGATGGTATATAAGGCAACATTTCTTCTTCAAAACATTGGAAAATGTTGCCGTTCGGTTTCGCTCCAAAACAAGGTATAATTAGTGGCAATTGAGACAATTGGCTCATATTTCTTATCGTTTCACTTTCATACTGTTTCAAAACAATTGTGTTCATTTCAGAAATGTCTGTTTATCTGGTTGGAAGTTGGGCGAAAATTCCGGGTGGAAATGATGCGCTGGAGATGGCGGAGAATGTTTTTATCAATAAGTGAGTTGGTTGCGGGAATCTTGTTGATATTTGAAATATTATTTTGAAATTTTCGAAAATTTTACACATTACATTATTCTGAAATTAATTGTTTTTCATAAATTTTAATTTTAATTTCACATAATAATTTAATTATTTAAAATAAATTTTCTAATTTAACATTCATATAGTTTTTTTTTCAGAGATCATATTGAAAAAATCCCTGAATCCGCTCTTCATCTCCAAGAATTTTGTGAAAAACATCCTGAAGTCAAGGCTGCTCTTGTCAAAGACATTGATCAATTCGATGATCAATACTTTGGGGTCGGTGAATCCGAAGCAATTTTCATGGATCCTCAACAAAGAATGTTGATGCAAGGAGTTATTGGAGCTTTGGAAAATGCTGGAATTACAATTGAAATGGCTTCTCAATCAAAAGTTGCTGTTTATACTGCAGCTTGGGCGTATGATTATAAAGATTCATTGCCACCAGATCAATATATGGCTACTGGAAATTCGGCAAGTGTTATGTGTGGAAGGTATGTCCTAAAAAAAAATGAAAAAACCTAGTTCAAAGAAAATTATTTTCAGAATCACATATTTTTTGAATTCTCGTGGTGCTGCTGTTGGAATTGAAACTGCTTGTTCTTCATCTTTGGTAGCTTTTCATATGGCTAGACAAGCTATTTTGAATGGTGAAACAGAATTAGCCTTGGTATGTGGTGCAAACCACGTTGGTTCTCGTTCATTCCACTCTTTGTATAACTCTCATATGGTTTCACCAAATGGTAGATTGGCCGCTTTTGATAGATCAGCAAACGGATTTGTTAGAGCCGAATCTTTTGCTGTTGCTGTTTTGTGTTCGAGTAAATTTGCGATCGAAAATAATCTCAATATTCATGCTGAATGCATCGGATCTGCTTTCAACAGCGATGGAAAAACACCATCTTTAACTGCTCCAAATCCAATTTCTCAACACGAAGTGCAAATTAAAGCAATGAAAACTGGAAATGTTCCAGTTGACACTATAACAATGGTAACATGTCATGGAACAGGAACGAAACTTGGAGATCAAATTGAACTGACAGCTATCAAGAAATCATTCAAACCAGATATTCGAATTATCAGTCCAAAAAGTTCGCTTGGTCATGGTGAAGGTGCAGCCGGATTGATTGGTGTGCTTCAATCTTTATATTCAATGAGTCATTCAATTATCCCCAATCAACTTCATCTCCAATTAACCACCGAAGATTTGGGAGAAAATGTTTCGATGACATTTGTAAATGAAGAAGCTGATCTTCCAACTGTTGCGATTAGTTCATATGGATTTGGTGGAACTAATGCTTGTGCAATTATTAAAAAACCTACAAAACAAGAAAAAGAAATTGTAAAATATGCTGAAGCTAATGTATTGTTTTTATCTGCAAAATGTGAAGAATCGTTGAAATTGAAAATTGATGAATATGCTTATTTTTTGAGAAATACAAGTTCGTGTTTAGAAGATATTTTGTATACTGAGAATACGAGAAGAACAAAATATGATGTGAGAGCAGCGGTTTATGGAAAATCATCAAATGAAATTGCAAATAAATTAGAGGAATATCAATTTAGCGCAAATCAGGATGGAGATTTCGAAATTGAGTTTGGAGCAGGAAATGAAAAATTATGGCTTTTGAGAATGTTAAACGAATCGAACAAATCATTCAACAAATGTGTTGAGAAATATTGTAATATGGCTAAAGAATGTGGAATCACAGATGCTGAAACTGCGTTATTTTATCCATTCAAGTTAACTCTGACACCATTATTGTATAATATTTCAAGACTTATTTCAAGTATGGCTTCTTTTGAGCTTCTTCTGGAATATGACTGTTTGCCAAATAAGTTGAGAGGACGTGGAATGGGACAAGTATTTTGTTTGGCTGTTGCGAATGTTATTACATTTGAAACTGCAATTTCACTCATATCAGCAGTTATTGCAGAAACAGATTTGAATGATTTCATCAGCCAACTTGATTTTCAAACAGCGAGAATTCCAATTGAATATCAGAAAAGATCGAAACCCACAAAAAAAGTGACACCTCTGGATGTTATTGATGAAATCAAACAAACACCAATGCCAAATTTGATGGCTTTTATAATGAATGGCGAAGAAATCAGTGATGTTGATCCAAGTGTGAAAATTCAGAAAATGTTATGCTCATTTTTCATAAATGGATATGATCCAAAAGTGAATTATATTGGAAAGATTGTGCCTACACCGGGATATCAATTTTTGAAAAGAAGATTCTGGCATGAAATTATCCCTTCAGCTATTTCTTCAGAAAGCAAATCTTTAGAAGAAATCGACATTGTTGAAAAAATGAGTGATTCTGAATTGTATGAAAAAATAAAAGAGATTATTCAACGTTTCTTGGATATTGAAGATGATGATGTGAATTTGCTTGAATCTGGAACAGTTGATTCATTAACTTCAATTGAAATGATTGAAGCAATTGGCTCAGCAGTTGGCTCAACTATGCCATTTGATTTATTGGAACTTCATCCAACAACAAAAGATATTATCAAATATTTGAAAACTGTTATTGCATCACAAGAAACATCAAGAACAACAAAATCGGAAACACAAGCAATTGCAAAAGCAGATTTTTCAAATTCCTCAATCGATGTTATATCATCAGATTTCATGTTTGCTGGAATAGAAAATGAAAAAGAATTATGGGATGCTCTAATGACATCAAAATTAACAACTGGTGAAATGAATGAAACCAGAAAGCAACAAATTGGTGGAGATGTTGGATTAGAAGTTGGACTCTTGAAGCAAGACATTTCGCTTTTCGATAATGCATTTTTCTCAATTGCCAAAAATGAATCTGAATTTGTTGATCCTCAACATCGTCTTCTCTTCCATTCTGCATATAACGCGTTGGAAAAATCTGGACTCTCTGCGATTCCAGATGCCGATCTTTTCTTGGCAATCAGTTCACATTCAGAATATCGTGCTATGGCGGAAAGCAATGTAAGTTGAAATTTTGTGAGGCTAAACAACATTTTTTAAACAATAATCTTTGCAGGTTGCCGAATTAGATGAGCGACTTTGGATGGGAACAGTTCACAGTATGGCAGCTGGAAGACTTGCTGCAATCCTTGGAATCCGTGGAAAATCAATTCTTGTGGACACAACATGTTCATCTATTGCTTCAGCCCTTGAACTAGCTGTTGAATCAATTCAAAAAGGCAAAAAATATGCAGTAGTTGCAACAACTCAACTTATCCAATCATCAAAATGGTTATATTCATTGAGAACATTATTGGATAATAAAACCACAAAATCATTTTCGGTTGATGGTGAAGGTTTTTGTCGATCTGATGGTGTTGGTGTGATTATTTTGAAGAGATCTAGCAACTCACCTGATTCCGATATTCCAATTATCACTTTGACTTCGGCAAAAACCCAACATTCTGGAGCGGTTATTACTCCAGTTGTTGGTGTTATTTCTCAATTGTTGGAAAATGCTGGTGATTATTCATATATTGAAGGTCACGGAACTGCTACAATAGCTGGTGATAGTGCTGAATCCTTGGCTTACCAGAAAATTGGCCGAGAAAATATGATTATGTCATCAGTGAAAGCGCAATTTGGTCATTGTGAAGTTGCTTCAGGGCTTATTCAATTGATGAAAGTTACCTGTTTGTCAAAATATGGAATGGTTCCTGCTATTGTTCATAACACTTTGCCAAATGAGCATATCAGGTGAGCTTAAAATATTTTTAGGAAAAAACCAAGTAATTCTTCCACCTCTACTTTGAATAAAAACGTTTTTTTCAGAAACAATAATGATCTACGATTACCATTTGTATCTGAGGAACGTGATATTCAAAAGTCCGCAATTGTCTCATTTGGAATCACTGGAACTAAAACATTGGTTACAACCCAACGTGCTGCTGTCACACCAGATCAATCAATCAAAACCGCATTCCTTTTCCCAATTTCGGCAAAAACCAAGGATTCTCTCAAAAGAGGAATAGCATCAATTATGGAAATGCTCGAAAATACAAATGAAAGCCTTCTCAAAATCTCTAAAAATATGCAAAGGCAAAAAATTGGTTTCAAATGGAGAGCAGTGGCGGTTGGAAAAACACACGAGGAAGTTGTCAAACATTTCAAAAGTATTTTAACAACCGACAACTCGTTGAAATCCAAAAATTATCATATTTCTACATCAGAATATGCATTGAATGCTCCATCATTTTTCAATAATATTGAACATTTTGAAGTGGATTATTCCAGTTTTTGTAACCGTCTTCGATTCGAGCCATATTCTGATGATGGTAATATTTATCATCGAATGGCTGTGGTTTTTGCTCTGATCAAGCATATATTAAAATTCAAATTGGTTTCTAAATTTGCTGTTTCTGGATTCAATAGCTTGATTATTCTTGCTGCTATCGATGCTGCCCCAACTCATTATCTTAATGATCTTATTCACGCATTTGTCAAAAGTGATTTCCGAAGTATGAAGAGAATTGCAAGAGATATAACCATTCAAATAGATGATATTGAAATGTTCGATCTCACTGGCAAATCAATCAAAACATCAAGAGAAGCAGTTGATACAACATATTCTGAAGAAATCGATATTTCAAGAATATCCAGAATCCACATTGATTTTATCAAATAATGAACATATTGCGAACACAATTCCTCTATATTCTGTTTCGCAATATTATCTTCTTATTGGAAAACTCTTTGAAGATGGTGCCAATGTTGATTTTGCAGGAATTTTTGGAAAACCAAAAGAGCATGTAGCTCTTCCAGAATATCCATTCAATCGGAAATCATGCTGGCTTCCAATCCAAAAGTCTAAAGCTGTCCAGAAAATTGAAGTGAAGAATGAAACTTTAGAACCAGTTCAGAAAAAAGAAGTAGATTACATATTTGAATTGAATTCTGCAAAATGGAAACATGTTCGAAATCACGTTGTGGATAATCAAATTGTATTACCTGGTGCCACTTCTATCCGTCTTGTTCATGAATTACATGGAGATTCTCAAACAACTCTTTCCAATATTGATTTCTTGAATAAAATCACACCAGATAGTACTCCTCTGGTTATCAAGAAAGTTTTGGATGACGATGGTGTTTGGACTTTGATTGTTGGAGAAAAAGATGCGATTAATTATAAAATTCAGAAGAATCATGTCAACAATTTTATAACAATTGAAGATATTGAATCGGAAACAAAACATATTGATGATATTTATGAAAGATTTAGTAAAAGTCAATTAACTTATCGTAATCAATTCCAAATGCTTGATAGTATTCGATTCAAAAATGGAATAGCAGACGCTCAATTTGCTTCGATCGATAATATTGATATCTTAATCGATGGAACATTGCAAGCAATTGTATCAGCGTTCTATTTTGAAAATCTTGAAGATGAAAGTCCATATCTTCCATTTACAATTGACAAGATCACAATTTATGACGATAATCTTGCTGGTAGAATTTTGCGAACAGTTTTGACTTATCAATCATCAGAAAGTTTCGTTACTGGAAACGCCACAGTTTATGATGATGAGAAAAATGTAGGTTTTTTTGAAAGAATTTTCTGAAAAAAATCATAAATTTCAGATCATTCTTCATATTGAAAATGTGAGTTTCAAACGATTGTTTGCCGTTAAAGCGTCATCGGAGGTTTCGAGACCAACAATCAAATCAAAATCTGGTGAAAATGAAACTGCAAAGTGAGTAATACTAGAACCTACTTCTATTATTATTTATAAATGATTTACAGACGAGAGGCTCGAAATATGCTACTTATTTGGTTTGAGGATAACTTTGGATGGACCGATATCGATGACACTGTTGGATTTTTTGATCTTGGGTTAACATCAATTCAAGCTGTGAAACTTCGAAACCACATCAAATCTCAATATCCAGATGCTTCATCCACATGTGTATTCGATCATCCAACAGTCAATGAACTATCAAGTTATCTCTCATCGCTTGGAGAGTCTGCTGAAAATGATTCCGATGAAGTCACAGAAGATATTTTGGAAGATCAAGAAAACATTGAACCACCAACTCGTTTAAGCCTGAATCCAATTGGAGTTATGTCAGCTGCTTGTCGATTACCTGGAGGCATAACTTGCCCGGAAGAATTGTGGGAATTGCTCAAAATTGGAAAGAATGCTTCTTCAAGAATCCCAGCGTCAAGAATTCCAACAAGAAATAATTTGATAAGCGGAATTAAGTATGGAAATCCGGTTGAAGGTGGAAACTTTATTCAGCAAGATGTTTCACAGTTTGACCCAGCGTTTTTCAAAATTTCAAAAAAGTGAAGCAGAATTGACTGATCCTCAACAAAGAATTCTTCTGGAATGTGTTCAGGTGAGAAAATCTGGCAATTTTGTATTTTTAAAAACTAACGTAATTCCAGGAATGTCTCGAGAACAGTGGTGTTACTGAAACATCCAATGTCGGTGTTTTTGTCGGTTTAATGGAAAAAGAATACCAAGATATGATGGAATCCTCCTCAATTTTGTCAATGTTGGGATCAATGGCTGCTGTTATCGCAGGAAGAGTAAATTATGTATTTGGATGTTATGGTAACTTTTCCTATTTTATTAAAGTGGTATCTCAAAACTTTCAGGACCATCTGTCACAATTGACACTGCTTGTAGTTCATCATTGGTTGCTTTGGAGATGGCTGTTAATGCTCTTTTAGATAATCGCTGTGAAAAAAGTTATCGTTGCTGGTGTAAACTTGATTTTGAATGAGAGAGGTAAGAGAAACATCGGTTAAAATAACAAACAACATTTTTTCTTTTATAGGACAAGGTTTGCGAACTAATGGAAAAATGTTATCGCAACACGGAATGTCATTGAGTTTTGATTCGCGAGCTTCTGGATACGGTAGATCTGATGGATGTGTTGTTCTAATGCTTGAATTGGCTAAACCAACATTCCGCTATATGTCAACAATTCAAGCAGTGAATGTAAATCACGGTGGAAGAAGTGTCTCGCTAACAGCACCAAATGGTGTTGCTCATAAAATGTTGCTCACTTCGGTTATCAAACAAAGTCCATCACCAATTATTGATTATTGGGAGGCTCATGGTACTGGAACACCATTGGGAGATCCAATTGAGTTTAATACTTTATCTTCGATATTCTCAAATATAATTATTGGATCTGTCAAGGCTTCTCTTGGACATGGAGAAGCTTCAGCTGGTACTTGTGGACTTTTGAAACTTTTCATGATGTTGACTCATCAATATGTTCCAACACTTATTCATTTTCATGTTTTGAACAAGGATATAAATGCTGGAAACATCAGATTACCAATTATTGGAGAGGAAGCTGAATTAACATCTGCTGGAATAAGTTCGTTTGGTGTGAGTGGAACAAATGCTGCTTCAATCGCTTTCAATGATAATGACAAATTATTACCGTACTCATTCATTTATGATCGATATATTCTACCAATTTCGGCTAAAAATCAAATTTCTCTAGAAAATTTGGAGAAAGAAGTTTTGTCAATGATTCCGGTATCTGATGTATCGATAAGTAATATTGCTAGCGGATTGGCAAATAATCGCAATCATTATACAATCAGAAATGCGATGATTGTCACAAAATCAGGGCATTTGTTATCAAAATTGGCTGGAAAACCACATCGAACTGCGAAAAAAGATAAATATCGAGTTGTTTTGAACAACAATGTTCACGATCCATCCAATTTACAATATGATTTTATTGCGGAATTATATTCGGTGGCATCTTCAAAATATCCAGAAACCTTTGCTTTGAAATATTCACTCATTAAATTTATCACTTCTGTTAATGCACATATTGAAATTATTGCTCAAGATGAAGAAGAATTGATTGCGATTCTTCTAGCTGATGGTTCTATTTCGTGGAAAAACTTTGATCCAAAGTTACTGGAAAAACCAATGGACAAATTGCTAAATGCTTTATCTGATATGAATTTGAATTCAAATAATTGTATGGCTCTCAAAAATTATGCTAGCAAACCAGAACATATTGTTATCAATGATCAAATTGATTTATTAAATATGATTGCCAATTTATATGTGAATGGATATGATATTGATTGGAGTGTTATTTACACACCAGTACAAAAGTATATCAAACTTCCCAATTATCAATTCAATCGACAATCTTTATGGTATAACGAAAGAGTTGAAGTTTTTGATCATTATTTGATCGGAACAATTGAAGAAGAAAATGAAGACTCGATAACTTTGAAAAATCAAATATCTGAACTCCGTCATCCTCAATTATTCAATGGCAAACCAATCGATGTCGGAACAGCTGTAGAAATAACTATTGAAGCGATGAAAATTCGAAATGAGATGCCATTCAATGTTGAGAAGTTGGACTTGAAGCAAATCACATTGACAAAACCAGCCTGGCTGAAAACAGTTATCGAAGAAATTTGTTATGATGATGAAGATGATGGAAACGATTATTCTGAATATGAAATTAAAGCATATATCGATGATGAGTTATTATTTACAATGATCGGAAAAAGCAATATTTCTATAGAACAAGAAGAACCTTCTGTAAATTTGTTTGTTCCAGAAACTGTGATCTATCTTCAAGATTGTTCAAATGCCATTATCCGGCGAAATAGAAATGTGATTCATGTTGATTCAAAGGCTGAAACTTCGCCATTCCGAACTGCTAATTTAGTATTGAATGAGATGATTGGAAAATACTCGGATCCTTCGGAAATGCATCTTGATATATTTGGCGTTCTCACTCCAGAATATTATATGGTTCAAGTTGATGATGGAATTTTATGGCAATTCCAGGTAACAATTTTTTTCTCATAAAAATCCAATAAATGTTTTCAGATAATCTCTATGGACAAGAAAATATTATCGAGTATTTATGTCACAAAATCAGATGCAGGGTTGCATTTACCAGCTGTGAGAATGCATAAAAAATCGACACTTTTATCATCACAAGAAGCTCAAGAAATTGCTGTTCGAACATTGCAGATGTATATTCAAAAAAAGGTGAAAGCTGCGTTTGCTGATGTTATTGATTCTGGTTTGGAAATTGATGAAAGTCAAATGAGCACTGGATTTTCTGATCTTGGGATGGATTCATTAGCAACAGTGGATTTGTTAAATCGATTGAATCAGAAATATTTCCAACAAATTGAATTGACAAATAGTGATTTGTTTGATAATCCAAATGTAGTTGATTTATCAGTGAGGATTGAAGAATTATTGAAAGAAAAAGGAATCGATAGTATTGTTTCAATTGCAACTCCAAAAACATCAATTGCTACACCGAAAACATCAATAGCATCTCGGAAAATATCAATTAGAGAAAGAAAAAAGTCAATTCCAGCCAGCAAAATACAGCAAATTGCTCAAATTGAACTTGTGAAGGAACATAGTTCCGATTCAGGAAGTATTGATAGAAATGTTATCAAAAAACGGATAACTGACGCTGTTTATGATTTGATAACCGATTCAATAACTAATTATGACATCGAGACAAAAGGTTTCACAGATCTTGGATTGGATTCGATGTCACTTATTGATTTCTTGAATCGATTGAATGAGAAATATTTCCCTGGAGATGATATAACTAGTGGAGATATATTTGATAATCCATCAGTGAATGAATTGGCAGATCATATTTATCAAAAGAAATCTGGAGAAGAAAAAGTTGATGTTGTTGAAAAAGCTATTAGTGTTGAACAAGAAACTGAAAGAAAACTGGAGATTTTGGATCAAGCGTTTTTATTGATTGATGATTACAGCACAGCTATCGAATTCACTCATAAAATATTCATAGAGAAAATGGAGCTTTTTATCAAACGGAAATCAGATTTGAAACAAATGCTTTTGGAGAATGTTGATACATCAATCATCTCATCAACTGGAAATCAAATACTCATTCATCTTGATAATTTTGAAAATGAGAATGAGAACATCGAATATATCTACATGGGTCTTCTAAACTTCGCAAGACAACTAACAAAACTCAAATCCTCTTGCAAAATTGGAGTTTCAAAATCATTCTCAATAGGAAATTCTATCGCTCGTTCATTTTTAAAAACAGTTTCTGCTGAAAAATATCCAAATATTGAGTTTCTATGGGATCAGAAAATCCAACAAGTAACATTCATCGAAGAGAAAAAACCAGTCAGTGGAAATTGGTTGATAACCGGTGGTTTGAGTGGAATCGGATTTGTTATTGGTGAATATTTGGCAAATAATGGTGCAGAATCTGTTATTTTGGTCAGTCGAAGACAACCATCGACTGAAGTTTTGAATCAAATCAAAAATTGGAAATCGAAAGTTTATACAATTGCTTCAGATATTGCTGATAAATCAAAAATGGCCGAAGAATTGAGAAAACTCAATATAAATGTGAATAACTTTATTCATTCTGCTGGAGTTTTGAAAGATTCGAAAATTGAGCGACAAACTGTGGAGACATTTAGACAAGTTATAAATCCAAAGTCTGAAGGTTTTCATACGTTGGAATATTTGGAGCAACAGTTTGGATATAAGGTAAGACATATTTGGGGAGTTTTGGAGAATAAGAATAAAATGAATCAGTATGAAATTGTTTTTTTCAGATTGACAATTTCATTGTGATGTCTTCATTCACAGCGGCTTGCGGAAACGATGGTCAATTGAATTATGGAGTGGCGAATGCTTATCTAGAACATCAAGTAAGTTTTTTGCCCTAACAAACTTGTATGCTAATCTGAACCGTCTTCACAGATTCAAAAACGAGTTGCAAGTGGAAAATCTGGTTGTGCAATGCAATGGGGAAATTGGCTTGACACTGGAATGGCTACAAATACACAGGTTCAAAATTATCTGAAAAGTATTGGATTTTTGGGACAACATAATGAAGATGCGTTGAAGTATCTGAGAATTTGTATTGAGAAAAAACCATATCGCATTATGGTAGCGAATTTGAATTGGAACACTATTTTGGAAAAGAGAAAAGATTTGCCAAGAGATTTATTGAGCACGAATAAAATTGAGTACCATTCGGGATTTTTGAAAATTCAATTGCCATCGAAATATGAAGAAGTTCAGAAAATTCCCGAAAAGGAAGTGGATGCCACAAGAACTGAATTAGAATTTGAAGATGAAGATGATCTTTTAGATTTTCTGAAATCGGAAATTGCAAAACTCACCAACACTCCCGTCAAAAAGTATAAAAACAACTCAAATATCATGGAATCTGGTCTTACTTCAAATTTGTTGATGACCCTTATGAGCACCCTGAATTCATCGTTGAATTTGAATTTGAATATTGGTGATTATTATAATAATCCAGTTCTAGAAAACTTGACCGAATTCATCTGGGAAAACATGAAAAATCAAGCTTCAACACAGAAGAAGGAAAACGAAACGAAGAAAATTGAAAATCCCGATTTTTCATCGATGTTTGGTGTAAATGTGTTTCTGGAGGAGAAGAAAGAGTTGAATGATATCATTGAATCGCAAGAATTCCCCTCTAGAAGCTTTGGTAATTATGTGGTTCCTATAACTGCGAAAAGTATTGCTGAAGCTAAAGAAAAACTGAAAGACGTTAAATCTGAAAATTTGAAACCGGTGAACAATGAGAGCAGATCAAAATCAGTTATGATGTTAACCGGACAAGGCTCGCAATATCCAATGATGGGAAGACAATTATGTGAACATTATCAAATTTTCAGAAACACACTTGAATCAACATTGGCAAAATGTGATGAATATTTGGCTGGTGATAAGAAATTATGGGATATATTATTCAACACTGATAATCATAAAGAACTTCAATTAACAAAACATATGCAGCCGATCATGTTCTGCTTTGGATATTCACTCGGAAAACTTTGGGAATATTTGGGTGTTTTACCAGATTATTATCTTGGACACAGTGTCGGTGAATTGGCGGCTGGTGTTTTGGCTGGAATTATGTCGATTGATGATGGTTTGAAATTGATTGTTGAAAGAGGAAAAGCTATGGAAAATATTGCTGGACTTGGTGCACTTTTAGCTGTTCAACGAGAAATTGCAGATGATGTTCTCAGAAAGTTTAAAGTTGTTGTTGCCACGTTGAATAGTCCGAAACAAGTTGTATTTGCTGGAACTAAACCAGAACTTGATCAAGCTCTTGCATTTGTCAAAAAAAGCGGTACGTCAGGAAACAATTATTCATAAGTTTTTCAATCAAACTTTTTTTTCAGGAAAACAGGGAACATTTGTCAACCAAATGTATCCATTCCACTCGAATTTGATTCAAGATTCACATTTGAAAAACTTGCGCAAATGTTTGGCTAAAATAACATTCCAAAAAGCGAAAATTCCACTTGTCAGCAATGTTTCCGGACAACTCATTGATAGTTTTGATCAGGAATATATCATCAAACATACTGTTTCGGCTGTAAAGTGAGTTTTTTGTTGATCTGAAACAATAACACATATTTTCTTTAAGGTTTGTGAACTGTGTTGAGACCTTGCAAGGGTTAGATGTGAATGTCTGGATTGATGCTGGACCAGCCGCAGTTTTGGCAACATTTGTGAAAAGAATCATTGTGCCTTCGGAACTTTCAAAACATCGAGTTATTCAAACTTGCAAGGAAAAGGATGATGAGATTGATTGTGTTATTCAATCATGTTTGGAATTGGAGCAAGCTGGTTATAATATTAATTGGATAAATGTTTATGGTTGTGGAAAAGATAGTCTTCTCGAAGAAAATGTTTTGGAATTTCCAATTAGTGAAAAATCAAAAATCGATGATGGAGAAATGGATATTTTGATGGATCATAAACTCAATGGAAGAGTAATTATCGCAGGCGCTTATCAATTGTTCAAATTAGTTAATTTTGTGAAACGCCAAGCACATGGTTTAGCTCTCAAAAATGTCAAATTTTCAAAAGCTTGGTATCTTGAAAGCGGAGTTGATTTTATTATTGATTGGCATGCTGATATGAGAATCACTCTCACTGTCAATAATGAAATTATGTGCTCTGCAAAACTTGTGCAGTTTGAAAATTCTCTTTCGATTCCAAGTTGTAGTGTAGAAGAAGAGAATTTTGATGTGAAAGACTTTTATGATACGTTATATAGAAATGGATTACAATATGATGATGGTTTCCGGAAAATGACAATCGCTAAAAGATCTGACAAAAAATGTTTCACTGATTTAAAATCTTCGGACTATCTTTGGCCGTTGATTGATGCGGCAATGCATTCAATCACTGCAAGTGTTATTCGACGAAGACCAAACTGTTATTTCTTGCCGGTTGCAATGGGAACCGTTTTTATAAGAAATCAAAATTATGACAACTCCAAATTATCCGGACAATCTTGGATCACATCAGAAAATGAGAAGTTTATTGAGGTTAATGTGGTATTGTTATCTGGAACCGAAGTCGTCTGCGAGATTAGAAATATGACAATTGTTGTGAAAATGGAGAACGTTGAAACACCAAAAGTTCAAATCGATGATGAAAACAATGAAATCAAAATTGTGAGTTTTGATGTGACATATCCTTTCAACTCCCCAACCTCCTCTTCAAAAAATTCTGGCTGGGATTTTTTGAAAACAAATAAGATAGGGAATAATAACTTGTCTGGCTCAAAAGTTGCTTTGCTTGATGTTGATCAACGGCTTTGGGACCCTGAATTTTTCAATATTCGACCATCAGAAGCTCATTTTCTTGATCCACAACAAAGGTTGATGCTCACAAGTATTGCCAAACTTCTAGATTCAGCAAAAATAAATTTGTTACCTGTGGAAACTGGTGTTTTCATAGGCTACTCAACACACGAATTTGCTCACGTTGTTTATGCTCATAGTAGAAAATCACCATATTCTGAATGGAGTAGTGGAACTGCTACGTCATCAATTGCTGGAAGAATAGCTTATTGGCTGAAAATCAAAGGACCAACAATAACTGTTGATACTGCTTGCTCTTCTTCATTTTCAGCTTTGTCTTTAGCTTGTGATTCATTGAAAAATGGACAATGTAAATATGCTATTGTGGGCTCTGTTAATTTTCTAATGCATGAAATGACAACTAATGTGCTTTCTAATGCAAATATGACAAATAGTGAAAGTTGCAAAGTTTTTGATTGTGATGCTGATGGATATAAACGTTCTGAAGCTGTCTCAACATTGCTCCTAACTAATTCAGATGATATTGAAAAGTCTTTTGGGACTATTAAAAACTGGTGTATTGGTCACAATGGAACAAGTTCCTCCTTGTTCACCCCGAATGGTAGATCTCAACAAGAAATTATGCGAAAAGTGGTGGCTAACTTTCAAAATATCTCTCATTTTGAAACGCATTGCACTGGAACGAGTTTGGGGGATCCTATTGAATTGAATTCTATCAGAAGCCTATGTAAATCAGAAATTATTCCAGTCAGCAGTATTAAATCAAATCTTGGACACTGTGAAGGTGCAAGTGGAATAATATCATTGTGTGCAACTCTTGAGCAGCAATTGTTCAGTTATAGATTGCCTCAGTTACATTTGAAATATCTCCCGGATAATTCAAGATTGAAAATCAATTTTATTGGGGAGGAAATTGAAAGACCTGATGAATCTGTCGTTATTAATAATTTTGGATTCACTGGTTCCAATTGTTGTTTCCAAATCGATTTCCAATTGCGAAACTCAAAATATTCAACAGACGATCAAGTTTTCATACCAATTCTTCTGTCATCTCACACAAAAGAAACTCTTCAACAAACAATTGATCAATTTTTGGAGTTTGTTCAAAACACTTCGAACAGCCTGAAAGATATATCATTCAGTCTTATGAAAAAGAAAATATATCGATATAGAATTGCATTGATTTTTGATTATCGAAGAAAAATTGTTTGGAGAAGTGATGAGAAGTTTGCCATTGATGATCCGCGTATTGAGAAAATTATAGAAGATGTGCAAGTTTTCATAATAGATGGGAAATTCATATCTACTCCTGAACATGGATTTTTGATTGATCTTCCACCAATAATATTCAAACAAGATGTTTATTGGAAACTTGAAAACTATTCAGATGCTATTAATCGTAAGAGCACAATTAACAAGAACTTGTTTTTCGAGAAATATTTGATATTGAAAGCGAGTGAGCAACTTCCAAAATCCAAATCTTGGCTTACCTATATCTTCAAAGAGAGTAGTGTTAGTCAATTTAACAAGTTGTTAAAATTCTGGTCAGATATTGATCCAAAAACAATAGATCTTGTTGTTTTTGGATGCGAAGCTAATGGAACAACATTCACTGAATGGACATCTGTTATCAAAACTTTGGCAAGTGAAAAACTTGTTCCATTCAAGTTTGTATGTTATGAGAGAAAACGTCAGTTCGAAACTGAGCTCAACACATCGGATCTCTATGAGATGATATTCTACAAAAACAATGAGCGATATGTGGAAAGACTCCGTAAAATGACTGTTATTGAGGTTGAGAATAATATTAGATTTGATGATAATTTGATGTCTGGAGGAACTGGAGGAATCGGAACAGCTTTGATGGAAAATATAACAATGGGAGACACTGAAATAATAACAAGATCTCACCAAGATTTATCAACTAGCAATAATAATATCAAATATACAACTGGAAATGTAACACACTTCAAAACTTTCAGAAAATATGAGAATATTTTCCATTTTGCTGGATTGGTAAATAATGCAACTCATAAAAATATGATGCCAAAAAATATTGAAGAACTATATGAAGTGAAAGTCAATGGGGCTCGAAATCTATTGAAATATTGTGAGAATAGTTTCAAAATGGCTTCTTCTATTGGATGTATTTTGGGATCATATGGTCAATCAAATTATGTGTTTGCAAATGGATTAGTCACCTCAATTCTTCAAAAATCAAAACATATAGAATTTGATGTTATTTATTGGGGACCTTGGAAAGATGTTGGAATGTTGGCTAAAAAGGAGTGTGACAATATAAACCGACAATTGAGGGAGAATGGTTGGCATCCGTTATCCACAGAAGATGCCTTATCAGTTTTCAAAATTGGGAAGACTGAAAGTTCAAAACGTGAAATATGTGTCTTTGACGGAGATTTTGATATTATTGCAAAAAATAATGAACATCTCCGACCATTTTTATCAGAATTATCGGATTTATCAACTTTTTCATCAAAAGTGCAACATTCTTCCGATTTTGAAAATATATTTATAGAAGTAACCGGAATTCGAAACTTGGAGAATTGCAAACACACACCATTTATGGATCTTGGAATCGATTCTTTGTGTTTGGAAACTATGAGATCTGCAATTAATCGAAATCTTAATTTAGACATTACAGTCTCGGATTTGTTTGAAAATACAACATTTTCCAAGTTGCAAACATTTATTGAAACATTGACAAAAAATACGGATATAATCACAGAAATCAAAACTCCAGAGAATTCTGAATCAATTTCTAGTCATGATAAAATTGCTGTGATTGGTTGGAGTGCAGAATTTTCGGGATCCCAGGATATTGAAGAATTTTGGAAAAATTTGCTAGAAGGAAAAATTTGCGAAGGAAAACTGAAAAATCCTCATACTTTTGACAACAAATTTTTCAATATAACTGATGAGGATGCAAAAGTTATTGATCCACAAATTCGGAAATTCATTGAACATGCATATTTGGCATTGGAAGAATCTGGATATGTCAAACAAAGAAGATCATTGAAATGTGCTGTGTTTGCCGGTGCTGAGCCCACGAATTATGGTAAACCGGAAAATTCAGATGATTCAATGAGAAAATTGTTTGTTATGAATATGAACAATTATCTAGCATCATATGCTTCATATTGTTTAGATTTGAATGGTGAATCTGTATCAGTTTATAGTGCGTGTTCGACTACTCTTGTTGCTCTATCTCATGCAGTTCAGTGTTTGAAAATGAAACAAGCTGATTTAGCACTAGTTGGTGCTGCATCAATCAATAATGACGAGAATGATGGTTCATCTGATGAGAAAAAGACACTATTTGCAGCATCTGGAGTTTGTAGACCATTTGATTCAAAATCTGATGGTATAATCAGAGGATCAGGTGTTGGATGTTTGGTTTTAAAAAGATTGAGTGAAGCAATTCAAGATAAAGATGATGTCAAGTTTGTTATAAATGATTTTGGAATTTCAAACGATGGTAATTCTCGAGCAAGTTTCATGGCTCCGAATCCAAGTGGACAATTGAAGTGTATGAATATTGTGCTAGAAAGAATGCCTGAAGCTGAAAAACAAAGAATCAATTATGTAGAATGTCATGCAACTGGAACTGTACTTGGTGATACAATTGAACTGGATTCTTTGAAAACTGCATATTCTTTCAAAAAACAAATTATTATTGGATCATCAAAAGCAAACATTGGACATTCTTATGCTGCCTCTGGTTTGGCTTCTCTTATCAAATCAGCAATGATGTTGAAAACTGGAATTATTCCACCTCAAATCAATTTTGACTCGTTTCGATCTGATTATCAAAACTTTTTTGGTGTTTGTAAATCTGGAATAAAACTACCTGAAAATAGTTTGATTGCTATTGATTCATTTGGAATCGGCGGAACAAATTGTCATATGATCATCGAAAAATCTCCAGTGATGTTTAATGAAGTTTTGCAATTCAATAAGAATCGAGTTTTGATTCCAATTTCTGCTAAATCTGAATCCTCTCTTGTAAAAATAACCCAAAAAATGGAGATAAAGCTACAAAAAATGAATGAAGATATTTCGATGATGCAAAATTTCCGAGAAGAATTCAGTTTCCGACGAATTATTGATGTAAACCTATATTCTCAAAAAATATTTCATGGTCGAATTATAAACTGCACTTCATCTCCGAAAACCTGTATATTTTTTGCACCCCAAGGCATACAGTACTCAAATCTTCTTCAAACTGAGTATGGAAATAACCCTGATTTCAAGAATGAAGTTCTCAAATTATGCAAAATTGCATCAAAAATTACCGGAAGAAACTTCGAGAAAATATTGTATGCAGAAGATAATCAAGAAGGAGAGATTGACCAGCCAGAAAACTGTCAGTTGGCAATTTTGATTCAAGAAGTTTCTCTATATAATTTTTTGAAATCTACAGGAATTGAGGTTGATATATTTGTAGGGCATAGTATTGGAGAATATTCAGCAGCAGTATGTTCTGGAGTCATTGATGCACAATCAATTTTGGAAATTCTTTATAAAAGAACAGAACTTGTTCAAAAAACAGAGCCTGCCAGAATGTTGATGATATGGGATAATTGTCTGAATCTACCATCAAATTTAGAAATAAGTGCGATTGTTGATGAAAATATACGATGTGTTGTGGGAAAAAGCATAGATATTGCACATTTTGTTGAACTTTTAAAAATGAATCATATAAGATATCGAGAGATCAATACATCTTATGGTTTTCACTCATCAATGCTTGAAACAATCAGGGAGAATTTTGAAAACTATTGTCAATATTTTGATTTCACAACTGGTGGAATTCCTTGGATCTCATGTATCACAGGAGAACTGAAAAGGGAATTATCATCAAAATATTGTGGAAAACACCTAGTTGAAGCTGTGAATATTGAAAAAATCGTTGAAAGTTTGATAGAGAATCAAATCGATGTTGTAATTGAAGTTGGTCCTTCTGGTGTTTTGGAAAAACTTTTGAAATCAAAAGGTTCATCGATGAGAGTTATACCAACTTGTGGATCAAAGAAAAAACGGTTGGAAGACTTGGATTATTGTTTCAAGCAACTATGGGCCAATGGAATATCGTTAAATACCAGTAAAAAAGATGTGAACAGAAATTATATCAGAGGTCCCGGATACTGTTTTGATGAATACGAGTTCACACAAACTTCTAAATCTCAACCAAAAAATGGAAAAAAGTTTGAATTTTATGTGGATAATTGGCAAAAACTCGAAACAGAACACAAAGTAGATGCTGATTCTGAAAATGCAGATTATCAACTAGTTCAAGTAGGTGATAAAATGAAATCTGATGGGATTTATGTGTTTGATTTAATTGACAATTGTGATGATTTGAACAAACCATTTCAGTTGGTTGAACATTTGCTGAAAGAGAGTTTCAAACTCTTGATAATAAATGTGCAAAAATCCACACCTTCAACAAATATGGTTTTGGGGTTGATAAGATGTTATGAAACCGTTTCAAATCAAAACGTTGTGTGTGTTGAGAATCCAGAGAGCCTTGAAGCAAAGAACATTGTCGCAATTGCTAAAAATACGAGTTCTAATTATTTGAAAATATCAAATTCATCAGTTTTCACTCTTAAATATCGGATTGCTCCATTTTCCCATGACCCGCCTAATCAACCCTTGGTAAAAAATAAAGTTATCATTTTCGGAGCTTCTGGATTTATCGGAAATGTATTTTGTGAAATATTGGAGGATTTTGATGTTGTTAGAATATCATTAGAGAACTCGGATGTTTGTTGTGATATCACAAACTATGAAAATGTGGAGAATGTATTGGCAAGCTTTAAAAATGAGAATTTGAAATATATCATAAATTGCACTGGTCAAGAATCTTCTAAAAATTTGAACAAGTCAATTGAAGATAAATTGAAAGTTTTGAGCATTAAAACAACTGGAAATGCTAATATCATCGAAGCGATTGAGAAACTTGAAATTCATGTTGATAAAATGATAATTTGCTCCTCTTTGAGCTCAATAATCCCAATTTATGGAAATGAAGATTATGCGAGTGCAAATTGTTTTGTAGATGCAATTCCAAAATCAACTGAATCAAAGTTCATTAAAAGTTTCCTGTCACTTGGACTACCTCCAATAAAATCGAGTCGGATGTATGAAACTTCAAATGAATCAACAAAAAAGATGATGAACTCAATTTCTATTGACAAGGCAAACTGTGTTGATTTGTTGAAAAAAGTTATTGAATATGATGGAACTATTTATATATCTCCGGAAAATCCTGATAAAATTGCTGCAAGAAGTTTGAAACATCATAAAGGAACTGGTTTATCATTGAAAACAACATCAATTGCTCAAACTGTATCAAATATTTGGAACTATGCAATAGGAATCAGCGGAGAAGTGCAGCCATCTGAAAATTTTTTCTCACTTGGTGGTGATTCTTTGAATGCACTTCAAGTGGTTTGGGACATTAAAAAAGAAACTGGAAAAGATATCCACGTCAATGATATTTTTGAACATCCCGTGTTTGAGAATTTTGTTAAATTCATCTCGAATCAAATTGTGCCTGTCAATAACAATCAAGATGAATTTATTATCACAAACTATGATGAAATCCCTTTAACAAATTCACAAACACAAATGTTTGTTTTGCGGCAAGTCGATAATTCTGATAAATATAACCTTATATTTGAGATAAGTATCAACTATACAAATGATTTTATATGGAAATATTTGAAACACGCCATTTTGACTATGATTGCTCATCAACTTAGCTATCGCACAACTTTTTCCAAATCTCAAAACCAATCGATTCATTCATTAACTGAAGCATATTATAATTTTGAAAGTTCCCTCAAATCTTCGGAATTGAAAATGATCATTGGAAATGAATTGAATTATCAATTTGATATTGGAAAAACAATACCTCTTCGAATTCTCACAATTAAAAAAGTTGATAAAATCCAAATTATCTTCAATCAACATCATATACTAACAGATGGCTGGTCAATGACAATTCTCGCAAACAATATCAATAAATTTTATAATGGGTATTGTGAGAATATGGATGATTTTCCCACAAGTTTTGGTAATTCTATTCCAAAATATGCAATTAAACAAAGTTCAATGAGAAATTATAATTTCAAAGAGATTTTTGATTATATCGGAACTTCAAATCACACCTCGATTCCAGTGGATTTCAATGAAAAAACTGATTATAAGCGAATCAATAAAGATATTCCAAATAGGCTTTGGGAATCATCTCAAAAAATCGCCAAGCTGAAAAACGTCACACTCTATAACTTGATTTTAACAGCGTTTTGTAAAACTGTGAGATCATTTACGGCGCAGTCGGATTTATTGTTTGCCTATGCAGATTCTGGGAGAAATCAAGATAATTCAAATCTAATCGGATATTGTATGAACAATATTTTGTTCAAGTGCGATTTATCTGAAACAGAAGATATATCTGAAAAAGTTATTGAAGCCGTGAACATCTCAAGAAAGTTTGCTGATATTCCATTTCATGAAATTGTTGCTCAACGAAAAGATCTTGGAAATATTTCAATATACTTCAATTTCCGAAAAAAGTTGGATTATCCAAATGTTTCAATTCGAGGAGCTGAATGTGAAATAACCCATATTTCTTTGAACAATGCTTTTGATTTTTCCTTCACAATTGATGAAAAACCAACAAATGCAATCATTAGTTTGGATTATAACAATGGAAAATATTCTGGAAATACCATGAACAAGTTTATGGATTTATTCATGAAACATTTGAAAAGAAATGAACAAAGGAAAGTTGTTAATATTGGGAAGCAATTAGATTATCCAAATGGATTTATGAGCTCTGTGGAAAATTTGGAAACTATTGCAAACATTAACGAACAATTTCTTATGAAAAATGTTAATTTGATCAGAGAAGATGACTTGATAGCAATTGACGGTGATTTCACAACTATCAGAGCATGTGTTTTCACTTCTGCTGCTTATGTTCCAATTGACAGAGAATGGCCAGAAGAAAGAAAGAAGTTCATTGGAAAAATTGTGAATTTATGGTTCAACACAAAATTGAAAAAACCTATGAATGAGAAAATTCGATTTTTCAACAAACGTTCAAAATATGGAGCATTCTATACAATATTTACAAGTGGCAGTACTGGTATTCCAAAAGGAGTTGTGATTTCAGAACAGTCGGTGGCAACTTTTTTGACATCTTTCACAAAAACATGTCTTCTTCGGAATAAAATGAGAATTGCAAATTCTGTGAATTCAGTTTTTGATGTAAGTGTATCGAATATTTTTGGATCTTATGTGAATTCTTGTGAGCTGGTGGATAATATTTCTAACTCTCATTATGCATTTCTGCCATCTGCAGTTTTCAATTCCTATTCTAAAAATCAGATAGCTGATTTGAATCATCTCGAAACACTTACAATTGGCGGAGAATCAGTAGCAGATGGAAATTTATCAAAAGTTCCCACTAAAGTTATCCAAATTTATGGGCCAACTGAAACATGTATCTGGTCTTTGATCAACTCATACAAAAAATCACGGTCTGAAAAGCGACAAGGATCTGAAATTGGAAAACCTATTGAGAACGAAAGATGTTTCATTGAAAATTATGGAATTCGAGGAGAACTCGTAATAAGAGGAATATCTGTGGCAAGAGGTTACATCACAACAAAAACCGAACATGGCAAAGTTTTCGAAAACAATTCATATTCAACAGGTGATGTAGTTGATACACGAAATGATGAAAATAAAATCAAATATATTGATCGAAAAGATAATCAAGTAAAATGGAAAGGTGTTCGTATAGATTTATCCGAAATTGAGAATGAGATGCTTGTAAAGCTTGAAAATATGCTTCAAATTAAATTGCTTATTCAAAATCAACAGCTTATTGCATTTTTTGTTGGTCCTTTTTATGATTATAGCCATATTGTGACTTGCTTGAAAAATTCCACCATTATGCCAGATCATTTTGTTCGACTCAAGAAAATGCCTTTGAATTCCAGTGGGAAGATTGATAAATCAATTTTGTTACAGGCTTTTGATCAAGTTAGGAAATCGTATAAGAAAGAACTTGTGATGATGAAAACTTCAGCAGAAGAGAAGGTATGTTATATTTGTTTTAAAAAATCTCGTCACATCTAAAAATACAATTTTAAAAGTTTCCAGGTTCTCAACACAATATCAACAGAAATCGGCCACACTGTTAATCTCAACAATAAATTCACTGACGTTGGTGGAAATTCTTTATCAGCAATTCAAGTTGCCTATAAACTTTCCGAGATTTTTGGCGTTGAAATCAAAGCGCATGATATTCTTCAAGCAGAAAACATCCAAGATATTACCACTAAAATCACATTTGCCCACCCGGAATCTTCTGTTTCTGGAGTTATAACAAAACTTCGAGAAGTAAAAGATTCAAAATGTAACATTTATATAATTCATGCAATTGGTGGCACAATTCTCCCATATTATTCTTTCCTCCGAGTTTTCCCAAAAAATGTCTCGCTCTATGGTATTGAATTCAATTTGAAGTATCCATCAAATAATTTGAGGGAATTGACACAATTTTATGCTAGAGAGGTAGAGTTTTTTATAGATTCAATTCCAGTTAACAAAGTGAATATTTTTGTAGATCGCTGCTCATGCCAAATCCAAACAAATCTTTGTAATTGGTCATTCTATGGGTGGAATTATGAGTCGTGAAATTGTTGAAGAGCTCAAAATGTGGAATTATAAAATCCCATTTGTTATGATGTTTGATTCTTGGGTGCTTCGAACAAATGAGCTGGATCTTGATAGCATTAAAAAGTTCATCACTTATGTGTTCTCAAGATTACAAAACAGTGAGCAATATATTGAAGGAGCGGTATGTTTTTTTTTAAATAAAAAACACATTTTCATGGAATAAATGAGATTTCAGCTGAAATTGGCAAAACTTTTACGTGAATATAAAACATCGGTGAGCAATACAAAGTTATATTTGTTCAAGAGTAAACAACTTGGTGAGGCTGCGTTCAAAAAAGCTGTTAGGTTCGTTTATTGTTTTTGTTTTTTTTAATGGAAGATGTAGGGAACAGTTGGAATTTTGGTGGGAGGAAGGAATTTAGTGAACAAGCTGAGAAGTTTCAACATAACTTTTCTAACAATAAGTTTCAAGCTCAAATTGAATTCAAAATTAGCTCAAAATATTATTTAAACTTAACTGCATCTGATTTTGTGTTTTCAAAAACTCCACTGAAAATTTACAAAATTGATTATTTCATAAGTAATTTTCAATTTCGAAACCACTCGAAAATTTTTTCAACAACGAATAGACCGTTTTATTTTCAAAAACTCAACTCCAAACATTTTCCAGATCTGACTTGAACGAGCAACTGTGTCGCTCAATGACTTGCAACGGTTTCGATGAACTCTCACTCCAACCAATCGATACATATTTGGTTAGTTATATTTTGTCTTTCTCTAACAATTAAAAAACATTCCAGATAAACGGCGATCACGAAAGTTGTCTCGATGCCAAAAACCTGTTAGAAGTCAAAGATTTAATTCTTGCGCCATTTTCACCATATTTTTAATCTAAAATGATGCTTTTTTGAAATAAATGTTTTCATTCGAGATTTTTTTCTTCTTCGAAAATGAAAAGAACCGGCCATTCATTCGGTCCAGCTCTATTTGTTCATTTCATTTCTCGTGACTGACCTGCGCACCATTTTTTTTTCCAAAATGAGTGAGAGAGCGCTAGAGATCCAACAAATTTTCTGTTGTTTATTTATATTTATATATTTATATATATATATTCTCTGTCTCTAGCTCTCTAGCTCTTTTTTTTTCTTCTCTACCATCGTCCAGTTCAGTTCAGACAGTCGGTCACGACTGACCAATTTGAGGTGTTCGTGTTGTTTCTGACTCAACCTTCAAGTTGTGGTTGGTTAAGCTGTCCAAGCTGTTTGGTTTTGTTTTCTCAAATTTTTGTCGGTCAATATTTATTTGTAGTGAGAAAAAGTTTTGAAAGAAAAATTGTTAGGTTTGACCAATACGTTTTGTTTCGGTAAACTTTAGATAATTGGAAAGTAAACATGTGTGAAGTTGAGTGAACTAGTTGAATTATGTTGCATAAAATGAACGTTTTGAAGGTTTTCCAGAACTGAAACTTTTTTTGAAGGCTGAATTCATTGAAAATTAAAATGAAATACTTGTCATTTTCAGGAATTTGAAAAATTTGTTCTGTGAGAATTTCGTCAGAAATTCAAAAACCATTATGTTTGGAATAAAACATGAAAATAGTTCTTTGTTATTTTTTCTAGAAGATTTTAGCCATAGAAAAAATATATTTCGCCAATTTAATAAAATGTTTGTGAATAATGGGATCTGTGAATAATAAACACTTGGCTTTGATTTTCGAAAGATCACAAATTTTTTTGTGCTTTTGTGCGAAATTTTGAATAGACCGATCAAAATACTAGGAATCTCGTAATTGTAATGCTTTTTTCATAAAACCCAATGATGTTTTTACAGGAATAACACTTGTCCAAAGTAAAAAATATAACAAAAAATGCGAAAATATATCGTCCAAAGTCTAGCTGTCTGCGTCTCTCGAGTATACAAACTATTTCTCTATTCGTGTCTGCGTCTCTCCAATATTCACACTATTTCTCTGTTCTGTATTTTGAATATAAGTTGGACGAGAGTTGGACGATACATTCTCGCATTTTTTGCTATATTTTTGACTTTGGTCATCGCATTAAGGTTTTAGTGTATTTTTTCAAATTAAATTTAGTAATATGATAATTTTCTGTGAATTTCGAAAAACAATTTTTGAGCTAGGGTACACTCATATAAATTCCGCACTTTCCGCTCTCCGCGTTAATCTTCACCTTTTTCGGTATAATTCTTTTATTTCTAATCCGCAACCTCTAATATCAAAATCATTCAAATATTTATCAACCTCACGAATGAATAAGCATATATCAATAAAGACCATAAAAGTAAACAGCTAACTTTTGCTAACTCACTCAGCTTTTCAATTCAACCACTTCCGCTTTTTCAATGACCTGTCTCTTTTTCTTTTCTTCCCGTCTAACTGTGCAAAGTTTTTTTTCTTTTTCGAAATAAGAAAACACGACTTGTCAAAAAAAAGACCTCCCCTGATGTGTCCTTATTAGCACCGCCTACTTTTTCGCTGTCTAATGATTTTGTTTTGTTTATTATATTAGACAGAAATGAGGTAAACCACTTAGGCTTCCTTTTGTTTTTGATGATAAAAGTGTTCGCTTTACGACGAGCGCAGTAATATTCAAACAACTGTTACATAGTTTTATATTATATGAATTCTCAAGTTTAGTCTTAGCCTTCATCAAAATGTTTCAATATAACCAGATGTTTTTTATTATAAGTAGTACTACTCTTATTTCGTTTCCTTTCCCAAAAACATATATGTATACATTTTTTATTCCCCCCTCTCTTCCAAACTGAAAAATGATACTATACAATTTATGTCAACGCCTTCTTGAACATTGTGTACTACTTGAACACATTTTTTTTTCATAATCAGAGCTGTTCCAATAGAATCTCGATATTTATTTATACAGAAAATTTCTATACATGTTTGCACAATGGTCATTTTTGGCCTCCTCTTATTTATTATACATTCTCATTTTTACACACAAATTTTTATTTTCAGTCAATCATGACAATTTTCACGAAAAGCGAAACCACAGAAGAAAAAAAAGTGGAGGGAGCTAAAGAAGAAACTCCAAAGGTATGTAGTTTGATTTCAGAAATTGTAATTCAAAACACAATTTTTACAGGTTGTTGTATGCGAAGCTGATGAGGAGAAGCATATCAGCAATTGTGGATGGATTCCAATGGAAGGTGGAAATTTTGATAGGTGAGGAGAGATATTGGGTTTAAAAAAATGAGTTGAGTTGAGAGTTTGAAAAAAATAGGCGTATTTTTTTGAATAAAAATCTGAACCCTCATTTTAGGAACCAGGAGAAATTTAAAATTATTCAAATTCAGATTGTTTTTTTTGCCATTTTTTTCTGAAAGAATGATATCATTTTTCAATTTTTAATTTCTAATAATATTACTGAAAGTACCTTCTCATGTCAATAATTGTTTTTTATTTCAAAAAATAGTTCCTGGATGTTTTTTTTCTATTTACCAACATTGTTTTCAACAATTCGATTTTCCGAAAATAATCTTTTAAAAAATTCCACAAATTTTCTCTTCTCTCCCCTAGCAAAAAATGAGAAAAAAATTATCTTTGCCAACCGACGCACATTTTTTTCTTTTTCTTTCTTTTTTTCCTTTCCCTATGGGAAAAAAGCGAGACATAGAGAGTATTTATTAGGCATTTGTTGGTTTGACCAATGTGCCTCAATAGCTCAGTTGGGAGAGCGTTAGACTGAAGATCTAAAGGTCACCAGTTCGATCCTGGTTTGGGGCAATCTTTTTTGCATTTTTTTTGAAAAAATATTTTTCAAAAAAAAAACGATGAAAAATCTTTTTCGAAATTTGAAAAATTTCAGATTTGTTTTTTTATCAAATAAACATTTTTTTCAGACCAAAAGAGAAGAGAAGCTCATCATTCGGACCGTTGTCAATCATCAGATTGTCACCATCTCCACTCGCCAGAACTCCTTCACCATCCCCACCAGATTATGACAATGCAGTGAATTCTCGTCGAATGCGTCGATGCACCAGATTGACATTCACACTTATTGCCATTTTCAGTTTTATCATTCTTGTCTCATTCTTCCTTTATCAACAAGGTCTCATCAAGTAAGATTTCACTTTGAAGTTTCAAATTATTTCATTAAAAAACATTTTTCTCCAGTGTTGCTTACCAAAAAGGAGTTTATCATGGATGGAATGCGGCAACATACTCAAATCGTGGTTTGACTGAAAAACTTTTCCAAAATGTTGAGATTGATCCGAATGAGTCGTATGAGAAGATTCAGGTGCCGCGAATGGGATCCAATCGTCCAGCTGTATTCTTACACGATTTCAAGAAGGTCAGTCAAACTTCAAAAAAATTAAAAAATGTTTAAGTCTGGGGTTTTTTTTTGAATAAAGTCTAGGTTAATTTTTAAATCACCCTGACATTAGAGAAATGAAATGATTTTCAGAACCTCACAGCCATTGTTGACGTTATGGGCAAAAGATGTTTTGTCAAAGATTTGGATCGCAATCGTGTTGCCTCCCCAAGAAACTTCATCGATATGCTTAAATCTATCGATGTACGTTGTGTTTTTGACATTTTCCAATCCAGGCACAACTGAAAAAGCAAATTTCAAATTTTACAGCCAATTCGAGTCGATGCATCTTCTCAAAACACAGATGTTGTCCGCGAAAGTTTCAAAGTCGGACAACCGTTGAATGAAACCGAAGTTCTCGATTTGCAAAGTCCGATGCTTCTCCGACATTGTGCATTCAGACCAACTTATATGCTCACAAAACAACAACCATCAAATCGTGTCAAAAGAAGTAACAAACTTTTTTTTTTGTTAGAAAAATTTCATGATTTTTTATTTTTCAGATATCGACAGTATTCCAGTTTTACAATTCGCTTCGATGAATGGTAAGCTTGTTGAAGTTGACGAAGTATCTCTTTAAACAAAACCTGGGTCGAAACAATTTCTACATCATCATCACAATAATTTATTTGTCTTTCTATCAATTTTTGTCAAAAAAGATACATATTTGAACAATAATTCTATTAATATTATTTATTTTACTAATCAATGTTACTTAAGGTAAACATTTATGTTTTTATTGTTTTTTTCTGTATAAAAAAGATAATTAATTAATTTCTAAGAACAGCAATTCTATATGAAACTAGAAAATTCTGACATGAGTAATCACAACGTGATATTTTCTGGTGTATTTTTCTGATAAACCGTTTTGTGTGTGTGCTGTCCAAGTTTCCGGAAATCAAGATGAGACCATCATAAGGCGTCAATAAGCTTGTGCGTAAAAACAAACATGTCAGTTTTTTATTTCTGTTTTTTATTCTTTGCGTGTGGCAGAACTGCCCACTTTTCACTTAAAAGGCATTTCAAACTTATTCGCTATGATTTCCAATATGATTATTTATTTATTCGTTTTTCTAACAATCACAGGTTTTTTTTTGAAATTCAGCAGTTTCATGAGATATAAAAATAAGTTACAGTATATTGCTATACATCTCATCCACCGTGTTGTCGAGATCATTTGGGACAAGCTGCTTGCCAAAGAATGATGAATCAAAATAGTAGAATGTTTTCAAGAAGATGTAACACTGATGCTGAATTCAGGTAAATATTTCGCAGAAAACCAATGATTGCATTTCATAAAGGTTGTTTTATATAGATTGATTCAATGCTGTACAACTTGCAATACTCCTGGTGTTGGGATTGCTTATGATTTGATTGCCAGATCTCTCGTATCGGAACATTGTTTCGATCGATATGGACCACAGTTTTGCTCAAGGTGAGGTTTTTTGTTTGAAAATGTATTGCAACTTTAGTAGTTGGCGAAATTAGAAATGAATAATTGGGAACTCAAATTTCAGGAAAATTTAATCTTCGCTGAAAGCTTGGAATTTTTTAAAGTGAAATTTTAATAGTTGAAAGTGCCAGAAAATCATTTTCGAGTATTTCCTTTATCTATTTTGAAGTCTTTGATTGTGGTCCAAAATGAACAGTTCGGATGAATAAAAACATCCTCCACGGAAAATACTTTCTATTTTTTTTTCAATCTAATACCAATTTTTTTCAAGATATGTCAACAAAACTGACGTGTTTGAACCGCACAACACATGGTCTTGCGCTGGGAAAAATCCCCAAATGGCATTCAGAACTTGTCGATTATCTTGTGGATACTGTAATTTCAACGCGGTGCATTACACTCTGGACAACGCAATTGAGGTTTGTTTTGATGTATGAAAATGTTTGTTTATAAATGAACATTTTAGGCTTGTGATAACTCGGCAACAAGTACTTTCAATCAAAGATGGAGAAATAAGTTTGGACAAGAAACTGCATCAACGTATTCTCCAATCGATGTTATCAATTCAACATTCTCGGGTTATTAATTTATTACCATTTAATTTATTGAATATGTATCGAATTTTAATTTAAAAATTTTTGAGTTAAAGATATAAATTATTTTAATATTGAAAAATTGGATTACTTGCGGGGAACATTTGAAAACCCTAATGAATTTTTCAATAAACTCACAAACTCCTTTTAAATGAGATCAACATCAAAAAGTCATAATTTCATTTTTTGCAGTGAACTCAAAAGCGTCTTGGCATAAAAAATCCTGGTACAAAATGAAAATCGTTAGAACTAAAGCTAAAAAACAGAATATGAGTGATTTGAAAATTGGAAAAAGAGATGACATAAAAAAATTTCCGAACAAACAATTTTCAATTTTCCGTGTGTCTTTAAGAATGTTTTCCGAATATGTCATCTTGTTTTTTTTCGACAGGTTCAGCGTTTTGCAAAAAATAGTGTTTCATGTTGAATCCTAAGTCAGTAAGTCAGCAAAAAAATAAAAATCTTCATCATAATCTCAATCAATCAAAATTCTCGAATATTACGAAAAAAAACTTCAAAACATAATTAAAAACATTTAACTGGATCCGGTGCATGTTCCCAATCCAAAGTGCAAAAACCGCAAGTCGCTCTACAAACTCTGAAACCCAATCTGAAATGTGACGTATCACAAGACCATCTTCGATTATTCCAAGCATCATCTCCAGTCTCAAAACGACTACAGTATCCAGGACTCATACGATCAAAACAGTTTGTTGCATTTCGATTTTCAGCAAAGAATCTGGAAAAATCAGAAATGTTTGAAAAACAAAGCGTGGAAGCGAAGCTTACGATGCAGCTCTCTTTCTATAAGAAACTCCAGCTTCTGAACAAGAGTTACAGCAAACAACAAGTGAAAAATCAGGCTCCAATTGACATCTAAAAAAATCAAAATTTTTCTGGAAAAAAGCAAAGTAAAACATACTTCTGAATGAATAATTTGGAATCTTGTCTTTTCAAATTTTTGCAAATTGATCCTCCAGATTCATCTTTACAGCATGGAAGTGCACGATTTGAATTAAGTTGTACAGTAGTTTTTTGAACTATCAAGTTATCTAAAAATGTTTATGATTTTTTTTCATTTCAAAACCCCTCTCTCACTTTTATATCGATTTTGATAATTTTTCGGACGAATTACTGATAGAAGTCGTTCACTTGGTGTTTTTCGACGGGCATACATTGATGCTAAAACAAGTTTTTTTGAAAATTAAGTTTAGAGAATAAAAAATAGATTACCCTGGAACAATCCAAAAAACAGTGAAAAAATGATAAAAATCTTGATGCTGTTAGAAGACATTTATTTTTTGATTCAAAAAGCCAAAATGATTTGGACACCTAGACTTTTTGTATTTATTTATCAGTCGTTTGACAGGACATGTATATTTATTTGTTTCGTGATTCAAACAGATATGGGGTTCGCATTGTGTGTATGTTTTTTGGCTGGTTTTGGCATATTTTTGGAATTTTCGAAATTCTTGACAGCTTTTTAAGGAAGTGAGATGATTGATTGAAAAATGTACTTTGGTTGTGGGATTATTAAAGATGAAGTAAGGCTCAAACCTTTTCAAGCAATTCTGAAAACTGTGAATTGATTTTGTTTGAAAAAATCACCAATAATGAGAACTGGAAAAAAATTTTTGATTGAATGAGCTGTAAAGTACAGCTATAATTATTTCTAAAATTTCGAAAAAGTTTTTATTACAATACTCATGAAATACCCCAAAAAATTATTTATTTTGATCCATAGGTGGCTGGAGCAGCAGCAGCGGTGTTTGAAACAGTTCCATAGTTGGTTGAATCAGCAGCGGCATTGTTCGATGTTGTTTGAATTGTGTAAATTGGTTGTTGATATTGGAATGGATATGGATATCCATGATATCCATGATATCCTTCAAAATCATCTCTAGCCCATCCCCAATCTTCTTCCGATGATTCATCATCGAAATCCCAGTCGTGATGTGGTCTTCTATGACGATGATGTCTTCCGTGACGTCTGTGAGGTCTGAAATATTGTTTTATTTTGACATTTTTTGAATAAGAATTACCTTGGTCTATAGAAATAGTTTCCTGGATATGGGTTGTATTGATATTGTGGCACTTGGTAGGTTACTTGAACAGCTGAGGTGTCAGCAGCAGTTGCAACTGAACCATATTGTGCCAAGGCGACAACGACGAGAGCCGAAATAATGATTAAAGTTTTCATTGTTGGATGATTTTCCTATTTTTCTTGGTTGTTTTTATACCATTTCAATCAAAACAAAATGATTGTTGAAAAAATGATTAATGTTTTTCAACGTTTTTCCCGGAACCAAAACATCGGAACGACGTTCAAAAATTTTTTATTCAAATTGTGAAAAAAAAATCAAAAAGTGTCATGTGATCGAGGTTCAACTCTTCCAAATAAATGTTTCTCTAATTTCAATAATAATTTTTTGAATATTTTTTCTGAATACAAATAAGAAAGTGGGAAAATTGTGCAGTATATAAGGTTATCAAAATTACACAAAACAACTTCGATTGGGAGAAAAGCAATAAAGATACCTCGAAAACTGCCAAAAATTAATAAGGGAATTAAAAAATAATTGGATTGTATAGGAAATCGGAAAAATTTGACAGATATTATACAATAGACGAGTAATAGAGGTATGCTAAAAATTTTGAAATTTGTATACGCTACATTGTAATTGTTCAATATCGTAGTATTTTGAGAATAATTAAAAGTGTAAATCTGAAAGAAACAATAATATTGAAAATGTTTACAGATTTACATTACCAAATAGTCTGCGCAAGTAGTTTTTTGAAAAAAAAAATCTACGTTCACAAATCCGTTAGTTGCCATAAAGATTATGAGATATGCAATAAAACTTATTTTTTTCAAAAAGTTTTGTGGAAGATATTTTAATGAGTTAATATTTTGGAGAGTCATGTTAGAGAAAATTAATATCTCAAAAAATAAAGAATAAAATAATACTTTGAAGTGAAATCCAGGTATGAATAGAAGTCTGTTTAAAACATTTGGTTTTTGGTTTTGAGGTGAAAGCAAACTTACATAACATAAAAAAGTAATTCAGTATTAATCGTTAACTCAAATGGTGAATAAATGAATAAAACCAAAACTGACAATGATAAATAAACATGGAACACAGCTAGAATACAAAACACAACAACAAAAAATCGTGTTTTCTCGGTTTTTAGACACAACCAATCAAGTCGAATTTTAAGGATAAATTTTATAAATACAAATGGAGTTACAAACAAATTGATAATATGGAATGAAACTTCTATTTCAGTAATTCTATACATTCTCGATTAAATTGCTGAAAATATTCAATATTAAAAGAGCTAAAAACGTTGGAAATACGAAAAAAAAAGTACGACTATCCTTTAAAGAAAGTAATTTCACTATAATTTGAGTATTAACATAACATTATTCAGAATTGGATCTGAAATCTGATCACAGCAGCTGGGAGGTTTAAAAACGGTTGATTAACGGTTTATAAACCAACTTTAATGAAATTTAATCAATGAAGTACCGATATTTAATCCACGGTTGATCCCCGTTGATTAACCGTGGATTAAATCAGGAAAATTTTCAAAATTTTTGAAAATACTTAACACCCAAAAAAGTAGCCGGGAACCTATTTTCATCGATTTGGGTAATTTTCAAAATTTAAAAATTGGTTAATCCTCGGTTCATTAACGGTGGGTTAAGCGTTGGTACTCCGTTGATTAAAAGCAGTTTTTATCAACCGTTAATCAACCGTTTTTAAACTTCCCAGCTGCAGTGGATGCTGATCTAACGTATAAGTTATTATTTGATCTCAATAAAAATGGCAAGTGCTTTTTCAGCCGCCTAGAATCTATGCAAATTACAGTGTGTAAAATCAAATAAGCATATCTTAGAAAAGCTTTTTTTCAAACAAAAAATAAGGCTCAATTTTTTTTTGACTGACATTTAAAAATTATGATACAGAATTAAAACAGTTTTCATTACTATAAAACACGCAGTGTCGGGTCTTATTGCGATTAGATTTAATCACTCTTAATAACAAAAAAAGTCATAATCACCTCTTCCTTTCTATTCGATGTTTTTCTTACCTTTGTAATTGAAAAAATACTTTTCTTTTCACATCAGAAATATCATGATTACATATAATTGTGAGAACTCTTGACTGAAAAAAATGAACCCAAAGTATGAGATATTATTTGAATTTATTCATAAATCGGAAGGTGCCATTTCTGTCTAGTATATTATAAGCTAATCATAGTGTTTGAAATATCAAGTAATATTATAATTTGGAAAAATTTTAGAAAAACTTTTTTTCTAATATTTCAATAATTATGAGAAACAATTTAACACTCTCAGAATCTCTTGGCAATCCTTTAATCATGATATCCAATGATTTAAAACCATTTCTTGCATTTTTCGTGATTCCTTATATAATTCTATTCATTCGGACCCCAACAGAAGATAAAAAAACGATGACTCATCCATTGTTCAAAGCTATATTTTTTCTCGTTATTTTTCAAATTGTGTTTTACATTCCATTTTTAGTGTTTTTGTTACTATCTGGGAATTTTGAATGTCACATTTGTATATTTATTGTGTAAGTTTTATGTTTTTATCGAAGCAATTTCAGTTTTAATTTTAGATTTATGTTTGGGGTTTTCATGAGTATAGTTTCGGAATACGATGGTCTTCTCCTCATATTCATTATGTCAATCCAACGATGTGCAGTTATGTGCAATATAAAATGGTTGATTAAGTTTGTACAAGGCAAACCGTTGATATTACTGATCATCAGTACTTATGCTTTCTTCATAGGAAGATTTTTCAATAGAAAATATTACAATTGTTTATCAATTATGTGTCCTTTTGATAGAATAATCAATAATAACTATGAATGCAGTGTGTATGAACTGTCACCAACCAGAGTCTCAATAACAGCATTTTCTTCAATTATTCTTGTGATTATGAGTTCAATCCTATACATTGTTATTTACATAAGAATTCGGAATAATTCCGAAATCATGTCAGAAACAAAAAAACGGACAGAGATGGCAATTTTAAAAAATACTGTACCTTTTGGATTCTTAGCCCTGGTTGGTTAACGGTGTGAGTTCATTCAAAATGTTGATGTTTTTAGATACGACTGTTTTTCGTACTACTTTACTACGTGTTTCCTGAACATTATGCAAAATATAGAGATCAATTTCTTTGTCGTGAATGGTTGACTGTGGGAAACATAACACCAATTACATATGTTATCACACATTTTGATAGATTTCGAGTTATGTTTTGCTGTTGTTGCAAAAGTAATAGAGTGGAAGATTCGCCGATGAGAACTATGGCCACTTAAAAAAAGTTTTTGATTCATATAATAAAGTTTTTTATCTGTAATTTACTCAAAAATAATTCGGTGTCCGAAGCAGAAAAAATAAAAAAAAACAAAAAAAAACCGTTCAAAGTCGAACTGTCTGTTTCTCTCGTTCACACACACTATTTCTCTGTTCGTCGCGAGACCTGTTTGCATTGCCTTTTGAAAAATGGAGAAGAAAACGCGAGCTTTAGACGTTTTTTTTTGCTTTTTTTTGCTTTTTTTTCTGCTTTGGACACCGGTCAAACATATATTACAATGTGAGAAAGTTAGTTTAATCGAGCCACAGTGTGCCTTTATTTGATTTACAGTTTTCCTAAAAAATTATCTTTGATGTGTTAAATCTACGAAAAAAATTATATCAAAAATGTTGAGGTGTGCATTTCCAGATGTCACATTATCATCCTAACTTAACTGATAACAATGCAGTATTTTTTCTTTAAGAGGTCACTTTTGATAGTAATCACAAACAAACAATTTTTCCGTCTTATGAAATGCTATTTTTATTTTTTGTATGGTTTCCTATTCTTATTTCATGCTCTTCATTTCAACTAGATTTGAGTGGCGAATGGAAATTCAGCTCTAAAAATAAATCGATCACTGGGATAGGTTAATATTTCTTTTAAAAATTAATTTTTTTTTAATAATAAAGAAAAAAACAAATTGCAGGTGTGATACCTGGTGATATTTTTAGCGATTTGTATCGGAATAGAATAATTGAGAATCCATTATTTGGAGATAATCATTTGAAATTTCAATGGGTAGCTGAAGATGATTGGACTTATTCGAGAGAATTTTCAATTGAAAATAGTAATAATTATGTAAGGATTTTTCTTTATAATTTTGAACAATGCTTATAAAACAGGGTTTTTTCAGTCTCACGCATTATTGCATATTGGTGAATTGGACACAATTGCAGTAGTTTCGATAAATAACAAAACAATTCTGCATTCTCAAAATCAATTCATTGAACATAATGTGGATATTTCCAAATATCTGAGATCTGGAATAAACATAATTTCAATCGAATTTTCAAGTCCCACAAAATTTGCAACGCAATTAGCAGATGAATTCGAGTATTTCAATAATCATGAACTTCCACCTGTTTGTCCGCCATCGATTTATCACGGAGATTGTCATCCAAATTTTATAAGGTAAATATGTTTCATTTTCATAGGAAAAAATATCAACTGCAAATATTTTTAGAAAAGCTCAATATAGTTTTTCATGGGACTGGGGACCATCATTTCCAACTGTTGGTGTGCCCGGAGATATTTTTATTAATTTTTTCGATTTGCATTTCTTTGATGATTTCACTTGGACAACCGAATTAATTGATGGTAGGTAAAATTTCAATCAGTTTTATGTTTGAATTTCCAATTTATTTTTCAGATTTTTGGTACGTCAATATTGAATTTTTCTCACTTCATTATGGAATTGAAACAGATATTCGATTTATTGTTGAGATTAGTGATTTAGTGAAACCATTTTCATTGACGTATAGAACGGATCGAAATTTGGGAGCTCATAATCATAAAGTGATAGGAACTTACAAATTGGATATTGAATCGAAAAAAGTGGAAAAATGGTGGCCAAATGGAATGGGTGGACAGCATTTATATGAGATTCGAGTTGTGTCGTGTGGAAAAGGTTATTTTTGGGAAATAGTAGACAACATTTTTTTAAATTCTGTTTGATCCCCCCTCCCCTCAATTTTTTTTGTTAAAAATATTTTTTGGAAATTTTGAATTCACGCCCAAATCAAAATTTTGATTTGGGCGGGAATGATCCCCTCCCCCTCGAAAATTTTTTCCAAATGTCATGATCTCCCCTTCACAGTTTTGGGAGCAGTGTCATATATGTCTCTAATTTTTGATTTTTTTTACCAGAAATCCGCAAACAAATTGGATTCAAAACCGTCGAATTGGTTCAATCATTCATCAATCCAAAAATCCCAAAACTGGGAAGAAATTTCTATTTCAAAGTGAACAATGTTCCGATTTTTCTCAAAGGTTCTAACTGGATTCCCGTTTCAATGTTTCGAAATTTTACATCAAACACAAATAAAATGGAATTCCTTCTTGATTCTGCTGCAGATGTCGGAATGAACATTTTGCGTGTTTGGGGTGGTGGATTCTATGAATCTGAAGAATTTTACAATTATGCCGCTGAAAAAGGAATATTGATTTGGCAAGATATGATGTTTGCTTGTGCTTTATACCCAACTGATAAAAATTTTCTCACAAATGTTAGAAGTGAGATTGAATCTCAAGTGACACGATTGAAAAAACATCCCTCAATTCTTGTATATGCTGGAAACAATGAAAATGAAGCAGCGATTAGAGGACATTGGTGGAAAGTGTCAAACTATTCAGGTATAAATGCTAAAAGCTTTTTAATCCAAGACGGATTATCTGACAAAAAGTTGTTTCAGAAAACCAACAAGTTCGAGATTACGTCAAACTCTATAGCCAAATTGCAAAAATCGTCACAAAAATTGATTCAACAAAGCCATTTGTAATGTCTAGCCCATCAAATGGTATTGAAACTGAAGAAGAGGGAGGAGTATCTAAAAATCCATATGATGTTAGATATGGTGACATTCATTTTTACAATGAGTTTGTTAATTTATGGCGAGATGACTCATTTGTAACTCCGAGATGTGCAACCGAATATGGAATTCAGAGCTTTCCTTTGAGAGAAACTATGTTAAAATGGATAAATGAAAGTGATTGGGAGTATACTAGTCAAACTATGTTTCATCGACAACATCATCCTGGTGGAATTGCTTTCAATTTACTTATGATTTTTTCACATTTACCGGTAAGAATTGAAAATTTCATATTTTCCTGAATCTTTCAAATATTATGATTAAAAATATTCCCTTGTCAATAATCCCATTAAAGAATGCGCTTAGGAAATAACATATATTTTTCTATAGATACCTGATCAATGTCCTTCCAAATCTCTTGTTGACCTTCACAAATGCGAATATCTGACATCGAACAAATACATGAGTCGTCTTGCTTATTTTTCCCAAATACACCAAGCGACTGCACTAAAAACACAAACATTTCATTATCGTCGATTTAGAAATTTGACTAATGCAGAAGGTTTGGGTAATACAATGTGTGCAATGTATTGGCAATTAAATGATGTTTGGGCTGCACCAACCTGGTCCACTATTGATTTTGAGCAACAGTTAGTGAAAAATGAAAGAAGGGGGTAACTTTTAGGGTATTCATGTTTTTTTTTCAGATGGAAAATGTCACATTATGAAGTGCGCAGAATGTTCTCGAATCTAGCTGTATATTTGGTAGGTTGTTTTGGGCAAAGTTAATTAGGGTGTTGTTTTTTTCGGTTCGGAAAATTAAAATGAGATTAGTGTTTGTATTGGAGCAGTACGAAAAAAATGAATTGAAAATAACATTTACTTGAACTGATAATAAATAAAACTAGTACAACTATGTATATTAATGTTTTGCGTCATAATTTATTTCGGGTAACAATCCTATGTGGAAAAAGTGAAAAATGAAACGAGGAATTCGGAAAACATGTTGAAAATTTCAATTTTCTGACAAAAAATCGGACCCCTCAATTAAAATTCTCAAATTTCAGTACATAGATCCTGCCGACTTCAATCTAAAACCAGTGATAATAAATGACGATTTCTCCGAAATTCTTAATACAACAATGCGATTACAACAACTCAGTTGGGAGAGCGGTTTAGATCCTGTATTTTCACAAGAATATCCAATTGAGCGCATTCATCCAACCACAGCACAAGAAGTGGATTTGAGGTTTTTTTCTGACTTTGTTGTTTATTTATTTATCATACATAGATTATTTTTTCAGCTTAAATGCTATAGAATATTCAGAACTCTCGGAATATTTATACGTTGTGCAGATTTATAATGCGCAAAATCAAATTCTTGCAAGTGATGTGTTATTGCCAAATTTTCTTTTTGAGGTAATAGATAAAAGATTAAGATTTTCTTCGTCGGAAAAAAAAGACATCTCATCGAAAAATTTAGGTTTCCTTGAACCTATTCATGAATAGAAAATGAATCCCCATAACCACCATATTTTTCAGATAAACTTCTCGACATTTGGAAAAGTGAGGATTGAAAATATGAGAAAACAAAACGCAGGACTTTATGAGATATTATTGAGCACTGATCGAATTTCACCCTTCACATGGGTTTCTTGCTCAAAACAGTTCAGCGGTTGGTTCAGTGATAATGGTTTTCATATGACAGGAAGAACGAAAACCATAGAACTGGTGCTGAAAGAAGAAATGAACCTGAGTATCAATGACTTTAGTGTTTGTAATTTGAGAAATTGTTATTTATGATGTTGTATTTGATGCATAAACCAATTTATTAGAACAAAATCCCCCAACCCACAAAATATTTTATTTTGGAACCCCAGTGATTGGTGCAATTGTTGCTGCGATTTTTTGTTTTTGAGTTGCCGCTGCAATTGTTGGTGCAACAGTTGCTGGTGCAGGTGTGGTGACCACAAAAGAGTCCAACAAACTTTGGAATTGTTTACTAACATCTGGATCATTGAGAAGGAATGCCAATCGATCGAAATAATTGTTCAAGTCAACGGTTTTTTGACCTGTCAAATCAGCATCGCTTTTTGATTTCAACAAATTCACCAAGAATTCCACCACTTTCTTCTTCTGATCTGCATTTGTCAACGAGGCGACATATTGATTGTAATAGGCTTTGATTCCGAGAAGCTTCCAGAGGATTTGTTCTTGCATCACTTTTTGCGATGGTTTTTTCAAAACATCACGCAAGTAGTTCTCAAGTTGTTCTTGATCCGGATTTCCGAGATAGGCTTTAAACGCATCATTTGACATGATTTTTCGCGAAAGTTCATCGACAATATTATCCTCAACGAGAGGCAAAGATTCGTATTTCAATTTTCCATAAGAATCAATCTTTGGCTCAACTAATTTCATATCGGGTTGTTCGTCTTCATCACCTCTGATGAGATAATCCTTGGTATCAACTCCATGTAAATCTGAACCCAAGTTAACACGTCGAATACCAATGTGTGAATCTTCTTCCTCATCTTCATCACCATCTTCATCAGATGTTGGGTTTTTCAAATGTCTTCTTGGTTTCAAATCCTCATCAGAAGATGCTGAGTCGGATTCTTCTCCTGCATTTTCTTCAGAAGCTGATTCTGAATTTTCACTCAAATAATCCTCATCGGAAGAGCTGGCTGTGGCCATCTAAAAATAAATTCGTAAAATTTATTCTGTTTTTAAACCAAGTGTGTAAAATTTTTTCGAAAATCTTTGAATCTACATTCGGCGTCCAAAATTTTGATTTCAGAATAAAAAATTGTTTATTTCTGACAAAGTTTACTGGTCTCGGCCACATAGGACGTGTGAAAATAAACGCAATCTAAACTCTCGACCCTATTCACACCCCCGCTTGAACCCACCATAATAACACCAAACAAACATAAAAATACCAATAGTTTGAACATTTTTGGAATATTTTATAAATGCAATGAATTCGCCACATTTTATAGTTTTTTGTTGTTAATTAGATTATTTTTATTGTATCGTTTTTTTTCGAGACGAGAACAACGAAAGAATTTATCACTCGATGACAAAAAACTTTACATAAAAATAGATAGATCAAAAAAATCCTTATGTTAGATAAATACACTTATTTTTTTCAGAGTTGCCTCACTTTTTTCCGAATGATCCCGAGTAAAATCTGCAAAAAAAAATAATTCGATAATTTTCTTTCTGAATTTGAGTATTACCTTGGATCATCTGCTTCAGCTCGTTTATTTGTGGCGTAGTCGTGGATTTCGTCAATGACTGATCGTTTTCCGAATGACATTGACATGAATCTAAAAATAGTATTTTTTAAATCCTCGTTCTTTCTCAAATCATACCTTGGGTCTTCGAAGTCGTGTCTTCTTACTCGTAGTGCAATATATTTTTGTGTGGGCTGATCATCATAATCTGAAATTCCGGGTGCTGCCAAATATCCTCCTCCAGATCGTTTTCCATAAGCTGACGAAAACATGCGTGGATCATCGAAATCAGCTCGTTTCAAATATCTGTAACTGAAAAATTCCATAAATTTATATATTTTCTTTCAATTTAGTAAAAAATCTGTTTTTTTTTTCATTTCAAATTAGAAAAATTGTTTACTCACCCGCTGGCTGAAACTAATTGAGCAAGGCAAAATAAGATAAGGATTGACTTGATGCACATTATTACCTCTAGAAAAAAAATGTATTGACAATGAGGAGGAAAAAAAGACAAATTATAGAAAAATATATAAAATGGACTTGTGGGATTGTGGCTGAAACTCCGCCTTATTCAGAAAAAATTCACTAATCCCTGTATGTAGGCGGGATTTTACGACAAACAAAGAGAATTTTTTTTTTCGAAAATTCTCCCCTTTCAGCTCAGCTAGAATAGGTCTTGATTGGTTTTTTTTTCATAAGACCAACATTTTTCTATTTATTTTTTCTAAAGATGAATAAATATATTATGAAAATTGAAGGAAGAGAAGGGAAAAGGTTAGGAATGATATGAGGAGGGGAATAACAGAAAAAATGACCAAATCTTAAAATCCGGCTTATTTTTTTCGAGCCAAAAAATATAAAAAAATTTATAATAATGACGAGCTCCGGTTCTCGTAAATAAAAAACTTTTTTATATTTTGTTGGGCAATGCATTTATGAGTGATATGAACTTGTAAAAAGGCAATAAGAATGTGGAGGAGTTAGGATAACTTCAGTTGAAAAACATAAGCAAAACTTTTTGAGTAAAGAATAGAATTTTAAATCAGTGTTTTCTTCCAAAGATTTTCTGTGGTGTTATTTCCAGAGATTTTCCTTTTTGTTAGATTATTTTCTCTTGAAACAATGTATATCATAAATCTATCTGATTTATTATACATAATCATATTTTTTAGCAAACGTTTCCTTGCCGAATGTCAAACACATTATTCCAATAATATTAATAAAATAATAATGATATTGTGGAGGAGGAGGCACATTTTTCACATCTTACAAAATTAGACAAGAGGGGAGCATCAAGAATTCCACGTCATCATAAGCGAAAAAAAACACCATCATTATCAATGCAATAGAAACTCATCAAGAAATATGGTAAACAAGAGAAATTTTGCCTATCTATTACAATTCATTCATCTCATCTCATTCCAGTACAGTACAGTACACCCACGTAAAAATTTTATTTTGAAGAGCAATTATGTTCTGAAATGAGCCTATTAGTTGTCAAGAGAAACAAGGAAACTAAATATTTTCAAAAAAGAAAAAAAACGCGAGTTGAATTTGAAACATTTTTATTTTAAAATGATGTGGGCAAAATTTGTATTCGGGATGAGAAATTGATGTATTCAAATTGGATTTTTCTGTGGTGAGAAACAAAATTGAAAAATGGGATTTCTCGCGTTTTATTTTAGGATAGTGAAAAAGAAACCCTTGATTTCACAAAATTGGCTTCCCCCTCAAAATAATTCAGCAAAAAAAGAAACCTTTCAAATTCTCACACTTTATCGGAAAATATTGTTTCTAGACTTGTCAAAAACACAATAAAATTGTTTGAAAAACCAACGAGATAATATATTTTTGGCATTCAAAAAAAGAAGGGAGGGAAGTGACGATTTTGATGGATCACGAAAATAATAATTAAATTTTGGGTGGGGTTCAATTCGTAAATAATTTTTTTGGGCTGGGTTGCACAATATTTTATTCACACCAGATACAAATTGCTTTTGTTCTTTTTTGGGGATAAAAAATATTGGTTTGGAAAAATTTGGTTTTTTTACGATATGCAAATCTCGAATTTCAATTTATCCGTTTCTCAAACACACGAAAAATATCTCTGCATACGAAGAGAGCAAAAACAATGGTGCTCAAAATAATTAATGTTTTCAAATGAAAAATCTGCATTTTGAAACCTGTAATCAAGTTGGAAAATCCATAAATCATCAAAAGTTTGAAAAATAAATGACGTTGGTTTTCACGAAAACTGAAAATAACCAGATTAAAAGAATTTTGCTTTGTTTTGACAAAGATGATGTTCTTGAAATAGATAAGTTGGTAAAAATATGAGAAAAAAAATTTTATATATGAAAGTGCATAACAAGAAAAATAATAATATACAATGTGTGAGGTGAAATTGTTGAATTGAATAACCGAAAATCCCGATCATACACTTATACTGCGAAAACTGACTGATCTACAAGCATAGACAAAACCAGTAGCACAACCATGAGCATCTCTTCCAGCAACCTGAAAATTATCAGATAATGTTTTTCTTCTAGTTTTTTTTTTTGCAAAATTACTTTATAGAAACATCTGCAGGTGCCATCCAATGATAATCCAGGATACAACATTTGACAAGATGGATCATGTTCTGATGAAGGTTGACCATCAGTGTATGGGTTAAGAACACGGCAATTATAAGTTGGTCCTGAAAACAATTTTTGTGTTTTTTGGAGTTAATTTTTTTGGTTTTCTTTCGAACCCTGATAAAAAATACTATTCATAATGACGCAATATAATTTCAGTTTGAAGAAAATCTCGTAGAAGAAGCTAATCTAAAATATGCATGAACAAATTCTTGGATCTATGATTTATAGATCATTTTCAAATCTTTAATTCCCTTATTTATTTGTCATAACTCCCCCACTTTTCTCAAAATCAAACCTGAATATCTGCCAACTTTAGGACTTTGAATAACAACTGGTTTTGGCAATGATCGTGAAATTGGGTCCAAATGTCTGAAATTTTATAACTAAAGTTTTTTTCTTATTTCTCTTGGAATTCTTTACGTTTGTGGAATCGGGCGTTGCAATGTTCTTTGAAGTGTTCGAATTGGTTGTTTCCAATTCTGATTGAATGATGGTTGATTTCTCGGTCCAGAAACCCATCGAGTTCCCATTACTGTAACTGGACGTGGAGCAGTCTAAAATGTTTTTTTTGTTATTTTTATTTCGAAATTATTTATTTTTTGAAGGATCAGACTTCTATATACTGTTCTTTGAAATTCCAAAATCCTAATCGTTTTCATGGGTGTTTTCTGACATCATTTCATATTTTATCCTTGTTTTTGAACATCACTTGTGAGCTTTGTACTTTATTTATTTTCAGGAGTTATTTCAGGAAAATTCAATAAAGTCAGGAATGATCTTATAACGGACAGGAATATTCGAATCGAACTTACCACTGTTGTTGGAGCTACAGTAGTCGGAACTGTTGGTGCTTGTGTGAAAAATACTCTTCTTGTCCCTGAAGTTGGTGTTGGTGGTCGAGCAGTTGTGGGCAATGTGACAACTCCACCATTTCGCCAAACTGGACCTCGGTTGACCACAGGCTGAAAATGTATGATTTTGATAATGGTGTGATGATTAGGAAATGTTAGAGAAAATTGGAAAAAACTTCAGGTCTTTTGCTAAACTAAAATTGCCTCTTTATTCAACTCACACTTTCTGTTGTCTGAAGAGTTGGTCGAAAAACTGGAGGTGGTTGTTTGGCTGCAAATGGGCGACGGAACCTGAAATGAAAAAATATGGTATTTTAAAGAGTTTCAGAAAAAATAACGGTTTTGCTGTGGTTGTTGTTGTGGTTGTGGTTGTGGTTGTGGTGGTTTCTGGTTCTGGCTCAGGTTCTGGCTCTGATGTCGTTGTTGTCCTTGGTTTATGTGTAGATGAAGAATACCAAGTGAACTTTGGCTCAATTCCAGAAGATGGTGTAGTTGGTGTGAACCAGGTATCCCAAGCGCGAGTTACAATTGGAACCTTTGAGAAAAATTTTGTTCTCACAAAACATATTAACTAACTACCTCGGTGACACCACGATCTTGTCCAAGTTTGAAAATATTAAACATTGGAAGTTGATCAATGAATTGATCATATAAATCTTGTTTATCTACTGGTTTACTCAAATCATCCGAAAAATCATAATCAAAAGACTCGGGATTAGTTAGCGCAACTTCGTCGACCAACTCGATGGCTTAAAAAAGAAAAAGAGATGATAAAGATAAATTTGGAAAAACTTACGTCCTCTTTTGAATTTTGGAATATCATGATCGATTCTTGGTACAGAAAATACAAATATCAAGTTCAAAAATAGAAGTAGAATTGAAATTGATATCATGTTGTTATTCTCTAGAAAAATTAAATTGAATTAAAATGTTTTTCAACTAAACTATTTTCGAAACGTTCAATGGGCGGAGCTTCGAAAGAAAATAGTGTTGTTGTAAAAAATTAGTCTTTGTCCACTAATTATGACAGTAATTGAGCAATTAATTTTCAGAGTAAAATTTTTTTGTGTTTTGAACTAACTGAAATTCCAAAAAGAAGAAATGAAACAAAATGAATTTCGAAAAAAAAACTTGAAGTAGTAATAAAAATTGTAATCGTATCAGTAAAGCCTTGAAGTGAAAAACAATAAAAACAAGTTGAAATTTCAAGGGCGTCTAACTGATAATTCTAGTTTGGTTGTCATATTTCTGAATATTCTCAGAACATGGGAAAATATTCACAATTTCATGAAAATTAAAGCTCAGAAAATGAGAACAAAAACAATGAAACAAGTTGAAATTTCAAGGGCGTTTCAATTTTATCACCTCATTTAAAACAAGAGACTTAATTTTAACTATTAATGCGGTTTGTTTTCACATATGTTAAGTTAGTTAATTTTTTGGAAATAATAGTGTAAAGTCTGAGAAAAAATTACAATAAGGGTCATTTTGAAAAGAATTTTATGCTTTTTTCAATTAAAATTTTTGGTGTCAGAATATCTGACTATCACAAATCGCTTCCAAACTTTTCGACAAAATATTTAACAAAAACATCTACCGTATTACTTTACTTCCTTATTTTTCACGTTTTCCGGAGAAAACCCCATGACTTAATCAAAATCTGACCGTAACATTTCATAAACAAAAATAGAAAAAAAACCCCAAAGATAAGAGAACGTGCGAGAATTTCAGATAACCTTGGTTTGGGTGTCTTTCATTTCAACAATTCTCTCAAATTGTTGAAATTGACAGACAAATGAGAAAAATGTAAAGGTTAGGGTTTATGTGAGATGAAATGGTCAGCTATTTTGATGAATTATCTTGATTTGTAAAAATGTGACACGCAATAATATTTGTTGATGTTTTAAGTTAGCTAAAGGTCAAAATAAATCACTTTTGTAACTTCTTTCGAAACTTTTTGTGAAAAAAAATCAAATGGTAAGTGACCTTTAAAAATTTGTGACGCAAAAAACAGCAACAAAAAAATAATGTATACACTAGGAAAAACATATTATGATTACTAGTTTTATTGTTTTATTTTTCAAGAGGATATTTTTCTTTTATCCATAAATGAATAAAAACATAATGAAACAATAATATAAATCATCACATAATTATGAATAAAAATAATATTTATTTTTTAACACATAGATATGCAAAAATTGATAAATTATCACATGCATGCAATTCTAACCGGATTTTTCAACCTTTTTTTCCAATCATTTGATAATTTCAGTAGTACCAGGTACTTAAAGGTCACAGGGGTTAAATCTGTTTTTTTTTCAATGCCAAATTTTTCAGTTTTTTTGCGGTTGGCTATCAATTTTTAGCAAGATAAGAGAGAAGAATGGAGTTTTTTTGAGTGTCGAGATTTATTGGCAGTGAAAATTATAATGGGAAATTGAAGTGTTAGGCAATGTCATAAGTATGATAAAATTGGTTTTAATTACTGATGGTTCTATTTATAATTTTCAGACATACATATATTTTTATAATCAACGATAATGACTCAGTAAAAATGTGTAATGATAAATCAAATATTCTGAAAACTAAAATCATTAATTCATTTTATTGAATTTTCATTCAACAATACGTAAATCAAGTCGAAAAATGAAACCCATACCTGGCCATTGAACTCACATTTTTTTCAATGTGTATTTTTTCTCTAACACATTTCTCTGATGTAATTACAAGTTTTCTCCGCGGTCAGTGTTTTTTTCAATGTCAAGAAAAAGTTTTATTTATAAAAAAATGAGAAAAAAGAATACAAGTCAAAGATCATCAGTATTATATTATATGATTTTTTTAAATTCTGGATAACGATTCAATGTTTTTGTCGTCTCAATTTTCCATCAACCACAATCCACTTATCATCATTACTATCATGATTTCGATTAACTTCTGAGTCGTGCATTTTCTTGGGGATAAAATCTCGATGTTTTTTGTATGAACGTTTGTAGAGTTTGTTGAGCAGCGCTTTTACAAGGTTCATCTCATTTCGAAGACGGAAAATATCCTTGCGCATTTTTTTGAACTCATAATCTTTTTGAATCGCGATACTGTTTGAATTTGTAGTGGTTGTTGGTAGAGTTGTGGTTATGATTTCACTAGTAGTCGCCATAACTGTAGTCTCAATTATTTTTGTGATCTAAATCAAATAAATTCTCATAATTTATTCTTATATGGTTTACCTCTTCTGGTTGCATAGTGTTATTGATTGGTGTCATAGACATAATAATTACAGGTTCTGTAGATTTTTTGATCAGTTCCTAAATTTTCATTGAGAACATGTGGAATGAAGTTTTGGATACCTGGAAAGTATTATTCAAAAAAAATAACATGGGATAACATGAAAAAAAAACATAGCTGAAGTCTTAGGTAAAAGCTATTCAATACATTTTCCATAGTTTTGGAACAACACTTTCAGTTTTTATTTTTCCAAGACATTACCTGAATTTGGGAGAAATCTTGGACTCTTATTGATATTCAAATCCTCCTCAATAGAATTTTGTTTGAAAACGGGTTGCAAAATTGGCTTCTGATTGTTCCATTTATCCCATTTATCTTTCTCATAATAATCTTTGATTTGTTGATTGGTTTTATTGATTGTTTCTGGCTCTGGAGATGAGTTAACTTCATCGTCATAAATTGTATTATCTTTGACATCGGCAGGTGGAGCAACAGAAACCGGGAAAAACCAATCTTCGATTGTCAGTTGAGAGTTGACAACTGCAAAAAAATTATGTTCCAGAACTTTCATCAAAGGGGACAGATTAGATCAAAAATCTTCTTGAAAAATCTCCATTCTTAAAAAGTGTGAAACTTTACCTGAGACTTGTAATATCAACCAAATCGAGAAGAAGTGAATGAACATGACAAAAAATCTCGAATAATGTTCGGAGAATAGAAAAAAAATCATGTCATATCCCGCTGTGTTTGGCTCATCAAATGGATTTAGGTCACCAACACCAACACCGGCGATGCTAAAAGGGAAACTGGGAGAAAAACACTCAATTTATTTATTCAAATTAGTAAAAGCCAACAACAACTGAAGAAATTGAGATGAGAAAAAAAACAGGAAAATGCAACAACAATAAATACCATTTTCAATCGGGGTAATTGGATACAATTCTCTCAAGTATTTGGGTTTTCACTTTTGATGAGCAACTAACCTGTGTCAAGAATTTGAAATTTGAGTTGATGAGAATTCAATATTTGGAATTCACAACATATACCAAAAATGCATTTCTTTTCCTACAAAAAAACATGTTCTGAATTTCTAATGATTCGTGGAGCTTCAGAAACTAGAAATGTTTAGATTTAATTTAAAATAACTCTTCAGCGGCATTCGGTCAAAACCGGAATAAAAAAGCAAATCTAGAATAATTGTGCACCGAACCTTGTTTATTGTGTCGGATGGCGGTTTTGATACGTCAGACTACTGAAAAATAAGAATTGTTTCAGAACAAACTTTTTTTGACACTGCTCATTTTGTGTTGACATATCCATATACTGAATTACTCAAAGAGTAACATTAAGCAAATTGCTCTCTCCGTAAAATCCCAGTCATGGGACTAACGTTACTAGAAAACTTGGATTGATTTTCATTTTGATATCTTTATAGAAAATTTTCTAAACTCTGAAATTTTCAAAAAGATTTCGGCTTTTGTATATGTATTCATTCAATTTGAATGAAACGTTTCTAACATAAATATTCTAAAGAAAATGTTCAAAAAGATTTCGGCTGTGTCATATGTTTTTATTCGTTTTGAAAAAAAAAGGTTTCTAACATAAATATTCTAATTAGTGAAACATTTTTATCAAAAGAACTCTCAATGTCAATTCAATTATAACTGAAAGTCCAATTATATTTTTTTCTGAATGTTAAGAAAATCACACAAACAATAACAAGTTTAATATTAAATTTTTATGTTCCATTTTCAATTTTTGGTAATCAATATTAAATAAATAACTACATGAAAACCTCGATGTTACAAGTGTATTTACAATCAATTCAGGTGAAACTTGAAAAGATTCGAGATCAGAAATCCAGAGGAAAGGACCAAAAAGACAATATTTTGAAAATGGTTGTGATATCAATATTTTGGAATAAATAATATGTAGCCCGAATTTGAAAGTTTTAGAAAGAAACAATTATTGAGGAATTTGTAAAATGAGGGGGATTGGGGGGAATTCGTGAAAGAATCATCAATGAGGAACTCAAAAACATAAAACAAAAAAGAAAAGAGAAAATTAAAGCCGGTGAAAATAATTGAAAAAATAAGTGCCCGAATTGAATTTGTAGTTGTGTTTTTTGAGGAAATGGCACCAAAAAGTAATAGTTAGAAATTGGGAAAAGAGTAATCAATTTAGAAGTTGAGAAAGCTTTAAAGGGATTTGTCAGTGATTAGAAAGCAATTGAGAGGGACAAAAGTGAAACCTAAAAAAATTAAAATACAATAAATTCCTAGAAATTTGATCTTGATTCTTATTGAGCCAATGAGTTTTTGAGTGCTGGATTCAAAACCATTCCATCGAAAATCTCGGTGAGCTCTGGCATCAAATATTGTTGAAGCACAAGAACATCTTCCAATCCGCCTCTGCAAAAAATGATAGGTTTGATTTTGCAAACGAGTTGAGAAATGAAAAACTTACTTTTTAGCACAATATACACAGTATACTGTGAATTTGCTATTGCGTTCTTTGACGAATAAAATGTTGAAGACTTCGATCTGAAATATAATATTTTATTGATTGATTTGAAAAACAGTTTCATAATTAGAAAATTAATATTTTAAAACAACTTACGGAGCATCCGGAGCAATAATGTGCAACTTCATCCTTGGTTCGTGGATGTTGTCTCAATTGTTTCCCATTTGCAATCGCAAAATCGGCAACAATTTGTGAGAATGATAGCGATCTAATCAATATACCTCGAACCAATGCATAAAGTGCTTGATTTGTGAAAAGCACATTTTTCGCAAGTTGCCAAGCAAGATGTTGCATCGGTACCAAAGATTTATACTCGCTCAACTTGTTCCATTCATAACTTCTGATCGCCATTGACAATTGTGAATAATTCAATGGAGCAACATTCCAGGCGATATTATTGCACCAACCGGTAGCCTGCACCCAATGCACACATCCACCACCAACCCAAACCATATCACCGGCTTTTTGTGTGAAACGATACACTGGAACATTTGCATCGAGTAATTCTTCGATGTTTGGCCAATAAGATCCGGTGAGGAAGTTCACACCATTTCTGAAAAAAATGTTTATATCAATGAATTTAATAGAAAGTTAGGTGTTGAATTTTTGTCTCTTCAAAACTCGAATCATAAAAAACTCACTTTCTACAAAGAGCTTCAACAACTCCCCAATATTCATACGGACAACCGAACCATTCGCAATCTCCAGGCCCAATATTAATATTGATCGAGGCGAATGAATTGTTCTCTTGATGGGCTGGAGTTCTTGATCCAGGCACCTTCATATATAATTGAACCGTATTCATTCCAAGGATTTGATGACCAAGATGAGAAAGCATATTTCCACCAGCAATTATTCGACAAAAAGGTGGCATTTTGGAAATTTCCTGGATTTGTGCTTTCCATTTTGTTTCATCCGAAAGATCAACATTTGTGCCGAATTTGATGGTTTTCATTGAAACGCGTTGCTCGTCCTTTTCCGAAATTTTCTTCCGTTTTCCACCATGTCCATCAGTCATTTGCTGCGCATATTTCGATCCAGCCTGTCGCAGTTTTTCAGCTTCTTCTGCAACAAAATAATTTTGTTTTAGAAGAACTTGTTTCAAAACATACCTTTCAGTGAATGTTGGAAAGTTTCAGCTTGATATTGTGCATATTTTGCAATCGTAGTAAATGTTGGTGTACTTTTACATTCCCAAGTTGGATGTCCGGAATGATCAACATTAACATCGGATGGCATACGATATTGTGTTCGAACTTCCATCTCATCAGAACCGGCATTTTCGAGAAGTGTCTTTGTAGAAAACAGAGATAAATCCATCTTTAGTACAGAAGTCAAATTGCGAATAAGAGCAATTGGAGCATTCTCTAGATATCGTTGAAGTTCCAAAGATTGTGCATCATTTCTCGATTCAACATTTAGTAGAGCAGTTGGGCGTAAAAGTTTTGAACGATCACGCTGAAACAAAACGTTTTTTTGAAAATTCATAGGTTTGTTAAACTTACCAAAACTTCTTCATCAACTTCTGGGGGAAGTGGTGGATTTGGAGCAGGAACATCCTCATCAAAAACTGGCTTATAATCTGCAGTTTTTGCTATTCTTTTCGCAGACATAGTTAAAATTTCCTGCGAAGTAACATCATAAGGAACATTAATTGGAGCAAGTAAACTAAAACTTGATGGTAGATCCGAAAGAGGTTTGGCGAATAATTTGATATCTTCTTCAGTCTCCTCTTTTTTCACAACATCCAGATGTGCTGTTAACTTTTTCTTCTCCCGTAATGAAATGACATCAGCTTCTGTAACTTGTGGCCATGGAGATGTTTTGGGGCAAACTAGATTGTCATTGATGTTTCTTTGAAACATTCTTGCTTTTGTTTCAAGTTGCTCATAGACTTCCTTCTCCTCTCCTTCAATATATCCTTTGTTGGCATCTAATAATTGATAAACTTGAAATTGTAAATCAGTGAGTGGTTGGAGCACCACTTTTTCCTGTTCTCCAACTGGCGCCGCCAAATCACCCATCCTCCAAATTGCACTACCGTCTCGATATTTTTGCTCTTTTACCTGAAAAATCTCTATTTTGATTTGAACATGAAAAAACTAAAAGTGCACATTCTTGGCTATCGCAAAAACATGCTATTTATAAAAAAATTATTATTATTATGATAACAACAAAATAATTCTTACACCCACACAGACATCAAATCAAATCAAAACGATTCGCTAATTTTCATTTTTCGTCGCCCTGATTTTATTGTACATTTGGGCAGACAAAAAACGACTGACCTAGTGTTGCAAGATTGATCACTTTCGAAAAAGTTTTCTCTCTCACTTTTTTATTCAAAACACGAAATGTTTTTACGCAACAACTAATCTAACCTTGAAATTGCATAGTTAAAGCGCGTTGCGTACACATTTCTATTTTCAAAAGAAGAACGCGAACACTATGATTCATTAAGGGAAGACACGCCTTTTGTGTATTCAAAAAAGAACGAGCCGACAAAGAGGAATAAAAAACTCCAATAAATTATCTCACCCTACAAAATTCGTCCTGTCGTTGACGAAGCTCAGATGGTATCGGTTGAGTCCAGGCTTCTTTTAGTGGTGGTAATGGTCTGCAAAAATATTTATATATTTTTTTGTTTGTAGTTTTGAAAAATTGAAAAACAAAAAAGTTGATCAAGGCCATCTAGATTGTTCTACTTGTTTTAAAAGAAATGGGGTAAATCGTAGCCGGTTTTGATATTTTTGGGATAGTGTTTCTAGATATTTTTGTGGCACTTCATTGTTGAAAATATAAAATCCCTACTCATACGAAATTCTGATAAAATGGGAGCCTGGGAAATAATTTTTGATTCAATCAAAAAATGACTCACATAACTCCTATCTCAATTTGTGCGGTAAAAAATCAGTTATCAAGTGAAAAAAACCGTCCCGTTCGAAAAAAAATTCTGATAACGTAAATTTTGCTGTGTGTGAGAAGGAAGATAAGCGAGAACGGATGGATGGCATTGCCCGGGTAAGTAAGGCAAAAAAATGGCTGCGATGGTTGTAAAATCAAAAATTGAACGACCTTCGTTATGCAATTTTTATCACGTACATCAAAATATATATATATAATATATATATAAATTTGTAATTTTTGGATTTGTTCTCTCTCAAGAGACTTGCAAAAACATAAAGTTCAAATGCACTTTAAGCAAACGGGGAAATTATTTTTTTCGTCAGAATTTTTTTCTTTTGGAATTTTACTATCCCTCAAAGCTAAACTCACTTATTGTTTGAATTTGTTGGAGCTGTGGTGCTATTTGTGGCTGTTGTTGCGGTTGGTGGACGTGCTGGTACAGGTAGCGCTAGCTCTTTTTCAAGAACTATTATACGCGATTTTAACGGCTCTGGGGCACCTGGAAAAATGAATCATTTTATCTAAAAAAAAGGTCTTCAGAAAAAATGAGGCAAGAAAAATATTGTTTAAGTCAGCCTGCTGGTCGCACAGCGGCTAAACTTTTTTTCTGGGGGCATGCTAATTTTTCAGATTTTTTTTTGCAAAAAAAGTAAAAGTGATAATCGTAGGCGCAAGCAGCAAAAAAAATTGATCGCAATGTACGTGATGAAAAGAAAAAAAACGCGAGAGACGAGTGTAGGGCACAGAATACACACAAAAAAACATAGAGGCAAAGAAAAATGCTGCGTAAAAACGATAAAATAGTGCGTCAAACGAAGAGACGCCACTTTTTTCTCCTGCAAGACAGTGGGCGCATTGAGGAGATGCTAGAGAAAAACTATTGGCCAGTCGGTCGCACACACACATAACCGAATGGGGGACACTGACCAGCATATACGAATAAAAATAGAGAAGGAAGAGGGGTGAGAGAGAGTTAGCCAATGACCAGAGACGAAGAGGTGAAGAAAATTGAAAAAAGGCACGCAGCTGACTGACCACTGGATGAATGAATGAGAACGGGGCAATTTAGAGAACAGCAAAAACCACACGGGGTTAAGACAATTTCAAAAAAATTATATATCCCATCTTTTTTTTAATTGAAATTAAGCTAAATTGCTAGAAGATTGAGGGGTTCAAAGTTAGAGGATCCGAACTCACGGTGTGTAATTAACTACCCCAAATCGCCAGACCTCAAATGTTTCAAAAGTTTTTGGGGTAGATCAAAAATAATTTTTTTGCGTTAATTTCGTCGACTTTTTGGCCACAATCGTGTCAGGTCTCAAAAAATGCGCGAATTTTTTTGGGTAGTAAATTACACTTTATGAACTCTCAAAGTTGAAGTTCTAAAATTCTGTCTCAATTCCCTGTCAGAAAAATTTGCCAAGAAACCTGAACATTCTCAGATCTATTCTAGAGCAAACAAATATAACTTTACGTTTTTAATCAAGCCAAAGAAAAAATGCCTAGCGTGTTCAACTTAATTAAAGTCCAAAATTCCCAAGAAAAAAGTAAGATACAATGTCAAATGTTGTCTAGACCACCAAGTGACAAAACTAGTCTTAAAAACTGGCCCAATTCTGACTCATTTTTGGCGAAAAACAAACGTGACAAAATAAGAAGAAGAAGAAGACTAAATGGAAAAGAAAAAGAGTTGATTTTTGGTTGAAAAATGATAAGCCCCAAAAATAATATGAAAAATGAAGAAGAAAAGAAAAAGAAAAAGAGAATGAGGAGAAGGAAGTTAATCAAGCTAATCATTAAAATATTATTCATACATGTGAGAAGCTAAAAAGAAAAGTGCAAACAGATTATGATTATGAGTAATATATAATTTCTAGTCAGCTTTGAGGGTTTTCATAATTTTTGAACTCACTTGGATTATATTTCACAGCTTTTTTATAACATTCTAGAGCATCGTGAAATTGTGCATTTTTTTCGTAGAGCTCTCCAAGATCTGTCCAAGCGGCTGAATGTTCGGGATCCAATTCGACAGCACAAATGAAAGCCTGAATATTTTTATGATTTTTTTTTGACGCGAGGTTTTTTAGAAAAAATACTTGTGTTTCTTGAGCCAGTTTGATTTTCAGAATGTTGAAGCTCTAAAATTCGCCTCACAATTCTTTAAAAGTTTTTTTCCAGAAAAATTCTCTATATTGTCTAAAAAACTTTTATTTTCGCGATTTTCCTATTGAAATTATCCAAAAATTATTTTTTCGTGAAATTTTCTCAACAAAAAATCATTAACATTCACATTGAATAATTTGATGGGGGGCAAAAACAAACATTACGTTATTTTTTTGTGGCTTTCTCATTTTTTGCAATAATGGAGAATTACACAATGTATATACAGTTTTTTTGGTGGGGGCTGATTGATTTTTTCCGTTGTTGCTCTTTTGAAAGATATCAATCATTTCTTTTTTTCCTCACTATACACTTTCTATCTTTTTGTTTGATATTAAAAAAAAGAACGACGTTCATTTTCTTGTTCTTCTCATTTTTCTTACCTGTAGGGCATCCATTGGCTGAGTTTGTTTTTGGTATAATGCACCAATTGAGCACCAAGTGTCAGCATTCGCTTCACTTTTGTCGATTGATTGACGATAGTTGACAAATGCTTCATGAGCCTGAAAAATAGTGAAAGTGAGTTTTTGATACAAGTTTGGGGAAAAATAATTTCAGATAGTGTTTTTGACAGGGGCACATTGATTTCCAAGCTTACAATATCTTGAAAAATCATTCAACATGATTAAAAAAATCATTCTAATTTCAGTTAGCCTATAATTATTTTTCAGCATTGTTTATTTGAAAAATTTGTTGATATTGATCAGAAAAATTTTCGATTATTTTCAAAATATGAAAAGTGTAAAAGCGCTTTTGTTTTGAGAACGCATGTTGAAATAAAGATGGGAGCTTCAAAGTAGTAACTTTTTCCTATTTGAGATCAGATTTTCCTTTCATTTAATCTAGAAAACATTTTCAAAATTTTCGTTTTAAATGATTCCTATTACATGTTTACTAGTTTTCTAAGAAAACAATTTATATGACCCTTTTTCTCTATGGTTTCACTCACATTAGCATCAACTTCTCCATGACATCTTCCAAGATAATAATAACTTCTTCCATCAGTACTCTCAATTTGTTGTGATTGACTCAAGTATTTTTCAGCCGCTTCCAAATGTTTAGCTTTCTCATTTTCGTCTACATAACTTCTACGATATTCAATCCAACCAAGTTGACGATGAATCGCAGCTTGAAGCTTGACTTGATCCGGCGTTGGTTGTCCACCTTGATCTTTTACAGTTTTCTCCAAATCTGCCAACACTTTTTTATATTCAAGTTCAGCTTTGATCAACGCATTGTTGTTCTCATAACTCAATGCAATGTTGAATCTCAACGTCAATTTATTCATAAATGGTGTTTCAGTAATATCCATCAGTGCTTGTTCATAGAATTTCAGTGAATTTGGTAGATCATCAATATTATGAAAGCAAACAGCTAATCTTGCTTTGGCGTCAAGGGCGTGTGATCCACAAGGAAATGAGTATAATAATTTTGAGAATGCTTCAGCTGCCCTGAAATTCGCACATTTATTGAACGTAATCCTTCAAATCCAGGTTTCACTTACAATTTATATTCCTTGTAATGAAAATAAACCAAACCAAGTCCAAAATAATTGGCTGGCTCCTTCCAAAATAAATCTTGATTCGTACAAAACGCTCGTTGATATGCTGACAATGATCGACCCCAATCCTGTCCTAATAGGCAAATATGACCAAGTTTTAAGGCACAGTAGAAAATTCGCACTTGAACTGATTCGACGTCGTGGGTTTTTTGAATTTCCAGCATATCATCCATGTATTTTTCCAGTAATCGATTACCCTGTAGTTTTTTTTTATTAATTTTGAAATTCCCCGGTTTATTTACGGTCATTTTTCACCTGTTAATCATCGTCAAACATTTATACATAGAAAAAAGTAATGACGTGCTAAATAGTCACATTTTTTGGAACTACGTATTACTTGACTCAGTGATGATTCACGATGATTCATAAAAATCTCTGCGTTTTTCGGAGGCAAATCACAATTTTGGAATGCTATTTTAAATGTTTTCAAAACAACGCTGGAAAAAACGAAAAGAAGCCAACTCGATTTAATAACTCTAATTCTAACTAATAAGTTTCATCCAGCCCCAAAAACTCACTTTATATAAAATCGATTTTTCAGGACAAAATCTTGGATCGCCACCACAATAAAACTCATTGAAATTCAGACTGAAAGAAAAACAATTTTCCACGTTTCAAAAAAATAAGGACAAACCTGGTTAATTCGATTATCCGTAAACGTTCATGTGTGTTGAGTGATGGTTGAACATCAAGATCACGAAATAAAGCAGCCTGCAATAAAAAATGAGATTTTTTCAGATTTTCGATTTTCAGGGAAAGAACTCACATCAAATAATTGTTTTTTAACCACATTGGGAGCAGTTTTGAAATTCACAAGACTTTGTGGTGAGCTGGAATTCTAATACTTCAAAATAGTTGCTTCCTCATTATCAAAAAAACTTACTTCAAACATGACATCTGGAGGCGGCGTGATGATAAACCGATGAATCTTGACACAAATATTCGAACCACTCAACGTGATTCGCAAGAACACGTGTAGTTGGCTGGAAAAAATATGGATGAATTGAGAAAAACCATGGAAAACGCAAAAAAATGTATTGCAAACAAAATACTTTTTTGAATGCCTAGCTGCGCGCAGAGTCATAAAGCGGAATGTTGTTCGAAAGGGGGGCGCATCAAAGGCTATCAATCAATATGCGATTTTTTTTCTCAAGGTTTTTTTGTTTCTTGATGAGGAAAAGGAAAAAAGTTTACGGTCATTTAAAATGCTGATTTTCTTTTGAAAAAATTGATGATAATTCAATTTTCATACTCGAATGATAATTGTGAGAAATTAGATGAAAATAATTATTTTTTTTATAAACACAGCGTGTAATTTACTACCCAAAATTTTTTGTAATTTCGAAATCCTGCAATTTTTTTAAATGATTTTCATGAGAGATAAGTATATTTTTTCAAAACAATGAAGTAAAATAATATTTTTTCAAAGACTTCAATTTGAAAAACTAAATTTTAAAATTTCTTCAGGAAAAAACCTATGAAATTTGGAATCATAATCTAAATTGAAATTATAAAATCAATTTTAAACAATAAACCCTAAAAAATCAACAAACGTGAAAAACAACGCAAAAAATGAGCGTCCCTCCTCTTATTCCTTGATCAGGTGTGTGCGTTGAGATGCCTTTAGGAAACACGGTGTATATTTCATATGCATTATTTATTTTCCAACTAAAAAGAAGCAGAGATCAAAAATGGAATTATTGAGTGAATAAACCTGGAGATTATCAAAAAAAAATGAAAACATAGAAAATTGTGACCGGGGATTTTTTCAGACAAAAAAATAGGAAATTACATATAAAATCACAACCTGTAAACATTATATTTCATAAAGTTTTGTGTTAAGTTCAAAAGTGAACAGGAGTTTTTTCAAGAAAGACAGGCACTATATGAATTGGAATTTGCTACAATTATAATACAGACAGTTGATGATTTTAATATTGAACTTCGCCATTTGACGAGCAAAATTCGAGTAAGTTATGACATCTGGCGGATAATGAGATTGGCTGATGAATCACGTTATGATCTCTTGAACGACTATGGGAATGATTTGAACGATGCGTTTTGATGACTTCATTTGTGGTGACGTCCAATGAAATCTGAAAAAAATGAAGTGTTCTATGAGATCTTGGAGAATAGAATTTGGGTGTGTCATGTTCAAGATTCATTTAAAAATATTTGTCGAAAAAGTTGGTGAAACTTTCAGTTTTTAGACACAATCCTAAATTTTCCACCTTTCCTTATTTTTAAAAATAAATTTAATTTCAAAGTTTTCTCACTCCCCTCAAAAAAATGCTCACCTGATTAATTTGTACAGCAAACAATCCAGTCAGCATAATTGCATGCATCGCTGACAAGAAAAGAGTTATCAGCAAAAATGAGCGGGTGTTGACAAAGTTTTCTGAAAATAAAAATTGTGTTTCACTTTCTGATCTTCAACAATAAATCTTACCCATTCCATGCTCATTGATTTCAATCAACATATAATGAAGAGTTGCGAAGAAATAGATGGCTGATGAAAAAACGACGGATAAAATGAAAAGTATAAATTCCCGCATATTTTTTCGAGTTATGCAACTGTGAAGCCAGGGACAGTGATGATCGAATTTTGAGACACAACTGAAAAATTTTGTATATATTTTCAAATTAATTTCTGTGAGAAGTAAAAAACTTACTGATCACAAACTGCACAGTGTTTGGTGTTTTGCATTTTTCGAACAAAGCATGTGAAACAATATTTTTCTTGGTATTGGATTCCAGATTCGGCTTCATTTACATATAATTGATGACAATTTTTGGGCGGTTTCACAACTCCAGGGTCAATTGTGGCGAGTCTGTAAAAATAGGATAATTTTGAAGTGAATTGTCGAGGTTCAAAAATCACAAAACATACCTGAACAAAGTGACTGCGAGTGACATAATCGATAACACAAATAACATCTGTGCCCACCATGGAACATACCAATGTGCATAAGATGACCAAGAAATTGTTAATAAACTAGCCTCAGCAATAGTTACACCATATGGAATTAATTTGTATCGAGGGTCATGAAAATCAAATCGTAACGTAACCATCGCAAAAATACAAGCAATCATTGTCAGAATAGTTGCAAATAAGAATGATATTTGAGAGAATAAATACCATGTTGCAAGAATGAGAAGAGCCGGGAGGAAAAAGTAGAAATATGTGCTGAACGGAGGTGTGAACAATTTTTTGATGCAGTTTGAACGGTAGAGGCCTTGTTTTTGAGCGGCATTTTCAATGGCGTCTGAAAATTTGGCATAATTCAGAAACTCGTTCAATGTATGACCTTTGGATTTTATCTTGATTTGGATCTTATTAGAATGTTATCAGATTTAGAATTTTGAAATATAGTATCTACGATTCTAGAAAAATAATAAAGAATGATACTTTTTTTTGAATAAAGTTCAATTTTCCTTTTTGTAAATTTTGTTCATTTGTTCCCCGTTTGTAGTTTTTAGTGATTTCAAAATTTCCGTAGTTACGATGAGTCACAACATTTGTCAACAGAAACTAATTTTTGAAACAGTACAAAATTTTTGTAGCCTGTTAAGTTCATATGAACAAATTGAGTTTTTTTCCTTAGAATTTATATTTGAATTAGTAATTTATATTCTATCTTACCAGAGCATCGGATATATTTTCCCATAATTTATCCAAAAAAACCCACCTAAAATTTTTGGGTTCTTATTACTCCTCGCCAAATCAATCGGTGTTTCCTGTTGTTTGTTCCTAATCGAGACGTCAGCGCCGGCGGCCAGCAATTCGCTAAAACACAAAAAAATTATGATTTCTGTTTATAACCAGCCCAATGTTTACATACGTTACTGCCATATAGTTTCGTTCTGCGACCGCAATATGAAGTGCAGTATTGCTCATAAAATGTTCTTTGATTGATAAATCAGCACCCGATTTGACAATTAATCTCAATGGAAACATTGTAAAAGATCGATAAGCACACCACATAGCAGGGGTCATTCCTGAAATTTCAGTTTTAATTGTTTTTTTTGCAAAAAAAATATTGGTGAGGTTAAAAATCTTACCACTATTATCTGTGATATCTTTAGCGTAGTCAAATTTCAACAAAAAATATGCAACTAGCGGAACATGTGATCCTTGAATAGCCAGATGAACCGGAGTGTAACCTTGAGTATCACGAGTATTACAAATTGCTCCAGCCTGAAAAAATCGACGAGATTTTGGAAAATATTTTTTAAAACAATAGTCACCTTAACTAGAACCGCACAAACTGCCACGTGTCCATTTCTAGCAGCCCAGTGGATTGGAGAGGACTTCAAAATTCCACCAATGATGTTTGGATCAGCTTTGTATGATAAAAGTCTGGAAAAGTTGATTGAAAATTGTTTTGAAAATTGACTAATTTTTTTTTCATATTTCATATCTTTTTTTTCATGGGTACCATAATTTTGTAAGTGAATTAAAAATATTTTTTGATAGAAAACCACTTTATATTTTTAAAACCGCGAAAAACTCACATTTTCACAACATCTAGTTTATTGTTAATTGATGCCCAGTGTAGCAACGCGCAGCCGTCCTGAAAATTATTGATTTTTTTCTCTTTGTTTCAAAAAAAATTGCAACAAAAATTATGAAATTTGCCATTTTTTTGTAAAAAAAAACTCACATCATCAGTAGTATTGGGGCTTAAACCCTGTTTCAAGGCTTCTTCAACAATTCCAGCATCACCATGTTGACAAGCTGCGATAACACTGTGTAAATCATATAAATTTGGTCGCATAGTTGTATGTGTTAATGGATCCGCATTCAAGTCCATTACAGCTCTCCGCTCAGCTGTCTGAAACAAAAATTTGAAAAAAGGTAAATCAATAATTGTCGGAAAAATGAGAGGGAAGGTCAACAAAAAATCAAGTTTCTACTACTACTCGAAAAAATGTAAAAAACGGAGCAAATAAACCGCAGAAAGGGGAGAAAAAGGGAAAAAGAGAGAAAGCGCGCCCTTTTGAGAAAAATATGTGTGACTACTTTCTGCTTATATTAAACCATCTGCTCTTCTTGTTTTAATCAATTTTCGCTTTTATGTGCGAAAAAGCCTAATGTACGATGATGAGAATGCATTTTTCAATAAAATAAAAGGCAAATGTGATGTGAAAACTGAAAAGTGAAAAGCTGAAATATCGTGCCCAAGATTGTTATCGGGACAAGATTTAGTTTAAAAAAGGTACCTTTTCGAGAAGGTTTTTTCTTTGAAAAAGATAGAAATTCGAAATTAATTGAAAAAAAGAAAAATAAACGAAATCGGTTTCAGTAAAAAGAATTGTTATCAATCACCAGCAAAAAGAAGAACAATTGTTACAACAAAGAGAAAATTTCGAAAGGTTGCATAAACTGCAATTTTTGCGCCATCATCTCTTAAAATTATATGATTGGCGCATATTTAGTAGGTATAAATTAGGGAATGATAAAAAAAAATGATGGGGTACATTGTAGCGGTTTATAACAAGGAGAAAAGGACGATTTTTTCCTTTTCCGTTTTATTTCAACAGGTGGATTGGGTTTTGATTGATGTCTGCGTTCAAAAAACAGCTAGTGTCTTCCTTATTTTCGATTGATTACGTAGGAGAAAATGTTTATGAGTGAGTTTTTGTTTGAAATTTTGATTTTGAAAAAAATTTTGTGAACGTTAAACACATGTTTTCGAAATGTAATTTCAAATCTGAATGTGAATATTTTTTTGACCAATGGAAAAAATTGAAATAGAGCCGAGCTAAAAAACATAAAAATTATGTACAAAAAAATTCACAAAACCTAGGTCCAACACACAAAAACTGTACTGTTTTCTTCAACGAAATGTTTTTCTGCCAGAAAACACATTTTCGGAGACACAAAAACCTTTTGTTTTCAAGAAAACACACCTTTACAAACAACAAAAAATCTTATAAATTTCTAGATCCAATTCTCCACACATTGGGGGAGTAATTGGGCCAAATCGATTATTTGGTGGATATATTGCCGCTCAAACTTATTTTGCAGTACGCGATGCATTGCGAAAAAATCACGATGAACGTGTCATCTTCAGTATGCACTACAATTTCGTATCAGCTGGTAGGGTAAACAACACAATTTTTTGTTGATTGCAGGAAAAAAACAATTTTTTGAAAAATAACAATGAAAATAACTTTTACAGGTGATCCAAACAAAAATATTTATCTCAAACTAAATCAACACGACAACATTTATTCCATTGAAATAGCACACGATCATAAAAATATTGGTCTTGCTCATGTCAAGGTGATTTTATTTTGACATTTATTTTTTGATTGTCACATCATAGACACAATTTTCAAAATTAAAGCTCGACACAAATTTCTTGGATCGTCCGGAAAATGAGAAAAATGTTAGATTTCCACATATGACAAATTTACCGACAATGGGAACTTTGTTGGATAGTTTGCCCAGTGAAAAATGGCGAACTCATTATCACAACTTGTTCAATAAATTGATGTTCGAAGTTCGACCGCAATTTCTGATTCAGAATTATTCTTTGGATAATCATAAAGTCGCGTTTTATGCAAGAATTTATCCCGAATGTTTGAGTGAGTTTTTTAACAGGGAAGTGGAGAGGATTTCAAAAAAGAAAACAAAAAAAATTGAAATAAAATATTCGAATATTTTGACAGAACTTTTGGAATCAGAAGGAGAGAGAACAAATCTAAAAAACCCTCGGGGAACTTTTTAAGTAAAAAATTGATCAATATTGTTATCGAAAAAAGTTTCTTGAGAGTTATACTAATTCGCGACTAATATTCAGAATAAAAAACAGGAGCACTTTGTGAATTATTTATTATTTCAGAAAGTGTAATAAAAGTAGTCTTCGACGAAATAATCACGAGTTAGCTAACATTAAGTAATGCAAAATTTTATATGACTAACAACATGACAAAAATTATAAAAACTCAGATATCACACTTGAGCAGTTTTTCAGCAGTTTTAAGCAAAATCGATTCTACATACATATGTATATACTAATAAAATTATTCGGAGAACGCTCGAAGTTTTTTCCGAAAAATTTATTTGTAGTTTTAACCACATTTTATTTCTAATAAAGCCACAAAAATATTATTATAAACCTTTTCAAAATTAGATTGAACTGAGGGATTTTCAAAGAAAAATAAAAACTATTGAAATTTGAATTAAAATGAACAGATTCTTAGGGTTAAAATTCAAAGAAGATAATTTAAAAGTTCATACATGAAAAATACCATGAGTTGATATTTCAAAAATGATATTCGAAAGCGAAACACTTTTTCACGAGAAAAACAATTCTTGATTTTTCCAGGTTTATTAGACGAGGATTCCGGTATAATAGCAGTAATCGCATTGTCTGATTTTTTCGTTATTCAATCCGCTCAAAATCTCGCCAGACAACATGGTTGGAAAACTTCAACAGCCGCATCGTTACATCATAAAATACATTTTCATACAGATTATGTGCAGGTACCCTACATTCATTCAATTTATTAATTGAAATAACTAGAAAACTTTTAGGCTGATCAGTGGTTTTACGTGGAGACCAAAACCGAGACATCAACTGGAAACAAGGCAAAAATCTTTGGTCATTTGTATGATAGTAATAAGAAATGTGTCATGTCTTTCATTCAAGAATCTTACTGTGTTGCTCATTTACCAGAAGCTAAATTATAATGATAAAATAAACCGTTTTCTTTCTCAAAACACATTTTTTCCCTTTGAACAAGAAAACACACACACAACGCTTGTCTGTTTCACACAAAAAGCGCACACTAAACACTGGCGCACTTTGCGATGCACGGCTTGCTTGCCCGGCAAATTTCTTTTTATTTCGCACGTTTTCTATTTTTGTTTTTGTCACGCTACTTTTTCTTGTATAAACATATCTGTAATTTGAAATTTTGAGAAAATTTTAGGTAACGATGCTTCGAGTTGCCAGCGGTGGTATCCGCAGCGCCATTGCCACACGATCAGTTTCGCTAACTGCAGCTAATAGGTATGTTATAGGAATTTTTGTTATTTATTGAAAACAAGTGACATTTCAGTGATGCTAAACGATCTGAAATTGCCAAATACAAAGTTGTTGATCATGCTTATGACGCAGTTGTAGTTGGAGCTGGTGGAGCAGGTCTTCGTGCTGCTATGGGTCTTTCTGAAGGAGGTTTGAAAACCGCGGTTATCACTAAATTGTTCCCAACAAGATCTCACACTGTCGCTGCGCAAGGAGGTAATTAAAACAAATTCTTAACGATTTATGAATTCACATTATGAAAAACATTTTATTCAGGAATTAACGCCGCGTTGGGAAACATGAATCCAGACAACTGGCGTTGGCATTTCTATGACACCGTCAAAGGTTCCGATTGGCTTGGAGATCAAGATGCGATTCATTACATGACTCGTGAAGCTGAAAGAGCTGTTATTGAGCTCGAAAACTATGGAATGCCATTCTCAAGAACCACTGAAGGAAAAATCTATCAACGTGCTTTTGGAGGGCAATCCAATGATTTTGGAAGAGGAGGACAAGCTCATAGAACTTGTTGTGTTGCTGATCGTACTGGACACTCACTTCTTCATACTTTGTACGGAGCTTCTCTTCAATATAATTGCAATTATTTCGTCGAATATTTTGCTCTTGATTTGATTATGGAGAATGGTGCATGTGTTGGTGTTATTGCTATGGATCTTGAAGATGGAACTATTCATAGATTTAGATCAAAGAACACTGTTTTGGCTACTGGTGGATATGGAAGAGCTTTCTTCTCATGCACATCTGCTCATACTTGCACTGGAGATGGTGAGTATATTGGTTAGAATCCATAAGTTAACTATTAGTTGAACCGAAATCTAGAAAACCTGTTCTTACAGTTTTTGAAAATTGAATTTTTGCAAAAAATATTTTCAAGGAATTTATTTCGAAAAATTAAATAAATCCTGATTTCACCAAGTAGATGGACCTTTACAAAAAATATTTTCAGAATTTAGAACTAGGGAAATAGATAATGAAATTAATCTACATATTTTTGAGGCTCCAATTTTTAGTTAAAATATAGGAGAAAAAATCTCTAGCCAAAAATTCACACAAACCTTAAATTTTAGGTACCGCTCTCACTGCTAGAGCTGGAATCAACAACTCTGACATGGAGTTCGTTCAATTCCATCCAACTGGAATCTACGGAGCCGGATGTTTGATTACCGAAGGATCTCGTGGAGAAGGAGGTTTCTTGGTCAACTCTCAAGGAGAACGTTTCATGGAACGTTACGCTCCAGTCGCCAAAGATTTGGCTTCTCGTGATGTTGTCTCTCGATCAATGACTGTTGAAATCATGGAAGGACGTGGTGTTGGACCAGAAAAAGATCACATCTACCTTCAACTTCACCATTTGCCAGCTGAACAACTTCAACAAAGACTTCCAGGAATTTCTGAGACTGCTATGATCTTCGCTGGTGTTGATGTTACCAAAGAACCAATTCCAGTTATTCCAACTGTTCACTACAATATGGGAGGAGTTCCAACCAACTACAAGGGACAAGTTTTGAATTATTCGGAAGAAAAAGGAGATCAAGTTGTGCCAGGACTTTATGCTGCTGGAGAATGTGGAGCTCACTCTGTTCACGGAGCTAACAGACTTGGAGCCAATTCACTTCTTGATTTGGTTATTTTCGGACGTGCCTGTGCTATCGAGTAAGTAATTTATGAGAAATCATAGGTTGGAGAAAAGGGGATCAGAACATTTGTGAATTTAATTATTTTTAATTGTTCCAAAGAACGTTTCAGGAAATACTGAAATTCTAATTTTCCCCAAGAAACCCCACAATCGAATTCTTATAGTAATTATCAAAAAAAGCAATGTTTCTTTTTCAGCATCTTGAAAAACACCACCCCAGGAGTCGGAGTCCCAGATCTTCCAAAGAACGCTGGAGAAGCTTCAGTCGCCAATGTCGACAAATTGCGATTCAACAAGGGAGACATTTCAACTGCCGAACTTCGTTTGACAATGCAAAAAGCTATGCAAAAACACGCCGCTGTCTTCAGAAGAGGAGATATTCTTCAAGTAAGTTTTTTTCTTAAAATGAACTCATTTTCTTTGTGAAACTGATAAAAACAATATTTCTTGTAGGAGGGAGTCAAAGTTCTTAGCAACCTTTACAAACAACAAGCCAACCTCAAAGTCGCTGATAAGGGACTTGTCTGGAACTCGGATCTTATTGAAACTCTTGAACTCCAAAACTTGCTCATCAACGCCACACAAACTATCGTTGCCGCTGAAAACAGAAAGGAATCTCGTGGAGCTCACGCTCGCGATGATTTCCCAGATCGTCTTGATGAATTGGACTACAGTAAACCACTCGAAGGACAAACCAAGAAAGAATTCAAGGATCATTGGCGCAAACACTCAATCATCAACTCGAATGTTGAAACTGGAGAAGTCACTCTTAAATATCGTCCAGTTATTGACACAACTCTTGATAAATCTGAAACCGATTGGGTGCCACCAAAGGTCAGATCTTATTAATTTTGTTTCATTTTTTAATGTATAATCCGTTTTTTTTCTCCGTTTACCCTCGATTCAAAAAATGTTAGATCCGATTTGTTTTTCTTCTCCTTCTCTCGTTTCCCATTCGATTATGTATGTTTATATTTTTCTTTTATTTTCGAAATGTAGTGTCTGATGTTTTTTTTTACAGTTTTTAGAGAAACTGGAACAATAAAGTATTTTTGCCGATTTTGTATCTTATCAACACCAAAGAACATTTTTTCCACGTGACACTAGACAAAAAGTTGAGTTGGGGTTCGAGAATAATATTTTATCATTATTTTTTTTGAGAGGGAAATGAAACCGGGTTTTTTCTTTCAGAATTCCAAATTGTTCACAAAGAAAAACTTTGAAATATTTTAATTTTATCCAGTTTTTTTGTAAATCAAAAATATTGTTTTGTTTAAATTCCAGCTGTTTTGGAAAACAGTTTGGTTTGAAGGTTTTGCAGAATTATTATACCCAAAGTTATGAACTTTTTTCAACATGGTGAATTTTTCATTAAAAAATTAAAACCAAAATCAAACAGAAAAGTTCACAATATGTATATATAAAATCTCCACAGACAAAAAGAATAATTTAAAAAATCACGATGAACTTTGCGGGGCATCTACGTCAGAATTGAACCAATTATCATGGAATGATGAGAGTTTGTTGAGTTGTTCTTTGATTTTATTCATATCGACGTCACTTAAAATTCTGGCCCCGTGAAGCCTTTCAGCAGCATCCAAAGTTCTGTTGGGGAATAGCAATTTCAAATACTGCAAATTGATTATTATTATTATTTTCGGAAAACTACAATTTTGAAAAAAAAGTACCTTGTCTATGACTGCTTTCTCTTTCTCATTCGATTCTTGATTTCTTTCTCTGAATTGATTTGCTTTTATGATAACAGTTTCAGCCAGTATTTGGAAATCATTCACGGCAATCGTACTTGTGAGTAAGCAATCAGGTTTTGTGATAATTTTATCAGCAAGATCCAAATAATCCACCATATTTTTCTCAAACATGAGATTCTTATATTTTTCAAATTGAATGTTTTGATAAAAAGCATTAGTTGTCATTTCCATCAAATTGTGCTCGATCAATTCATTTCTATCAAAAATATGACAAAGAGTTGTGATGTATTCGAATTTTTCATCATCATATATTTGTCGTGAAGAAAGGAGAACTTTTGAAAGAATATATTCAGCGAGTGTTTTTGGATGCCGCTTTTTCAATTGTAAAAAGAACATTTCGAGATCGATATGATTTCCATTTTCAGTACATTGAAATAATTCTAAATCCCACACCAAAAACATTGAAGATTCGACCAATTCTTCTTGTCTCATATGACAAACTTTAAAGATCGCATCAAGACAAGCATCAATAACTCTTATTTCACGTGAATCTGTCATTGTTCTAACAATGTGTCGCAAAATTACCATATCATTGATGTCGCAAAGGATACTTTTCAGATAATTGATTGCTTCGATACTTGTCTCTACATTTTCACTTGAACTGTCTTCCAAAGCTTGATTTACCAATTTTTCATCATAAACAACGGGTTTGTTGTTCAACAGTGGATCACGCATTGCAGACGAATCTTTAATAAATACATTTTAATAAATCAGGGAGAGTCAAGTAAAAAAAAATAATTTAACTAAAAATCATGTAAAAAGCTCCTTGGCAACGGGACAAAATGAAGCAGATAGTGAGCAAAACGGAGTAAAAATTTAGATTGAGTGAAGGGGCGCATGGGGAGCAGGCACCGCCCATTTTCAGATGAAAAAACGTAATACGGAGAAAGAGTACTGAAACCAAAAGATCATTTTTATTCTAGAACAAAACTTTTTTGGGAAAAAAATCGATGGGGGAAATGAGAATTATTGTTTATTTGATCAGAAAGAATGAGAATCAATTTTTCTGAATTGGTTGATTTGAAATATTGAAAACATGAGCATAAAAAAGCACTCTGGGAAAAATGTAATATGTTGAGAGCGAAAAAATAAAACTAAATCTGCGATGATGCTAATCATCCGAAAAAGCCTCAAATCCAAAAAAAATCTTCAAACTAATATTAATTTTCAACAAAAACCCGAATCAATTTCAAATTCCTACATGTGACCAAATTCGTAAGATGGAAACCATTTGAAATTAAAATCTCAATCTTTTTTCTTGAAAATATTCAGCTCTCGTCAGAGAAAAGGCAATTTTCAAGAGCGCTTGGAAAAACCGAATATATCTCAGAGTTTTCTTTGCTAGAAAAATTTAATTAAATGAATGCACTGAAAATTGGAATATTTCTCATTTTGTTGAAAAACATTCAGCTTCGAGGAGCATACATTTTCAGGGAAGTACCAAACGCATTTCAAATCTCTTTATTTTCACAAACGAATGAAAAGAAAAACCATGAAAAATCCCAATTTACTATTTTTTAGATTACAAATCTACCAATTATTTTTCACGAACCTAAAATTATTATTTTTTGTTTTCCGTCTCATATTTTCAAATTTTCTGCACCCTATTATTAACACATAATAATTCATGTTGTACTTGCGGTTGAAGCTGTGGTTAGTAATCTCATAATTTCTCAAAATAAGGAGGTGTACTTGCACTTTGTGATATTAGTAGCCGCGGGTGAAAAGATGAAAATAATGATCATTATTATTGGAGCATGAGAAAGCCGTTTTGACATATGTGAAGAAAGTGATAGAACTGGAAATTTAGATTTAACAAAACTCACAATTCATAAGTTTTGCAAATAAAGTTTGGAAATAAAAAGTATAAATTCCAAATTTTTTCGTTGGCTCGAAGGTTACAAAACTTTTGAAAAGTACAGAATATAACTCTATGAGAAACAGCTTAAAAAAACAGTATTATGAATTATTTTATTTTCCATAAACATCCAAATCATTTGTCATGAAAGTTTTGAGGTTCATTACTTTCTGGTTCCAACCAACTATCATAAAATTTTGAATATTTGTTGAATCTCTGTTCGAGGTTGATGAATTCTTCATAATAGTTATCCGCCTACGTTGACTACGTAAACGGTGAAAGATGTTCAGTGGAAAAACCACTTCCAGCAACGACAATTTAACACGATGTTTGACAAGATTTTATGTCAAACAATAACAATAACAATCAAAACAATCAGGGAACAACAATAAGGGGGTAAAAATAACAAAAAAGGGAATAAAACAGGGTTTTTTCTACGAAAACCAAAACTTAAAACTGGAGGGGACGCCGATTTCTGATCAATCAATAATGCACACAAAACGCGCCAACACGAAATGCGCCAATCTCGTACTTGTTGGCGTGTTTGTTGCCCTTCACCAACAACTCCTCCAAGCTCATCGTCCCGATGAGACCAAATATTGATTGATTTAGCAAAACATGATTGCATTATTTGTCGATTTTCACACTTAATTTCTATGGTGATCTTTCGCATTTGGTTCCTTGAATAAATCCAACCACTTTGCCTCTGGCAACGCCGCCTTGACATTCTTGATGTAATTCCAAAGATCTTCAGTTCGCATTCTCGGACCTCCATCCACCATAGCCGTCAATGTCATTCCATTTTTCTTTTTCAAATCTCCTGGATCGAGAATGTGATCTCCTTTTCGTGCGACCTTTCTGACCACTCCAAATGCATCAACAATTTCTGGGATTTTGTCCACCGTACCCTGTAACGGCAATGGCAATACCCAAAGTGTTACATGATCCGGTTTTTCCTTGACCACCTCCCGAATTGTGTCGATATACGGCACATCTGCTCTTGTCCATACCCAAATAATTACTGTCTCCACTTTCTGAAATGCATATTTTTCGAAGATCATCCCGATGTCGTTGTCCTTGATGTGCAATAAACAAGCATCTCTGGATACAGCGACCGTTGCTCTTTCCATTCTTGGCATGAAAATAACAGTTTTTTGATGAAGCTCAATTGGTTGTGGTTTTGCCATGTTCTTCAATTTCTCAATCATTTTCTCTGCCGCTTCTTGCCATTTATCGAATCGTTTCGCATATTCGACAATCTTTGGGCATCGCGCGAATTCATAAATCGCTTCGACTTTGTCCTCCAAATCAGATTCGTTCAATTGTGCCCACACCAACACCTCCTTTTCCTCCAACGACAATCTTTGACGTCTTGCCGCGATGATTCCGGCCGCCACCGTTAACGACGAAGTCGCAATCTTGACATCCTTATACTCCACTTGAACCTCGCAACTATCGCAACCACATCCGGACGGTCTGGAATAACAATTTTCATTTTCGGGGACTTGGGCAATTTTTTGGATCAAATTTTGCGCTGCTTTTCTCCTGCCGCGTCCTTTTTTAGTCTCAACTGGCATATCTATGAATTGGTTTGGAACTTTTTTGACTTGATCATATGGAATTCTCAAACTTTCTGAATTTCCAATTACTGGGACTACTTCTACCGAATTTTGCGAACATTCAACAATTCTATATGGACCTTTCCATTCATTTGTCAATTTTGGATGCGCCGAACTACCCTTTTCTGTTGGAATTTTGATCAAAACTCTATCACCTTTTTGTGGATAATCTCTATCAGTTGCTCCGACTTTTTTATCAAATATATTTTTATAATTTTCTTGCTCTTTTCGCGCGGTTTCTCTCACACGTTCATGCGCCTCTTGTAATTCTTGCATCAAAATATATTTGTATTCATCCGTATCCATATGATGAAGCTTGATTTCATCCTCTGGAGCTGTCTCCATCGGAATCACTGGATCTGAACCATATAATAAAAAATACGGACTTTCACCGGTTGTTTCATGGCGCGTCGCGTTATAACAAAATACAGCAAATGGTAATTTTTCATCCCAATCAGTCAGAATTTTTAAATCTTTCTTCAAAATTGTGACCAATGTTCTGTTCAATCTTTCTACACCACCATTTTCTCTTGAATTATATCCTTTGGTTTCGGTGTGGATTGTCTGGGTCATTTTCAACAATTTATTCAAAGTTTCATTACAAAATTCAAGTCCTTGATCACTCAACAAAATTTTTGGAATTCTTCCTTCTCTAATTATCCAATTTTCAATCAACGCTTGTGCTACAGTTTCAGCTTTTTTATCTGGAATTGCGATCGCTGAGCCATATTTTGTGAATAAATCAATGATTGACAAAATATATTTATTTCCTTTCGCGGATCTTCCCATTTCGATAAGATCAACTGCTACAATTTCCATTGGTTTAGAAGTCAGGTATGGTTTGAGTGGAGCTACCAATTTTTCTTGTGAATTTCCCCAAAGACATTCTTTGCATTCTTTGTACACTTTTTCAATTTCACAACCCATGTTCGGCCAATAAAATTTCTCTTTCAATTTTTTACAAGTGCGATCTGCATTATAATGTCCGGAAAATATTCCACAATGAGCTTCTTCGGCTAATTTTCTCGTCAATTCTGATGGAACTACTCGACAAATTTTATCTGTTTTTTCCATTATTTTATACAAATCTCCGTCAACTAGCATAAAATCAGCGATGTCAAGTTTGAGCTTTTTCCCTGGAACTTTTACTTTTCCTTGAACACCTTTTTCCAATTTTTCAATGATATTTTTCCAGAGTGGATCTTGTTCCAATAACATCCGCCAATTTTGCTTTGTTGTAATTCCACTTACGATTCTGTCAATTTCTTCTCCATTTCTAGCAATTACCATTTCTTCTGGTTCCCTAACTGCACCGCGACTTAAAGCATCAGCTACAACATTGGCTTTTCCTTTCAAATACAAAATCTTTGGCGTGAACTCTTGCATTTCCAACGACCAACGTAACAATCTATCTGCTAATTTTGCGGATTTGAACAACGATGTCAACGGCTGATGATCAGTGTATACTGTAATTGGAACACCGTATACAAAATGTTTGAAACGTCGAAGAGCTGTGACTAATGCTAAAGCTTCCTTATCCGTAATATGATAACCTCGTTCCGCTTTTGTCAACGCTTTTGATGTGAATGCGACAGGTTTATACAAACCTTCTTCTGACAATTGTGCCAACACCGCACCTACACCATATCCTGATGCGTCGGTAAACAAAGCGAAGGGTCTAGTCAACTTTTGAGCAGCTTCAATATCTGGCTGAACTAAAACAGGAGCTTGTGTCATTGCGAATTTCAATTTCTCAAACGCATCTTTTTGCGGATTTTCCCAAATCCATGGAACTTTTGCTGATGTCAAAGGTGTCAACGGAGCTACAATATTTGCATAGTTGAAAACGTAACGACGATAATAATTACAAAACCCGAGGAAAGATTGAAGTTGCGTTCGATTTTCTGGAACTGGCCAATTTTGCACCTTCTCAATTTTTCCAGAATCCGCCTGAACTCCATTCAATGTCAACTTATGTCCCAAAAATTCTACTTCTTCTTTGAAAAATGCGCACTTTTCAGCTTTTACTTTCAATCCAGCGACACGAATCTTTTGGAGGACTTTTCTCACATCATCTCGATGTTCCTCAACTGAGTTACTAGCAATCAAAACATCATCTAAATAGATAAATGCACAATTTTCCAACAATTCACCCATTGTAGACTCCATCAAATTCTGAAATACAGCTGGACTCGTTGCTAGACCAAATGGCAAAACGTTGAATTCAAAAAGTTTTCCTAATACTGCAAAAGCGGTCTTTTCCTTTGATTTTTCAGCAAGTTTTACTTGCCAATATCCCGCAAGAAGATCAATAGTGCTGAAAACACGTTTCTGGTTCAACGACTGAAGAGTAGATTCAATATGTGGCAACGGAAAAGCATTAGTTTTTACAACCTCATTCAATTTTCTATAATCAACACATAATCGAAGTTTCCCATTTTTCTTTTTAACAAGAACAACTGGCGACAAGAATCCGGAACTACTTTCTCTAATAACATTATTTTCCAACATTTGTTGAATCATACGAGTTACTTCTTCACGAAGAGCTAACGGAAGTGGACGAGCTTTCTGTCTAACTGGTTTCTCATTTTCTAACTCAATCTCATATTCTAATAATTCAGTTTGGGTCAACTCGGAATCTTCTAGCGCAAAAATATCCAAAAATTCTGCAATTATTTCTTCCGCAATTTTTGATACTTCCCCATTTTTCCTAATTTCCCCCAAAACTTTTTCCAGTCTTTTCTCTCTCTCATCTCCCAAAACGATTTGTCGAATTTCTTGTTTTTCTTCGATTTTCGGTTTGTTAATCAACTCAATTTCGTTCCAGCTCTCAAATTCAGCCATTCCAATAATATCATTTTTCTTGAGCAAAATTGGTGTATCTTCGATATTCAACACCGTAACAGTTGCATTTTTCTTTGTGTCCATCTTGCACAATCCATCCGAAATATATTTTTGATGCGATTTTATCATGAAATCGTTTTCTTTTCCGCAATCCAAACCTTCCACTTTGACTCGAAGCAATTTGGCACTTCTCGGCGGAATTCGACACTTTTTCCGGATTTTAACCACTTTTTCATTTTCTGTGAATGCCAAATGGATACCGAATTTTGCAAAAGCATCAGTTCCCAAAATAGCAACAACTTCTGGGCTTTTCACGATCTGGAATTGCACATTCGCTACAATATTTCTGATTTTCAATGGAATTTTGACTTGTTTAACAACGTCCATTCTTCTTCCACTAACATCATATAATGCGAATTTTGGTGGCGGTAATTCTTCGATTTCCATTGTTCCAGCTTCTGCGACAATATCATCCCAAGCTTTATTCGATAACACACTTGCCATTGCTCCACTATCCAAAACAATGTTGAAACTACTGTCTCCCATTTGCGCACTGATTTTCGACTCGTGTTCATTCATTTCCTGATTAACCAATCCCACATTCTTCTTTGGTGCTCGACAAACTTTTGCAATATGACCCAATTTACCACAGTTGAAGCATCCCGATTTCTTTGTCTTTTCCGCATCCTTTTCCTTTTCTGGATCTTCTTCTTCTTCATCGGATTTTTCGGATTTCTTCTCTTTTTCTCCACCGGGATTTTTCTTTGGTTCTTTCTTCTTGAATTTCTCTTGACGATAACTAGTTGTATCATATTCGAATTGTAAAGCTGACGATTTAAGATATTCATATTGCGATCCTTCCGGTTTCTCATTTCTTTTCATTGCCAACAATCCAATCATTGATGGGTTTCTCTTTGCAGCTTGAAGAAGTTTCTGAGTTTTCATCATATCCACTAAATGCTTGTCATCATTTTCAAATGCATCATTTGCCAATTTCTCCACTTCGACCAAATATTTGCTCATCGATTGCTCTTTTCTAATATTCATGGTCATCCATAAATCCAATGATCGAACTTTTCTACTGGTTCTCGACGCATTAATCAACTTCTTGAATTCAACTTTCACCCATTCCCATGTTACTGATTCATCAATTTTTAAACTCTCAAATAGTTTTTTGGCTCGGCCTTTGAGGAACTTTGCTGGCAAAATCAAACTCAGTTCTTGCGCACTTTTCACTAATTTTCCGTATTTAAGCTCGAAAACTTTCAAAAATTGATCTATATTTTCATAACTTTTACCCGAATATGGTTCTGGATCTGGGAGTGAATTCAATCGCATATAATCAGCAAAACAATCATCTCTAGATTTACTACTTCTACTTGATGCGCTGCAGCTACTTCTTTGCTCTTCGGTCTCACGCGCCATTCTCAATTCTTTAATCTCTTTATTAATTCCCTCTATCCATTTTTCTACATTTTTCAACGCCTCTTTCTGACCATCCCCGAACTCACTGGTGACTTCGCTCTTCTCTCCATCGTCGTTTTTCTCCGATTTTCTGGTGCTCATGTATTCTTTCAGCTGTAAACTAGATTTTGGAATTTCGACTTTTGTTGCCTTTTGACTACCTTCATTTTTAACCATCAACTGCTGAATTTCTGCATCTCTTTGTTGAATACCGGCTTGAAGTTGTGCGACTTGTTCAGTTAATTGGCCGATCTGTAATTGAAATTCAATTTGCTTTTGTTGCATTTCATTTTCCATTTTTCCAATTTCCTTAACCGCAACCATTTCTCCTCTACACACTAAAACGCCCGCTTCACACAACTCAGACACAGCTCCTACATCAACCAAATCATTTTGTTTCAAATAAGCAATAACTTTTAGTTCTTCAACTGAATCTTCTCTACGCTTATTTTCCATTTCGCGAGCATTTTTGACGGCTTCCGCCACTTTTTCATTCCAGCTTCCTACGCCTTTTCTAAGTTCGCTAAATATGCTGTTGCGCTGTCTGTCCGGCAAATGGAATTCTCTTTGTGCTAATGCATCAGCTTCAACTATCAAATCACTCCAATTTTGCAAAATTTCCGCAGCATTTTTCTCCCATGTTTCAATTACCTCCAATTGCAATCCTTCAACTTCAAGTCTTTCGACTTCCATTTGTTGCTCCTCATCGGCCATTGCTCCTGATTATGTCGCCCTTGGCGAAGTGTTGTCGATGATTCCGCGATCACAGGCTTCTGCAATAATCAATTTGACGTTTTTGCACTGAACTCCTCAGTTTAATCCTGAAACTAGGTATCAAACCACTAGGAGCGTCAGTGGAAAACGCGATTCGTTGACTTGCACGGTTCGGCCCCCAAGTTATCCGCCTACGTTGACTACGTAAACGGTGAAAGATGTTCAGTGGAAAAACCACTTCCAGCAACGACAATTTAACACGATGTTTGACAAGATTTTATGTCAAACAATAACAATAACAATCAAAACAATCAGGGAACAACAATAAGGGGGTAAAAATAACAAAAAGGGAATAAAACAGGGTTTTTTCTACGAAAACCAAAACTTAAAACTGGAGGGGACGCCGATTTCTGATCAATCAATAATGCACACAAAACGCGCCAACACGAAATGCGCCAATCTCGTACTTGTTGGCGTGTTTGTTGCCCTTCACCAACATAATTCAAAACTTTTGCTTCGTGAAGTCTTCGAGCGGCTTCCATTGTTTCTTCTGGGAAAAGTAGTTTCAAGTACTGAAAAAAATTAATTTAAACATTTGAATTCAGTTTTTTTCATAGAAAGAGGCTTACCGTATCTATGGAATTTCTCATTTTCTGTTCACTTTCACGAGTTTTCTCTCTATATTCATTTGCTTTATGGATCAATTCATCTGAAGAAAAAATGAATTTCGCGACATTTTTTGTCGCGAAATTGCAATTCGCGAAACGACACGAAAAACACGAAAAAAAGAGAGAATTCACTGATCGCGACGAGACCCAACACATATAAAACCATGTGCGCCTTGACTTTTTCTTTTCTTTTTTTTCTTTTTTTCAGCGTTGTTTCTTGTTTTTTCGCGTTCTCATCAGATTTAATAAAAATATCAATACTTTTTATGATTGAGCACTTCATTTACATGCTAGTTATCAATGAAACCTCTTGAAATACGCCCAAAATGCTGTCGTTTTCACTCAAAATGAAAATTTTCCTACTTTTTGTTTTTTTTTCAGATTTTTGGAATTTGGGCGAATAATGCACCAAAGACATGTATTATATAATTCAAGTAAACATCAGAAAAGGAAAAAGATTGAAGAACTGCGCCGTGTAAGTATTTTATGAACAAAGAAGGATTTAAGCATGCAAAATCAAATATTTTCCAGCTATTCATCGAATTCGTCAAGTTCACTGCGTGCCTACAAGTTCAACTGAATCATTTTTGCTCAAAGGAATTGATTTTGATAAACAAAAGAAGCTTTGTCGCTTTTCAAGAACAAATATTATCGCATATTCGAATCAGAAATACTAAAGTATGTTTTTATCCGTAAACAGATGCGATATCTCCCCTACACCACATTTCTTTTTCCAGCGTGTGATCGGCTTGAATTTCAATCAATTAATGAAGCTGTATGGAGTGATAAATGAGCGAGAAAAGTGTAAAGCTCCGAAAATAATACGGATAGCTATATTTTTATTGTTTTCAAAAAATGGTAAGTGGTATTCTAAAAACAAAAACAAAAAATTATTTTCAGGCGTAAGCCAACATGCGCTTGCAATCAGAACAGGACTTAGTCAAACAACAATTCATCGAATAATTCAAGAATGTTCGACTGATTTGATTATGCATGCGCGAGATCTGATAAAATGGCCATCAAATGACGAAATTATCACTCAAGAGAATTACTGTTTGAGTATATCGAAAGGATTCAGAGCATTTGCGAGTATTGATGGAAAACACTTTCGTATTGACCATCCACCGAATTCCGGAGTTTATAATAGGAATTACAAGCAATACTTCAGTTTCAACACTCTTTTCATAAGTGATTTCAACCGACGTATCATTTATATGCAGATATGCAACTCGGGGCAGAATTCGGATGCTCAACTTTTTGCGGCTTCTCCTCTCAAAGGATTTCTAGAAAATCCGAATAATTTACCACCTTTGCGAAACCTTCCGAACACGACGATTCCTGCTAGTGCATATATATTAGGAGATGGAGGATTTAAGTTAATGAAACAAGTTATCACACCATATAGACGATTGAATATGACTCCCGAAAAAGCAAAATTCAATACTGAACTCAGCAAAATTCGCGTTCGGGTCGAACATTTATTCGGGGTAGTAACCAGCAAATATCGATGTTTCCGAAAAAACCTCGAACTGGCACCTTCAAATGCTCAAAGGCTGATAGCTGCACTTTCTGTCCTTCACAATCTAACTCTTCGGCCAAAAATATATGCGACACAAAATCAACAAATTTTCCCGCCGATAATTGATCCATATAAAACTGCGAATGAGTTTCGCGATGTTATTAAAAGTCATGTAAATTCTTTTTGATTCTCGTTTTTTATTTTGAAAATGAATATTTATAGAAAAAATGAAACAAAATATAACACCGATTGAGATCAAAGATTTGTATAAAGATTGTTTTGATATATATTTTCTGTATGAAGATCGGTTGAAGTCGATGGAGCACCAATTGTATTACCAGGAACAACTTGTGGAACTTGATAAAAATGGGGGTCTTGATTAAATGGTATGTTGTTGTTTGTCCAATAATGAAGTGGGGGAGGCATTGGTACAGGATAATGATTGACAGGATAATGATTGATATTTTGAGCCGATCGATCAAATTTATACATAACCTGCATCAATTCCACTTTCATTTGTTGTAAAACAGGTGAAGACAATTCTCCTGATAACTTATCCAGCATATCATAGGCCTCATTGATTTCCTGTCTTCGTTGTGGCGGCGATTCTGGTTGATCCGAAATGATCTCATCGATTTTTTTCGAAAATAAATCGTTTGCCATTTTCGTAAATGCATCCAATGGGCCTAAATCTGAAAAATAATTTAAATTTTTCGTATTTATTGTATTTATCATACCAAAAGGATCAGAGGCTTGTCGTTTTCTATCCTTTTTCTCTTTTTTGGAGCGAATTTTCTTTGGCTCCGATGCCTTTTCCTCTTGAACAATAGCAGCTCCAGCTCCAACTTGATAAACACTGTAATTAAAAAATTGTTTTTTTTTTTGAGAATTATTGACTTTACAAAGAAAACATTACTTTTCAACATCGTTCCGTTTTCCAATGTCAACATCAAAAAATTCAAGCTCATGGTAATAAGGAAAGGTTTTTGGAATTCCAGCTCGAGAACCACTAGATGGAATTTTTTTCTTTTCCTTCATATAATCGACAATCAGTGATTTCCAGAGAGTTTTGGCATTTTCCCCTAAATTACGACTTTATTCATATATTTTGATATTGAGCTAAAATACCTTTTCCTCCTCTGGAAACTTTCAGAAATGAACAGCTTCGTTCAATTTCATCCCAAACGACTTCTTTCAAATCTTCTCTGTGATAATCATCGGATCCACCATACCAAACTTCTTCATTCAGCCGCACGAATTCCAAGAAAAATATGATGTCTTCTCTTGTATACTGTAAAATCAATTTTTTTAATATTTGAAAATGTTTAAATTTCATAGAAATTGGATGTGTGCTGGAAATTTTTTAAATTTTCATTCTTGACAAGTGTTCGGGAATCCGTATTTTCAGGACTACGCATCAATGTTACAGGTAAATCTTTTCAAAGATTTTTTTTAAATTCATTTTATAAAAAAAATTACTTCTGAATAATTCGAATTGAGGCTTGCTTTCTTTTTTCTTCCTCTTTTTGCACCAGCCGTTGTTTCCTTTTGCGTTTTTTTGACTTCAATTTTTTTCTTTTTCGGTTTTTGCGTATCATCTTCACTGCTGAAATCACTTTCCAATTCACTCTCTGAGTAAATTTTGTTCACATCTTGATTATGTTCATCTGGTTCAACTTGTTCTCCTTCTTCGTCTTCTTCTCCAATCACAACAACATCATGAGTATCCTGAAAATGAAATACGTATTGTTTGATTTTGCAGTTTATTTTTCTTCAACAGACTTACCAAACCTTTCCCAATACACTTCGTATTTCTTGAAGCAATTTCAGCCATTTTCTCGATCACAGAAATAAAGTTCGATGATGAGTTCAGCGGCAGATCAGTTGGTGTAGACGTTATTGGTGAATTTGCATCTGGCTGAGATTCGGCTGGTGGCGATGAACTCGGTATTTCTTCAGTAAGTTCTTGCAATCCAGAGGTTTTTGCTTCATTTGACTTTCTCGCATAAATTTTTCGTGGAGTTGTTGATGATGAGCTGTTTTTAGAAGCATCTTGAGAACATGCTTCATTTGACTTTCTCGCATAAATTTTTCGTGGAGTTGTTGATGATGAGCTGTTTTTAGAAGCATCTTGAGAACAATTTTTCGAGTTTTCAGTCACATTTGTCTGTCTCACAACAATTTTCCGGGGAGTTGTTGAAGATGGTGAAGATTTAGAAGAGGACCCAGTTCCATTCTTTGGAACAAGGCGGAAAGTTGCTCCGGGTTTTCCAATGAAAATTTTTCGCTTTTCTTCAGTCATAATGCTTGAGAGATCAAAAGATGTACTCTAAACTTTCTGAAAAAAAACAAAAAGTAGGAAAATTTTCATTTTGAGTGAAAACGACAGCATTTTGGGCGTATTTCAAGAGGTTTCATTGATAACTAGCATGTAAATGAAGTGCTAAATCATAAAAAGTATTGATATTTTTATTAAATCTGATGAGAACGCGAAAAAACAAGAAACAACGCTGAAAAAAAGAAAAAAAAGAAAAGAAAAAGTCAAGGCGCACATGGTTTTATATGTGTTGGGTCTCGTCGCGATCAGTGAATTCTCTCTTTTTTTCGTGTTTTTCGTGTCGTTTCGCGAATTGCAATTTCGCGACAAAAAATGTCGCGAAATTCATTTTTTCTTCAGATGAATTGATCCATTAATCAAAATATTTCCACCAACTTTTTTCAAATCCAAAACTATTGCATGTCTAAATATATTTCCGAGACCAGGTAAAAACTGTCGTGCAAGATATAAATAATCGACCAGATTCGATTGAAACATCAATTCTCGATAACTTATGAATGAAATCTTTTTATTGAAAGCATCGGTGACTTCTTCAAAAAAGTTATACTCGGCCATGTCATCTCTATTGAATGTGGCACAGAAAACTTGGAAATACTCAAATTGCTCATTGTCGCCAAGAAAAGGATCCGGAAATCTCATGTGGCCCAGCAGAAATTCAGCCAGTTCTTTCTCATAAACTTTCTTCAAATAAAGAAAAATATATGCAAAATCGATATGTTTGGCGAAATTAACAAGTTCTGATTGATCTTTTTTCCAAACTAGTTTCATTGTAAATTCACACGCATTTTCGCATTTTGTTTGACAATATTGTTTTATTGCATCGATGCTCGCTCGAACAATGTCGTCTTCATCTGTCATTGAATTGATAATTTTTTGCAAAATCAGCTCGGGATTAATATTTATACAAGCCACATTTTGTAAAAAATCAATTGCAGAAATTCTGTTGCTTATTTCTGAATATTCCAGGTTGTTGAGAGCTCTTTCAATGAACTGTCTATTTCGATATAAACGTGGATCACGCATTCACAATTTCTATAAAAAACTAGATTTCAGTATTAATAAAAAACTAGATTTCAGTATTATTAGGAAAAATCCGGACATATCTACGATTTTAATGTTTCCAGGTTACAGTAAAATTTGAATTTTTGACAAAATAGACAATCTTGCCACGTAATCAAATTCTCAAGAAAAGAAATTCAGAAGAAAAAAGAAGAATTTGAGAAAATTGAAAATTATAATTTGGCGACCTTTTCATAATATCAAAAGCACCTTGGCAACCGATGAAAATGGAGATATGGAGTAAACCGAATAAAATAAAATTATGGTGTGTAATCCCGCCTCTTTACCTTGTTTGGTGCAGGTGGCACATTTTAATTAAGATGTGCTACCCAATAAAGCTGCTTCTGGAAAAATATTAGGTTGAACATTTTTGATGGAATTGAAGAGAACAAGGATCTGGTGAATTTCAAAATAATTATTTTTTAGTTCTAATATATTAGACATTAGACAAATCACAATTACATCAAAATTTCAGTTTTTGTTGAATTTCCAATCTTATTGACAGTTTCTTCTAAAATTATAATGTTTAAGAACAAATTCTCCAAGTTTTCCCTGAACTTCTTACAATCTTTGAGAATTTTCAGGTATACTTTGTATTATATATGCTTTGTATTAAACTTTGTTGAAAATTTTCTTCTCCTATGTTAATTGGAAAAATTAACACTAATTGTTTTTTTAGCGAAGTAGTACCGCAAAACAAAAAACATATTCCCTCATTGTATACATGGTTTTCCCCACTTGTAACTCCAATTCCTCAAACTTTTGAATCTTTTAGGAATGACAACAAAAATTTGGAAAAAATTGTTGAAAAAATCAAGAAATACGACAAAGTAAATTGTAGTTTACAACGATTGAAAAATCACTGAACTTCCTCCCTCATAATTATACTTTGATTTTTCAGAATCTCGTCATTTTTAGAAAGTGTCATCTGCAGATTTGAAACAAATCATGGGATAAACAATACAAAACAAAACAAGCGAAAATTGTATCCCTATTTATTTTTGTTTGACTCATTTAATTTTTTGCTCTCTATAGTTTTTCGCTTCCTTTTTTCATCGTCATTTTCACTAATCCATTCAATTAAAAAATGCCATCAACAAAAATTGCATTCCATCGAGCCTGTGTAAATTGTACAGTTGAAGGGTAGATCTAAAAAATAATTAATTATCGCAATTTTCAAAAAAATAGATATTATGACTAATGTGGAAGCTGATGAGTTCAATAAAACAGAAGATCGAAAAACCAATGGAAGAAAAAGGGTAGGATGAAGAATGGAATCTTGGAATTCGGAAAAATTGACGTTGGAATATTTTATGAGTTATTTCATTTTGATGATGGATTTTGTGAGTTGACAAGATTATGAACAAATAGACTTTGGACTAGAACAAATGAATGAATCTCAAAAATGTTGATAGTTTTTGAAAAATGTTAGTTTATATAAAAGCAAAACTCAAAATTGCATTATTTCAAGTTCAGGTTTCCAAGAAACATACTACTTCACCTTATTTGTTATGAATTGACCTTTCGGAGCAATAAACCAAGTTTTTTGGTCAAAATCTTTTGTGAAACATGTGAATGAAAACAGAAAACTACACGGTCTCATTTAACAAAGTAGTAAAATCACATTTTTGACCCCAAATTTCAGGTTCAATCAAATAAATGTAATATTTTTTCAGGTTTCCTCATAAAACAAAAATGTTTCCAGCACCAATACATGTTTTACGACACTTATCCCAAGTCTATTTGGATTTTTGATCAATCTTGCGTGAATAAATGTTCAACTCATTTCAAAATACATCTATCTCGATTCCAACACAAAATATATCCATAATAATGCTATTTTTATTTCTATTTTAAATTGAAAACTGAAAATAGCGAAGAAAAACTATATAAATGAAAAAAACTCGATTGTCTCCCCTTATAGATTCCCTGGAGGATATTTTCTTGAACATTTTTTTGCTCCGATAATTTTCGTAATTTAAAAGAATCTGTCCTTTGTGAAAATAATATGTATTGCATTTTTCTAAAATAACACAAATGTCATGGATTTGAGAAAGAGCCGGAAAACATCGATTATGTGCAAAAAATATCTGGGTTTGGTTTCAGTAAATTTCTGATATCCAACAGGTGAAAACTGGTGCTTTATTTTCATAAGTTTTCTGACCTTTTGCGGCAAAACAAAGCCTAAAAATCATCAATTATTCACCAACTTTTCTCACAATAAACTCATTCTTTTTGTTGTATTTAAAATGAACCAATAAAAAATACAAAAAAATAACGCAAGTTTTCATTTTGTTCAAAAAAGGCGTCAAATGAAAAAAAGAAGTACGTAGACTATTTTTGGTTGGTTAGACAACTTTTGTTTCGAGCAGACAGATGACAACAAAGTGAGTGAAAATTTAAGTCGATTCTTCGGAAATTATCCGAATCGGATGAATTTGGCTCCTCTTTTCACATATACTTCATTTGATGGTGCAACATATTCATCATCCTGAAAGAAACAAAGTTTAGAAATATATATATTTTTTATATATATGAAAAAAGAAAAAAAAATTAATTTATTAGATGAAGATGTCTTTGCATAGAATATAAGGACATCTATGACGTCTAGGTAATTTGTCTAATCAAAAAAAGTCCAAAGTTTGTTTGATTCTATATTTTACCCAAGTATTTGCACCAGATCTACCAAATCGAATGAATTTTGCTCCAGCTCTTCCGAATCGAATAAACTTCGGCTTTGGTGCTCTTGCTATTCTTTGATATTTGTCCGCGCTATACTCAGCTTCCTCTTCACTGTAATTAAAACATTTTTTTGCAGAAATATTTCAATTTTCAATTAACATTTTTGTGCTAGCTTTATAATTGTTCCATTTCATTTCACATTTTTGAAACATTTCGAGTTACTACGTCAATTCATGGTTTGTTGAACACTGAGTTTTTCTGTGAACTTCAATAATCCTAAGTGAGTGTTGTTTTTTGCTAGATGCAGAACAAATATTGGGAAAATAGGGAGCCAAAGAAAAAGGAAAAGGATTTCATTATTGTATCACATCAATCTTTCGCTCAACTTTATGACTCACAATTCGTTAATTAAAAGAGAAAATGAAAAATATAGGCATCTTATTGGAGAAAGAATGCCCTTTTTATTATCCTTATTCATCTCTATTTTTTTCATTTTCTCATGAAAATTACTCTAAATGCGGAAACAATTTAAAAATTCATAAAATTCATTCAGATTCTCATGAATCTATGTATATAAAATGTTTCTAGTCCAGAACTTGAACTAGCTAGAAAATCTATCTACTTATGCTGAAAATCTATATGGAGAAGATTTACAAACCTGTTATCGGCACTGACAAATTGAAGGATAAAAAGTGAGGCGATGAAGAAGATGGCTATCGTCGTTCTTTGGCTGCTCATAGTTGTGAGAAATGATCGGATTGGGGGCGGTCTTCAAGCTTCTCCCCTGCTCCCCCCAACCTTACGTTGCTCCCCCCATCCGCTTGACTCCGCCCCATATGAGTGTGTGTTGGAATGTGTATGTATGTGTATTAAAAAAAGTAACGATAAACAGATCCTACGTAATGAATGTCGAATTCTCTCAAATGTCAGTTTTTGCTAACTTGCATCATTCATCAAGAGAAGAGAAATGGTAATAATCAAGATGATGAATGAGTTTTGAATTTTATGGAAAAGAGTTTTTTTTTCAAAATTTTTGATGGACAACTTCGACGCAAATAATATATGCAATTTTGTCTGAAAAACAAGATCATCGATAAAAACCAAAAAAATGAAGTATTTTGTTTTTTAACAGACAAAAAAAGTTTTGTTAGATCTATCAAAATATTGTTAGGTTTTGATTAAACCTGGAATTATGTATGTTATTGAGTTTTGACTAGATATATGGTCTTACTGTAGCAAAAAACCTGTAATTTTTAAATGTTCACGATTTTTCAAAATGTTTGAGAAACATTTTATAATTTGAAGGAACTGTTCCAAATCAAAAAAAAGTCGAAATTGGTTATTTTCAGTTTTTGAATATTGGTACAGAAACAAAAATCAATCAGACCATTTTCGTATTGTTAATTAATTATTTCTTCAGGAATTTATTTTTAGATTTCGAAATTCGAATATTTTCTAGTCCATGTGACGAACTTCACGTGTTCTAATGAGAATGACGTTTGTTGTTTAATTTAACCAGATTTATTGGGGCACAAAATCTTGAGCCTTCTGCATTTTCTGACTCTGAAAATAAAACGAATGAGAAATGGTTTGTTGATCAAATGCGTAATTAAAAACCCCAATATCTTTTTTTTAGCTAAAACGTTCCTGAAAACCTTTCTACCAACATTTCCAGTCAGACTTGTCTGCAACATTTCCGTGATATTTTAAGATTTTCAGCTTTGTTCTATTTTCCAGCAAACAAAAATAAACCAGAAAATATTACATCTGTTACCTACGCAGATTTGGTTGGAATGACTCCCACTTCCGGATCAACTACCAAAAAAAAACATTCCAGGTGGAACTTTGTGTTGAATATGATTTTTATTCCAGTGAAAAATTGGGAAAAACACACGTTCTTATTGAATTTGCATATTTTTCTTCATTCTTCATTCTGCAAACAAAAAACTACATACATCAACTTCAAAAAGCAACAGTAGTTATTAAATATTTAAAAAATATGTCATCCAGAATCTCATGTTTCAAATTCTCTTTGTGTATGAGTTGAGTTGACCTTTCATGTTTCAACACCAAAAAACAATGAATTTTCCAGTCGATTTAATACATTTCGGGGAGCTTGAATTTTTGAGTAGCTACCAAATTTTTACGAAAATTTTTTTAATTAAGAAAATTTTTCATGAAAAACAACAGATTCGAATTTCATCGAACTTTTTGTTTGTTCAAAAATGAAATGAATTGAAAATTCATGCACTTTTGATGTTTTCTGGAAATGACAGCAATATCGCAACTTTGTTTCTTTCCTAGATACAAAATATTACAGACAACAATTTAATAAATTTTTTTCTTGAAAAACAATCACAAAAACAACAAATTGAATTTAATCGTTATTTCTGGAGTTAGGCTAACTTATTACGTTTTGGGATAGTTTTTTGATTCGATACATGCATAACTCTGTCGTAACAAATGGCATTTTGAAACAAAAAAATCCACCTGCGCTTAAAAATGCATGTGTTTTGATTTTGCTTTCAAGATTTTTGAAAGTCATTTAAAATCCACCCACAAATTTAGCGATCAAGTTGCATTAAATGACGTTAGCGCTCAAAGTTCGTTATAGTAAAAATTTGCGATGGAAATAAAATTGACTTTTCTCGTGCTCATTCATCTTGCGATTATTCATCATTTTTCATTTCACTTATTAAGTCGTCATCATCCTTGTTCAAAAACGCTCTCTATCCTCCATCCATAAATAAATGAACATCGCAACTTTTTATCGCACAAGGAAATTGATAAATTTTTGTCTTCTTCCGCCCAACTGATGTGATGAATATTTTATTCTTTCACCTTTTTTGAAATGAGTGAGATGAATGTCTGGTAAAAATCGCCAAAATTTTGTAGATGTTCGTTGAAATTCGAGTAGTTTGACCAAAGAAGCAACACAACACAACACATTTTTAATTAACTCATGGAGGTTTGGAGATTGGATATCATATCCGGAATAGATCAAGGTGTTTCCGGTTGAGCGTATTTTAAAAATGTGGACTTTTTAGTGAAATATATGTAGATGTTCACTGAAAAGGGGAACAATGGTTACGTGAATTTCGGAACAAGCCTGGTGATTTTTGTACAACGGAAAAACGGAACATTTCAAAGTTTTTGAACTGGAAAATTCAGGAAATTTGGGAAATTTCCGGAGTTCGAAGAACATTATCAAAGATGTTCATTTGAAATTTCTGAAGCAACGTTTTTCCAGAACAAGGTTATGGGTTTAGAAGAAAATTTTCGCATTGAAAATACTTCTTATTTTTTAATGTTTTCTTGGATTTCAACTTTGAGTGTGCGATCCTTTTAAGACCACAAGGGTAAATTTTAGATTCAAAAGAAATGTGAAAATTCTCACATAGAATGATATCTAAAAATACATGTTTATTTCTGTGAAAAATAATCAATTAAAAAAGTAATTACGAGTCAGATTTGAGATCAGAAACTGTTTTGGGACAAGATCGGGAGGTAAAAACCGTATTTCGAAAATAACATATCTACAAAAAATGGTATAATTATGAAATATCCAAGTGGGTGAAAAAATTTCGGGGATCATCACAACTAGAGTGATAGCTATGAGAGAGGGAGGGGTTTGAAAGGTAAAAAAAAAACAAAAAACAGACAGCAAAACAAATGAAATTATTAATAAAAATGTCGAAGGACAGTGTTTTCGGGGATTGTCTCCAATGGATTCATGTAACTTCTCATTCGATACTTCTTCTTATGAAAAGTTCTTCTGATGCGTTTTGGAACATTCGAATCTGGAAAAAATATAGAAATATTGAAGTGAAACTATTGCAATTTAGGTGTACAATGCTTATTTTTCAGTTGAATTTTTTACAGCATAAGTTCAAATTATTATCGAAAACTTTACTCAAAAAACTAACCTTTTTGCGAATTCACAATGTTGAAACTACGTCCGGCCAGATTTCCACCAACAATTGAAGAAAACATTTTATCAACGTTTGTAGCTGGCCTGTATTCATTTTCAGATTCATCATGATCCAAAGTAAAGCCGTCTGTAGTGGAAAGCGTTTCAGAAGAAATCACAAAGAACTGACAGTCGTTTTTCACACAACTTCTTACAGCATCACTAAAAAATGATGCGCTAAAATATAATGCTCTGGATTTGATAGTGTGAAGCCATTGTTTACTGATCAATCTTGCTGGACTACACAATTGAAAGTCGCCTTTTATGCAACTTCTTGCAATATTATAAAAATAACTGCCTAAAGACATTGTTTTTACTTCGATAAATTGAAGACATTCCTTGGTTATTAACCAGACTTCAATAAGAGGTTCGACAACATTTTCAAGAAACAAATCAAACATAATGCTCAATTTCTGCGAAATTGAAATAGTTCTTCCATATGTGGTGTCATTCATCTACAAATGTTATATTTATTTTTTTTAATAAAAAAAAGGAGCCACTTCTAATAGCTATGATTAATGCAACTCACATAAATTCCAGATTTTGCTGGACTACACAATCGATATAAAATGCCAAAAATGTTCAGAATTATCATATAGCAAATTTGTCGGTAACTTTGTTCGTCCAAGTTTGCGCAAAACCATATGCCCATATTGATAATGACTTTTCCATACAATGTTTTCCGTGCATTTATATATATTGACCAGTAGACAGATGTTATTATCACGAATACAGTGAAAAATTGGCGATGATTTTGCATTGAAAAAGGATCTTGTTTGAATACCAACATCAGCTCTGGAGCAAGAGAAAACAACCAAGCAACAATCTAGAAAAAATTCAAATTTCTGATAATGATCATTTGGAAATCAAACTAACCGGCATCAACTTTTTAACAGGCCAAAGTAAATTGACGAGCTGCGCAATTTTAAACATGTGTAGACTTTGTCTGTAAAATTAACACTAATTATTTGAAGTTTGAACGTGTTGTATATAACACATCGGAAAAGATGAGATACAAAAAAAAACATGGAAAAGAAAGATTACAAATAGGTGAACTTGTGTATGCCGGAAAATTCTCAAGAGCAAAGCATAATTAGATTGAAAATCATAATCTAAATTATAAGAACTATAATGAATTCAAAAAATGAAAACACGCCAATTTAATCATTCAAGGAACAGAACATAAAAAATAAAAAGCGATATATGAGAAAAAATAATAATAATAATCACCTAACAACAACAAAAAAGACGCGCACACAATATATAGACTAAAGATCAATTCACTCCCCGCAAGGGAAAGGGTGGACCAAGCAGAGCCGGACAGAGAAAAATGCTCTTCTTTCTCCACACTATTTCGCTTACCGCTTTTTTCGAGAAGGGTGTTTTTTTTTATATTGATAGACAAGGAAATGAGAAAAAATATAGATTAAAAAAACATGCGACTTACAGTCAAGTGAACAAATATTTCGTCAAAAAACTGAAAATTTTATTTTTACTTCTCTTGAACTTGGACGATTGAGAAATCTACATGAAACATGAGGGTTAATGAGAATAAGTCTAGCTTTTCTGAAAAAAAGTGTCAAAATTCTGAAAGAAAAAAGAACACTACAAAAAAAACGAAATCTGATGATATTCCTTGTTTATGAGATTTATGTCATGCTCTTTTTCAGTATTTCCACTTTTTTTTTGTTATATACATATAACATTGGAAATCTGATAAATAAGGATGAGGTACAAGAAAAACAAAATAATATAAGGAAGACGAAATATCAACTCATAGTTTTTAAAAAACACTAATATACAAAAAAAACAATGAATACAACCAACAAACACATGTGAATGGTGCAGGTAGGGAGAGGGAGCATACTATTTTGATTTCTGAATACACCACGAATGACGCGCAAAAAGCATAATGAATAGTTTACAGAAAGACAAAACTTTAAAAAGAAATGAAACAAGTTTTTGGAAGATCAAAAAATATTTGAATTTTGAAATTTTATGAATTTGGTGAGAAAGTATTTTATTATCATTAGAAATGCCAGGTTTTGAACACAATGATAGATTATCTGGAAAGCCCTTTCAAAAAAGAAACAGTTGATCAACATTTTCAATAAACTTTATTTTTCCGCGCAAGCAAAAAAACAAAATTATTCTCAACTTCAATTACCAATTATCCATATCCATTTGAAGATATGTGGAAGATTCGTCAAGCTCTACTGTATACGATATAGGTTGAGTGGTCGTTCGGTAGCAAAACTACAATATTAGTTGTGGTTGTGTGTTGTAAATCACTATCTATCCAGCTCACCAATCGCAAAACAATCAGAATCACAACCAAGATGACGAAGAAGATCGGAATGTAGTACATATAAGTGAACAGGTTGGTCGATTTCTTTGTTACATATCCCGGGTTTCTAGGATTGTCCAAGAATTGGAGATGAAACGAAAACGGAGTTCCTGAAATCAACAATTATTTATATAGAATTTCAAATTTTATATAAATAACCTTCGAATCGATCAAAAATACCAAGTCCTCCTTTGTATTGAAAGTTTTCGGATTTCTTGACTACTCTGTTCACTTTGTTAAGTTCCGCAATTCCTTTATTCAGCAAACTGAGACAGAGAACCTGTAAAAAAAACGAAATACCTGATTTTTCTTCGAGAAAAAAATTCACAATCGAATCTTGCGAGCAATTTCCAGACGTGGCATTTTCAGCAATTTTCGCAATTTTCTCTTGAAGTTGCTTGAAATATTCATTGTTGGATCCACACGTTGGACACATGTTTTTGTCAAGAATAAAGTAAGAATAGCATGGGTAAAGTCTGAAATTATATATGAAATTGGCTGGGACTCAATTCTTGAACAACTTACCCAATGAGAAGACCAATCAATAAGTTGAAATGACTTGCCATCACCTGAATTGATTCAAATTATTTATTAAAAAATCAGAAAAAAAACCGAGAAAAAATAGGAAATTGTTTTTTTGGATAGACATGCATTCAAATATCGTGTTAGATTATAATGATACTCAAGAGAAATGTACGTGTTCGCACTATGTTTTTTCAAATCTCAATAACAAGTGAAATAAAATGAGAGCTGTAAATTTCGCCCGGCTTTTTATTTTATTTGAAACCCTATGTTAGTTGAGCAGGTGATAATTGTAGACTGAAAGTGAACAGAAAGGGGAGAAACGTTTGAAAAAATGAACGTTTTCAGATGAAAATGAAAGCGAAATTTGATCGACCAGAAACGATGGGCTCGAATAGAAATCTAAAATTTTGGGAATAAATACATCAAAATGAAATTTTTATTCGATTTATAAAATCGGCATAGCAACAATTAAACATTCATAGTTAGTCTAGAAAATGAAAAAAAAAAGCGAAAAAAATTTAAAAAAAGCAAAAAAAAAAACATTTTCAGACAGAGGCGCTCGAACCAGCAAATTGAACTTTTCGCAATGGTGGTGTGTGAATTGACGCAACTTCGGCATCAACTTTGACGTTTTTGAGAATTCCCGGACCAGGGAGAACATTTTCCTGGACCACGCGTTGTTGCAGTTGCTGTAAATTGAAAAAAAAAAATATTTTTTGGCTATCGATTTTGTCTTCAAATTTTTTTTTGTGAATAGTTTCAGATTTGTTCAAAAATATCAGCTGCGATAGAACACCCGAGTTTCGAAAATAATTGCATGTCTCAAAATCTATGATTATCAAAAATTTGAAAAGGGAAATTAGAAAACTGAACTTTCAGGGGAGTGGATTAACGTTGATTATTTGATCTATATTTGGAAAATCATTTTGATGTTAAATCATTGTAGTAATGATTTATCAAAATTAATCCTTTGTAAATTATATTTTTGAGAAGTATCATGATAAATAAAAAAAACCGGGATAAACTAATTTTTTTCCGTTTCTTACCTCAAAAGCAACTTTCCACAAGAAACACCAAGTAACTATCAAACCCGAAGAAATTATCACAATTTCGAAAGGCAACAATTGGATGAAAAACTCGAACCAGGCTGGTCTTTCCGAAACAGGCACTGAAAAATGTTTTTTTTATTTTTTTAAATTCAATTGATTGTGATTTTTCAATCTTCCAATTCCTTTTTGCAACAAAGCTTTGCGTGCCAGAATCACTAGTTTTTTTCTATGAAAATATACCTCATTAATTTTTGCAAAAGGGGTTAAAAATACGCTTTTTTGTGGACAAATCAAACACGGAAATGATTATTTCAAGGTAGAATGTAATTATATAAGGGTACTCTGTATTTCAGAAACTTTCACATTGATTTCCTTGTTACTGTTTTTCAATTGTGACCATCTCGCGATAAAAGAGATAAGCTGTTGACTTCACCTTTTATAAAAGCTTGTGTTACTCTAAACACTTTCATTTCATCATTTTTTTTTGTTTCAAGATTACTGTACCTCTTAACCTAAAACACCTGCCAATCAGCGAACACTCAAGAAAAACATTATCTTTGTTTTGTTTCTGTTTCGCCAAAAAAGTAGAGTATTTTCATTAAAAGTGCAATGTTTAACAAAAAGGCAAAAAAATGTATTCGTTCCCGCAAGGGATTTTTTCTTTTGTTCAAAATGATTCGGGTAAAAAAGTGACTTGGCATCGCATATTTTTTCTTTTTAGAAAACAAAAGGACAAGTCGTACAGCGATGCAAGGAGGGTGGGGTTTCGAAGTACTGTAGCTATGTATTATAAAACATATGTTTCAAGAAAAGATGGAAAATCGAATATTTTGGATTTGAATAACAACTGGACTCCTCTACAAAAAATTGATTTTTTGAACATATGTCAAGCAATTTTTTATAACTGGCCAAAAATTAACTTGTAGTGTTAGAGTTGCGAAGTGATCTAACACCGAATTCTAGAAAAAGTATAATCATAAAAATACGTTAAAAAGAAGATCCTAAATTCAATGAAATAAATCTATCACATTAATCAGTCACAATGATTTTTAGAAACCCCGTTCCCGCAACCCCAAAAATTCTTACCAAACGGTTCAACTTCGTTAGAAACAATGTAGTACTGGACACTTTTCGAGATTAACAAAAAAGGCAAGATGAAGAACCGTCTTCCACGGCATGTCAATTCGATACAACAATAATGCACTAAACCGAATATCAAGGTGGAGAAAGCAAAAAGCCCCTAAAACTTTCATTTTTTTTGATAAATGATAATTTTTCACGCTTACCTCTTTTCCCTCAAAATATTTAAGTAACTTAAACCAGAGGACAACATTAGCACTCATGAAGAGTTCCGCGCACATCTGAAAACATGGGAAACATTTGATGTCGACTTTGTTAAAACATTTTCAAAAACCAACCAGCAGTTTTTCGATTATTCCGTGAAGTACAAACTTGCTCTTTGAGAAGAATAGTTCAAAAACTCTGAAAAAAAGGAATCATTTGTAGCTCAATTTCTAAACTTATGTAGAACTGAAACTAACTTTGCACAAACCATTGTTTCAGGAAAACAACTAGTCGTATTACCTTAACAAAAAGAATTTATTCAAAAAAATATGACAAAAATCAAAAAATCTGTAAGCGAAAAATCAAACGCGCCAGAAAAACAGGGAGAAATGATGAAATGACACAAGCCAGCAGTTTGTCTGATGCAAGCCAATGGATGGGGAACGGTTGCACTTTTAGATTTTTTTTTCGCCAAAAAAATCTTGAGAAAACGAAACTGATGTGTCTCTCGCGCCTTTTCTCCAAAACATCATCATTTTTTGTATGGTGTTTTTCAATACATATGTATTGATTTCAACTGGGATCTGGGGGGAAATATGACATGGACATACATATGTATTTATATTTAAGCGTCTCGATTATGACATTCTGCGGGTTTCTGGAAAAATATGGATTACTGTAGGGGTTTTTGTAGGGAAAAACTTACAGCTTGTTTTTTCTTGTAATAGATTGATCCAAGAAACCATGTGGAGATGAGTGTGAAATAGATGCAATACCAGATAATTACTTTGGCATTCACAATATTCATATCACCTGAAACAGTTTTGTTAAATTTTGATTTTATTGGGCAATATCAGGTTGACAGGATCCTGTTTAGTTTGGATTCATTTTTAATATCAAAGCATGTGAATATGCCTATTTGTTTTATTTTTATGTTTGAAATACACTCAAAAGCAATAAGAATTTTTTAGAAATTCTGCGATCTCCACTGATCCGCTGATTTTCATTAAAAAAATTCATTGTTGAGAGCTTATCTTATTGTGATTTTCTCCAAGACCCATTGACAAAGCTCAAAACTAGAAAGAAACTGATGTGCCTAATAATTGCTGATTTATCGAGTAACTTACAAGGAATGAAGTACCCCTCTGAATTTTTATAAAACCGGTCTCAAAATTATTTTTTCATTTAACATACCCGGTAGCAGGATAAGGCAAGTAAAATTTAATATCCCTAGTTTCTGAAAACCGGGAAAATTTGAGGTTAAAAAATAGGCAAAATTCAAAAAATCGTTCCATAGAACTTGACAAAATTTAGCGTTCTAAAAAGCAAAATGTATCAGAGAATTTTTTGAACAAATTGAGTATGATTGTGCTAAACAAAAAATTGGTTGAAAACCAAATGATTCGTGTATTTTTTGATGGAAATTTTTCCGGTTTTCAGAAACTCGGGAAATAAATTTTTACTTGCTTAATCCTGCTACCGGGTAAGTTACCTAACTGAAAAAAATAATTTTGAGACCGGTTTTATAAAAATTCAGGGGGGTACTTTCTCAATCTTTTAGGCATCGTGGGTGGTCTTTGATACAGAAATTTCTAATAATCTCCTAACCAGGGATGGGGAAATTGTCCTGGCCTCATACTGTTCTAAACTTGAAACTGGCCTAAATTTTTCCTGGCTTGAACATGGATTGAACATGGCCAAAAACCATATATCCAACCTGTCCAGGACAATATATTTAGCTAGGTTTGTTACGCGAACTCCAACTCACCATGAACGATAGAAATGAATATATTCCAAACAATGATTAAAAAATGAAAAGATCTCAAACAGACAAAAATAATATTGACAGTAACATGTTCGAAATAAACGATGAACAAGAAGCTGAAACCAACATCCACGTCTGGAAAGCATAATAATCGACGTTGTTCATAGGTGCAAAATACATTGATACATATCGATTTCATTATTTCGAAGAAGAATATGATATATGAAGATTCCTGAAATCATGAATGAACTTGATTTTGATATCGAAAAAAATTTACCTTCAGAAGTTCTCCAGTGTTCACAAATGTTCGATCTTGATTGACTTTCTTGTGCTTTTTCCTCTTCATTGCCTTATTTGGATTTTTCAATCTGATCAACATTTTTAAAATCAGATCAGCAATATTATAGAGTTATGAAAATTCCGAACATTACATATCAAACTTTCTGTCAAGTAACCATAGAGATAGAAAAGTGGAAGAAACAAAAAACGAACGTTTTTTTGTGTGTGTGTCAAAATTGAATTATATGTAGATCTCACATGAAATTAATATCTAGAGAGTTGGGGCGAAAACGTGTGAATTATTAAAGGAGGTTGTCGGTTAGTACGAATAGCTCGAGGGCGAATATCTGAGTGTTCGTTTTTTATGCACTTTGAGAAATAGGAGGAGTATTGGATGAATGGATGAATGACGAGTAAGAAAAATGAGATTTTTGGAATTTCTAAAATTGGAAATATTTGAATGAAAATTTCAGAGAACAATAAACATATTTTAAAAAATATAAGATAGTTTCATTTAGAAAAAAATACTTTGAAAAAAATATTAAATTAAATTTTTAAATTTTGTGATTTGTCAATTCTATTGCAAAACGTTTCTGTAGCATTCAAAAAAATTTCAGAAATATTGAATATTAATTTCTGAATAATAAAAACCCAACAAAAAATTTTCCATAAGAAATGAGTGAATTCGAAAAAAATGGAATGAAAATTCTGCATTAATTAGTAGACATTTCGAAACTTCTCAAAAAAGAAAAAAATCTGGAAGAATATGATGCGAACAAACTAATAAGAAATTCGTCATAGGTTCTATGGAAAGTTATGTTTCTTGATATTATACTTCGAAAGTTTTGAAACAAATAAAACATTGTTGAAACTGAATAAACTTATTTTTAAATGAGAAGATCAAAAACGTTTTCTTTGAACGTTGGTAACAGATTTTCAGATTATTTTTCAAATGTTGAAATTGTGAACGACTACCAGAATCAGTTGAATCAAAATTAATATTAACTTTTAAAAACAATAGGAAATTTTAGTTTTTCTCTATTCGGCATTTTTCAAAAGATGTTCTGGAAATGATTAAATTTCCCGACAGTCGTGAAAATTTTCAACCAAATAATTGCTTGAGAGCTGAAATTGTTTCTAAAAAAAATCATTTTTTTTTGAGAAAAAATCTATGTACATTTCCACTTTTTCAGAGTTCCTTCACATTGAAAATCGACACCTGCTATGCACTGATTTGTTTTTTCCATCAATTATGAAGCTTTTCTTATTCATATTTCACTTTATAATTGCCATTCTTCAAAAAACTTCCCGAACATCTCCAATAATTCAATTATTCACAAAAAAAAGTACATTCAAAATAATTGACCTTTTTGTTTTGCAATAAATGTAAATTTGTGAAGTTCTTCATAACAACAAACATCTGCGGCTCAGTTCAATGTTTTCATTTGCTAACAAATTTGCAAATTTTATTTTGTTTACTGAAAAATATGTATACTCAAATCAACTTTTTTTTTCTTTTTTCTACTAAATTATACGTTACAATTGATCGTTTTCTTGCTCAATACAATTTCTCTTTTTTTTTCGATAACAATATTACAGATTTTCAAAAAAATGAGTGCTCATCGTTCAAATCATTCCGCATCTGAAATATCGTCGAGTAAGGTATATTGATTTCCAGGGCTCAAAAACAAGAAATATCTCGTTTTCCCACTAATTTCGTCTATTCATTTTTTATTTATGAGAAAAACCTCTTGTAAAATCTCAAGCTTTTACATATTTTTTTTTGAAACCCTGCACTTTCGTTCTTTTTCATTATTTATTATTTTCTGAAATACAAAAGAGAAGAAGAACTTTGGAAGAAAATATTAATAATAATAATAATTATTATTATTATTATAAAACTAATAATGAAGAAAATGGTGAGTTGTACTTATTAAATTTGATACACATGAGCCACATTTCACTAATTAGATCCTTCTATGTATTTCTTCTTTCAATTTCCTTGTTTTTTCTTTCTCAATTTTCCCCAAATTATTTGGAATTATTCCAAACGCTCAAATTTTCAACCGTTTTTTTGTCATGTTTATTTCCAGAACCTTGAAGCTCACCGGTCTATTCGGGATTCTAACAACTCTCGAAAAGATTTATTAATTTTTCAAAACCGTTGTCAATCAAATAAAAAACAAATTTTGAAAATCATAAAAAGTTGTTTTCCTGAAGTTTGTCAACTATTCCTTATCTAAAAAGAGACATATATAAAATTAGATCAAGTGTAGAAATTGGATTATGAAATATAAATGGAAGCTAGATTTAGTATTTTTTCTTCGCCTTTTTTCTTGTCGTGTTGCATACATAAAGATACATTTACATCAAATACTACTCATATTCCCTTTTTTATTGCGTATCCATTTCTAAAGGAATACCATGTCTCTTGGCGGAGTACTCAAAAATGGTTTAAATCCATCTAATAATAACAAAACTATTACTAATGAACGGTCGACTAGAGTCACTTTTGCTGATGAGGTAATATTCCACTTCTGAAAAATGCTACTACAGGAACTTTCCAGTCCAATTTTTCCCCAGAAACTCCACTTCGTAGTAGTGAATTATGTAGGTATATTTATTTCTAAAATTGAGTTTAGTTTTTTGAAAATTTACTGATTTTTAGATGTTCACTGTGATGTTAACTGAATTTCCCAACTACATTTATAACCGAAAAAAATTCAAAAAGATGGGCCGAACCGGGGATTGAACCCGGGACCTCTCGCACCCAAAGCGAGAATCATACCACTAGACCATTCGGCCGACAACAAAATCACCTCTCTTTTCCAAAACGCTGTTCATTTCATTGTTCATCCAATGTTTTCCTCTCTCTCTTCCTCTGCCGCTTTTCACATGTCTCTTTTTTTCAATGTGTTATGAATGTTAGGTGTTTGGGAAAATGTGAAACTTTAGAATTTTTGAGTGGTTCTTTTTGGGTTGAAAATGATAATAAATTCAAGAAAAGTTCAGGACATGTTGAAGTATCGGAAAAAATAGTTGAAAGAATTCACAAATGAAATAAATTCAACATTTTTGACTAGAACTGTTAAATCAAAAATTGAAGGAAAATGTTCATTTCACCAAAAAAAAAATATTCAAATCTCTGTGGAACTACAGTAACTTCTCCAAATATGAAAAGAAATATTTTTTGTTCTGTGTTCACAATCAAAACTATTTTGAAACTTCAGAATTTTTCGAAATTCAAAACTTCAATAGAACTATTTTCACATTCAAAACTCTGATTTCAGCAAAAATTTCTCATCTCTTCCACCCGGAAAAACCTCTCGAAATTAATCAAATTCTCCTCCCTCCTCCCCCAAATAAAATCCAATTTCACCACCATCACATCCAATTGTTCGGAAGAGTCCAATTTCAATTTTTTCTGTTTCCAAAAGAGGAAAGAACGACATTATTTATTCATTTTTTTGTTTTAACTTGATTGAGATTTAAAAAAATTATTGTATTAACTTTTAATTCTAAAAATTTCTCATGTATGTATACAAAAAAATAATAGGAAAACTAGGGGGAAAAGGGAAAAGGAGGAGCTAGCACATATATATGCGGTCATATAATTACTTGAGCATAGGCTCATTTCATTATTTTTCTGAACTATGGCTCTAGATTCTCCAACTAGCAAAAGGCATAATATTACATTCAGCCTACCTATGGTAAAAAAATTTTTTAATTTTTTTTGAAATTCTTAAATTTGTAATTTCAGATGTCTCGTCTGAGATCAGACACGTATATCAAACCAGGTTCTGAGAGCAGCTACGAAAGTGAAGATGGAAATTCAAGAAGGTTGGATATTTTCAGATATTTTGAAAATTATCAATTTTTTTCAGATACGCTCAGCCCACTCTTGATTCTTATTGTTGTATCAGCAATGTCTCAATAAAAGTAATATTTTCCATTTTTCAATCCTCTAATTAATAAAAATTTCAGAAAGCAGTAATCATATCTGGTGTTTTATCAGCTGTTCAGTCAATTGTCAACTTTTTCCTTTTACTGCGAGGTTTGATCTTCACATTTTTTTCTATAGGAACTACTCATAAACCAGAGCTATTTTCCAAAAAAAAATTAGATCGTTAACTTTGATGGGATAGTTTTTGGCTCACATCAACTCGGAGTGGTTTTCACTTTCTTTTGATTCAAGATAATGTATATATAAAGGAGAAAAAAATGAATCCATCAACTTGATTGAAAACCTCACATTAATTTAGTGCTGGAAAAACATGTATACATTTTTAGTTCTGATGAAATATGATATGGATGTGGTGATTTTGAGTTAATTATGGGAAATTTTTCGTATTTTTCTAATGATAAATGAATGTTATAAGTAATTGTGAGAAACGGTTTTGAAGTTTGAATAAATTCTGAAAATTTTGAGAAGTAATGAGAAAGTTCCCCGTACAACAACAAAATAAATTCATTTTAAACCAAAATTATGCAAGTTCCTGGATTTTTTTTCCGGAACTGAATAATATGAAACGTTTTCTAAAATAATTTCAAAAACTCAATATTTCAGGTTGTGATCGAACAAATGTAGACATTGCATTTGCGATTCTTCCCATAGTCACTGCAACCGGTGCAATCTTATTTCTATCGTTTGCACTTCTTCATAACAGTTCCATATCTCTAAAACCTTATATTGCACATCATGTGAGTACTCTTTCATTTCATTTGTTTTCCAACTAACCAATTTTTGCAGCTTCTCATACTATTATGTGGATTGGGATTTTTCATTTATTATGTGTTGTTTCTCTTCCACTATGATACTAATTGGATGTCATGGCTTGCACGACAATCTAACACATTTCAAACATTGATGACTAATCAAAATGATTCGAAATTGTTATATGGCGTGATTTTAGTCATCCAAATTTCAACGAATATTTTGTGTATACATATTTCCGTAGGACTTTACCTGGTTTTAGATAATGTTGTGAGATATGTTAGCGCCGAGGTAACAGAAGTCATCTAATTATTTTTTAACATGGGAGAGTTTTCAAAAACCGACGGGAGTCTTTAATGTGATAATATTTATTATGTGAAAATTAATAAATTAATAATAAAATGATTAGTTGAATAATTAATTAATTAATAAAAACAATTGAATATACTGGCATAGAAGTGACCCGCTCAAATGGAATTTTTAAACGAACAAACAAATCACTGTGAGCCATCACAATTAATACCATCGAAATAAACAGTCGACGCGTCATATCCAATCATGTCAGGACGACGATAATCAATCAATGAATCTTTGTATAATTCACAACTATTCAATCCTCCTTGAGCAATCAAGTTAGCTGATCTACATCTCAGAGCATAACAGGCGGCAAAGCAGTCAGCTGGAGTTTTGACGTGAACTGTTTTGAGAAGACGTCTACCTAGGAAAGATGTTTGATAGAGAGCGGAATATGAACAGCGACCGGCTGGTGGATAACCAAGAGTTGTTGTTGTGGTGGCAGGTGTTGTTGTAATTCTTGGAAGAGGCATTCCTTCTTTATCAACTTTTTTGTCGAATTTTTGAGGTTTTGATTGGATTGTAGATCTGCAACAATGTTTGTTGGGTCTATTATTTTCTAAAATATTGATAATGATATCAAGCTCAGAAAAAATGTCTTTGAATATTTCTATATAAAGTTGGTTTTCTAACTATCGAGAAACCCCCTCAAAAAACTAACGTGGTGATTGGTGCAGCTGTAGTTGTTACAGTAGTTTCAACCGAAGAAGCTGGTGTTGTTTCATCACTCAACTCCGAATTCAAACTTTCTGTGATTTGCTCTTCAACAGTTTCCTCATCATTCGAATCTTCCATTCCTTCGGCTTCCGGAATAGTATATTTTCCGGTTGTCTTTTTTTCAGTAACCTTTTCTTTTTCCTCTTTTTTCTCTGATGACTTGATTTCAGCTTTTTCGAAAGCTTTAATTTGTTCTGATGATACACGTTTCATTCCAACATTTCCTTCTTCAACAACAATTTTTGGTTCACTTGGAGTTTCATCGATTTTTGCGTTGGAGAGTTGTTCCAATTCTTCGGCGGTTACAGTTTTCATGGAAACCGTTCCATTTTTACCGTTATCATCAGCTGGGGAAGAAACGACTGGTGGTTCTAAAATTATTGATTTTTCTTTGAATTTTCAAAAAATATAAAACAAACTAACTTTTGGTTGTTTTCTTCTTATTGATGATAAGTTCAGCGGTTGTTGTAGTTTTTGGTTGTTCAGTTGATGAAGCTTCTAATAATCTATTAGCCTCATTAATTTTCTGAATAATCTCTTTTTCATTAACTTTTTTCATCTCAACAGTAGCAGCATCCGATTTTGTCGATTTTGAAGCGGAAGCAACTTTTTCTTTCTCATCGGCAACGACTTGACTCAATTTTTCGAGTAATGTTTTTTCGTCGACTTTTTTGGTTTTCACAATTGTGCTATCTTCAGTTTTTGGTTTTTGAGTGGTTGTTGATGTGACTGGGACAGATCTTGGTTTTTTGGTTGTGATTTTTGGTTTTTCAGTTGGCTTTTCAGTTGTGGTTGTTGGTTTTTTGGTGGTTGTTGGGGTGATTTTCTTGGTGGTTGTTGTTGTTGAGGGAGTCGTCGAAACCATGGTGCTCAAGGTCTTTTCTGCGTCTTGAATTCTTTTCAAAATATCATCCTTGATATTTTTCTTTGGTTTGATATCGGACTTCTGAAAAATATGGGTTTAATTGTTTCAGAAATTATTTCTGTGGGGCCGATATAAAATTTACCTTTTCCACAACTTTGACTTCATTGCGATCAACAACTTCATCAATGCGTTTCAAGAAATCTTTCTCATCGAGTCTCAAAACTCTTCCAGAATCAGTTTCAATTTTTTCAGCATCATTATTCAATAGATTTCCTTCAACAGGATCTGATTGAACTTGACAAACATCTCCCAAATATTTGATTCTAGCTTCATCTTTGTTAGCACAAGTCCACTCAAAATAGCTACGTGTTTGATTGATGCTTGGAACAAAGTTGAATTTTTCAGGATTGGAGAATCTAGAAGTAATGTTTTTAAAAAATTATTTTCAAGTTATTGTATTTCTAAAACATACCTGTTTTGTTTATTTATAAGACATGTTTTACTGTCATAATAATAAAGGAAAGATGCACATTCTTCTCCATATAATTTTTCTCCTTGTGCACATTTGCATTTACAATCTTGTGGAGAATCTGTAACTTCGACAGCAATCGCAGTTCCTTCCAATACAAAATCATTCAATTCGATGAAACAAGAATCTGAATTTTTTCCATTCTTTTTCTCTGATTTTTTATTAACTGGGGTGGTTGTTGTTGGAGATTCTTTTCGGCAATTTTTCGAAGCAAGATCTTTTGTGCTTTCCAAGGTTTTCTCTGAAAAAATAGTTTTATTTTGAGATAAACAATCATATATGAATAATACCTGTCGAACAAGTGGTGCCAATATAAGAAACATTGAAGTTCACAAATTGTTTTTCGAAAAGTTTTGGCTTCATATGTCTATCCTCTAAATTCAAAATACAGTCTCTTTCAATATGATAATATGTAGCAGATGCACATTGGAACTCATATTTTCCAGATTTCCTGAAAATTAATAATATAAGAATACAACATTTCTGACCCCTTGGGTCGTTCAAAAATTGCGTATGATACCCATATTTCAGGGACCATCGCGGGCAATTGGGAAAAGTTTTCAACCAGCAATAAACGCACCTCGGCAAAGCCTCATTGGTCACGTTATCGCCCCAGCGCAAAACTGAAGAATTGTGGAAGGGGGGAGTATATACATAAAACTACTAGCGGACAGCGAACGGGTGTTTGCAAACGCTATGTTTTGTGTGTTGATGGGCGGAGCAAGGAGAAGATTGCGAAATATGCATTTTATTTTTGTGACTTACTTGCTGTTGGCACAAATACATTGACATTCTTCGATGGTCACATCGTGTTCAAGTCCTCCAGCAACACTGACCATCAAATGATCATTGATGATTTCGAAGCATCCACTTTTAACTGGAAATTTTTATTTATCAAACAATTGTAAATATTGTGCTTACCAATATTTAGATCACTTGCAACAACATCATCGTCCCCAGTTTCTCTTACTGTGGTTGTTTTTGGGGTTACTGTAGTTGTGGTAGTTGTGGCTGGCTTTGTTGGTTTACCTTTTGGTGTTGGTTTTGGTTTCTGTGTGGTGGCTTTTGGCGCTGGTTTTTTAGTTGTGGTAGTTGTTTTTTGGGTTGTTGTGGGTTTTGCTGCTGGCTTCTTGGTGGTTGTAGTTGGTGCAGGTTTCTTAGTGGTGGATTTTGGTGCAAGTGTGGTTGTTGGAGCTGGGGTTGAAGCATCTTCTTTGAAGTTGGCACAGAAGTTTGAGGCAACATCGAGAAGAACTGTAATTTTTTCTTGGTTGAAACTGGTGTTAAATTCAACAGCAGTGGTGAATTTTTTTAGAAACATGTTTTGTTTTTAGATTTTTCAAGTTTATTTTTCAAGTTTATAAATCAATCAGCTATGATTCTTACCATCAATATCACAATCAACATATTGATAGACAGTTCGGCGTTTTTCGATAAGATCGTATTGGCCTCTAAAAAAAATTTCAATTTATCAGATTCAATTTGTGAAAATACTACTAACAAATGGTTTCCTTTATTGATCGAACATTTTCCAGCTTTGTATTGGAACGATTGACATTTTTGTGTCGAGTTCGATTTATATGTAGCTGCACACAAACATCTACATTCATTAATTGAATTAACATCGTGCTCTTCAAAAGTGGCGCCAAGCAAATATCTGTGTCGAATTGTTCGATAGCAAACTTGCGATTTTCCACTAGCATTTCCTGCAAGAAAAAAAAAACAATTTATTGTTGTCCCAAAACTTCAATCAAGCATGATTGACTGTCGTCGGTCAATTACTATGTACAATTACGAATTGGAATGCGAGATGAAGAAAAAAAGAAGAAGAGAGTTATAATAAATGTACCTTTTGTAGATGTTTTATTTTCATCGTTTTGTTGGAGAGTTAATGGTTCGATCGATCCAACTCCACCTTCTTGTAGTCCACTAATATTAGCGAGAATCAAACGAGTCACATAACCTTCAGCACGTGGTTTTTCGGTTGTTAATGGATCGGTGATCACGTTATTTTTTACAGAGTCTGTGATTTTTACTGCAATTTTTCCGTCGTTTGGTTCACCAGTAATGATTCCAACCTGAAGTGGAAATAGGGATCAGGAGATGTGAGGAAATTTTTCTCCCAAAAGTTCCCAACTTACCGGAACTCGTTCTCCGTCATTTTTATCAGCTGATGAGCTTTTGCAACTATCCACACATGCAATATGAATCAAATCTCCTTGATTTCTTCCCTTCAATTCAAAATCATCATATCGTTGAGGGTTTGATGCGCAAGGAACTGTGAATTCATAAGAGATTCCACAAGTTCTAGTGCGACTGTTATAAACAGCACTGCGACAAAATTCACGCTGAGCGCAGAAACGAGCGCAATCCCGAGTCGAGCCAAGGTTTATTCTGAAATCAACTCTTTTATTGGATTTTTTTCCAATTATGCCACGTACCCAGTATAATAAAAATCAATTTCAACAGCTTCCTCATACTTTATACCTTTCGCAAAAAATCTTGGTGAACATTTATCATCCAAGGTGGCGGCTAGAACAAAACAAAGTTAATTGGGTCAGTTTTTCATCCAATAAAATTGAAAAAAAACAGAACAAACCTTGTAAAGAAGCAATCAAACAACAAGCCACCAGTATAAAACTAGTGTTTTTCCAAAACATTTCTGTAAAAAAAACCGTTTTTTTCAAAGGGAGAAAAGAAGTTTGGGACATCATAAAGATAAGCTACTTAGTCGAGATCAAAATAGGACACATGCTGTGTGAAAAAGTGAAAAGATTTTATGAGGTGTTCAAAATATGTTTCATGTTTTTTTTTCTTCGATAGCCTACGGTTTTTCTAACATATGAATGAATATGTAGATCAAAACTAGAATTTTTACATTACATAAAATTGAAAATTTCACGCCTCCACTCTTGGCCTTTCTCAGATCAACTTCACTTGAAATAAGATCAGCGGCAAATTTCAAGTGATTTGCATAACAACCAGAATTCATAATTTAGCCTAGCATATCCTATTCAAATTCGATTAGTCAAACTTATTCTTATTATTTTTATTTTACAAAAAAAAAACAAGGTCGATTGTTTTCTTTTTTAGGAAGATCTAAAGTGAAATTAAATTACATAAAAGAGGTAGAAGAAGAAGATGAATTGGAAATAATAGAAGACAAAGAAGAAAAGTATCGAGAATTCCTGAACTGGCTATTTTTTTGGGATTTGATGAAAACAAAAAAAAATTCGATTTCTCTGATGTTGATGATAAAACGTGTTATTAATGAAAGAACGTTGAAAAAACACTGTTTTTTCTCGTTTTGTAACTAACTGAATAATAAGCATACTTAGGTCAAGAAACTAATTCAGAATGTCTGCAGATTTTTCTGATTTGCTGTTTTTGAATGGTCAGATTTGCAGATCTAGAAGAGGTTTGGAAATGATCAATAACTTCTAGAATGATTTTTGATTAATTTTTTATGGCTTCTGTTCGGAAGATAACTAAAACATGTTCGGAAGATAACTTTCTTAATTCATAAAATATTTTTGGATTTATTAAAAATTCAATTTTGGGCTTTATGAAATATATCAAAATAAAAATAAACATACACGATCTCACAGAACTCTTCAAAATCATTCACCCAAAAAATTCTAATTTAATTTTCTAGAAAACCCTACTTCTTCCTATAAATCAAAAAATATATTACGAAACATCCTGAAATTAACAGTTTTTTCTCAAAAAGTTTTCAAATTCAGAACCTTGACCTTCCCGAACAAAAGGCGATTAAAAAGTTCATTATTTTTGACAGTTAAGTATTCATAAGTTGCGACATTCTTCAAAACTGAGAAGTCAAAAGTTATTAGCAGCTTAGAAATGTTTCAACATCAACATCAATACCAAAACATGAAAATAATTATTGTCAATCCGAAATTTTTAGATTTTTGGGAGAGAAGCACGTAGAAAACCAAAAATTTTATTTTTCAATACAAAAGATCAAAAGAGCCGGCACAGTCTTACTGTTTTGGTTTCCTTTTTCATAGCTCTGAAAATTACAGATTCCATATAATGAATTGAAACAAATATGAAAATAAGAACATAAAAGAACAAAACAAATGAAACTTTTTATCGACGCAAAATGAGAAAAGAAAAAGCATCATATGCATGTCGAGAGAAAGATTCGACGAATTTGATATGAACCGGTCATTCAATCCCGATTTTTCTTTTTCTCAAAAATTCTCCCCCGCGATTGACCAAAAGCAATAAGAGGGCGGGAAAAGGGCGGGAACACCTCATACGGACAAAATGTGAATGAATGGAGAAAGGAGATGAGCGACAAAAAAAAGAAAGAAAACACTACACAAAATTGGAACAATAGAAAAAATGTGATGAGATGAACGTAGGATATGTATGTATTGAGAAAATATGTATGAACTTTAAATAGAAAAATTATCAGGAAAAGGATAAGGATGAAGAGAAAAACTGGATGGGTTATTCATTTTTGATATTTATTTTGCTTCTGTTGTGTTGATTTCAATAAATCATTCATTGAACAAATAAAAATAATTCTGAAAAAAAACGCAATCAAGATGAAAGTGTTTTGATTGGATTAAACAGTTTTCGGGATAACGGTGGCTGCAAAAACAAATAGGTTTTTTTCAGATCAAAAAAGTCGTAAATTAGGTCGAGACAACTTTTGATTGTTTTTATTTACATTTAGGAATCCCGAAACAATTAAAAACGATAAAATGACATCAGAAAGGGTGTGATAAACCAGAATAAAGTATCAATAACCAAGACAATATTGACAATTTATCCGAAGATAAAACATGATGAAACTTTGTTTGTTTGAGGTTTTGAACTGCAGAGGAGAAGATGCCTTTTCTTTATATCCGATTCTAAATTAATGTAACATTTGTAGCCCGATTGAATTATTTTGGAAGGAGCTGAACAAGTACTTTTGAAGTTCTGCGTTTCCCATGACCATTTTTATTGATGAACTGTTTCTCAAGTAATTAATTGCAAAACACCTCATTACCAAATGAAATTGACACAAAATCGTTAATTATTCCATATTCAAAAAATTCAGTTTTTCTAATTCTCAGATGATTCGTAAGTTACAAATCTTTATCCAGTTCCAAAAAAATCTAAATGCATATTATGTAAAAGGGAAAACCAAGACCATATTTTTTTCTCGAGAATGCGCTGACTGAATAACTGTGTTAAAAGGGTGACAAAAATGGATCAGGATATTATAAAGAGAAAAGGACAGCATATTGTGATATACGATTTCGGATTTTTATGGCTCATTGGTCAACGTTTCTCGGTTTGGTTTGAATCACGAACAAGTCCAAAAAATTGTGTGTGAATAGCAAACATACTAACTTTTTTTGTATTTTATTTTATTCCATCCATGTCGTGTCCGGATTGATGCTTCATGCTACAAACAGAAATTGTTGAATAAAAAAAAGTTTTCTAAAATTTCAAGATAAACTTTGAACTTTGGAAGGAACCTTGAAAATCACTTTATTTACACAGATTTCACTTGTATCATCATCAAAATAATTATGTCTAACATGAGTAAAAATATGTTTCATTTATTATTTACATTTCAATGATTTCACTTATTTTGCTCTAATTTTTATTGGATAAATAAACAAACTACAAGAAATGTTGCCAAATGTTTTTGGGTCAAAATCATCTCCAAATATCTAGAGAGGAACAGTGTTTAGGTAAGAAAGTGGACCAAAAGTGGTTCAAGAGTAGAGGAAAAACAACAAATATTGTTAATATACTCAAAATATTTGATTAGTGGGGAAATTAAAACAAAAAAAATGGTCTTTGCTCGTAATTTTTATCCATTTTTGCACTAAAAGTTGTTTTCCAATACATTTTTTCTAACACACACGCAAGAAACACACACACAAAACGTCTCACACATTTTTTTTACAACAAACACACGCATAGGAAAAAATGTACACTAGTAGAAGAAAACGGGGCAGAGAAAAAGAAAAAGAGTCTGCACATTATATTTGCCATCCACTTGCTGTGTTCTCGTGGCCTTGTGGCCTAATGGATAAGGCGTCTGACTTCTAATCAGAAGATTGCAGGTTCGATCCCTGCCTGGGTCAAAATTTTTGCGTTTTTTTAGTAGTAAGGTTTCAAAGAAAATAAATTCGACTAATGCTTCAGAAATTCTATTTTTCATCATCAATCTTCTATAAACCAGTCGTTTGCATGTTTTCCAAATTTGATTTTTTGAATACAACTTCCAAGATGAATATATATTTCTTGATTTAAAATACCTTCTAATAACTAACTTTAATTAAATGCAATCCCTATTTTTCTTCGGGAATTTCTTGCAAAACCTTTCGCATTTTCGAGTTCTGCTTGGGTCAGTGATTTTTTATTTTTTTTAAAAGAAATATTTTAATTAATAAATATTGTTAACTGAATCATTTTTCCAGTTTTTTCAAGGTATTTTGAGTCAAAATATTGATAAGTTTATAGTTTTCCCTCAATAATTCATCTCTACGTTTTACAATTAAAAATAAATGTGAAATCACAATCAGATTATCACAATTCACAGAACCTTTTGCTTTATTTGTTTTTTTGAATATGCAAATTCAAATATGCAATTTGCTTCATCTCCTCTCGTGGCCTTGTGGCCTAATGGATAAGGCGTCTGACTTCTAATCAGAAGATTGCAGGTTCGAGTCCTGCCTGGGTCAGTATTTTTTGTTTTTTTTTTTCGAATTTTTTTCAGTCACACAATTTTGATAATTGAAGCTCTTTATTTACAGAGAATATGGATAAAATGATGGTTCCCCCTCCCAAGGTAATATCATTTGTTTGTATCAAAAAGTAAAAATAAAAATATGAATATCAACAATTAACGAGACCAATAAAGTAAGAATAAAATCAACCGAGTTCCATCCAAGTTTTGAGAAAAATGAAGATCTTCTTATTGTTTTTCGACATTCTCGAAGAATGTTTCAATGGTGTTGTCATTGAAGTTGTACTGAAAAAATCATATATTTTTTTGTTGTTGAATTTTCAGGTCTAGAAACTCACGTTTCCTGGAGTTGGGTAAACGATGAAGCTGAGTCCTGAAGCATCATTGAATTCTCTGCAGATGGTGTCATTGCTGTGAGTATTCAAGATGATCTTGGAGGTCTTGCTGACAATAACTTCATGTGCAGCTCCGAATTGACTTTGGACACGTCTTCCAATGTTCTAAAATTAATCACAGGATAATTGATTTGATAATACAAAAATAAAAGCTTACGGTGGCCAAAGCGTGAAGAGATCCAGTTCCAATTTCAGTTCTGGTTTTGACAATAATGGCTGCATATTTTGATGGGCAACCCTGAAAAGACTTTGAATAAATATCGAGAAAAAATAGAAGATAAACTATATTACCTCTGGATTAGTTCCTGGAGCTTCATATGGATCAGCAACTTTTGGCAAATCATCATAAGCTGCATAAGCAAGAGTAACCAAACCAAGAACCAGAAGAAGCTTCATTTTTTCTAAATCAAAAAGTCAGTGAAAGGCAAAAAAAACTGGCTAAATAAAAAACGCTTGGAAGATAAATGTGTCTTGTGCTGGAAGCAATGAGGCTAATATGACCTTCATTAATTTTACCCAACTGATTTTATACTGTTTTGTGTGAACAAGTTTTGGGGTGGAGCTAATCAGATAATATCTATTTTCTCAACCTATGTTTGATCGGTTGGTTTGGTTCGCCAATGAGAAACTTTTTTTGAAATCAAATTGTTGAGTGAAAAAAAGCGAGGTCGACAACCTTTGGTTTTAAATTGCATGTATATTTCTGGAAATTGGATTACACTAGATGACTAAAAATTTATCTTCAGATAAGCAACATTGTGTAAAATCTATTAGAAAAGTAATAAAAAAAAGAACGTTTTTTTTTAATGAAATGAGATATATGACAGATTTTTTTTCAGAAAAAGGAAAAGGATTGTTCCGATTTTTGGTAGATCAAACTATTGCAGCAAAACAGATAGAATTTTCTGGAAAAAAGTTTGTGGATGATAAAACTAAATGATCAACAATCTGGAATTTTATCCGCTTTCTCGGAATTCGACTGGAAACATTTTCACAGTTGACGTTCGATGACACTTTTTGAGACCATTGAAAAAAATCCCACGATCGAAAATTCGCTACTGAAAATCCTAATATTTGATTTTTCAGTTCAGCTCACAAATTTCAACTTTTTATTGTATTTCATAGGATCTGAGTTGTTGCTAACCCTAGGGTGAATCCGCAATGATTTCAACATTTTATGTTTCAGTGACTATTGGATATCATTTTCAAAGAAGCTGTGCTGTTGCTCTCACATCCAGTTTTTATTATTTTTTTTTGGAAGTTTAAAGTCATCATTCTTTACCATCGAACGATTCCTCATAAATTTTGCAAAACGTAAACAAAACCGTAAACTTTTTTTTCTACCTCTTAAAATAATTTAATTATCCTCCTCCCCTTTCTTCATGTTACTTGAAAACGTTATCTTTATTGAGATCGTCTGCAGTTTTCCTTCCACGATGCGAATTTTGATTTCTCATGTTCAAAAAAAAGCAAATTTATTTCATACAAAAAAACCCAATGAAAAACATTTTGAAAATAGGAAAAAAATTGACTCGATTCAGTGTAAAGCGCGAAGAAATTCATAATTTTCGCAATAGTTGTCTTGTTTTGTCTTGAGCAAAACCGTTTGAGAATAAATACCAGTTGAAAAATCTGAAAATTGTTTAATTAGAAAATGGATAAAATTTCAAGATAGAAAAAACCAACCTATGTGAGATCAATGAACATTTTTTGTGTTAGCTTGAAATTGAAAATCCGAAAATTTTCACATTTTTGGTGGGATTTCATAACGATCATCATTGATGCTCATAGTTGATCGTCGGCTAAAAGATGTGCTAACTTCATCAATTTCAGGAATTGATGGTGGAGCTGGAGGAATTGGTTGAGCTTCAGCTTGAATTGCTGTTGGTTTTTCTGCAGTTCCTTGTACAGTTTTCTTCTTTTTCACTAATTTTCGGAATGTTGCAATTCGAATTGTGATAAATGCAAGGAGCGCAATCACAAAAATAATCAATCCCACAAAAAATGCAGTGACTGTCCAAGCAATCTTTGATTGCAACACGAATTCCACTGAAAATTTCATAAACATTAATGAGAAGTTTCTGATCATCAAAATTGTACCAAATGTGACTAATAAATTTTATCTGATCTTTTTCTAGCGTTTTTGGGTTGTTGCAAAGGAGGGAAAAGTTTTGTGATGAAATTGCTTTTGACAAGTTGGTTATGATGTTTGAAATAAAATACAAAAGGTCAAATTTGGGGTGATCAAAGAGGGTTTTCAGAGGTGAATCTTCATTTGTTCAAAACATATTACAAAAGTTCAGAGAAAGCATATAGTAGATTATCAGTTAGAAAAACGTTTCTCTATTTTCAAACTTTGGGCAATTTTTACTGTCAATTTTCCTTCTGTTTTGTGCAATAAAAAAATCCTACCTGACGGTCCAATTATCACCAAGCAAACAACAAAACTAATCATAACAATAACAATATTTGGAATGAAGAGATAAGGTATTGTCATGTGAGTTGTCAATGTAGATAGTACATTTGTGAGAATCCATAAGACCTGAAAAAGAAAACCTATTTTTGCATCAAAAGTTTGCGACTCAAAGATCAAGATTCAGATAGGAGGAAGGTCATTTTTCCCTCTTTCAAAAAAAAAACAACAAAGAGACAGCTGAATTTTCTGCAGAAAGCAGATGGTTTTTATTTATTTTTTAAATGTTTGTTCATCATATTTTTTTATTTTTGATGAGAGAAAGTGACAAACCTGAACTGCTAGAATAGGCGTTAAAAATTGAAATTTGATTATTTCACTAAAATCCGGATGGTATTCTTTATATGTATCTGCGTCGAATGCTACCAAATTGATTGTTGTGAAAACTATGCACGGTACTATAACCAGTGTTTCAACCACCTGAAAAAAATTGGATTTTTGTTTGACGAAATGGTAAGAAAACTTTTTCAGGAAGGAAATGAGGTATTTTTTCGGAATTTTTTGAATTTAGCTTTCACAATCTCAAAATTCCATCTCAATTCCACAGAAAACTCACCATAACACTGAAGAAAAGTGAATAATTTTTGATAGTTGTTGTGAATTTTGCGCCATTATCAACCATAAACCCGAAAAATTCCCCTGAAATTTTATTACGATTTTTTTAGAAAAAAAATGTGTTCTATTTTTTCAAAGAGAAAGCAAGAGCAAGACAAAATTATACATCTCGAGAAAAAATTGTGGATAAAAAAAATAAAAAATGTGTATTTTCATAGGGAGAAAAATCGACAAAAAATACCACTTTAATTGGGTAGGCGGGTACTTGAGAAGTGTATATTTTTCGAGGTGACTCTCGTTCCAAAAATTTTTCACCATTTTTTTGACTACATATTTTGAATGAAAAAAAATAGGATAATTCGTGTAAAAGTGCAAAAACGGTCAGCTGGACGGGGCAGAAAAAAATCACGAGAAAATAAAACAAAGATAAAACAAAATAGAATGTGTGGTTCAAACGGGCAGCGAAAAATAGGGCAAACCAAAACCAAACACCTGCTCACATACTATTAATTATATATGTTTTTGTACCATGCATTCATATTGTTTGTATTATTAATAATGAAAAATATGAAAATAATAATGAGATGAGATGAGGCAAAAATATTATTATTATTATTATTAGTCATGGAGGCACAAAGTCTGCTGCAGTAAAAACTTTTTTGTATCAAACAACTTTTACTTGATAACAAATGCAAATAAACAAACGCATTTCGGATGGAATTGGAATTTTTTATAAATTTTTTTCTCATCGTCAAATGAAATAAATTTCAAGACGCTTACAAAAATTATTCAATTAATAAAAAATAAGTAAGCCAAACCTATTCTAAAAATGTCAAGTTAACAGAAATATGACATACGTTGTTTTTTTTGTTAATCGATTAACAGATGCTCTCGGAAAACAAAAATTTTCGCGACACTAAAGTTTTACAATGTTGGTGGGTTTTATGAGCTCTAAAAATCTCAATTTGAAAAAATGTAATTTCCGAAAGTTGTTGATCATGTTTTTGTGTGACTAGAAATTTTTCGGTTTTTGGTTTTTGTAGGCTTGAAAAATTAGCTGGAAAAATGAAATTTTGAAAAAAAATATATCAAAAATCATTTCCACACATAATGATTTGGTATTAGATTTTTGACACCCAAAGCTCTCTTTCATTTGAATGTGGTTGTTAAAGCTTAAACTGAAAAACATTCTACATATTCAACAAATGTGATTTCTACCTGGGTTTTAGAGATGAAAAGCTGGATTTTGAAAATTCAGAAAACAATTTTCTAGTTTCAAAAAAAAATAATCCTCTTTTTTTCAAATAAAACTACAAATCTCAAAAGAATACTGTAGATTTTGAGAACTCCAAAAATGGTTATTTTTTTTTTCAACTGGAGTGAGTATAAATTCTATAAAGAAATTCTATTTTTTTTAATTCACCTGCAATTCTTCAATTGTAAGGTCAAATCTTGATATAACAGAAAATAGCAATAGCTGCAAAGTTTATTTGAGAAAATGATCAAAATTCGAATCAAGGAATAAATTAAATTACAAAAAACTTTGAACTACAGTACTTCTAACGTTTCAAAAAAATAAAGAAGAAGAGGAATTTCCAAAATAGATTGCAACACACAAAATTACTGAAAATTGAGTTGAATCGAAATGTGCTAAAATCGTTTACCCAAAAGGAAATGGAAAGAACAAGTTTTTCGAGAGCAGCAAAAAATTGGAGAAAAACGACTAGCAAAAAAACGAAGGGAAAACGAGAAAAAACTCGAATTTAGTACGCTCGTATTCGAAAAGGAAAGCGACAAAAAATGCGACGCACTTGTCAGAGCACAATTCAACCATCCGCATATATCTTTTTTTCATTCCGTTTTTTTTCGCATTGCCCTGTATTTCTTGTGTGTAACTATTTGCCACCAGTGCTCTTTCGACCACTTTTTTTTGTGACCAGAAATTTTTTTGCCGCGCACAAAAAGACACTTTCTTCAATTTGTTTTTTCGCTCTCTTCCTACGGTTTTTTCTTTGGTGTTTGTTTGAGTGTAATTGATAATATTTACATTGCTTGTTACATTTTTGAGTGGTTTTGAATGGGCATGCACAAAAGATCAAGAATCTAAAAGATGATGGTGTGAAATGATGATTTATGAGAGATTAGTCTCTGGGAAAAACACTAGTTGAGATGGTAAATTTTCAAAATTTCGAAAATCGAGTAGAGAAATTGAATGAGAAAATTGAAAATTACAAAACTACAGGAAAATATTCGTTCTGAAAAAATCAGAGTTCATAATATAAAACATGATTTTCAAAAAATAAGTTAGGCAAAAAAAAACAAAACAAGAAAAAACATCATGTGATGTAAACTTTGCCACACAAATGCTCTCTTACAAATACATATCATAGCTCAAGGTTTGAGATCAAATAAATATCAAGTTAATCAAAAATGTTACTAATTTCTTAAGTTAGTGTGAGAAAAATTTTTAAGATGAGTATTCCCCTGATTCCCACTGATAAAACGATTTCAGCACAAGAGCTCAGTAAGAGCAAAATCAGGAAGATCGAGAATCTCATTTTCCCACAAACTACATCTCAATGACCCTGAAAACTAAATAGCAGCAGCAGCAGTAAAATTAGGTTGAATAACTCAATTAGTAAGATTTATGAAACAGAACAAAAGGGTTTTGCTAATTCAATTTTACTTACTATTTATCCTTGAAAATAGAATTCTAACAATTTAGAAAAAAATCACAAGAATATTATTTCATTGTGAAAAATCATACACCTTATAATCAACCTAACTCACCACGAAAAAAAGAGAGATTTATTTTCAGTTAGTTATTTTGTTATGATAACAAAATAAATTTGGTTGTGATCAATATATTTTCTAACAAATAAGAAAAAAACAATTCTCATACATAAAAAAGATATCGTATGTATGTATAGAATAGAATGAGCAGAAGAAAGTGACGATTTTTTTCTAGAAAATCTATGCATTTTTTTATTCCACAAGTACAAAACATGTAGCGTTTTTTCTCACAACCGGAAGAAAGTGCAATTCATGCTGGCTCGTTAGACTTGTTTTTCATGAGATATAAATGAATAAAATAAAAATGAAAGATATTAATGAATTGAAAATGTGGAAAGTCACACTAGAAGCATTTTGAAAACGAATAGAATCGAGCTACATTGTTTGTCAAATATATTTAGCACATATTTAGCTTATGATACATATTTGTATATACATTAAATATAAATGTTCATGTTTGTGTTTGTGTGTGTCAAATGGAAATTGATGTGATTCGTTTTCGAATCATCAATATAACATTTGTTTCGAGAAAATAATGAAAATGAACAATATAATAGAATGAAATGTATACTAATATGTATAGTGGATACAATTTCAGAGGCCACACACGACGAATATTCCAATTTTTATTTTCAAATAATATTTGAAAAATAATGAGAATTTTTTGGGTTTTTGAAAGCAGAAGGTTATTTGGAAAATAATTTCCTACAGTATGTCAAAAACTTGTAGCATTCATGCGTCACGAAAATGATTTCGTCAGAGATTTTTCACATATTTTTATTACATAGCACTTGATTTTTCAGTAATTCTGAGAATTTGAAAACTGAAAATTTTGAAAAGCCAGTAAAAATTGAACTTAACTGAAAAATTATAGTAAAACCTTGGTTTTTAGAAAATAATAATAATAATAATGAGAGACGAAAACAATTTATATAGTGAATACAATGTTTGACCAGACCACGCACGAAGCATTTTTCGAATTTTGATGGTGAAATACGTAATTGAGACTTTTTGAATTGGTTGCTAACTCAATGAATTTTATTTTGAAATATTTTCAGCTCCCATAAATAGGATTACGAAGAAAAATCTAGAGTATATAGTGAATACAATTCTCAGAAATTTATATATCACACACGAAGAAAATTCGAGACAATATGGATTTTAGAAAAGTCCAAACTTTCAATATGAATTCAGCAAAAAAAAACTTCTAGAGTCACGTGAAGTAAAATGTTAAACAAAACTCGACAAGAATAGTCAAGAATCCTAGTTAATCAATTAATTTTTTTCAGAAGTCTAATCGAAATGAACTAAATCTCAAAGGAACATTCTAATTAAAACCAAAATCTGTGATTCATAAAAAAACTTGAGAGAGAAAATCGTTTGTTTTTTTTTAGTGAAAACAAAAACAAGGGTCAGTGTGAATTTTTCAGAGATAATCTTTGAAATAAATGTCCCTCGTGAGTAATCTATCATTTTTTTTTTGAATAGAGATACAAAAAATATATCAAATATTTCCGAAGTTCTAAAAATCCAAGCAGACAATGATATTATTTCCAATATCACATACCAGAATAGATATAATGATAGAAAAAAATCAGAGAAGCCAGAAAAAAATGCATGTTATTTTTAGGTAACTATGGAGTAAGACGTATAATCATAGTTCTCTAGAAACTAAACAAATATTAGATTTATGTTTGAATATATTTATTATGAATAAACTGAATATGTATGTACTCACACAATTTTTCTGGAAAAATCGAAGAGGAAAACTAAACTTTTTTTTGACCCAGAAAAAAGCAGTCAATTTTACGATTTTTGGAGACAGGTGTTTTATGACCTTTTTTCAGATTGAATGAGTGAGGAATGGGTAAAAAAAATCACTCAGAAAAATTGAAGATATTTATCTTCCGCAAAAAAAAAAAACACACACAGAGACACATCAAGAAAAAAGCACTTGTTGGAAATGTATACATAACAAAAATAACACGATAAAGTGCATCACATGAAAAACAACCAGTGCAATTATACATTTTTAAAATATCTATTTTTTTGGTGATTCGTATTTTTTTTTGTTGGTGAATCATGGAAAATTCAACAAGGATATATTGAAAAGCGAAAAAAAAAGCGGAGGCAAGAAAAAATCTGTGGGGAATTTGAAAGAACTAACGATTTGTCTTGTTGTTGTTGTTGAAAACATTCTCATGTTTTTTTCCTCTCGAGAAAAAAAGTGAAAAAAGAAAAGGCTTAAACAGTTTTGTTTTTTGTGGTCAAGAATAAATCAAGGACAAAAATGGAAAATTTTGAACTGCCTTTTTTGAAATTTTTAAATTGGACCAGGATAAATCAATGATGGTCCTATTTTCAGACTAGAAGTGGTCCTCAACGTGGTTCTAGTCGAATTTTCAGAACATTAGATCTATGTAACATGGCTCAACAAAACTCAATTCAAAATTGAATATAAAACATTGTTTCATCTGGAAAAAAACCCACGAATTAATAGAGGACCATTCAAAAAAATCCAACAAAAACACATTTTTCTGTCGGAAGAAACACATAAATGCGTTTTATTTGATTGAATTTGTGTGCCAAAACGAGGATTAAAAGAACAATTATTTTCGTCTTCGTCTTCTTTTTTTTCTGCTTTCAGAGTCATAAATGAACCTATTGAATTGAATGGCAGAACAATAGACTTTTTTCTTGAGAGTGATGCAATCGTATATTTTTGTTATTTTTATATTTTTCATATTGTTACCAAGAGAAGAGAATGCTGATATCAATAATAACTAATTTTAGATATTTTTATATATAAGAAATTTCTCGATAAGCCAAGAAATTTCTAGATTTTCCAGAAAAATACATTGTTCTCGTATCGAAATTTATAGAAAAAAAATTAAAAACATTTCGAATTTATTGAAAACAATTTCAAGAGCTTTCAGGTTTTGGAAAATATATGAAAAAAATCCAGCTCCAATCAATTGTCAAAACGAAAAAAATCTTATTTTGTTCATATGAATAGTCTTTTCAAATGTACTACATTTTATTTTCAGCGAAAATATAATTCAATATTATACCCATTTTTGATATCTTTTATTTCCAAGCTACTTTTTGAAGAACATGCCAGAAAATTCATGGGGCTCAGATGGAGTTAAAGCAACATAAAGAAAATCTACTACAAATTAATAAGAAAATATTCTAAAATATTTTCAGAAAACGTCTAAAAACTTTCTTTTCTCTAAAAAAAACTTCTTCAAGTTAAGCACGAAAAATCGAAAAACTCAAAAAAAAGAGTTCTTCAAAAGAACAATGAAAAATGAAACAAAAATGGTTGGCAAAAATAAGTCCACTTTTACTCCAGAATTCTACATTCATGTTCATGTAACACAAAAAAACATGAGTTTTGGTGGATGGTGGCAGAAAAAACGACTTTACTCAAACAAAGGACGTTCACTTTCACTTTTCTGTTTACTTGCAAAATTTTTCATGAATTTTGAAGACACCGAAAAATCACTAGATCAAAAAATTGAGGAATTCGATGAAGTCAATAATAAAATGAGTGAGTAAGTGATAATAAAAAGAAGTGTTCCCACTCCCACAACCTTGAAATATATATTCGTGGTAATTTAAAAGTAATTTAAAAAATAGCAAAAAAAGAGGACAGACACACAGAAAAACACACAAATTTTCCGCGGCGCAACCTAGGCGATAATTGTGACCCGGTAAATCGAAGAAAGTAATTATGACCCAGTTAAATGGAAAAAGTCATAATTATTACTATTACTTTACATTCGGATTTTTCAACCAACCAGAATCAAAAATCTATGGCTCAATGAAATATCATTGAGAAATAACAAAAGTAAAGTTTTTCGAATAACAGCTGTTTGGTTCAATGTGATTTGAAAAATTGATAAGTACATAGTTGAAAGAACATTGAAGTAAGTAAGGTAAAAAAGAAAAAAACAGTGTGACCAACTGATTCAGATCTCGATACTATTGTTTTTCTTTTTTCTCATCTTTATTTATTTACAAGACGAAGGTATTGTAGTAATTATGTCAGTAAAAAATATATGAACAATTATTGGAAGAGGGTGGAAAATTTCAAAGAAACCGAGAAAAAAAAATGAATTTGGTATGTAGTTTTCGAAATGTTTGTATTAATTGAAGAAAAAAATAGGCATCAAGGTTTTGCTCAAAACAATTTTAATCAATAGTTTCAGGAATCTAAATGAACATAAATTTTTGGGTTTTTAATAAAAAAATGTATAAATAATTTTATAATCAAATAATAATAATATCAAATTGATTCTTCTAGAAAACCTTGTTTCATCAGGTTGTGGTAAATTAAGCACCAACAGAAAGTATGCCCCGTCAATAGCTGGAACTATTCATCAAAAAGCGTTAAGTAAAAGCAAGGTAAAATTGTTCTTTTCTAAACTTCCCTCCCCCTTTTAAAAATATTTGAAACGATGAACTTTTTTTCTATTCATAAAAATTAATTAATAATGATGTGTGCAAAACCCTAAAAGACTCACATTTTTTGTCAATTAATTGATAAAATCACGCTGATTAAATTGACTGAATCACTCCGTTAGGATTTTCAATTACACAAACAAATTCAGAAACTTTTCGAACAACAATGCTGAATGCAAGAAGCGTCATCTATAAAAACATTCATTCATCATTGAATCCAAGTTAGTTTTTGAAAAACAAGTGTACAATAAAAATAGTTTTTCTGTATGAATAATCAAAACATTCATTGTTTTCCAGAAAAAAAAACATGCCATGCGCGCACATGCTAAGGTATATATGCAGTTGACAAACTATCTCACCATTTCTCACCATTCCTCCATACACACAGATGGCTCACCGACATACACGCAGACACACATACAAAAACAAAAAAAAGTCATTTTTCTTTATATATTGTAAATTGTGTGTCATTAAACTATTTGATATGTTTCGTTCAATGTTTTCTCATATAATGTGTCATTTTATAATTTGCTCGTTATTTCTTGGCCATAGAATGTTTGTAACTTTGTATTATTAACGACTATTTTGCTTCTTACCCACCAATAGATTGTGAATTTTAAACTTTATGCTTTTTTATTTAATATTTTCATTGATATACTGAAGTTTTTGAGGCTAAATCAAGCACAAAAAAGAAGAAAGAATTCTACTGACATTGTGAATTAATAATGATTTACAAGAACTGTCACAGTGTTTACCACATGTGAAACTTTTTCACCAGATGTACATATAACTTTACGATATGCTCAAACTCAAATATCCCTTTTGTCCATTTTTACAATATTTTTGAATGCGCCAAAAATTTGTCTCCCAAGTTTTGTTTTCAAAAGGGTTAACGCTACTAAAATTCTTGAAAGTTTTCAATCGAAAAATATTTTTGGATTTTTACAGAACTTGGAAGAGAGTTTCAATTTTTGCGAAAATAATTGAACAACAATGCCAACCGTAAGTTACTTTTATTCAGACTCCGAATTTAAAGACAAATGGAAAGCATGTACTTCCAATATTTGAAGTATGTAAAAAAATTGTCAACGATTTCTAGCTTTCTACACGTCTTTAATAATTTTAAAAATCGAAAACAATTACTCGTGAAATTTTTAATATTTAACGAATTACAAATTTCGGTCAAGAAGAACATTTCGAAGAAAATTAAAAAGTTACAACCCCCCCCCCTCTTCTCTTATAATTCATTATAATGTATTATTTATCACAGAGTCGTCACGCCGAAGAATTTCCAAGAGGATATCTACGACAATTTGCTGTAAGTTAACTGTTTTCAAACATTGAAATATGCGAATAAAATTGTGTTTTCAGGTTCGAATAAGAAATGATGTTCTGCTGGAACATGTTCGTGGAAGATTCAATGAGTTTGTAGATCTGAAAAAAGATAACATTGCTGGATATGATGCACTTGACGCAGCTATAGTCAGTTTTATAATATAGAAACCTTTCAGAAACGCTGATAGAGACTTTAAAAAGTGACCATCTGCAAAATATAGCAACTTGAATATCTTGATTGTTTCGAAAGTTTTATCAATTACTAGCCAGACTAAAAAATTTTTCAGAGAAATGCTGTTGAAAAAAGAAAGGAGATTTCACAACGTTTGGGAAACGATGTATATGATCCGGTTAGTTTTAATTATGTTCAAATTATATTCTGTAAACCATCACGTTTTCATGATTTGAACTGAAAACCTGAAACAAAGTTTAACAATATTTCAACAAAAATCATCAAAATCAGAAAAATCTCTTGTTTCACAGATATACATGAGAGTTGAATTGAGCGATCTGGAAAAACATCAACTTCAAAACAGTAAACAATGTATGCAAGATATCCTAGTCGAACTCACTCAAGTACAAGAAGAAAACTACGCCTCTCATGATAAGTTGGTTAGTTTTCAACAAAGACAGATAGTCAGGAAAATCTAGTCGAGCTTTTGGCTCAACAGCAAAAGAACATGTCCCCCCCACACAGGTATAGATTTATTTTTATTTAAAAAATTATTTTTTTCAGAACTTGATTGAGTCACATATCAGAAGATTGGAAAACTTTGGGAGAACTTTTGTTGCTAATTGTAACATTCCACCATTTTCTCTTCAAAACTCACAGGTAATTAGAACAAAAACAAAATCACATATGTATATTCCGCGTTTTTCAGTATTATCGAATGCTTCCATACTTCCCGGCTGTTCGAGTGAGTCATTTTTTATGGATTTCTGTGTCCTTCTATCAAAAATCAAAACTAAATTGCTTGCTCATTCATTGCTTTTTGAAATTCAAAATACTGCCAACATGTCTCGCAATCCAAAAATATTGTTCTTATTTTCAGTTCGAGCCAGTTGCTCTTTCTCACTTTGCGGAAATTCGTGCAATGTTCGACGAACTGCTAGATGATGCTAAACGTCATTTACTCGAAGTCAAGAATTATATTGATTCTCTTATGGCGACCCAAGTGAGTTTAATTTTCAAATATTGAAAATGCCAAAAATATTTCTTATCATTTCAGGAAGAAAATAACAATGTTTTGGAAAATATTGTGGCTGGAATTTTCAGTCGAATGTAGACTTTTCGATCTGTATTTGGAACGTCTTTTTGTTTCTCATATCTATATCATAAGCTATAATTCTTATAACATTTCCCGTTTTCATTGTGTTCTTTTTATACATGTTTAAACTGCGTGTGAAAATCGATAATGAGTCACTTTATACGTTTGAATTTTTTCCCCGGTGGCATTTTTGTGCCGATCTGTTGTTTTTTCTTGAAAATATTGGCCCTTGACATATTGTATGCCTTTCTTGCCTTTAAATCTGCGTGGTAATATTGTTTCTTTTCTGAAATTGTTTACTCGGTGTAAGTTTTTCACGAATAAATGTTTCATGTTAACAAAAGTTGAAAGAATAAATATTTGCCTATGAATTTTTACCAATTTCTTTTTTCACAGATTAGAAATCTCTGAAACTAAAAAAAAAGAGTTCCTCCACAAAAAGTTATTTGAGAGTTGGCAAACGCGCCCCATTGAAAACTTGCGTCCCTGTGAGATACCTTTTTCTGCGTTTTCATGTCACAGTGTTTGCACATTTTCTTTTAATCCCCTCTTTTTTCGTCGATCAATAAATTTATTTATTTTTTTGGTTTTTTGTAAATGTTAGATTTTTTCAGAAATGGAGTATGAAATTGCCAGAGTTTTGGAAGCGGAAGGGTATAAATCAATAAATGAAGTCGTTTATTTGCCGCATAACATTGAATTATTTCAAAATATTTTGAAATCAAGACATATTGTGAGTTTTGAATTCATCTATTTTGTCTTATTTAACTTTTTATTCATAGATCATTTCATTTTTTGTAGGATAAGGCGTTGGAAGTTCACAAAACCGAATTAGAAAGCGAAGAATTGACAGAGTTTTTTGAGAAAATGTCAAAACTCCACTTTTTTGTGAAATTGAGGGATTCGATTTTTCGCGGAAATTTCAAATTTGTGCAGATTCGATTTGATATAAAGGTGAGTGTTTTTGAAAATATTGACAAAAATATTGTGAAAATCTTGATATTGATTCTGAAAATGAAAAGATTTCATGTGAATGTAAAAAAATTATTTCGGAAGCAGAATGTTGTCAAGCGTGTTCCTGAAAATTGATGTTTTCTTTACAAACTTCAAGATCTGGTTCTATGCGATATTCAGAGTTGCGCTTGAAATATCAAATTTTATGTGTTGCTGTTAGAACCCGTTTGTTCTGCTTCATAGTTTGTAGAAAACTTATAATCCACACTCATCAACCAAGCATCACGACAAATTTTTCAGACATCATCTCGCTTCGCACCTCAACTCAACAAAGCATTTTTCGTGATGAAAATCCGAACAACCGATGGTGAAACAACAGTTCGTCTAACTTATAAAATGATTCAAAAAATGATCGACGAACTTCAAAATGCTTTTGCAATTTTGAGAAAATCAGCAGCCACTCGACCAACACTTCTTGCTTAATTTGAGATATTGACTGGTGATTATTTCATTGTTTGCGGGTTATTTATATTGAAACGTGTGTGTGAATAAAATAATTGCGAGGTTAATAAAAGTGCAGGAAAATATATAATCTTTGATCATCAGAAGAACAGAAGAGTGACGAATTTTTCGGATGTTTTTGAATAGAAAATAAATTACAACCTATACTTGATTTATCTCTTTTGTTTAACTATTCTATAGAATTGAGGTTTTTAAAGAGTTACCGTAGTAAATTTTTTGAATTAAATATAATGGAAATATCACAAAGATGAATACTAATGTGAAAATTTGAGTTGAACGATATTAAAACTTATTTTCTGAAGCCTCATTTTTTTTGAAAGCACCAGTGTCAATCAAATGCCCAATTCACGACACCTTCCGGACAATGTGCCTCAAAAATTTCTCAACTTTGGCGGACCAGTGCTGAAAAAGTACCATTTTTTCTGAAGAAACAATTTTTAAATCTGATGCTTTGCCATGTTTTAAATTCCATTATTCATTTTTGAAAAATAATGTTTTCTTATAAAATAAATCTTCCCAAACCTTTTTTTGAAAAAAAGTTAGTTCTCACTATTACGGTGCGGTGGCCAAAGTAAAAAATATAACAAAAAATACGAAAATATATCGTCCAAAGTCTAGTTGTCTGCGTCTCTCGAGTATACACACTATTTTTCTGTTTCGTGTCTGCGTCTCTCGAATATACACACTATTTCTCTGTTCTGTATTTCGAATATAAGGCGAGCTTTGGACGATATATTCTCGCAATTTTTGCTATATTTTTTACTTTGGACATCGCATTAGGTTATGTAATCCCCCACTTGAAAATAAAACATCTAGAAAAAAATATATCACAGCTTCCGTTTCAGTTTTCAAACGCGTCATCTTTAATCTTAAGCAGGAAAAAGTTTCGCCTCATCAAAATTTCAGTTTTTTTAAATCTCTGACGTCAATTATATAGAATAGACTTTGATATGATCTTCAATTATTACTAATTTTCAGCCCACTATGTTTGTACAGTACAGTATCCCTGAACTTTTTTGATGAAAAAACTTGAAAATCAAACAAAAACGAATTGGATGTTCCTCCCTCAAACACGCAAATATTATTTTGTTTTATTTTTCATTTTCTATCTACCACACACAAAAAAAGAGAACAATTTGCAATTGTTTTATCGTTTGTTCAGTTGTGCCCATAGTTTTATCCCCTAACAATGCGCTCTACTTTTTTGTTCCGTTTTTTTCAAATATTTTTTGTCCATCCAATTTTTTTTCTGTCCAAAACGTCCTTGTTCATTGAAAAATCTTTTTTTTCTATTTTTATTTTTGTATTTTCCCTCAAACAATCAATCAATCTCATTCCAGATAGACACGAAGAAAAAAGTTCATTTTTTGAAGAAAGTTGTCCAAATGACACGTAAGTAATTTTTAATTTTAATTTTACAAATTGAAAATTGAAAATCTGTATTAGTCTATACGCGATGCCAATATTTTCAGCGCATAATTCAATTTGTTTTCAGCCAACTGAAAAGCTAGAAAAACAACAATTCTCGTTTGACATAAAAAAGCGAAAAAGAAGAAGAAGAAGAAAAAAACATTGATTAGCTCTGAAAAAGAAAATTTTGTGCGCTAATTGAGTTTTCTTTTCTGATAGGGTACCCTAGAATAGGCTATGATTTCAACATGAATATTTTTTGAAGAAGAAAAAATTTGCGGTTTCGGGACTTAATGAGGGAGGAGAAAGAGTTATGATGTAGTTTTTTTCGGTCGAAATGAATATTTTATTCTGTTTCTTGTTGGCTTGGATTGGTCACGACAAGATTTGCTTTTATTTTTAGAATATTCGAAATGTGATGTCTGAAAACACTGGAATAGTCTTGATAGGAGTTTTCAGTGATTTTTCTTTTTTCATTGTTTTCAAAATTTTGCAAAACAAACATTTAGACTCTGCTTTCAACATGTTCTAAACAAACCCAATATTTTTTATAGTTTCCAGACTCATTGACCAACAAAAATTCCAATGATAACATAAACTGATAACTCAAACAACCTGTGAATAAAATGAAAATTCTTTTCTTTTTTCTTTTCTCTTTCTTTCAAATAATATTTTTATTTTTCACAATATTTTTATAAGCCTATTTTTCAGTTCACCAAAAGTACAGTATGAATATAATAAGAGGCGGTGCGAAATGGCGCACTTTTGTTTTGATTCTCTGAACATTTTTAATGAACTAGGAAAATAAACTGAACCGGTTCTAAGAATTTTATTTCAAAAATAGAAATAGATTTTTATCTCGATTTTCAGAAATTCACATCTCATTTTCATTTTCATTCTCATTCTCATTGACTTTTTGAAATGACTAATTTTGCACTTTTCCCAACCAAAAGTGCACTGAAAATTGGTTTAGCCAAACATAGGTGACGCATTTTTCTTTGTTCTAATAATCAAAAACATTTTTTTCTTTGCTTGATTATAAGTTTGCCATATTTATTTGAGATATATTATTATTATTATTATGATCCTTATTAGTTTTTTCTTCTTTTTTTTTCTCATATTTTTTTGGTGAAAAATAGGAAAAACAACTATTCAACTAACTAAAAAATGAGATGAAATGAAACGGCGTTTTTTGAAGTTGATGAAACAAATTTGGGCATATCCGATTTCGAGTTTTCTTGAATTTTAGAGTATTGAGTTTCATTGAACTCTCCATGGAGCAACATTTTATGCTTTGATGGAAACAAAAGTCTAGTGATGTGATGTTTCCAAGAGAACGGATGAAGGAAATGAATTGCTAGGATATATTGGGATATAAAATTTTTGGAATTGGAGAAAACATGTTGTGGAAGTATAAACTGCTTCTTTACGTAATTTTCGGTTTGAAAATTAGCAAATTTTAGATGATTTAGAATGTTTTTGGCCGTAAAGTGCATTTCACTGCATCAAGTTTCACAATACCTATTTGACCAAAATTGCTCCGTTTTCAAATTTTTGAATTTTTCTTGATAACTCCAAATAAGATTCGGATTCCTTAAGAGCTTTTCTGTCAACTCTAATTAATTCACAGGTTTCCAATAACATTTATAAGCTCTCAAAAATCTCAGGGTCTTCACAAGACAAGTTTTTTTTTTCAGAAAAACAAACTTTTAGAGCTTCTTGTTTACAAAGTTCCCAAACACTCTATCTTCACCAGCTTTCTTGAAAAGTCTACTAGGTCTTACTAAAAACCCAGTGCTCAGCGACCATGTTTTTGAAAATCCATAGGAGTATCTGTAAATGCCCCTCTCCATTACTCATATATTTTATTTTCCAAAAATGTCACGTGTCAATTTTTTCTGATCTCGGATTTAATTTTTCTATTTATTTCGTTTCTGAAAAGAGATTAATTTTGAAATTGAATCAAAACAAAATTGTTCTTCATTGTGATTGAAAATTCTATTTCAAAAAAAAAAGAATCTTGCAAGTCCCCCAAAGTTATTCATCAAAAGTTAATCCAGCATGAAAAAAATCTGTACATGTAATAAAAAAATATTATTCTAAAAAAAATCCACTTTAATATTCATAATTCCACTAATCCTTGCTCTCATTTTGTTTTTAATTCTAATTCCATTCACACCTCATTATCATTTTTTTCCTTCTCAAATTAGGAATGCTCTCACTACCGTACCCCCCACATTGTTTCATCTCATCTCATTTTGTGTGCTCATCCTCATTACCCGAGAGCAGAGCCGAGCCGAAAAAAATCGGAGACTCAAATTTTCTATGTGAGAATTTGGAGAAATACTGCTTCAGGCAGTGTGTCACAAGATTTGCTCTCTTTTTCTTTTTTTTTTCTTCTTCTTCATTTCTTTTCAGCTTTTCTGTGTATGCATCAGCCCTTTTTTGAGAATGCGAGGGTTAGGAAAAAAAGAAAAAAGAAAAAGAAAAAGAGTCGCGCACACAAAACGTCATTTTTGAACATTTGCAGATGTCGTATCGATCTAGTGGAAGAAGAGAAGAAAAAGAAGAAGCTGACGAGGGAGAAGACGCGACAACTGAATCGCGGACACGCCTACCACCAGTCGCTGCTTTGAGCTGCCGCCGCCGCCGCGCAACAGCTTTTTCAGCCCAAGCCACTCTTCAGCCCTTTCACGGGATGGGCATGTGGCGAGTCGCGTTTCTCGCTTCTTGTCTATTTACGGCGACACAGGCAACCGCGTTTACAGGTTAGTTTTTATGAGTTATTTACCGAGGGGTTCTAAATTGATAGAGGGTTGTATTGAATTTCTTAACAACCTAATAAATTTTGATGGGATTTTCATATACCATGTTTTTATTTCAATTTTTTGTCTCCTCTCCTCCATTTTTTTTGCCTTCTTTCCCTACAAATTTTTCTTTGAAAAAAGCACATAATGAAATGAAAGAAAATAAGTCCCCTCTTAATTTGCCCAACTCAAAATTCCCCCAGGGCTTCATGCTAATTGGCTCACTTATTTCTATATTTTTCTTAGAATTTATCTTATAGACAGGTGAAAAAGAATAACACATTATATGTTTTTTGCACCTGCTGAAACACCAAACACGTCAATTTTCTAAGAATTGAATCCAATCATTTTTTATTCAAAAGTTTTGAATAAGAAGAGGGAATACATAGAAGAAGGGAAAAATGGGGGGGGGGGAGAAAAAGAAGAGGAGTCAAAAACCAACGAGGGATAGAATAAGGAAGTGGGGCTTTTCAGTTTTAGGGGGTCTAAATTTCTAGATATTGTACAAGAAGTTAGCGCATCAAAAACTTAATCGGATATATGTTTCTGAAATGTTTGTTTTATTGAACCTTTTTAATTTCAGGATATGTGGGTTAATGAAACTCCAGATTTCCACTCTGAAAATCTAATTGAAAAATATATTGAATTGTCTGATCCCACTCAAACATCAAAGAACATAAGTAATGTGATCGGATTGTAGAAAAATTCTTGGAAAATCTGCTGTTTATGTGAGATAACTTGATAAAATTTTGAACTTGAAATCTGTGCCTTGAAAATTTAACAGTTTACTTTTTCAGTTTTTAATCCCAAATTCAAAAATAAAACATTTTTCTAGAATATGTTAAGTGCAACTAATCCATAATGTTTCAATGACGTGTGAATCAGATTAACACTCCTAAACATCTAATCAACTCGAGACTTTCTAACAAAAAAAGAGAAAAATTGGATTCAACGTTTCCGGTGCTCATACTCTGTTCACGGAAGTGGAAAAAATCACACATTTGCTCACTCACTCACAGGAAATTAATAAAAATAGCATTTTTCTTTCAGAGGGTGGTACGGTACTCGGCAATAATAATAATGGAAAAGCAAGATTAAATAATCAGGAAAACGAGCAAGCTGTTAGTTTCTTTTCTATTTTTTTTAGTTAATTAAAAATACTAATTAGTATTCTGTTAAGGTTTTGGATAATGAGGCATTCGGTCCACTTTTGGAGAGATTGGCTCAAAGAATGAATCAACAGGAACAACAAGATGAAGGATTTCCAGTTCCAGACAAATTGGACAATTTGAATCTTTATGGAAATGATGAACAAGATTTTGAGTTCAATCCAGATTTTCAACAACAACAACAATATGAAAGAAAACCTTATGATTTTTCAATTGAAGATCTTGAAAAAGGTTAGTATTTTTCGTATTTTTATTTATTTATTTATCCTATTTTTTGTGTGTTGTTTTTGAGTCAGAGCCTCATTTATTATGATTAAAAAAATATTTACTATTTTATTTATTTTTTTTCATTTTCCATATTCAACAAAAAAATAGGATAAAGTCATAATTTTTGTATCGAATTTCTAAGGAAATTCCAATTTCCTGAAAGCCTTTTTTTAAAAGAAAATCTCTGAGAATCGCATTAATCTAATGACGAATAATAAATATATTTTTTAATCCAATTATACGTGTTTCAGCTGAGGCAGAATTAGAAGAAGAGCTCAAAAAAGACCGCGAAGAGGATGAACATCAAGACAAACCACAAAAAACTGCTCCAGCTGCTCCGGCTCCAGCTCCAGTTGAGCAACAACAAAAACAACCAAAAGTTGCTCCAGCTGCAGCTGCACCAAATGAGGAATTGATTGAAGAGCAAGAAATTGCGGGTGAACCAAAAGTTCCACAGAAGAAGGGACAAAGCGAATTTGTCTCATTCGTTGAACCCGTTGAGCAACAAGCCAAACAAATCAAGTGAGCATTTTCTCAAAAAACACACACACAAAACAATATATCTCCTTTTTTGATATATATCTTGAAGTGCATTTAATTTCGTTTTTTTTTCTTGAAATTAAAATATTTCAAGATCTCTTCTCTTCTTACCCAACCCAACCAAAAATCAAAAAGATTTTCGCACACATTTTTTTTGTGCTCAATTATTATTTGTGTAGGTGTTTTGTTAATGACATTCATGTCGTTCAGTCATGAATAACAAAATACGCGCACTTTTTTTGTTGAGCTCAACAAAAAATACGGAGAAAATAAATAGAAAGGGAGAGAAAAATGGATTTTCTTTCAGATCTTCACAAGTTTTCGACAAACGTGCTCCAATGCTTCAACAACAAAAAAGTCATACAAGCTTCAGCAGCAGTCTTTTGTTGCTTGGTAAGGAAAACATCAGGAAGCATTTTGTTTCAGAAGAAGATTGTTTTTTGAACATTATTTCGAAATGTCACTGAAAACTTATAATTTGAAAACTAATGTTAGGGATAATTGTTACTTCAAAATACTGTAGGTGCTCGAAGAATATGTTATTAGAAACTTGTAATTTATAATTTTGAAATTCGAAAAAATCACGGAAGTTCAACACACAATTTTCCAGCTGTCGGAACAGTGATGTCAGTTGGTCTTGTTGGAACAGTCGCCGGTGGTGCTTATTATTTGAAGCGTCGCAATGAAACACCAGACGATGGTGAATATGCGCCATACGCTGGAACTGGACCAGGATTCAAGAAAAATAAGGGAAATCAAGGCGATGAAACATTAGCCTATAAAGCTCAACTTCATCAATATCAACAAGCTAAACAAAAGATTATTTGTGGTGAAGATGCTCCAGGTAATTAACACTATTTAATAAAAAAAAACAATAAGCAATTATTGTTTTAGGAATGATTGAATCAGATGGTGAAGATGGTGCTGATGAGGAGAACAATTTCAGTGTTTACGAGTGCCCTGGACTTGCGCCAACTGGTGACATTGAAGTTTGCAATCCAAATTTTGCTGCTCAACCATAAACTAAACTTTGAACTTGTTCATTTGCCTACCCCTTACTTAAAACATTCGATGCGACAAAATTGAAGCACCCAAATCTAGAACTTCTTATTAGATCCAACCCACCCATGTATCATATCCCCCCAAAGCTCCACACTCCAAGGCACACACCGAAAAAATCCTCTGTAGTGTTCATTTTTTTTTTCAATTTTTCCATTCCAAAATTTTCTAATTTACACCGGTGAAAAGAGAGAGAAACATATTATTTTTGTCTTGTATTTTTATTTTTTTCCTAAAATCTTTATATTTTTCCATCTGTAAGCTTCAAAAAAAATAATCATTTTGTATTGTTCCATCGATGTCGTACCGAGTTTCAAAAACCCGAGTGATCTTATGAAAATAAAGTTTCAAGTTGTTGTTTTCTGTTATTATTTTTATTCCTGGTAATTATTTTTAATTAGACTCTCTCTGGAGATTAAAAGTGCGTAGGAAATATGACAAATTTTCAGTTGTTTTTGAGGGATAGAAGATTTTTTGTAGCCTAGGCAATGACGTCTAAAAGGTGTGTCGAAGATCAAATATGCAAGAATGATTTGAGATTTGAAAATATGGAGAATTTTGGAATTTTTTGAGAGGGATTTGTATTTCAAGTTATGGTGAAAATTTGAAAATTTTTATATTGAAATATCAAAAATTAGTTCCTCCATTATTTTGCAAACGTTTTTCATGCATTTTCAAAATATATTTCCTGTAATTCCTGATAAATTTTTTTGTTTTCCAAGCGGCCCAATTCGAAAAAAATCCAGTCTCTGTTTTTGAAAAAAAAAATTCTCACAGTACAAATTCTATCAACCCCCCCTCCTTTTCAAAATATTCCACACAATCATAAATAGTTTTGATCACTGGTGTCTACGTTAACATGTAAAATATAATGTAATAAAAAAGTCCCAGGAAATGATATACATTTTTATGTATGTATGCAAATTATTGTTAGATCGTGTGAAGATGGTCATGGGAAAAATATTTGGTCTGATTCAACACGTGTTGTCTAATAATAATAATAATGTTCTCTTTGAAACAAAAGGAAGCATTATATGCATATTTATTTTATTGAAAATAATATGTGGGAATATGATGGCATGATTTTTCACCTGTTGTTTTGTGACTAATTTGATTCGCTTGGTTTCAGACAAGAAATCAAACACGCTTAAAAATTAATTTGAACATTTAAAACTGGAAATTTCCGCAGGCAAGAGATTTTATCGCTGATGTAACAAGTTGTGTTTTTTTGTTGAGAAAAAAGTGATTTTTGGAATCTTGGAAAACAATCCATCATTTTTGAGAAAAACATTTTTCGAACATGTTTTTGGATACAAAAAAATTAACTTTTGGTTTCAACTAATCTTACAACAAAAAATCAATTGAAAACATTTCCCAATCCAAAATAAACTTCGCAAACAACTTCCTTCCTGTAAAAAATCCTAAAGCCACATAAAAATTCCATTTCCTCTTTTGAAAAATTCTCGTGATTTTTTCGTCATCAAAAGAAATTGTCGGGTTTTTCTGGAAATCATTATGCAAAAAATGAAAAAATTTGACCGTAGTTTGATTCTGCATAATAATCATAATAATAATAATAATAGAGGATGATTGAGGATTTTGGAAAAATAAAAACGTAGATCTAAAAAAGTTATTTTTGTTTGAAATTTGTATTTTTAGACTGGACAAATTGATGTAGTTTTGTTGTTACAAAGTGATTTCGATATGATTCAGATTGAATAATTTTTGAAATAAAATTCATGTCAGATTGTAATTTTTGCCATAATCAGGGAAGTATGAGAATTTTTCAGTACAAATTTTTACAAATAAATTTTTGTCTCTCCCGAGCTTGTTTCCGTGTTTCTAATTATTCAACTTCACCGATTCAAATGCTCAAGTCTCATTAACAATTCCTTCCTGAATATATTTCCTTCCTGAAAAATGATATGTTTTCTGAGAATTGTGTCAAATCTCGACTTCCCTTCTCAAAAAATGTTTTTACCAAGGTTGTGAATTTTCCCATAATTGGACTCATTTTCAATATTCAGATAGAGGAAACATTTTTCCATTTCAAAATGAACAATTTCCTTCATATGGATATGCCATTTCCGTTCAAAATGCTCATCATAAGATTCAACTTCCTTTAAATAAAAAAATACAATTTCAAATCCCCTGACAATTCGTGGGAACCAATTTTGAACTATCAAAAAAAATGAAGAAATTGATGAGACATCTGTGCATTTCGCGCGCTCTGCGCAGGTATTGTAAATAGCATCATCTTAACCTCGTTTGACCTCGCGCATCGTTCGATAATATTTCTCGCCTCATCATTTATTTCTCCCCCGCTGTGCAGCGAAAAAATGACGGGAGGAAGAAAAAAAACGATCTTTGCGCGGGCGAGTGCAAAACAAAAACATCACGTCACTTTTTACGATCAGATAATCATTTTGTACTGGTCCTATGTTTGTTTTATCCCATATAATTATCAGACAAAAAACGGGTGTGTTCTTAACGACGGCGGCCTCATGTAAATAGTATGTAGTACTGTGAGTGTGTATTGAAACATGATAGTTACAACTGATGGTTTTTGATGTTTTATTCGTCGTGGGTAGAGCTTTTGATCTCAAACTGATCATTGAGAAATGCAAGAATGGGAAAATACGGATTAGGAAAATTTGAGAAAATGAGGGTTTTTGAATTTGGAATGGAGATGGGGGACCGGGTGAAATTTTTATCCGGGTTTAATGATACATTTTCAGTCTAAATTTCTTGCAAAACTATTTTCTCCTAGTAATTCTGACCCAAATACACACATTCACATACAGATTCTTCCAAACACAATTTTTTTCATTCATTCCCCGTCCCCCTTCAACAAAATTTCAAAAATAAGTTTTTCCAGACTTCTTTCACCATTTTCTAAGTGTTGTTTTTTGACCTCTGAAAAAACTTGTCTAGAAACATTCTCACAGCAGTGTCAAACTACAAAAAATACGTGTTTCTTTCTTTCTCACAAAAAACCATAAATTTTCAGAATTCTCCCTAATCATCAATCAAAAAGAAAATCATACATATGTTTCATGATCTTTTTGTTTCGATTTATTATAATCAAAGATCTCAAGTATCTGCTGACCTCCACCACCTACAAAAAGTCATTAATTTTTATCACAATTTTCATTACAACCTTTTTTTTCTTCTTCTTCTTCATCTCACAGCAGGTGATAAACTTTCAGTCTTGTCAAATCATAAAACATTTATTTTTTCTGAAAAAAAAGTCCCTAAAAACGAAACGAGGAAGAAGGAAAAATGCGGAATGACAATGAACATTTGCACTTTTGAAACGAAAATGGGCGCTATTTGAAAATTCAGTAGGTATTTTCGAGTAGACGCCACCCATCGGAAATGCGCATTTTTCATGAATTTTTGTGGTGGTGGCAGCTCATTCCGGACAACTTGTCATGAAAGAAGATTAATGAGAAATTCTTTTGGAAGATCAAGAAAAAATATTCTTTTTTTTTGGTCTCTAAAGTTTTGTTTACAGGAGGGGAGAATTATCATAATCGTATTGGGAACTTTTTGAAATTCAAATTTTTTGGAATTTAAAATAACAAAATTTATTATAGTTTTGAAAAATGTTGTGGAAAACAAAGATCGAGAGAATCTGGAACAATTCGATGAATTAGAAAATTGAAAAACGTTTTTATTTTTGAGATCAAAAAATTGAACAAACAATTCTTATTGAAAACTTTCGTAGATCAAATAATAAAAAAAATCTTTCTTGTTTGAAACTTTTATGCAGATCAAAAAATTGTCAAATTATATACAACAGTAAAAATATTGTGAAAATTTCACATAGATGAAGATTTAGTAAATTATTGTTCAAAATTTCGAAACAGAAATTTGTTCAACTGCTTTGACTTCTGAAGTTCAGAGAACAGATTTTGCCAAAATTAAAATATTCAATTTTATCTCTTTTGGAAATCACAATAAAAACTGCCATATATAAATTTTTCCCCGAATTCCCAAATATGCACCTTTCCAAACCCCTAAAAATATTCTTTCCATTTCTCGAGTTATTTTCTCTCTCCGCTCCGCTCCATTATTATTATTATTATTAATTGGATTTGGGTCAAATGAATGGGAAAATTCGCCATATGTCGGTGAACCTTTTTGATTTTTTTTCTGACATAATCGATTTTATTTTTTCTGTCAAGTCCCTGAATAACTCTCCAATATGAATAAATAAAACCAAATCGGAAAGAAAAATATTTTAGGGTGTCATGTGGGAAAAGAAACAATATTTTTTCGCTCTCAATAAACATTTGTAGTCGGTTTTTGATCGTAAAAAATGAAGTGTTGACTAAAAAAGTGCATAAACATGCTCATTCTCAAGAATTGCTTGATAACACAACTATACAACTTGAAATTCACAAAAAAAACATTTTCAAGTGAGTATAGTAAAAAAAATCCCTGAAAATCTATTCAACAAAAAACCAATCCAGTTTCTTTCTAATTTTTCTCTCCTCTCAAACTAACTTAACTCATCTCATTCATACATGTTTTCAAAAACAAAATTGGTGAACCAAGGTCACTTTCATTTGAAAAATCAAAAATGAAGAAAAAAAAGAGAAAAAACATGTTTCTACCCGGAAAAACAACATAAATCAATACGAATTTTAATTGTATTCTAACTAGACAAAAAACTTCCGGATATTTTTCGAAAAAAATATTTTCAGTTTTAAGAGAAGAATATATATATTTGTTCATTTTCAAAAACATGTTGAACAATAATGGCATTTTTCTGAAATGATATAGCCTAAATTGAAAAATAGTCGAATTCTTGATTGAAAATCTTCAAACATTAGTTTGAGAGCTCTGCTACTTGACTCACAGATTTAGCATAACTCTTTATGATTTTTTTACATTTCTCTCCATACCTTTCTGAAGGGAATCCCTCTATAAAAATAGTTTTTTTTCAAATATTTAT